CGTGATCACCCACGATTCCGGAGAAACGAGTCGACTTCAAGATCAAATGGTCCTGAGCCAATGGAGATCGACAGTGCGCAAGAGCTTAGTCCAGAAGAGTGCCGTCGGCAGAGGAAATGTTACAACTGCCTCCGTGGTGGTCACATTGCAGCCCACTGTAAGGCTCCTCGTCGGAACCAGCGCCCCTACAGAGGTCCGAATCAGCGTCAACGAGACTCGCAGCACGTCAATGCTGTGGAGCAACACGTCAGCGAGGTGAAGAAAGAATCGTGTACGATCAGTACACTGTGGATGCATTTGAGGAACTCAGCATACATGACATGGTTGCTAGACCGGATAATGAGCTCATTCGCAAACCCGGGAGAATCGAAGGGCGCCCAGTAACGATACTGCTTGACTGTGGTGCTACGGGAAATCTGGTACGGCCAGGAATGGTGTCGAAGGTGACAGGAACTAAGGATGTACAGGTGAAGGGCTTCGATGGAGAGATCAAGGAGTATCGCGATGTGAAGGTAGTGGAAGCGGACATCAGCATGGAAGACAAGACGTTCGAGAGGTTGCGTCTAACAGAGAGTCCACTGGCGATTGAACATGACGTTATCTTGGGTAAGCCGTGGTTTGCCAAATATTAGCCAACAATCAACTGGCGAACGCATGAAGTAGTATTTCCGAGCATGGAAGAGAGACCACGGCCCAAGACGGACAAGAACGCAAACAAGATGGAAGATCAGAAAGAATGTGAGAGAGACGCCGTCACAATGGACCCGAGCGAAATTGAAGAGTCGGAGTCGGCAGAAGATCAACGAAAGAAAGCGGAAAAGGAAGCAGTTCGCGCACGTTATCGGTCACATCTCGCCTTGGCTGAGGCATGGCGTAATGGTGTCTTTGGGTCCACGAAGAAGTTTCATCGTCGTATGCAGGACAGGAAGTTTGCGGAGCTGTTCTTCGTCAAGGTCTGTGTAGCGGTGGAATCTGACAATGTACCAGACTACATTAAACCTTTGCTGGACATGTTTGGTGATGTCCTCCTAGAAAAGTTGCCAGATGGCCTACCTCCCGAGCGCATCGTCGAGTGCGACACGGAGATGATGCCTAACACCGCTCCTAGCACCCGAGCACTGTTTCGACTGTCTAAAACGGAGCAAGAAGCATTGGAAAAGTTCGTCGCGGAAACATGAAGAAAGGGTGGATAGAAGTCTCCAATTCACCCTGGGTCTCCAATATCTTCGGTGTTCCTAAGAAAGATCCTGCGACTGGTCAAATCCCGAAGCGGACAGAATGGCTGCGATCCGGGAATAGTTCCATTCCGATTCGTTGGGTCATCACCTTCCGCTATGTCAACAGTCAGACGAAGATCCCGAAGATTCCATTACCGCTAATCGAGGAAATCTTTGACAAGATGGTCGGCTGCACAGTGTTTTCAGTTCTGGACCTGGCCCAAGGTTACCACCAGATGCGGGTCAAGCTGCGTAGTCGTCAGTACACCGCTTTTCGTACTCACAAGGAGACTGACCAGTGATGTGTCGCTCCGATGGGTCTTTCGGGTATGCCTGGGGTTTGGTCACGAATGATGCGCGTCCTGTTTGACAAGTTCGACTTCGTCGTGGTCTATTTAGACGATATCTGCATCTTTTCCAAGACCAAAGCAGAGCATCTCGAGCATCTGGAAGCGGTCTTTGAAGTGCTCCGCCATGAGAAGCTTTATGCGCACCGATCGATGTGTTCGTTTGGTCAAGAGAGTGTTAACTTTCTCGACCACACCGTGTCAGCAGAAGGGTTATCCGTAGATGCGAAGAAGTCCAGGGCTATCGAGCAATATCCTGAACCAACGAACAAGAAGGAGCTGCAGAGTTTTATCGGTCTTGCTGGCTACAATCGTCGCTTTATCTGTGACTTTGCGCGACACGCCCTACCTTTGAGTAAGCTGACTAAGAAGCAAGCTACTTGGGAATGGGGTCCGGCGCAGGCAGACGCTTTTCGATCACTGAAGCTCGCCTTGCAGCAAGCTCCTGTTCTTCGTTTGCCTGACTTCTCGAAACCTTTCACGGTCACAACCGACGCATCGGGTAAGTGCATGGGCGGTGTGCTCTCGCAAGACTTCGACGGCAGCAGCCACCCGATTGCCTTCTACTCAAAGAAGCTCAATGTCCATGAAGTTGGCTGGCCTCCACATGAGCAGAAACTTTTGGCCATCAAAACCGCTCTCGAGAAATGGCGTCACTACCTTCACGGCCGGCACTGCGATGTCTTTACCGACAATGCAGCTTGCAGGTGGGTGTTGCATCACCCTCAGGTATCGCCTAAAATGGGACGCATGCTTACATTCTTCTCGCAATTTGACTTCACGATGCATCATGTGAAAGGTCATCTCAATGTTGTGACCGACGCCCTATCCCGTCCAAGTCAGCTCCCGGCGACCGACGACGAAGTTACAGACGAGCCCGAGCCTTGGAAGTTACCAGCAGTTCATGATTGTTCGTCATCCTGTACGCATCAGGCTTCGAGGCTTCGACGTCACAGTGTCCACGCAGCAATGCTTCGCTTGCTTCCGTCCGACGACCGCTGTCTTCTTCTCGACGATCTGGACTTGCGGGAGGAGAGTCGCCTTATTGGGGTTCAGCAAGAAGTCAATGTTCACGTGGAACAAGTCCAGAACGTCGAGTACTCGACATCCAGCGTGTATTTCAGCGAAGATCAGAAGAAGAAGTTCCAAGCTGGATACAAGCGAGACCCCGCGTCCAAAGAAACATGGAACCGACCGAACAAATCTGCAGACTTCGTTAAATCGAATGGGCTCCTGTACAAGTGTTCGGATCATTCAGTCATGAGGCTGTGTGTCCCCAATAACGCTCGGCTGATCACGAACATCTTGCAAGAATTCCATGATGCACATACGGCAGCTCATCCTGGAATCCGTCAAACGCAGTTGAGGGTTGCTCAGTGGTACTTCTGGCCCACGTTGGAGAAGGACACGAAGGAATACGTGGCAAGCTGTGGGACGTGTGCTAGATGGAAAGTAAGTACCGCACGCAATAAAGGCACTATGATGCCAATTCCAGTTCCGAGTGAGTGTTGGGAAGTAGTGACTATGGACTTCGTGACAGGGCTACCTGTTTCCAAAGGCTTCGATGCGATCATAACAGTGGTGGACAAACTGTCCAAGCGACCCAAGTATATTCCGACACATACGACGGCAGATGCCCCGGAGGTTGCACGAATATTCTTTGAAGGAGTCGTTCGGCATCACGGTCTGCCGAAGGTGATCATCAGCGATCGAGACCCCAAGTTCATATCGAAGTTTTGGAAGTCGCTCATGGATATCATGGTGGTCAAGCTGTCGCTCACCACGGCATATCGAGCCCAAGCGGATGGACAGACTGAGCGTCAGAACCTGGTCTTGGAAGATGCATTACGGTGCATGGTGTCCTAATATGGTCGAGACTGGGCTACACAATTGGGAACAATCGAGTACGCACATGCGACGCTGGTGAGCTCCTCGACAACGCTTACACCGTTCGAAGTGGACACAGGACGCAAGGTCAGGAACTTGGTATCCCAGAGCACACCTGGTGAAGTTCGTGATGAAGATGTCCCGCTAGTTGATTTTGCGCAGAAGTTTGCTGACGAACGCAAGAAGATCATTGAATTGGCGCGCAAGAATCTCCTGGCAGCTCAAGAACGTCAAACGAAGTACTATGACAGGAAGCGCCGAGACGTGGAGTTCAAGGAAGGAGACCTTGTCCTGCTGGACACGCGTAACTTGCCACTCAAGCGCATCACGGCTAACACGGAGCTCAACCGTGAGAAGTTAGCGATGAGGTACATCGGCCCGTTCGAAATCGAGAAGATGATCAACTCCAACGTAGCACAGCTCAAGCTACCACGCCACATGAGTCGCCTTCACCCGAGTTTCAATGTTGAGTTCCTCAAGCATGACGTTCCGAACCCTCAACGCTTCGCGTCGCGACCTTTGCCCAAGTCTGCACCAGTACTCCTCGACGATGAAACCGACGAAGAACTACATTTCCCAGAGGCTCTGCTCCAGCAGAAACAGCGCAACAACAAACGGCTTTGGCTGCTCAAGTGGCACGGACTTCCCGATTCGGAAACCACTTGGGAGTACGAGGTCAAGCTCAAACGTGTATCGCATTGGCGTGAACTTCTTCACAAGTTCCGTCAACAGCGCCAACGCGATTAAAAGTCCGGGGGGATGTCATGATGCAGCATGTCTGCTGCTGGCACCCACGCAAGCGGGTACGCCAGCAACAGACATGCTCAAGGAAGACGTACCTGGTGGCTAGGAAGTCAGGCGTCGCAGCGCCGCCGCCTCCTCCTCCGCCACAAGTAGCTTGCGCGCGGAGTCGCTTGAAGGCTGGCGCCAGGCTTGCGCAAGACTGCCTGGCGCCCGGAATCCAGAACTCTACCTGCACAAGTATACAAACATGCATATATAGGATTACGAAAACAGAAAAACACTTGCATTTAGTATAGGTTAGCTCAGCTTCTAGAACGACACTAAGGAGAAAGCAAGAGGAAGACATAGAGCCCGTAGCTAGCCCGAAGACTTAAAGGCATCAATCTCACTTTGCATTTTACCCAAAAGCAAGCAAGCAACCACAACAACTCCACGCACTTTCGCTACGGCAGGCCCCACCGCATCGGAGCCTGTCAGTCCTGGTACTCTAGGGAACGGCTTTGTAGTTAGGGTTGAAGAGGCTCTTGTCGACGTAGATTATGATGTGGGTGCCGCAGATTGTGCAAATCGGCGGGTCCAGACAACGGGAACGATGTCCAAAACAACTTGTTTGGATTGGTTTTATGGATCTCGAAGTTCATTCAGGTACATGCTGGCGCGTATTATGTCTAGAATTGAAAGTGCTGACTCCAACGAGAGTGCCAGGACCCAAACACGATATTTGATACAACGTGCAAACCAACCTGATCGATGTATTGATTATAGCATCATCGTCTTCAATCTTCACCAACTGACTGGTCCAATATCATTCGCTCCCACTGAAAACGTCCAGCGCAGCTACAAACTGATTCACCTTCGCCGACGCTCCAGGTTTTTGACTGACCGCACCGGTTGTCGTCGTCCTGGGTGTTTGTTTCCGAAAAGACTCTGCGATTTTGCTTGGAACCACGAATACGAAGTAAAACTGATCCGTTTTGATGCCAGCACCCTTCAACCATTTGAGAAACGTGTTCAGTGGTGCAGCTTTAATTCCACGATCCTCGTTCAGCGTCATCTGCAATCCATAGCATTTCGAGCTCCCATCCGAGATAAATGCATCCAGCGCTCCAAACGTTTTTGACGTCGGTCGGTAGTACGTCCAGCCCTCCGCGAGCTGTAGTTTGTCCAGTGCAGCGAAGCGTACCGTTTTCAAGTCGTGCGGAATGATGAAATCAGCCAGAGGCGTCAAACGCAACGGGCGAAACTGCAACTTTTTCGTCTTGGACAAGCAGAACCATTAGTGACACAGCATCTCGTAAATCTGGCCTCGGACGACAGCCGTACTCCCCGAGTCATCATCACTGTGAGCTATAGCGAATTGAGAGACTCCGTGTAGGCTTTCTTCATGCACTCTGGCAACGACCGACTCAGCAATATGCTTGGACAAAAAATCCAAATGAAAGCTCCCGCGGAAATCGTCTCGTGTGGGAACCATTTCAAGGACACGGTGGCTTAAGTTACCCTCCTCCACTGCGTGATTGCATCTACAATAAGCGATGATATCAAGCGCACTGAATGAGTTAAGCGCCTCATTCAAATCGTCTTGACCATCGCTCTCAGCTCTCGTGAAGACGAACCGGGGGATTCCACCAAACTTGTAGTATCTTGAAACCAAATCTTCGTCAGCAAGTTTCAGGCGGCCCGATAGCAACGCGTTGTATTGTTTCAGTTCCTCCAAGCTCCATGTCGGCAAGATGTACCGGAAACCACCCACTTTCGCGAAATCATCCATGCCTTCAGCATCAGGAGCAGCAAACAAAATCGAGACTCCGCTCCAGCCCACAAGCCGCGTCGATGTTGCCTCGACAAGTCGAAGCATGTGAGGTTGGGCCCGAAGCAGATCAACATCCTCATCGGCCAATTCGACAAATTCATCACGTCCAGCGTCGTACTTGTGAAATTCATGGCCGTAGTTCATCACCAACTCGTATGGGGGTAGCTGCTTAATATCCTCTCGTTCACGAAGAATGAGTTGAAAGATGCAATACAGGTAGAACCGACTCTTGCCCGTACCAGGATTGCCCGTGACAATCAGGTTGCAGTCCTTGCCTCGATCCTCGTCTGGTTCACTGTCCTCGCCGGGATAATCTAGCTGTGTCTGATCGTATTCGAAGTTTGTCTTCACCTCCTCCATTAACTGGGCAAAGATGACGACGTACGCCTCTCTCTCCACAATCGTTTCGTATTCCTTCTTTTTGTGCGCCAACGGGGGAAAGCCTTTCATACAGAAAAACCTCGAAAATGGGTCCGTCTCGTCCTCCTCAACGTGTCCGCCCACTCTGCGCTTCTTCACTACTGGATAAAAAGACTTGGGCAGCCATCGAGACCGTCGAGAGCGTTTCCCCCTCGCTGGAACCATCACAAGCACGTGGATCTGGAGAGGCGATGGAGGGTCCATTCCATTCAGCGCGGCATCCAGGGGTTGCTCGGACTGCAGCACTTGGTCTTTCTTCGTTAGCGCTTCGATGAGACCAGTCGTCTCACCTTTCTTCAGCTGTTTCACGACGTCCGAGTCTGATGGAAGCCACGCGCTCTCCATCTTCGCCAGGAACACCTCCAGCTTGTTCTCGTCGACGCCCTTCAAGTCGTGCTTTATCGCTTTCTTGATCTTATCCCTCAACTTCCACACCTGCACGTCACTGTCGACCTCCACGCCGAACGACTCTCCCGCCTTCCCGACAACTGCGCAAGTCAGTGACAGCTTCACATCTTTCCTCAACACGAACGATTCTCAAATGGGAGGTCAAGTTCCTCCCTTGATAGGGTGGTCGTACTTAAACGGATTCTGTTTGCAAGGAAGGTTGATGTACAGTAGAATCCGTTGTGCCCAAAGTCGCATAATACAATACAATACAAATACAATAAAATACAAATGCAGTACAATACAAATACAGTACAATACAATTCATTACAATACTTCCTCCGTTCAGGGGCATTTGGAGTGTCCAAATTGGACAAATAAAAAATCGCGACCATTTTCTGGACGAGGTTTTCACCCTGACAGATGATGGCCACCCATTATTTTATTCTTAACCCGATGGATGGTGCCCCCCCCCTTCAGCGTCAAGGAGCTTCGTCGCGTAGAGATCACTGACCAGCGCCGGATCCAGCGAAGGTGCGTTTGCTACTTACGCAACAAGTCGAAGGTGACTTGGTTCCCCGGCTACATTGACATCCTGCAACATAACGGTCAGTGTCCTTACGTTGCGTGAGGTTGGCGTGTTGACATCCTGCAACATTGCCAGTGTGTGCGCTGTCTAACTTTACATGAATTGTTACCTGGAGCCCGAATAGCAAGCCTCCGAATAATACATTGAAGTGGAAGTACTACTGTAATATTTGTATGGAATTATTTATTGTTTTGCAACCTCGAAAAATATCAATAACAGACGTCGAGTACCGTCAAACATTGTTTTGTACCCTCTGCTGTATTATAAATCTCGGTCCCTGCCAGTCGTTAGCCTTCGCAGCCGTGCGCAGCTGCAGAACCAGCCGCAGCTTGCTGTCTTAACACTTTGTAGGCCTCCGCATTCCCGCAGGATTGCTTCCTGTTCACCTGGAGACCATTCTTTTCCTCAAGGTGAACCGCCAGCTGTGGGGTGTGAAGACGGTAGCAGACGTAGTGAACGCTACAAAGTGAGATGCAGGCCGTAGTGGTACGATATTGCGCGGTCAGCAGGAATAATGTATGTATCCGTACCAAGAACTTCCCTACAATTAGTTACTTTGTTGATTTACTTAAATTTCATTGCAGACGAATTGTCGGAGGGCCTGCCGAATAGGAACTAAATCCGGGAGCCCAGGGCTGTGTTGGAGCTGCCTCTGAATGGAGGAATGTGCGATTGTGCAGAGAAACTTCGTCCTAGTAGTCGCAAGTGATGCATGGTACGAATATATTTTGGCTGCATTTTTATAAATAAGCAATAATGAACATTAAAATGCACATTATTGGTTAGATGTTCCAGAATGAACTGACTTTCTCATCACGAAGACGGGTCGCTTAGAACACGAAGACGGGTGCTCTTCGCATTTGCTTGAGGTGGTACAAGAAGTTAAGCTCATTCGGTCAGTCTTTCTGTGAATCGAGTACAAATGTCTCGCAACAAAAAGCGGGAGCCATGTTCTGCAGGCCGTTTCTAGCCGCCATAGTAGATATCCGCTCAACCATCCCTGCAATGGACTTTTAAACTACAATGCATATCAATTAAAAAATGAATTTGCAGGCAGTTAACCCATAAAGAAAAATGTTGGATATTTGCTTTGACAGTTTGTTCGGGGGGCTAGAGGTAGGATAATACTTGTATCTTAAAACTGGGTTGGAACTGCGTTTGGACAGCGATCAAGTCGAGCATACTCCGGCCGCTTTGATGGAATTTGCTCGATTACACCAGATCGATTGTCACGAACCAATTTGAAGCGCATTACTTCCCCAATTGTGCCTTCGCCAGCGTGCTTAAACTTCAGTTTGCAACTCCTTACCAGTGCAACATTTTCCGCTAGAAATAAATCAATACACGGAGCCATCCGGCCAAATTTCGTTGCAGGTAGCCCAATTCTTTGTCGGAGTGGCTTAGTTTATACAAAACGCTTTGAGATTGGCTGCTACTTGCACTGGATGTCGATCCGTTGGAAGCATGATTCCCGTTTCTGACAGAATAATATTGCACTTACACCTGTGTCGAGATTTTAGGTGTGGCAAGGACTGCCGGAAATATTTTAGCTTTACGCGGTCAATGGTTTCGGGGTTGATCAAGTAAAAAAAATGCAGCGTAGTTGACTCTATGGTACTGGATATAATAATGCATCCCGAAAACGGCCCCAACAGTGGGACAGGTATTTCGCTAGGTACGCCGACGGAGACTTGAGCTTTAGTAACAACGCGATAGAAGTTGGGCTTTAAGCTCAGCAGTGCTGCACGAGGGAGACTGTCTGCAAGAAACTACTGGAGAGGTGGCCTTAGAAACGGGAGTCGTTCTCATTCTTTACATTAGTCTATACAAATGTGCGTGCATCATATACTTTTCCATCCTTCCCATAAATTATTTATACAACGCCTCATTAAAGTCTGAAAATATTTAGTTTGATGAGGTCGGTACATGTACAAAGCCTCACTCGTTACAGGCTGATGATGATGCACTGACTTATCACGCCAAATACGATTTCAACGCCAAATACCCCGGACACCAAACATTAATGCTGCCGACACTTATGAAAGTATACGACGATGCTGGCCTTCTGTTTAGAAGCGAAGAGTGTGAAAAAATCGAAACCCAGCGTGAGTAATTTACAGGACGAGCTGCTCAAATATTGGCTACACCGTGACGAAAAACCTGCTCGAGTTCTTGAACAGCTCGGACTCTGTAAGGAGTCGTTCAGCTATTCCGTCAATCCGCTGGAAAATGTTTTGGAGAACCCGTTGTTTCACAGTTGGGATAAATACCTTAAGTCCTTTAACGTCAAGAAGCCCCGAGATAAAACGACGATACTCGAGAGGTTGACGCGGGCATTCGCGATGCCGACGTGGCGGCGATGCTTGGAGCGGCAAAGTTGAAAGACTCAACACGAATCATGGCCACTAGATTTGAGTCTATCTAGATGAACTCATGGCGGAGCAGTGGGAAGTCAATCGACGACGTTCTCGATGGTTTACGTACATGAATATCGTCACCAAGGAAGATTTCCGCAAGGCATCTACGGCGCTCTCGACACTGCTAACTCGCTTTGAGGACCGACCTCTGAATCAGCTCCTACGAGTGGCCAAGACGTTCCCCAGCATGAATGGCGCTGCTCTAATATCCAGAAGAAGAGGCTGCAGAGTTATCTGGCGGCAAACGAATTCACATATGAAGTGTTCACGAAGCTAGCACTTGACGACGTGGGGGAAACTAAAACTCTCAGTGACCCGCTGTTATGAACTACATACGTCAAAGATTGGGGACCCGGGTGGTGGACCCGGGGGGTTTCGCAGTTCGAAGCTAGCTTGCACGGATACTTGTAGAGGGAAACGATGCATTCGGCATCTCCTGCGCCTGCTTCGCAGCCGCAGCATCTGCCTAATCTAGCACTGTATAACCAAGTGTACCAAGTTTGATCGCTTCTTTTCAAAAGGCATTGCCAGTCTACAGTATATATTGTCACTCCGATGGATTGAAAAACGCAGAGTTTAGTTGAGTTGGTACTTCAACGCTTCGGGCTCCTCGTGCTCGTCGGATCAATATTTCACGGATTTAGTTTTAATTTTAGTTCTTTTGTACTTAGCAGAACGATCATCGACAACTAGCTAATCAACGTACTTTCCTTCCTTCCTTCCTGCCACTGAAATGTGCGCTGATGCCTAGGCAGAACATTTTTCCGTGTTTTGCTCGGAAACTTACCGGAGGAGACAAAAGAAGAAAAATCCGTGTATTTGAGATTTAGTGCTGCCAGGCTAACTGCTCAACTGAACCTGCTGGGAAAACGGATGAAGCCAGCAATTTGTTTCAAATTTGATACGTCAAAACTGGATCTCGATCGCCTGTAGGAGCAGGATACACCTGGTATTTGCCCTTCGCTTTGATACTGTCCGGTCGGGCTTCCTCTCGCGCAGGAATCCGGGGCGTACAGCGACGACGTAACTTAGAAGCATTCAAACGCTGTTAGATACAACATGGCGCAGTCACACACATATTTCGTCCGGGTCGCCTGAATATCTAACAACAAAACCCGTGTCTGCTTCAATTCGTCCAAGTATGCCATTGCCATTTATCAAGTATTAAGCTGGCCGTACCGTATTCATGTAGCATTATGATGTTCTAAACTAACATCGGTAACGATGTACTTCGAAGTTGTTTGACAAGAACAGGATCAAGTAGTGCATAATTGTATTAATACACCACCAGTAGTGAATGAGCTCGGGGAATCCCTGCTGGTCGCAATGTAGTCTCACACAAAGCAAGAATAATACCAACCAAAGTCTGTGTAGATAAAATGCCTGAGCGACAGCAGCTAGGTTTTTAATGAACCCACATGAGCCATTCCTAGCTCGATTAATTTGAACTAGGTTCCTTCCAGTTTCATACACGGTCGTCATTCTTTTTGCGCTAGCTTCTAGCCTTTTCTCCGGAGAAGACATACCATTGGGTGCAGCTCTTTGGCTCTCTGCTAGATAGCGTTTGCGTTGGATACAAAATCGTTGAACGGAAAACTCAAGATATACCTCCCATTTTGGATCACATATCGTTAAAAATAATTGAAGTAGTTTTTGGCGAAGTCTCAGTGGAATGTTCAATCTAATACACCTTAACGCATTTCAATACGTGTGGGGATTCACACAAACCAGCCTGTCAACAATGTATGCCACGAAAATTGCACAAGATTTTCAGTTAATCTCTCTGATTAACTGATTTAATCATCTTCTCGTGTGTCTGAAAGAGGAGGGTATAATAAAAGTTATGACCCATGACAGAATGAAAAGGTCGAATTGACAGTTTAAATGCTCGAGTTACGGTAGCATGGCCAACGCAAAATCGAAGTAATTCGGAAGTAGTAGTCTGCTCTGCGAAAAATGCCCCAAACCCGGGACACGATATGGCATACACACAACACGCAGTGTCGCTTTTGTATGCAACAAAAGTTTATACACTACAACGTATGCCCAGACGTTGTGCAAACAAATTGAATTATTCATTCCCTGCTCTTCACACATCACTACGGAAAATCACCTTTCACTGGTGTGTCGACATTTGGCGAATCTGTCGTTCGTTGGATCCCCTCGACAGGAATGCGAACGCACATGTAGTTCTTCTCGCCCAGCGTGAGCGCACGTGTTTCAGGGTGAATGCTGCACTATCATCACACCGCGGCCATAGTGCTTTCGTATGAAGAAGAAGTTTATTAACTGTTTTTTGACAAGCCGTGTCGCTAGCTATGGTAAACTGTAGTAATATCTACTTGGGCAACTTGGATTTTGATGTTGAACCCAAATTCGACTACTTTTCTTTAGGCAAACTCACTGGTTTGGGTCGAAGCCCAGTCGTTGTAAAACAGAAATTATTGCATTCTTGTCGAGCTTCAGTGTTCGGAATCTCACAGCTTAGAAATAGCTATAATATACACAATTGCACCTTTATTATTTGTTCTAGTCGGCTTCAATATCCTTTATCTATCTATGATGTGCCGATGGTCCCGTGTAGCATGAATGTCGTTCGATGTCATCCGCCGGCAGGGGAAGCTACAAATGTAGCGCGAATGTCGTTCGATGTCATCCAAAAACCTTCCCCAATCGACAGTTCTTCGAACTGCGAATTTCAACAAGAATAATCCAGGACAGGAAAAATCTGGTTCAGGACGCTTCTTCACCGATATACGTGGGGTAAAGTGGAAGAAATGGTCACGACGGGGATGAAAAATCCTAGTGCCTTGAACCAGTGTTTGGAAAAGGCAAGGCTTGAACATTGCAAAAACTGGCGGAGAAAGAGTGGGTCAAGTACTGGCTGGACAAAAAGTATCTTCCGCAGCATGCGCTTCACTCCCTAAAGCTCCACAAAACCGATATGGCGACACTTTTCAGCCCAAAGTTCAGAATGTGGGAAAAATACCTGGATGGCTTCAACGAGCGGTACCCTGAAAAGAAAGCGGCCATGATCGATAGATTCACGTATAACTACGACGACCCAGCTCTGTTATGGATGTTCCATGCGGGAACGAGCAACCCCAGTACAGAGGAACTGGCGACGAACTTGCAGAGTGCTCTGATCACCAAATGGATCGCTGAAAAGAAGGATCCAACGGACCTAAAGCTGAAGCTTAACTGTGTGCCAACCTCCGACGAAATGATCGAGCGATACGTCAAGGCATTGTCGAAAAACACGAACTGAGCGGTGGATTAAAGTTGAATGGACGGTTGAAACAAAATTCCACTTGTATTTGGTTCTTCTTAGCTTAAACCCCACTCGTCATTGGCTAAGTTTGATGCCATGTAAGTACAATACAATACTACTTAAAAGTAGTAATCCTTGCCATTTGTCGGTTCTCAAACAGTTGCTGAAAGATCACCCTAACGCATGCTAGGCGCTATGGTGATCACTCAAGGTGGTGGCAATTCACCGAAAACCCCACGGTCGCGACACTTCATTTCCGTAGATATCATTCTCCTACCTCCACCTTCTATCGTTCCCTTCTCCTCTCTCTGCAATATCTCCAACTGATCTACACCTCCCGCCCAGTCCTCACTACACCTGGTAGCCGCGCTTCTGCGCCCCTGCTAGTCGGTCCACGATCTCGCTGATGACCGGCAGGTTGAGCACGTTGCCGACCACGGGCGTCTGGCGCAGGAAGGCCACAGCCACGGGGAAGAAGGAGCCGAAGAGGTTGAGGAACCCAAAGCTCTGCACGATCATGCCGATCACCGGGTAGCGCAGCATCACCAGCAAAATGCCGCCCAGGAAGCACACGATGCCGCGCCACCGCTCCTTGCGCGTGAAGAAGCGCACCGTGCGCGACAGGCCGATGGTGAGCGCCACGCCGCTCAGGAACAGCACGTCGCCCAGCGCCAGCATGGCCGCGTCGAAGAACATGAGCACGCCCAGCAGCAAGAAGGCGAAGCCCAGCCCCAGCAGCAGCGTGCCGATCTTGCGGTTGTCGTCCAGCATCGCGTCCTGCAGCTATAGAGCGGGTTCAAGCGCGGATTCTGGGATGGAGAGAGTCTTCTCTGTGTTGCGCGACTGCGACGCGGAGAGATCGGATTGCCTTGGGCGCCACGTCCGTCGAAGAGCTGCTGCCTGCTCTGGCCTTGCAGGTCTCTTGGTGCACTTGGACTTGGATAAATTTGGATGAAGGGAGGAACCGCCGTGGACGCTTGTGATTGGGTCGATTGATGGGATGTTTTGATTGGATAAATATGGGGTGATTTTAATTTTAAGCCAATTGGAGCTTGGTGATGTGTGACCGTGTCTTTGACCTGGAGCGGGAGCTCCCTCCCTCTGCTGGACGCTCGTCATGCTGCTGCTGATGGATAAATTGGCGTCTTCGTGTTTTGCATAATGATTTGTGTGTGTGTTTGTTCAATGCGCTGCTGGGCGTGCTAAATAGTCTACAGCTTCGGGGTCGTCTCCGGGGGGGCCTCGGGGGATACAGTCGAGAGTTGAGAGGCCGGGGCTCCCGCTTCAAAACTGCCGCTTGGTTTCGCTCGATCACTTCAACTCGATCCACTTCAAGCACTGTTTGCTCAACGTTGAAGCTGGTCGGACACCGAGTCGGGCGAAACCCTTGTGGGCAAGAGGGAGGGGGCAGGCGAGGCGGGGCGAGGCTGGTCGACGGGGAGACCAGGGAGGGAAGGCGCTGCACGCGAAGGTCATCGATGTCCTCGTGGCGGGGCCATCCACCCGTCCGTCCCCTCAAGCACTCGCCGGTTCGTCGTCATCTTCCGTCTTCAACCGCGTTCCCCCGCTGATATGATGCTGTCCTTCCATCCTCCAGCCTTCATAGATACGGGCTAGTAGCCTCCGGAGGACGAGGTGGACGAGGCCGTGGGAGATGCGGCTGCTACAGCCTCCTGCGGGTTGGTCTGCAGCTCCTCCTCGTCTTGGCTCTCGTCCGTGGACGTGTCCTCGCCGCTGCCGTCAGCGGACGCCTCCCCGGGGGCGCCAGGCAGCAAGTGGGACATCCTCTTGGCCTTGGCCGTCAGGTATCCCTGGCTGAACTCGCCGCCCTTGATCACCACGGGCAGGCGGCCCTCCACGGTGATGCCCAGCTGGCTCAGCAGGCGGATCTTGCGCGGGTTGTTGGTCAGCAGGCGGATGGACTGCACGCCCAGGTCCTTGAGGATGGCCGGCACGGGCTCGTACGAGCGGTAGTCGTCCTTGAAGCCCAGCACGCGGTTGGCGTCCACCGTGTCGAGGCCGCGCTCCTGCATCGAGTAGGCCATGATCTTGTTGGCCAGGCCGATGCCGCGGCCCTCCTGGGGCATGTAGATGACCACGCCGCCGTGCTGCTTGGTGTACGCCTTGGCGTAGTCCAGCTGCTCCCTGCAGTCGCACTTGAGCGAGCCGAAGACCTCGGACGTGAAGCACTGGTCGTGCACGCGCACGGGCACGTTGCGCTTGCCCCGCACGTCGCCCGTGATCATGGCCACGGGCTCGCTCTCGCGCAGGGAGCCCACGGAGCGGTACGCGCGCACGCGGAACAGGCCGCCATCGGTGGGCAGCGCCGTCTCGGCCACGAACGTCGTGGTCACGCGCTCGCCCAGGCACGTGAGGCCGGGGGCGTCGGCGCCCACGGCCGGCACGTGCTTGAACGAGGCGTTGGTCGAGGCTGCGCTGGTCTGTAGCTGCGTCATGGTCATGGCTGTGGCTGGCGTCTATGGGGGCGGGGTCTATCTATCTGCTCTGGGCCGGCCACTCTGCCGTCTGACTCGGGGCGTCTATGGCCTGGCGGACTGATTGGGGAGTGAGAGCGAGTCGCCACGCAATCGAGACGAGCACGTCCGGGTCAGGGACCTGTGAAAATAGATACCGCAGAGGTGGGAGTGATTGAAGATAAAGGGAGGATATGGGATCGCAGGTTAGTTATAGCCGAGATTCGCCGAAATGCTGGTAAACGGGAGAGCGAAAGCGAGGCGATCACGAGTGGCCTGGTGTAAGAGTACTATTTGCAGTGGTCAAACTCACTTGCTTGCTTGTATTTGAGCTCGCGGTGCGGGCTTGGCCGAGTTGGCAGGACGGGCTGCCGGTTCTGATGCGCGACTATAGCACGCTGACTCGCCCGTTACCCGGCGACCTTTCGGCGCGCGCGCTCCGCCACTCGTTGGCAGCTAGTTCGAACTGAGAGCAACTCACACCGCCGTCGGGCAAAGCTTTCAACACAAGGGCAAGCGATTGCGAACCAACTCGTTCGCGATCATTTGGGGTATAAGGTTTCCCAGGTTTGGCAGGGTGTCGCGGATCATCCCGTAGGGGCCTCTATTCGGGGTACATGATGACGCATCGCCTTTTGTCGACGATCGACACTTTTCAACGCCACGGTACGATTGGCTCAAACTTAAATTAAAATCGATGATTGGCTAAAAGGATGGGGCGGTTCCGTAATCGCAGATGCTGACGCGCCGATTGGATGGTCAAGTTGCCGCTGTTGCACCTGTACGACGTACAGTACGTGTGCAACATGGCGTCCTTCCTGCACTTTGTCATTCCTTATCATACCGGCGGTATACCTAATAATTCACCGCGTCCAGGCCGAACGAGCTGTTGTTGTTGCTGCTCCTGCTGCTGTCGACCGCCTGATCGTCCGCTCGAGTCCGGGCACCGACCACGGATTGCTGGGCAGGACGCTGTCGAACGCGTCGGGGATCACTCGACGGTCGCAGCGCTCGTAGACGGCGCCGCTGGGCACCCCCACAGCGAAGGTCAGTATGGCGACGACCAGCTCCAGTGGACCCATGAGCGTCACCGGTCTCACGACCGCCAGCTCGTAGACAGCCAGAGCCAAGTAGATCGCTGCAAACACCAAAGGCAGCCCGTGCGTGACGTGTAGTAGGACGATGTGGCCGACGTACGCCACGACCCCGCCTGCGAGTGCCAGCGCTGCGAACGCCAAGTGGAATCCAAGCAGGAACAGCTCCAGGTACGAGATGGTGCAGGTTGTCGTGGCCAAGTGCTCCCCAGGGTCGGTTGAAATGCTGGAGCTTGAACACGGACGCAATGTGATGGCGACAACGACCGCCAGGGAGTACGCACTCAGCAGCGCGTTGAACGTGACAAGCACCCACTGCGCGAGCAACCCATGAGTCGAGATCGGCATGGGTCTGTACTGCGTGTGTCCATGGTTCTGGAGTGCACTGCGCCAACTACTATTTCAGGAAGATGGCGGAGTTCATCCCCTCCATGCACTTCTAGTATATCGACACTTGCGCTCTGGATCAACAGGAGAGAAGCTGATGAACAACTCGATGGCTATCACCAAGCCAAGCGGACGGCGGCTGGAGTTACTGCGCTAGGTTGGCGGTCTATTGTCCGATGGCTGCTGGTTGTCGACGAGGAGCTCGATGGAAGCACCCCGTTAAATGCGTCAGGTAGCACCTGTCGATGGGAGCGCAGCTCGCGCTCGTACAACACCCCACTGGGCACTCCTACAGCAAACGTCACGACAGAAACGACGAGCTCGAGCGGACCGAGCAGCGACGTCAAATGATCTGCTACGGCTTGATAAATCGCGAGTGCTGTATAGATCGCAGCGAAGACGACGAGCATGGCACGCGTGATTCGCACCAGCACGATATGGCCGATGTACGCCACGATTGCACCCGCTAGTGACAACGCAGCAAACGCCAAGTGGAACGCCAACATGAAAAGCTCCAGCTCCGAAGTTCTGCACGCCCTGGTAGCGCTATGCTCCGCTGGGTCGGTCGAAAGACGGGAGGCCGAACATGGCTGCCAAATGATGACGATCGCCACCGTCAAGCAGTACGTGCAGAGCAGAGAGTTGAAACTCACGAGAATCCCTTGTGCGAGCGCCCCGCCCGACGATATCGACATGATTTGCGAGTGTGGAGCAGCTTTATTTGCTTCTGTTCACCATGCCATTCACCACTTTCGATCGTAACTTGGTATTTTTACGACAAACGAAGACGTTGTGACTGACAGGGTCCGTTTTGCTTCGCTGGCATGCGATCTGCATCACGGAAGCGGATCAAACGATGAAACGAATGCCCGAGCAGTGCCCGGCAAGCAGGGCATTAGCTCGATTGAACCGAGGTTGAAGGTGCCATGCCTCTGGACGACCTGATTCCCATCGGAGGGGCCTCCAAGGGCAATGCAAGCTCGAAGCGAGGTGGGTCGAGCGATCTCACGAGTGGCCTCATCTCAATCTCCGGTGCTCGCGACAATGTGGACGTCGACATGGACGACTTCGATGTCGGCGAGTTGCTTGGAGACGGTCCGAGCAAAAGCATGTCCAAGTCGAAGGATAAAGACAAGAGCGACGACAAGAAGAAGAAGAAATCCAAGGACAAGGACAAATCCAAGAGCTCCAGCAGCAGCAAGAAGAAGAGCAAGTCGTCCAAGTCGAAGAAAAGCGCATTTGATGACGACGACGACGACTTTGGCAACGACGATGCGGGTGACGAGTGGACCTCTTCAGCCAAGAATTGGGATAGCGCTGTGGAGCTGGAGATGGCTGCGGCTGCAGCGGCACGAAGGAAGAACGGCGGTGGCAAGATGGGAGGGGGATTCGACGACGAGTTCTCCAAGATGTTGGGGCTGGATAGTGGAGACGTCGGTTCTGGAGCCAACTTCGAGTCTCCGCCATTGTCTCCAGAACCGGTGACGGGGTTGAACAGGGACGATGATAAGGTTGACGATGATACCTTTGGGATCTCTGGCTACACGCCGACAGTACGCGGGTCCAAGAAACTCGATACCCCTGCTCCGGTCGAAGAGCCTGCCAAAGCGGGAGATGACGGGATCTCTGCATCTTTTTTCCAAGACGACGGCAAAGGCGACGGAGATTTATCGTCGTTGTCCTCGTTTCTAGGACCACCTTCAGACCGACGAGGTGGCGGTCGTGGAGGCAGAAGACAGACCGGTGGTGCTGACTCAGACCCGTTCGGCTTTGGATCCACACCTACACCATCAACATCGACCTTTGATTCTCTCTTTCGAGGCTCCAGTCGAAGAAACAACCTCGATGATCCGTTCGCCAAGCCAACAAAGGACCCGCTTGAAGAGCAAAATTCAAGGCGGCAAGGCCAAAATGACCCCATTGAAGAGCGGAAGACAGATCAAGTGCGTGAGGACCCTCCTCGAGATAGTTTCTCAACTCGTGATACAGCTCCACCCAGCCAGCGCTTATCTGCAAAAGACGATTTACTTGCGGATCTGTTTTCGTCCGAACCTCGCAGTAGTGCTCGAAGCGGTCGACGTCAAGAGGAATCCTCCTTCTCCAAACATGATGAAGTTGAAGATGACTACGAAAAGAAGGTCAATGTGGAGAAGCCACCAGAGCCTTCGCCACCAGTATTACCTGTTGCAGTTGCCCCCGCAAAGCAGCAGAACGACCTCCTGGCTGAGTTATTCGCCGCCCCGTCCTCCTCCAAAAGCGCCACATACGATAAACCAAAAGCTGAGGAAGAAGCTCCAAAGCCGAAGCCTGCGGTTGTCGAGACAAAATCTGCAACACCGCCCAAGGCGACAACTCCAGTGCAGGAAAAGGCTTCTGTTTTACCCACTGAAAGCAGCAATGCCGACCTGGCGAGTGCTAGAGACAGCTTGCTAATGGACTTGCTGGGTGGTCTGTCGCCTCCAAAGCCCAGTGAACCGCTGTTATCTCGACGCCGCAGCCGCAGCTCCAATAGCAGCAACAACAGCTCGCCCGAGAAAGAAGTTGGCAAGGCTGAAGACCCCTTCAAGAGCTCCTTACCGCCGTCACCAACTCAATCGCAACCTCTTCCGACAGTCCCAGAGGCACCAGCAGAGCCACCAGTAGCTGCAGTCACAGCAAGCGAAAGACCTGTCACGCCTCCGTCACCGGGCCGGAGACGGTCGTTGACAATGGACAAAGGCTCCCTTGCGATCCGCGAGAGCGACTTCGAGCAGTCCAAAGACAGTCTCTTGGAGGAAATCCTGCCCTCATCACCATCAGTTTCTGCTCGGAGCAGTCCTCATCGACGCAACTCGTACTCGCAGTCCTTTGAGGCCGACGAAAGTGTCGTCGCTGATGTTGCTGAGGAACCAGTAGATGAAATAGGCGAAGAAAAGAAGCCCCAAGTTGCAGCAGAGCCATCAGCTCCCGATGCCCCCGTCATTGTTGCTCCCACTGCAATATCTCCACCACCACAAGCTGAGCCTACGGTTGAACCAGTAGTCCGTGCACCAACGCCAGACCCACCGCCACCTCAGCCTACCAAGAACACAGAGCACCATGAACCTCAAGTGATCCTTGCGCCGACTTGCAACTGCGACGAGCGCGAAGCCAAGCTCACCGCTGCCTTCGATCTTGAACGAGCTGCACTGCAACAAAGAATCGATGAGCTTACGCAGCAGCTCGAGGCACAAGTGGCATCAAGCAGCCAACTCACGCAGCAACTTACTCAACAACTTGAGGAGCGAGACGCGTCCATGAACCAGCTCTCGCAGCAGCTTGAGGCGCGCGGAGCTGCCAACGCACAGCTCGCCCAACAACTTGCAGCAGCCGAACGTGCCAAACTCGAGGCTGATCAACTCGCCGCAACCAGCAAAGATGACGCCGCGAGCTTCCAACACCGCGCGGAGCTGCTGGAAGCTGAAATGCGGGGACTACGCGAGGAATTGTCCCGCTCCAAGCGCGCAGTACAGGACGCGGAGCTGGCGCTGGCTCGGAAGATCGCTGAACAGGACGAAGCTGATCATTTAGAGCGACACCGAGAGAAGCGCGCGCTGGAGGCTCTTAGCGCCCAGATGCAGCGGGCTTTGGCTCGACTCACTGTATCACACCAAGTGCAGGAGGAAGGCTCTGGCTACGACAACTCCGCAGCTCGCATCGCTGCTGAAGATGAAGCTCGCCTTCGTGTTATCGCCTCACTGGAAGGAAGCTCGAAGCGAGCTGCTCAACACGCCGAGCAGGAGCGCACAAAGCTTACCGAGTTGCTCCGAGAGCTGGAGGCTGGCGCTCGGAATGCACGTCAAGGAGCTCTTGAGGACAAAGAGCGACTCCGACAAGAGCAGCAGCGGTTGGATGCACTCAGCGCACACCTTCAAGCTCAGACTGCCGCATTAAGAGACCAGGAAGCTTCTCACGCTGCGTATATGGGCAAGCAGCTAGCAGAAGCTCGAGAGGATGCCCGGGTGTACGAAGCGAGGCTTGCAACTAGGCGGACGCAGCTGGAACGCGACGAACGCGCGCTGTACGAAGCAAGAGCTGAGTTCGCAGCGTTCCGCGAGCAAACTGCACTGGAGATCGAGCGCGAGCATGAAGAGCTCCGTGGGTCACGACTGGCACTTGAAGACGCTTGGCGCGAGCTGCGCGCGGATCGGGAGGACCTTGAAGCGGAATTGGCGAGCCACGAAGACGAGTTCCAAGCGCTTGAGAGCATGCGGCAGGAGGTTCAGCAGGCTGAGACGCGTCTGGCAGAGCGCACTCAAGAGGTTGTAGCTCTAGCGGAGAAGCTGGACGCCGGAACGCGCGAGTTGTTGGAGCGTGAGCAGCTCGTGGCACAGCAAGCTGCTGTTGTACAAGACACAGACACGTCGTTCTCCAACCGAGAGCGAGCACTTGAACGCGTGAAGCATGAGCTCGAGACTCGCGAACAACGGCTCCATGTTCAGATCCGGCAGCTTGACGGTGCTCGCTTGAGACTCACGCAGCAGCGACGGGAGCAGCAGCAGTTGATGGCTGCTGCGAGAAGGCAATACACAGCAGAGAAGCCGACGAAGGTTGCTGTCGACAATAACAAGCTTTGGCGGCACACGTCCGTAGCCCCATTCAGCAGCAACAACTCCAGTTACTCACCGCTCCATGGGGAAACCAAATTCAAAGCGCAGCCTTGGGAAGTGGAGCAGCCCATTGAAGACGAGGATCCGTCCGGACTCCCACCAGCACTGAGGAAGCAGGTCGAAGCCAATTGGATTCGACGCAACCAGCAAGTGAGCCAAATCTCGAGCCAGTATCGCCAACGCCCCAGCCGCAAGTTTGATTCCCACGATTTCGATGCAGAACCTCTGAGCTGGTCAACTAAACCCTTGGATCTGGAGAAACCAAGCTACGCTAACAAACACAGCAATGTCAGCACTGCATCGAACGTCATGAGGCAAAGTAATGCCGTCCCAGTTCCTCGCCAGAACGTCGACCCCTTCAAAGCACCTCAGCAGCGTCGGTCGAATTCCACGCCAGCGCCTGCAAAGAGCTTTCACACACCTCAGGCAGGGACTCCAGTCTCGCATTCAGCCACGGGATCACGTCAACCGCCTCCACCTCCGTCAATGCGGTCGCCTGGGACATTCCAGCCCACACTACGCGTCAACCTCTAGATCCGAGTACTGTAAAGGTTAGTAAACAAGTTTTTGGACTGCATTTGACTCGTCACGGCGCGCGCGATGGCAGCGCGGCATAAACTCGTTCCATTTTCTTCTAGCTAGCAAGTCAGCCATTCGCTCTACGCGCGGCAGTTCTCGATGTTGAAGATCATGATGTCCGTGGCGCCGATCGCGTGGAGCTGGTCCATGACCTCGGACACGTTCTTCTCCTCCACCATAGCAGACACAGCGTAGCCTCCTCCAACCAGCGTGTTGACCGTGGGGGAGCGGCGTCCGGGCGTGATCTTGGTGGCCTCGTCCAGCTTCTCCTGGTCCACGTTGTACGTGACCATGCGGTACTTGGTGGCCGTGATGTAGCCCAGGATGCGCTGGTGCACCTTGTGCACCAGGTCCTTGTGCGCCGACTGCGGGTTGGCGATGAGCACGGCCTGGGTAGTCAAAATCGTCGAGATCATCTCGAGCCCCGCGGCCTTCATGGTGGTGCCCGTCTCCACGAGGTCCACGATGCCGTCGGCCAGGCCCAGCGAGCACGCGGCCTCCACGGAGCCGCCCACGTACTTGATCTTGGTGGGGCCCGTGGCCTCCGTCTCGAACTGCTTGAAGTAGTCGCGCGTGACTTCCGGGAAGCTCGTGACGATGCGCTTGCCCGCCAGCAGCTCGGGCGCCGCGACGGCGTCCTTGACGGGCGTCTGCACGCCCAGCGCGCACTTGCCGAAGCCCAGCTGCAGCAGCTCCTCGACGTTGGTCCTGCTCTCGGCGATGATGTCCTGGCCCGTGATGCCCAGGTCCAGGTTGCCCTCGCCCACGTACGTGGCGATGTCCGAGGCCGGCAGGAACACGAGCGTGACCGGCAGACTCGAGCACAGCGCGATGTCCACGCGGTTGGGGCGGTGGTAGTCCAGGCCCGCGCCCTTGAGCAGCTTGAGGATCTTGTCGTGCAGACGGCCCTTCTTGGGCACGGCGAAGAGCAGGCGCTCGTCCGTCTTCTTGGGCACGGGGGAGGGAGGCGTGGCCGACATGGTGCTTGGGTTGGTGTGTGTGACTTGAGCGGTCGATGAATTGAATGTTGAATGGCGAATGTAAGTCATGGCTTGACGCGTGCTGATTGGGTAGAAAGGAATTTGATCGCGCGTTTGATTGGTTGATTTATCCGGAACGACGTGGGTTCTAGATCTGGACGTTTTAGAGATTGTGCAAACGTTCTACCAGTCCGTTCCAAATCTATTGATATGTACCACTATTTAGCTTGTTCCTAAACTATAGGAAAATACTAGTACTAGTTTCACTATGGCCAGAATCTGCAGATCGATCGAGAGGAGGCAGAAATGAGGCAGTAGTAACAGAGCACTTGATGCACCGTGGAAGTCGTCCCTCCCGCGCAAGCTTCGACTTCGACATGTGTCGAATCTTGAATGTGTTGTCACCACCAGCAGCAACACAATCGTTCATCACGCATTGGAGCGTCAAGAAGCCCGCGTCCAGTGTTGCCGGCGGCAGCTCGTCCAGCGCCACCTTCACGTTGGCCACCAGGTCGTCGAGGGTGTGGGCGGCCATTCGCTCTTGTCGCGACTGTAGGGCGTTGAAGACAGCCAGATCCAATACGTTCATATCAGGGCTGTTAGGCGGTTGGAACCGCAAGTGTACATCGCACCCGGAGGCGTTTACTGCCTGCCTCCACGCCATGTCGTCTGGCTGGATATGCGGGAAGGCGTTGTCTTGCTGCACGGTGACACGCCTCCCGTCCGCCGCACCCGGAAACTTTGCTTGGATCGACGGGAGCACGTGCTCCACCAGCATCTTGCGGTAGGTCTCCTTGTTGACGGCCATCGGATATGGCACCAGCGTTCCAGCGGGGCGATTGCGGCTGCTTCGTTTCGCTGGCTCGTGTGTCAAAAACGCCCAGACCCCCAGCTTTCCATCAAATAACTTGCCCGTGATGGGGTCATGGCGCGGGCGGGCTACTGCTGCTAGCATCATCACATTGGGAATATGACGCTTGCTCTTGAGTCGATGCACAGGCTTGGGCTCGTCCGGTAGAAGCACGAAGCGACGCTTCACCTTGCAGAGATAGAAAAGTTTTTCATCCACGTGGACTACATCTTCCATGTCACTGAAATGATGCGTTGCTGCACTTACGTGCCCCACACTAAATGCAATCCTCGACTTCTTGTTGTCGTCCGACAGCATGGGCTTGGCAACGGACGTCTCCACACGGGTCTTCCCGATGCTCACCTGTCGGAACAGCGTGGTTGGTGGGAGGAAACAGGCTTGGGCGGCTGCACGGATGGTGCTCCGGCGCTGCGGATCGACCGCGCGGAGGCGCTCCAGCTTGCGGGAACGGTCGACACGTCTGCGCCCAGTGCTGCGCAATCTTGTGGGCGATGCGTACACCCCGGTGCGTTGAAAGTTGCCCAGGGCCCGGCGCCAGACACGGCTGATGGTCTGAGCGCTGACCCCGAAGATGTCTGCAGCAGCAGATAGCGCACCACACGGTAGGGCGCCGTTCTCGCTCGGTTGAGGAGGGCCGACACCACGAGGGCACGTTCCGCGTCCGAAAGGTGCTTGGTCTTGGGGTGCGAGGTCTTGTTGGGGTGCGACATCGAGTAGCTTGTTGGGTTTGGTAGGTGGGTGCTTGGGTCAGGGAGGGGCGAAATCGTTAATGGCAGTGGTGGCTTCTTCATCGATGAAAGCATCATTGGAGCTTAAACGCTTCCCCTGGCGCCAATTTTTCGAGCTGTGCGGAGCTCTGCACACCAGTCAAACCGCTATGAGCAGGCGGTTGCATTACTACCAATCACACGGGCATACAACTATTTTTATCCAATTGCGAGCCAAACGTGCTCAAACCTCCAGTAGATCTGGAACGGACTGGTAATTGCTAGGTCTGTGGAGACAGATTGGAACACGACCCAGATTTTGGGCGTAGAAAAGGGAGCAGTAAGCGGATTGGCCAATCACGTGAAGGGACTTTTGAGGCGGGAATCTCTCCAACCACGAGCTTTTCAGCATCAACAACAAGCGTGATCAAAGCTTTGCCCTATAATACATGTACATGTATTGTAGTGATGGGGACGTAAACGACGTTAACTTTTACCTATCATATAGTATATGCTGTATGATAGGTTTTTGGCGAATTTTGCTGTTTTGCAATGGCTAGTGTAAACGTGTGCTAGTCATAACTATGCATCTGGTGTTTAAATGACGAAATTCGTACTATATCAAAATTACAGCTCAACTTTTGAACCTATGATATAGATTACGCCGAATGATGGTTTTGAGCTAACGTCGTTTACGTTCCCATCACTAACAATTCATTGTATTGTGCAGGCTCTCGAGAAAAGAAGAGAGAGAGAGAAAAAAACACGCACAGGTACAGATACAGAGGAGAGTGTCGTATCCGATGGCCACTGGAGTACATGAGCATGTATTTCGACCTGTGCGTATCAAGGTATTAATTCATGGACTTCAAATTATAAGTTATTTAATGTCATTATACTGTCTGAATTAATTGGAGAGTGCCACGACCCCTCAGTGTCCATAAGTTGTGATCACCTTGCCATGTGAGAGCTGTCTAGATGGAAGCTCAGTTCCTGCGTTAAATACTGTAACGAGCTTCTTATCTTGCCCAGCACGTGGGGCAGATCGTATTGCGGGAACTGGAAGTTGACTCCGTGCTGGCCGACAGCAGCTAACCGAGCTACTGCGCCGGATCGTCCGTACACACACGAACGTATCCAATTTTATTAAGGAGGCTAGATTACTCAATAGTCCTCAGCCAACTCGTAGCTATCAGCCCACAGCCGACAACTAGAGCTAACTACACTCAGTCAATACAAAGAGAGTTCACCCACGCACGCGAGCTACTAACCCTCCAGTAGCAGCGGAGCGCCCGTCGACACTCCACCACCACCTGTCCGTCACTCGTCCAGAAGGAGCTGTCGCCCCCAGCAAGAGCTTTCGCCCTCGTACTTCGTTCAGCAAGAGCTTTCGCCCTCGTACTTCGTTCAGCAAGAGCTTTCGCCCTCGTTCGTTGTCTGGCAACCCGTCACCAGGCCACCCAACTCGTAAGTGCTCGCTTGCTCCAAGCGCGCTAAACCTCAACCGCTTGCGCCTCACCGCGCAAATTTCCGACTCCCCGTCCTCACTCGTTCGCCACCGCTCGTTCTTCTCCAGCCCGACCCTTCAGCTTCGAGATCTTCTTCGTCAGCCACTCCCAGCCGTCCGCTCCGGCTGCCACTGCTCTCGGAGCGACCGTTCGCTGCCAAGATCGCGTTCGTGCGGCTCTCCGCACCCACCGTCGTCTGGATCTCGCGACCCGCCACCGCGCACCCATGCCAGCCGCTCTCGTCCGCCATGCCCCACTCGTCGCCCGACTCGTGCGACCAGCTACCGCTGCTCGCCTCCGTGGTCACCATGCCGTGACCGCCATCTGCCCATGTCCTGTTACAATACCTACAGTACTTGAAGTATTCTTCTACGTCAGAGTACTGTGTGAATACTTCCGCGGCGAAGAATAAAACTGTCGGCCCAGCCTGAGAAGAAAAATTAACTGAGGCGTTTAGTTTTTTTTCCCTCGTTGTCCGCTGGCACAGATGGTGAGGCTGTTTACTCTTAGAAAAAAATCAGTACAGAGGAAAGGATCGCAAGCAATGCATACGGATGTGGTTTACCAAGCCGAGGACATACTCGAAATTGTTTATAATTTTTAAACAGTATTTTAAAAAATGTGACTGAATGGCTTACTTTCCTTTATTTCTCTGCTCTAGTCCACCATAATGTTGGTGATGTTCATAATCTCCCTTTATATATTCTGATTTATTAATGTGTCCTAACTACGGTGTATGTCTTGCATGGGGGGGCTCTTTTCTAGCGGTTGCATGTCTCCAATTTGGAAAGAAGTTAGCGACACGTTCGTTGAACGAACGTGTCGCTAACTTCTTTCCATCGTCACAGATGGTCGAGTACATGTAGTTTACTCTGAAAATAATACTCGTATCAGTACAAAAAGTGCATATAGAACCGAATGCAGCCATTTCAAAACCGTATCTCTAATTTTCTTGTAATTAATATATTAATAAAGAAGAGCGTCAGGCCAGCATTATTTTATCCGGGGGGGGGGGGGGGGGTCAGCATTTCACCCAACCATCCCTCCATCGAAATGGATAATAAAGAATTGTAGTTTCTGGAGGCCCTTCGAGTTCGTACTTAACCCCTTGGTTCCCGACGTCGTAAGTTACGACTTTGCCGAATCTCAATGTCGTATAATACGACATAGCTCGATTAACAATAGCATTTGGCTCGAAACGAGATTGCTATACTTTAATCAAGTTTATTTTCGTCGGCAAAAGTATAAGCAAGAGAAGTAAAAATCAGAATTGCACAAACACACGGATATAGAGCTGTCATCAGAGATGGGTTGTGCATAAGCCGGGGCCGGCTAATGGGGCATTTTGTATAGAGAAAGACGAACGTCCCCTTTTAAGGTTTGCGCGAGTGCCCACTTTCAAGCAAACACAACATCGACCTTGAAGGGGAGAGTAAGGCGTATGCGGCTGTCAAGAGCTCCCACGAGCTCGTAGAATAGCTTCTAAACGCCCGTACACACAATAAACAAGAAAATGATAAAATCATGGATGAAATGGCGCCTAAATAACTCTCCAAGGGTTGTAGCTGCTATTTCCTCGAGTTTAGGTGCCGAGTACACGTAAGTAAGAATAATCGGAAGTAGACTATGTCTGCCGAGACTTCTAACACGAAGAAATATTTATCTGCAGCCTTATAACAACTGTACGGTGTAGCTGGTTTTGGCAGCGGCAGTGTTGAAGCGTATTTCGCGCCACGTAAATGCCGGATTGGAAGCAAGGGCATGGAGTAGTGTGTAAATAACCTTGATCGTGCGTATATCCCACAAAGACCTCTCCCAATAATTAAACTAAGATGACGAGAGTATCCTACTACTAACCAACTTAACCCCTCTAACCCCGTATTCTGTATCCTACAGAATAAGCATTGTCACAGGACATAATATCCAGCAAACTTGTCCTCTCTTTCGAACTTCGCATATGGATGTTTGTATAGCCGGTATTGTGCACATCTTCCTGTTAGATTAGCGATGGGAAGATAAACGGGGTTTATTCCGCGGTAATAGACGGACGAGTATAAACCACCAACAGGTTTGAAACTTCGGGTGGAAGCCTAAAACCGCCGCGTTTCAGCCACTCGTACTTTCCTTCATTCCAAAACTGCGCTGTTCAAGACGTCGCAATGCAAGCTTTGTTGGGGCCTGTCGAGCGCGCCCAAGTGGCCAAGGACCATGGCCGAAGACGATCATGATGAGTGCCATTGTGATCTACAGGTAAGCGTGAGCGTGTACTTTGCTCTGTAACATTGTACTAGTGGTATATTGATTCTACGTTGCGATGTTGATTACCAGACCTGGTGATCCGACCCAGACGAAGCTATGAGCTCTCGAGTGTGGCCCGATTGGCAGATCGATTGCGGAGTCAGCGCACAACCTCATCGGTTCCTACGAAGCCGGCTACAGCCGGGTCTACCGCTATATTGTAGCTGATGAAGTGGCTACTCAAGAGGCTACAGAAGAAGCGCTCCGCATGGTGTGGCTACACCGGAGACTAAAGAAGAAGCGGTAGATGCTACGACGGATGCTACAGAAGAAGCTCTCCGCGTGATGAGGTTACACCGGAGATTACAGAAGAAGGGACAGAGGCTACGACGGAGGCTACCGATGAAAGCGGCAGGAATGGAGCGGCAGTGCCGGAGGCTACAGAGCAAAGCGGAGACTGCCAATATGGCGAAGATGACCCACGGCTGGCGCGAACATTGAAGAGCGTGCGCATGTAAAGGAAGAAGTAGACGTTGGCATGAATATCATATATTGTCCTGTTTCGTACATGTGTAGTGCGTGTCATTACGGGCTATTGAGCATGCAAGCTCCCTGGTGTTGTTAGAGAGACAATCGTAACAAGCTTGTTAGGTGGGCTAAAGAAATCTAATGATGCGCTAATGTCAAGCACAAGGAAGAATTCGCCCAGTTCCTCTTCACTACGTCAGTTAGGAACAGGGCGATTTCTTTCTCCGCGTTTATCGCGACGTGCCGAAGATGGGTGGCTGGAGCCGAAGTATGATGCCTTAGCATCCCTGCAAGGTATTACCATGTAGCAGGTTTTGAGCGTGCTCTACGCTCGCCACGACCAATAGAAGCTCGCCATTTCGGCATATGGTGGATACATTGAGCATGTTTTGTTCACTTTCGTAGCTGTTCTGTGCACAATGTACCCCCAGCGCTTGACCGCAAGTTGCGAAAGGGCTTCCAACAGCAAATCTTTGACAGGTTTTGAAGTATACTTTAATCAAGTCTAATGCTTATTCTGTAGGATACAGAATAACGTCTGGGGCTAAAAGGGTTAAGCACGACGTATACTTCGGTATCGCCGGGAACGACGGAGGTCTAGCTCGTACGCGTGTCGTGTACGAGGCGATTTCTATAGTACGCGAAGCCCGAGTGCCGCTACCGGTGCGGCCACCCTCGAGAGCAGCATCAATATACCTGCTGCGAATTAGAATAACCGTGCTAGGCTTAACCTTTTCTAGGAACGGTAAAACGAAGCAATTTCGGTATTGCTTCAGCGTTCCGGATTGAGAAACGCCGTCGGTGTAGGCCGTTGCCTCGGCAACAACACTCTATAGAAATGGGCGAGCTGTAGGGCAGATATCATAAAGCTGACAAACAAAGCGAAGAAGTGAAGCTGCTTCTACGGTTATAGAACTGCTTTAGCACTGACATACAAAGTAAGTTAGCACTCCAAGTACCCCTTTGTTGGTTGTAGCGATTACCCTTTTTTCTTGAATGGGATACAGTTCCCCATTACCTGACCTGTGCATAAGTGAGAGGGAAAATGTTTTGATTGGGTATATATTGATGATTTGGTAATTACAACCTCGCAGTCATCTGTCAAGATGGATGTTTTGTGTAGTTCGCCAATCCTATTGATCCACCATCTGGGATTAGTATGCACTCGATCTACGTTCGATGTCGTAAGTTCCGGCGTACTTCGCGTCGTTTTCGACTGTTATGTCGTAAGTTCCCCCCATAGATCTCTACAATCTTATATGTCTGATGGGGCTTCTCTTGTTACGGACAGGGTGTGCCAATACAAACTCGTAGTTACTTTTTTCGTTGTATGTTACGACATACAGTACCGTAGATTACGTGTTTCGGTGCCTAAATCCTGGGAACCAAGGGGTTAACGTATTTTCGTTCAATGAAATATTTGTCATTTTGGGGGCGTGACAGACAGATAAGAAACTCGGTTAAGTGAGAGAAAGCCAGGTACAGACAACGACGGATAAATACGGCAACGCAAAACCCGGCACATATCTGTTGTACTTTTTACAATTTTACAATAAGTAATTCAGATAGTCAATCAGTTTCGAGATTTACACTTGACATTTGCATTCCATATGGTTTTAAGTACTTTCTCTAAATTTGTGTGTACTTTATGCTCCGTTACGTGTATTTTATGTCATTGCCTTGTACAATCTCTATCGTTCCCGACAGAGAATTCTGGCACATTTACTATGGAGGATGCCATTCAGTTATGCCGGATTTATCCGTCGTTGTGTATCGTTGTACTTGACCTGGCGGCGTATATTTAGGCTCTTATTTCGGAGCCTGCTCGAAGCTGCGTCTAAGAAAACTCGGTTAACAAAGTAAGAGAGAGGGAATGTCCAGAGCAAAATTCAACTTGTATCTAACGCTTTAACCACATATTGAGTACAATACTAGCTCACCAAGTGCCTATTGTCACTACACTGGTACCTTGAACGATGCTGTGCCGTCATTATGCTACAGATCTACACCATTTCTCAGGCAAAATGGTTGCTTTCTCAACCAAAGTGGTGCGGGAAGGTCTCGCGCAACATACTATTGCGACGAAAAGGGACATTTTTCAACCAAAGTGGTTTACAGCTGTTTGTTTCCCAAGCAACCAACCATATGAGGCTAAAACGGACCAGTCCACGTCTTGGGCTTGGTCTGTAAGAATCAAAAGTTGCTATTTTTCGACGCAAAAAAACTTAGTTATAATGCCCACGTCACGTAGATCATGATAGACTCCTCAAATACATTCACAAGGCTGTTCTAAGCTGTGTTTTGACTTCTTCAAAATGGCTCTAAATCCTCGATGATTGTGAAACCACTTTGCTTGGGAACGATTTACGACAGAACCACTTTGCTTGAAAATACCTGGGAAAAGTGATATGAGGTTTTTCCCGAAAAATGATTTGAACCACTTTGGTTGGGAAACCAACCAGTCTGCCTGGGAAATGGTGTACATGTACATGTAGATAGTGATGCCTCCGAGGCTACAGTAATCTGCCCGAGTAAGGAACGCCTGATATATATAAAGACGCAGAATATATAAATTGATGTTAAGTTGAGTATACTTTTCCAATGTACTGATTTAGTTATTTCAAAATGAACTGAAGAGCAGCATTACCTACGAGTCCGGAATGATTCCAACAGTGGCGTATGGTCGAAGCACTAACCTTTGACCAGGCATCCTCGCACCACAACAGCGCTGTCAACTGGTCGACCTCGTAGGGATTATGTAGCCCTTCACCAAGCCGGTCTAGAGCCTGCATCATCTTAAGTGAGGCGGAGACACTTGGACGGTGTGGACTTCATGGGTGGAGTGGGGGAGGAGGTGGGCTTGTGGGGCGAGGTGCAAAAGCAAAAGTGCGAGTCTACCCCTACGGTACATATAGTTTGAAGTCTAGTAAGATCGCTAAATGCGCGCCATTTTTCAAACGAGGGTGGAGAGCTGATGATTGGCACTGGATTTTTCATCTTAGTACCTCAGTACCTTGCAGTACCTTGCACATCCCCTATCGCCACATCGACTGGAAAATAAAATTAAATATGTGAGGCTATTAGTTGTACACCCGTTCCGAATTCGGGATGAATTCTGTATTGTTTGTACTCTATTTGTACAGGCTTGATCCCATCGATCCGATGCCCTGCTGAGATGGGACTCTTTTTGTAGTGCATGGGTTCATGCAAACATGAGATGGGGCCGATTAATAATGCTGCATCCTAGATAGTCGGCAATTTTTATTTTCAAGAGAGCCCGTGCTGCTGTTGATGCTGGGCGTGGTAATCTCGCACGGGGTCTCGACACTGCGAAGGCTTCCCAGGGCTCTCAGGCTAAGTGTCCACAACTCGGTAAAACATCGAGTGTCCTTCGTCGCCAACCAACCAACTGACCAACCTGCCGAAGTTTCAACGAATTCTCAGTTTGCAATTTGCTAAACGCGTCTCCAACGACCATCGACCTCGACAACTTGACTGACCATGCGTGTCTTGTCCTTGCTGACTGTGATCGCCCTCGTCTCCAGCTGCGAAGCTGCTACCTCGGCCACGACAGGCGTCGTCAAGACGGACATTACTTTCTTGTCTCGCGCCCTTACTGCTGAGTACCAACCCAAGAGATCCCTGCGCCAGTATGATGAAGACGAATTAGCGACTCTCGACTCCGAAGACGAAGAGAGAGCTGGCACCAGCCAGAAGATGGAGGAATTGGTGGAGAAGTTCGGACACCTGGGCTTCACTACAAGGGGTTTCGATACGCCAGTTCGCAGCTGACACGAAAGCTGTTGCCCAACTGTACCCAAAAGGAAAAGGCTTGAGCAAGGAGACACTGCAGCAGTTGGCGCTTGTTGAACACATGAGGGCCACGGATATCGAACTAAAAATGTCCAAGGAAACTGGTGATAGTATGCGCAGGGAAATCGAGCACTTTGATGATGTCCCAGTGCTGGAATCCCACACGGGTCGCGAGTTCCAACGCTACGATGACCAAGACCGTCGTTTTCTGTCGTGCATTGTGGCCTCCAGAGCCGACGGGGAAGGTGAAGGCGAAGTTCTTCTCATTTCGAGCTCAAACCCAGGCAAAAGAGACTGGGTGTTGCCTAAGGGAGGCTGGGACCACGGCGAGACCGTTGAGACGGCTGCGTGGCGCGAGCTCATCGAAGAAGGAGGGGTACGGTGATATCGTTTTCCGTCTTGTCAGTGATGGCTTCGTATTAACCGATTGGTGTGCAGGTGGAGGGAAGCGTTCGGTTTTACTTGAATCCTATTACTGAGGGCGACAAGGTCTACTATCCTTTCAGGATGGACGCGACGACGGTGTACGACCAGTGGGCTGAAAGCATGCGCTACCGCATCTGGGTACGTCCGGAATTCCCCCCCCCCCCCTTCTTCTTGGGTATGCGTGGAACAGCTCATCGAACTGTGCAATGCTTTATTATTGCTCGACGATTGACTTACCGTGCAGGTTTCCTACGCCGACGCGGAAAAACTGCTTTCGAAACGTCCTGAAATGCTTAAAGTGTTGAGGACTGTGCGCAGTGCAGAGGAGTAAGTCGCGGAGAACGCCCGCCTCCTCCAGGGCTTCATTTTGAGCTTAGAATCTGACACACTCGAAGCGATACCGGTAATAGAGAAGTTCCACAACAACTTGCCGATTTCCTAACCATTTTTTCTGTCACAATTCCCATTGCAAACCCTCATCTTAAAGCACTGTACTAACGTTACTGGTGTACGTAAGTACTACGTAGTTGGGGACGAAGTCCCCACTTATAATCACCTCTCACTCCTCTTTACTCTATTTCTTACCTCTCTTTACTTATTAATACCTCTCTTAATCTGATACATGAACGGTTAGGGTTTACATCCATAAAACCTTGGTTGAAGCACCCTCTCTAGATCCATAGAAGCGCCTTACTGCGTAAAAACTGGAGTGACCCGGGGGGACACGATTTAGCCTCGACGATAAACGCTAATCAAACAGGCAACGGGAAGCGAATCGCGGGTTTAGATAAATTGCTACACTTTAGATCGCACCGAGCGCAAAAAAAACGCCACCAAGTCCTCGGCTTCACTCTGATTTAGAGCGCCAAGTCAGCGCTTGCATCCATTACTACGAGTGAGTTAGTGCTGGGAAGCCTGCATGGATACGTGCTACGCAGAGCTCACCATGTCCCAATACTCTAGCTCATTTAGCGATAGCCTGTAGCCTACAGGATAGCTCCTGGCAGTGATGCAGGTGGCCTCCTTATACCCTGGGGTCCCACACCACGCACTAATAGTATATTAATACGCAACTAGCTCCAAGCCGCAACGACGCGCTGCCCTGCTGGTCGCTGGGCCCTCCTACGCGGACATGCTTCACGGGCACCCCGCGCGGGTTTGCTTTGGCTATGCTCCTCGCAACCACTTGCTGCCGATAGAATAGAGAATCTTGCGATAGTGTAACATTTTTAAATTGTGTAAAGTGATATGGTATAAGTGATATGGTAGCACTAGATCGGGAGCCGAGATGCTGTATTGATGAGTACGCTGGAAAATCGAAACTGAATATTATAGCTTTTAACAACAACTATCCCTTGCTACATGTATTTGCTTTGGGCTGTCGGCTACCACTAATTGATCTTGAACCACTGGTGCTGCAGTTCACCCTTGCGGTTAACCGCGATCTAGGGTTTCGCGAGATATAGTCCAGCATCATTAGTCTTGCTGCTGGTGTGTAATTGCCGTTGATTATCTTGACCTCGCGATAGATAGTAACGTTATTTGCTGATAATGAAGACTTCATCATGCAGCTCCACCAGTGTTGCTAATTGCTTATTGGTTTGATGACCTGCATCGGTTAAACTGAGAATCTAAATTACAACGGTCGCGAACACGCCCTTAGCCCTAAGTTTGCTTCACTACACTACAAAAAATGGTCATGGTGATTGATAAGAGTTATTGGATCAATTAGAGGGTGGGGACGTCGGCCTGAAGTGGAGATTCCACTGCAGGGTGTCGGCCCCCTAAGCAACTCAACGGAGCAATGCGACTGAGGTGCTCCATTACTAGTAATAGTGAATAATGCTTTCGACAACTTGTACACGTAGGAAACTCGAGGGAAGCTGGTGTCTTGGTAACATTCCTGGATTGCCTGCTCGCTCTGGGGAGGATTGCCAACGGAGTAATGGGAATCTATCTGATGGTTAAAAAAAAACGTTTGAGTGCTTTGATGCACTCAAACGTTTTTTGAGCTATGTTATCTAGAATTTAGATTTTTGTTACAGAATACCTATGTCTAGATTCTAGACTGCAATCCCAGAACGTGTCTAAATCCACCCCAACAAACAACTTCAGACCCTCAACTTACAACTGCATCGTGGCAACATGGACGAGGGCGAGTTCCTGCGCCTGCTAGAGCGCTACCCCGTGGTGCGCAAGAAGACCCACTGCCGCGTGCAATGGAACGACATGGTGCGTCCGCGTCTTGGCTTCTTCTTTTTACCCCCATGACTGCAATCGCGGCGCTCTATCTCCCGCTACACCCGTTGCAATGCAGTTATCTAACTCTGTAGTCATGCAACATCTTTTAGTATGACGACGAGCCGGCTGCGCAGCCCGCGAGCTCTGGTATCTTTATCCCTGCGGGTCACGAGAGCGCCATCAAACCCACGGACTCGGTGGAGGACGCGCTGGAGAAATTCCTGGCGCCCTATTTCTCGTCACAGGAGGCGGCCAAGATCCAGCGACAACTCGAGAAGGTGCTGACGCTCATTCTAATGCCACTAGCTGCCAAGTTGCAGGGCTTTAAGCTGACCCGATATACTTTATTGTTGTTATTGTTGTTGTTGCAGGCTCAGATTGACTTTGTGTCGAGTTTGAACCTGGAGGACGTGAACGAGCTGTGCGCACAGTTCGTGGCGACCAAGTAGAGGGTGGACGGATTTGGTGCAGGTAAGAGCTTGGCAAATATGGTCTATATTATCTGTGGACAAGGCATGCGTCTGTCTTCTTTGCGTTGTTGTGTGCTGACGAGAGGGAACTATACGTGTAGCTGCTGGGATAGCTGGTGGCGCTGCTCAGGGGGAAAGACAACGAGTTGCGAGTGAGATAAAAGGCAATGCATTGTGGAAAACTGGAAATTGGGCTAACAAACCTGTCGGAAGCTGCGGGACTGAGCTGGGTCCAAGAAAGGCGACGCACTCCAGGAGATAACCAGCGTGCGCAGCTCATCCGTAGAAGTCTCGAACGAAATGAGGTGCAACAGCGCCTCCTGACAGCAGCACCGGACCAGCAAAAAACATCAGTACTCAAGCAAACTCCACCAACACCAACAGCTTCCCAACGTACGATGTGCTGGTACTCCGCTTCGAACGTCGCCAGCTCCTGACTCATCATCTGCAGGTAGTCCACCGGCCTCAGCTCCGTAGCTTCGATCTGCTGCTCCTCTTCTTCATTTCCATCGCCCAGCACTTTATCAACACACCAAACACCAACACAACATCAGCTCTCCAGCTCCAGACCTACCTCCATCCCAATAACCAACGCACCAATCTCCCTCGCTTGCTCCTGCAGCGCGTACATCTGCTCCAGGAGCTCCTCGAAGCCGCCCGACAGCTCCTGCACCTGCTCGTACAGGTCCTCCGCCAGCCACGGATCCATCGCCGCATTGCCAACCAGTCCAGCCAGCAACACGTCCCTCTCGCTGTTGTTGACAGCCTGCGCGTCTCGAACCGCCAGCAGCGCCGACTGGAACCCTTCGATCAGCGCGATGCCCTCGCGCTCCCGGCCGTACCAGGCCGCCCCTTTCTCCTGCATCGCAGTGAACAGCCTTGCAACTCGCTTCGACCTAGTATCACCCGCACGCAACGCCTCCTTCTGCTCGTTTGCATCGCCCGCAGCACTCGCCGCCTTCTTGCTCTTCTTCTTGGCCATCGTTGACGTAATTCGTTTTTGACAAAATGGCTACACTACTCAATTTGGTCAATCAGTCAGGACTTCTGAAAGTAAGAATTAAGACGGTCCTAAACGCTAGATTTAGAAAGTTTTAGCTTGCAGATAAGCAATATTCTGGACTGCATCCAGTACAAGTGTGCTCTCGGCTAGCAAGCATTACAGCATAAAACAACTTTGGATCTTACTCCGTTACCCAGCAACTACCAAAATGGTCGGGCAGGAGGTCGATCGGTGCTTGCTCGTGGGTCCTCAGTGAGAACCTGTAAATTGTAGCGACCCTTGTGGCCTGTTGTTTAGCTTAGGACGAGGACTACCTCCTTGAGTCGGGAGGTGGTTGGAGAGTCCCGAGCTAACAGCCCACGACACGAAACAGCAGACGTACGAGCACATTGGAAGAATTGGGGACTCACTAAAGCCAAGTGACAAAAAATGCTAGAGCTACGTGCCTGTACCCACGTTTTGGTAGCTCTAACCTCTGTACACTTAACGTCTTTGTTGTTGCAAACACTTCTTGGAGCAGATTAAGGCTGTGTAAATAAAATAAATGTAATTCGCATACAGTTAGAAGCCCCAGTTGCTAACCTCTGTGTTGCTGTTGTCCACACCGTCGGTGCGATGGTGCCGCAGGGTCGCTTCTGATGTTGCCGGGATGACCATGTTCTTCGATAGTATGGGAACTTTAGCAGTGGTTGCAATGTTCCGCTCTAACACAGACAGCTCTCTTCCTGTGCCGAACTTACCTGCGCCTTTCTTACGAGACGCACGTTGCTCCTTACCGACTGCACGCCGTGTTTTAATATCTGGTTCAAACACCACGGCAAGCGGGGGTGGGGGTACGAGAAATCGATTAATGTGGTGAAAGTCAGAAGGGAGCAAGGCCTTTTGATCGTGGTCAAGTTGTTTGAGTCGATGCACGCAAGGTAGTCCGGTGCTTCGCGAAAATATCTTGGTGCACTTGTGGATGATATTCCCGGCGATAATTTCCAAGCATTTCAGAAGCGGAAACGAATGAATAATCTTGCCAACGTTCACGAAGAGAGGGTTGCCCAGCAGCTTCACATGCCCTCTCGTCATCTCGTCGGAAACGGCATCCTTGTGTTCCTTGATGGACTTACGCCACCACTTGGGGAAATGAGTTTGTTGAACCAGTTCGCCATATTTTTAGAGCACAGGAATAAGACGCGAGGCCTTCAGATACACTGCATGTACCAAACAGTGGGAATAGGCACGTAGCTCTAGCATTTTTGTCACGTTGCTTTAGGCCCGAAGAATTGGTTCTACAATGTAATAGTACATGTGGTGTCTTCCAGATCTGGCGTGCCAATTTGACCAAATCGCAAATTCCAAGTCAAACTCCTGACCAAATTGCAATTTCCCCTTGTCGAAAACAACACACATTTTTGACCAATTCGACGGGTACACTGTACCCCGCCACGTACTTGTGAACGAGGAGCTCATTTGCCGACGCCACCATGCGTGCCCTGCGGCTGCTCTTCCTGTGCGCGCTGCTGCTCGCCGCGACGCTGCTGTGCTGTACCCACGCCTCCGATGCCGATGCCGACGCCGACGCCCCCAACACGCCGGAGCCCACGTCCAGCGCCAGCGCGCGGGACAACGACCCCACCATCCAGCAGGTGCGCGGCCTGCGCAACGCCGGCATGAAGCTCAACGACGCCAAAGACTTCACGGGCGCCATCGAGAAGCTGCGCGGCGCCATCACGCTGCTGCACGAGCGCGTGTTTGGCGAGGGCCGCCACGCCGTGTCGGACCCGGCCGAGATCTCGCAGGACGCGGCGCTGTACGCGCAGATCCTGAACGACTACGGGTCCGTGCTCATCCGCGCCAAGCAGTACGACGAGGCCATCGAGGTGCTCGAGGACTCGGTGGCCATGGTGGACAAGATCTACGGGGACAGCCACCCGTCGCTGGGCCTGTCGCTGCGCAGCCTGGCGGACGCCTACATGGCCAAGGAGAAGTACCAGAAGGCTATTAACAAGTACAAGACGCTGCGCAAACATGTCAAAAAGGGGCTGGGAGTGACCCACGAAGCGTACATTGAGGCGTCGTTGAGGATCGCAGAGGGGTACAAGAAGCTGGGCAAGAAGAAGAAGAACCTCAAGGTGCTGAAGGACGCTGTGAAGGCCCAGGGAGGCGAGATCAATGGACTCACCACGGGTATCGCCGAGCTGTATATGGAGCTGTCCACGGCTCACGTGGCGGTGAACGAGATCGACGACGCATTGAGAGCGGCGGAGACGGCGAGCGCTGTTTTCTTGCAGAGAGACGGAGAGGACACGCTCACGTACGCCTTCAGCTTGAACGCGCTGGCGGGCGTCAAGATGCGCCAGAAGAAGGTGGACGACGCCATTGAACTGCTCGAGCGCGCGCACAAGATCGCGGTCAAGATTTACGGAGACAACGACCCCATTACGCAGGCCAGCGCCAAGACCCTGAGGGAGGTGAAGGAGTACAAACTGGACTTGCACGCGCAGAAGGACGAGCTTTAGAGACAGAGACGAAGAGAGAAGATAGTTGGGGGTTGGAGTTGTTGTAAGTAAGCTCTGTAATGCAGCTCTACCATCCTAGCTTGGTGAACTTGAAGGTGAAGTCGACGCCTGTTGCAGTATCAATACATCAGTGCTCGGGTCCTAACAGCAGTAAGGTAAGTAAACGTACGTACCGAAGTGTACTACTCGGAAGCACAGCGTGATCATCATCCAGACTTGCTCAAAATGGACCACTTGTGCGTCTCCAGTACGAACGCGAGTTGGTACAGCGCTCGCATCCCGCAGTTCCTCTTGATCACCACCAGAAGCAGCACGAAAGACACAATCTGGAGAATCCCGAACACAAATACGGGGAGCACAGTTGAGCCAGCGTTGTTTTGAGTGACTGCAGCCATCTCGGAGTGAAACTGCTGCGCACTTGGGAGATGCACCATTACCAGGATGTAACTTGTGTAGAAGAAGGGGATAACCGCTTCAAGGTAGGAAGGGCCTCCGAAAATAGCATTGTCAATAACATTATTTCAGAAAATAACAATAAATTACGCATTTCGGCGGGTTCAGCCATCTACCGTGATAATTTATTGATGTGCTTTGTGATATTACATAATTTATGACAGTTACCTTTATATAATAATGTTAGCGTTTTACCAGCCATCTTCTCGCTTCCAGTCGTTCAGAAGAACTGAAATCACTGGTTGTCTGCGTTGCTAGTTGCAGCTCATTTGGTAGCGCTCACCTTTCAATTTTCACTTCTCAAGCCTCCAAGACCTCATCCAGCATGGTTTGCGCTATCCGCCCCCCTCGCCCTACGTACACGAACTCCCAAGTCTCGGGGTTTTACTTCCGCCCGTGTCGCGACGAGAACGACGAGGTGATTCTCGAGTATTTCCGTTGCCGTTGCGGCACGGTTCGGAAGCAAATCCATAGGAACGGGTACTCCAACCTGATGCAACATATCAGGCGGGAGCACCCTGACTACGAGACCGTCATGCTCGACGCTACGACGGCGGAGACAGGCTCCCTCGTGGACTTGTCCGCCATTCGACGCTCAACCTCCACGGCTGGATGGTTTGGATTGTCATGTGCAACCTGCCACTCTCTTTTTGTGAGAGCCGAGAAGCTCGGCGGTACGTGTATGCATAAGGTCATTGTGTTTACATTACTACGGAAACTAACAACTTTACTTTATGGATGTTATTCAGCTACTCCAGTCTGGACCCCATCTCGGAGGAAACGCTGCGGGCTGGCATGGACGGGGTCGTCGTCGCCGTCGAGCGTTCGATTGCGTCGGAGCTCCCAGCACGCTTCGGCATCATGCTCGACGGCTGGACACACGCATCTGAGCACTACATCGCCGTGTTCGCGTGCTATGAGGTGAACGGCTGTCCCAAGACAACGCTACTCAGCATGGCCCCGCTGCTGGACGCGCTGGACGACGATCTCTCCGCGCAGGGCCATCTCGAGTTTCTAGCGACCATGCTGCCGCGCGATTACGGCGTACAGCTGACGCAGTGTCGCTTCCTCGTAGCTGACAACTGCGCCGTAAACCGGCGGCTGGCAACTCTTATGAGTATGCCGCTTGTTGGTTGCGCAAGCCACCGCCTGAACCTTGCTGTTCAGACGGACATGGCGTCGCATGAGGAGGACCTGGCTGCTGTGCAGGCGCTCATGGTAAATTGCGTACTCTCACCCAATCTGCCAAACTACGGTAAGCGCCAATGTGTGTCAATATGTCTCTAACACAATTTGTGTACTTTTGTAAATTTTTTACAAAATAGGTTGAAAACGCCACTTCGGCCTGTCATTCGCCAGGACACGCGCTGGAGCTCTACGTTCGAGATGGTACGGCGCTACCTCCAGCTCCTCGAGTTTCTTGACGCCGAAGACGACGACCTCATGGACCTGCTGCCGCCGCCGGCGATGAACAAGCGACTGCGGGCATTGTACCAGGAGCTGTGCGACATCGAGTCGGTCTCGAAGGCCCTTCAAGGCCACGACGTCGACCTGCTGGACGTTCGCGAGTGGTTCGACGAGCTGATCGCTGTCAAGCCACAATATGGGCGCTACATTGGTAAGTTTATAACTGTTGAATTTGTGTTTAATATTTTCACTAACAATTGTATAATGGTTTTTATTTTGCAGGGCCTCGGGCCAACATTGTGCACAGCCCAGATTTTGAGGCTGGGTGTGTACGCGTTCTCCACGGGAAGGCGCAGCGGCTGACGCGTGCTGAAAAGGTCGCTTTGCAGCCCTTCGAAGCTGCCAGACCGGGCGACGCGGCCGCGAGTGAGGAGGAGGAGGATCCAGCCACGTCGTTCGTGGAGCGTCTTCGGAAGCGCCGGCGGCTTGCACAGGACCGTGTCAAGTATGAGCAGCTGAAGAGCATCCCACCCACGTCGAACGTGGTGGAACGCTTCTTCAGCATTGCTCGGGTGACGTTTGGTCATCAACGACACGGCCTGCTGCCACGCACGCTTGAGACGATTTTGTTTCTCCGCCAGAATCGGTCGTACTGGGATGCAACGACTGTGGACAATTTGAGCTAGATGATAAGCTAACTGGTGTCTTGTTAATAGACTTCATGCTTTTTCATAATGGCATTATTTATTGTAGTACGTTGGGGGCAATGCCATAATGTACTGTTGTATTGGTAGGAGCGTCAGGGGATAATTTATTCAGCAACGCCCAACCTACTAAATAAAAATGCCATATTCGGAGGCCCTACTAGGAGGTGACGACGAGGCATTCGATCGTGAAGAACGTCTCAAGTGAATAGCTCAGGAATCTCAGTGGCTCCGAGTCGACTGGTACTCGGGTACCCTCTGCATCACCATTACTGGGTGTGCTCGGATGAATTTCTTTGCTGCGCTTCCTGGTACAAATGATACACAGCGCGGATGACTTTCGAGTATTCTCGCGAGATGGAATGTCCGCGACGGTCGGAGGCGATACAACCCCTCGCGACTTAGACGCTCCATTCAGCTTCTTTAGAAGGATGTTATCCGCTGTTGGCAGTCGATGCGGGAAATGCGAGAAAGTATTTATCCCACTTCGAGTCGGCTGACCCAGCACTTCGGTGTTTCGACACAGGCAGCACGACGCAGCCAGCAAGTTATTCAGATTGCCAACTCCCGGTATTACAGCCTGTAACCTTGCTAAGATGCCATTAGTTCGGTGGTGCAGGCCATACAACATGATCATCGTCTGCGAGAGATCCGTCATAATGATGGCGGAGATTGCGAGGGCCGACGTGGCGCTCTGCATGCACGTAGCCACGTAGATGGCGTTGAAGAAGTCCACAGTAAAAATTACCAGCTCCGGCGTCATATCTTCCACGTGCTTTGTACATCTCAACACAATATTTTTTATAACAACCACCATCAAAGGCAGCAACAAAATTACAGGAAGCTGGAAATTCGATCCTTCAACAAAGCGGAACAACACTTCGTAGATCGGATACACGAACATCATCATGATCTGTGCGTGTAAGAAGTTCATGTACTGGATGAGCTGCTTGCGTTGTGCGAATAGTTTGCGCAGCATTTGAGCGCCCAGTATGACTCGAAACAGAATAATGTGGATAGTGTTGTAGACTACGAGAAACCGACTGCGGTCGGTGGTCACTTGGGTTGCTGGCAGCGCGCCGGCGGTGTGCTTGTTGAATGACCAGGGTAGTGAGTGGTGGTTGAGGTCTGAGACCGTGATGCCTTTGACTATGATGAAGAGGAAAGAGAGTTCTGGTGAAAGAGACCCGAGGGTTTCTCGGAACTTCTCCTGCATGCGTGCAGCCTCCTTCGTTGGCTGCGGCCAGTGTAGTCAAGAGTAGTCAACGGGGGTTTTATGGCTCGAGGTGCTTTCCCCTACAACAACACTTGAACAACAAGCATACAATCTGTTTTCTCTCGAAAGACACAAGCCATTTTAGTTGTTTTGCTCCCTACTTCGTGTTATAAAGCTACTGTCCAACTCGACCCTGCGAGATCTGCGTAGGTGAAGTGCTACGAGTGCAACTCGGTTTCTCCTAGGTTGTGAGCCCAAGGGGCTTAACGAGTAGCACGATGGAGTATGGAGCCCTTCAACAGCAAGGGCAAGCACCTTAGCAGCAACAGGTGCAGCAACAAGCTCAGCAGCAAGGCCAGGTGCCTCAGCCGCAGCAAGTTCAAGTACCTCAGCAGCAGCAAGCGGTGCGAAAGGTGGCTGCGGCTACTAAGGCGCCAAAGTATGATGAAAACGGGGGGTTTGATTTGTATCGGGCGCGGCTGGAGTCGTATCTAAGGCAGCGAGATTGTTGGAATGCTGTATTGGGGACTGAGGGTCCTGACGCTCAGAATGCTGAACGACAACGAATTTACGAGGAGCGGAACCTGTTTGCGCGAGACACGTTGCTGTTTGGCCTTCTCCCGAAGGATGCGAAGAAGATCTGTAAACTCGTTCGAGTGACTGAGATGTGGACTGCTTTTGAGCGGGACAAAACACGACGAGACTTTGCAAATAGCATTCGCATTCGTGCTAAATTGTATGGAGCGAAGTATGCCAAAGGAGTGAACATGGATAAGTATTTGGAGGATCTTGAGGACTATCGCCGGCAACTCGAGAACATGAACGATTCCATCACAGATGCTGATATGGCAAGTATCATTCTGACGGGGGTGGAAGGAACCCATCGGAATGTGATGCGGATGTTTAACCGAGACGCCAATCCTCCCGACTTGGAGCGTGTGCTCAATACTCTGCGGAGTGAAGCTGAAATGGATGAAGCTGAGGAAGATCAGAATGACAACTTCAAGAAGAAGAAGAAGAAGGGAGAAGGCAGTGGCCTGATCGGGTCGGTTAAGGGGAAACAACCTTGGCCAGGCAAGAAGAAGCATAAGGTCGGTCCTGGCAAGAAGGCTCGTAGTGGTGGCACGTGGAAGGAGACTCGTGAATGCCATTTCTGTCACAAGGTGGGTCATCTTCGAGCTAATTGTAAGAAGTGGCTAGCTGAGCAACAGGGAAAGAAGCAGAAGAAGGATGACAGCGATGATGACGATGACAGCGAAGCCGGCGAGCGGTCGAAGAAGAATGGCTCGAAGAAGAAGAAGGGCCGAAAGATCGGCTTCGTGGGCCGGTGGACGAAGAACGTCGGGACAATTGGAATGATGATGTGACTGCGACTCCACCTCAAATCCTGGCAACCTCGTCCGGTGACTATACTGACGAGTGGATGCTGGACACCGGGACTGACGTGCATGTTTGCATCAATGAGGAGGCATTCCAGCGTGACTTGCGGGAAGATGACAAGTATTTCAACGACTGGAAAGGGAGGAAAGGCAGAGCTGACGGCATTGGCTTGGTGCAAGTTCGGGCAATGAATGTGTTGGACCCGAATGGATCGGGGTTTATATTGTCGTTGGAGGAAACGCGTTTCTCCCCCAATGGCCCTACAAATCTGTTGAGTCAAGAACTTCTTGAGCTTGATGGTTGGATTCCTACTACTCCGTTCACTCGTGTTGTGGCGGAGAGGGTTACGTACTTTACGAACGACAAGTACGACGGAGTGAAGCTTGTTTTCAAGAAGCGACGTGGCCATTAGTGGCTGGATGCCTCCACTGTTACCTCGGACGCTACTATCGGTGCAGTGGCGTCGGCACCAAAGGATAACAAGTTGCTCATGTGGCACATGCGCTTTGCGCATCAGAATGTAGGAGCCATGAAGAAGATGGTTCGGATGAACATGGTGGAGGGCATGGAGACACTTACACTGGCGGACTTCAAAGGGCAGTTTCGCTTCATAGCCTGTCAGTGCGCTAAGCAGAAGCGGATGTCTTACAAGCGCCGAGAAGGAAAACGACAGAAGGAGTGCTATGCACGCCTAATGTCGGACGTGTGTCATGTGGGAGAGCTCACCCCAGGCGGGAACACTTACTTTCAGCTTATCCAAGATGAAGCGTCTCGCTACAAATGGCGTTACCTGTTGAGCCACAAAAGTGAAGCAGCGCAGAATGTGAAGGACTTGATTTTGCGTCTGGAAAGGGAACATCTCATCAGAGTCTTTTCGTGTGACCAAGCCAAGGAGTTTGTAAGCAAATCGCTGCGGGCGTTCCTTAACCCCTTGGACGCGGAGGGTTGGAAATTCACCTTAACGTAAGATGCCAGTTGCGTGCCTACAACCAGTTCCGTGCCTACTTGTTTTAGCCAATTAGCATCTTCTCCTTGTTAAGCTCTCGTAGTCTATTGGTAGATTTTTCCAGCGTCACATGCAATTTCCGGTGATGAGCCTCCTAGGATTTGCATAGCATACAAAAATGCTATCAAAAAGAGGCAGGAAACTGGCAGCTCACTCCAAATCAACAAGCTTTTCAAAACAATAACAAGAAGTTCTGCAAAATTTACATGAAGTACATAAATTCAGCCCAGTCGCGCAGATTTAGCGGGTGCAATCAGATTTCAGAATGGACAATTCAATGAAAAGTTATGCCACAGCAAGTCCGCAAGTTCGAAGGACGGCACGAAACTGGCAGAAGACCTTATGCTGTTCTGAACAGCATAAGAAACACTTGATTTCAATATACCTCTAAATCCGCAAAAAGGGGATCCGCTGAGGAGGGCCCTCATCGGGAGGGCCCTCGTAATAGAGTCGACATTTGGGAAACAGCCGATTGTGACAAACGCACATTTGGGTCATTCGTAATAGGTGCATGTACCGAAATCGTCGGCAACGCTCTGTGGAAATGATACCGTTGCCGACGATCATAGCTCTACTATAAATAAGCATCCGAGGCGAAGTTTACTTTAGACTACCAGCAAATAATAAGAGGGATTGAGTGCTTGCCATTTTTTCAGATCTCGTTGTGCTGATGGTACGCCCTGCTTTCCCAGCGTCTGGCTACGCCGTGTTCTACCTGCAAGTTTCCCAAGCGACTATTGATGAGCTCTACCTAGAAGCAGAGTCTCGGACCTACAGACCTGTGTTTCGAGAAGTAGGCGGAGCCGAAGATGACATGTTCAGAAGTCAATCGCGAGTTCAGCGCATGACACCTCCCCTTCGACGTGTTTCCGCTCCCTGGAAATACGCACCGCAGAATGCTGAGCAGTACGCGTTGCGGGGCGCCCGCGGCCAGACGCGCCACACACAGCGCAGCCAGCGACGGCATGCTCTGCGGGGCTTCGGCCATGCTAAGGTGGGGGGCGGGGAGGCGCAGCACTGGAGCTGCGGGGACCCGAGTCAAGCTGGCTCTGCCAAGCGAGGGATCCCAAATACCTAGCATATCGGGGATTGAACGGCACTTGGTTGTCCACAGCCTCCTTAAATCTTGGGTTGACGCCGCTGTTGTCGGTTGTAAAGTCGCGCAACGTTGCCACGGCCTCTCGAGCCGAGTCTCGCGTCATTTCATGAGCTTCCATCGCTTCAGAGTCACTATGCAACAAATTATACGATCTCGTGGCAGATACATGAGCCGCCGTATCCCGCATCAACACGAGTAATTTGTCTCGTGCTCCTGCCGAGAAGCTGCCAGCCACTTGCGCACCCAAGCACTCAATAACCGCGGCAGCAGACTCAGCAACACCATCGGCATTACGCTTCCGAACAGCCATCGCCATAGCCGCCAGCTCTGCCGACATCGCGGCTCGCGCCACAGAGCCACAGAGCTGATTGCGCTGTCGTAGAAGCTTGGCCAGAGCCTGGGCGGCCGCCGACTCGGGCGCTTGAACTGGGGCGTCGCAGGTTCTACCAACGCGCGAGTCAGTCGAAGTGATAGCAGCGCGGGCTCGATGTGGGTAATGAGCGCCATCTTGGCGCTCGTCTAGCACCCCGTTGGGCGCTCCCTGCCCTTGCTGTAGCTGGGATGCCCAGGCGAAGAAGGCGCGGTGGACACGCATGAGAGGTGGGAGAGTGCTTTATGAACCGAGCTCTCGTTTTGGTACATGTACCTATTACGAATGACCCAAATGTGCGTTTGTCACAATCGGCTGTTTCCCAAATGTCGACTATATTACGAGGGCCCTCCCGATGAGGGCCCTCCTTAGCGGATCCCGCAAAAAGTGATTATCGTCCCTTCCCATATCTAGCTTTGATATCATTGGTCCATCTATCTAAACGTGGCCATTTGATTGGGCATCAATAACATATGACTATCAGGGTAGATGAAATACCACGCACAAGCACGAACCATTTTTCAGAAAAAATCAATCATCGGTTCCCCTCTTGCTGCCGCCACTCATTCTTCATTCGGCGCAGCAAGAGAGAAAGTGGCATTTCGGGATGACATCGGCGCGGTGGGGCTGCTTCCGTGCAAGCCCCAGACGGACGAGAGGCTCGGTACGTGCGCTAAGTATCTTGGTATAGATCCCAAACTAACTAGTGCGACTATCGCTTTGAAGCGCGAGCTACTTGAAGTCTGATTGTAAGTACCGCGGCGCAAGCAATCCCTCCTTTCGTGCTACTTGGTACGTGTGCGCACAACTTCTGCTGGTTCAAATACATGCTAACCACTTGCGTTGTTACTATTTGCTAACAGAACTGTATGCGTCATCTTTGCCTAGCGCGACTGTGCCGCGAGGAATCGTCATGGGCGTTTGGACGCTAGAGGTATGCGTTGCATCGTTGGGATGATTGCTGCGGTTGGACTAACCTTTGTTGCCTTCAGTAGGCGGTCGTGGTAGGATGGGGACTCAAGTATCTCCAACAGGCGTCGGTTACCGTAATGTCCATGGCTTGCTGACGTGGAAGGTATACTATATGCGCTTTATGCTGACGGAATGGCTTATACTGATTGAGATTGGTTTCTGCTTATTGAAATGTTTTACGAAGATGTACATGGCGCTGGCTGCTGGGACGACGACATGTATACATGAACGACAGCTCAAGAGCAGCATCACCTCCGGTGGCAACGTGATAAATTTTTGAGTGCTGCCCAAGAACGGACGGCACTGAAGACAAGCTGAAGAGGAGCCTGCTGCTCATAGTGAGGTATCGACCGCCACTGAAGTAAGGAATGTTGTGGGCTTCAAGTTTTACATTCAAGATGAGAGGACGCCGATTTCGCGTTGAAGGTATGGGTGAAAGTTGATTTTTGCTTGAATGCTGACTTGGTCCGCTTACAAGTTTGACTTTATGCAGACAGGATCAGGACAGGATGCCTTCTCGCTTCGAACCCAAGTCACATCCTCCACAACCGTAGCAATGCGAGTCACACTATAGTGCAGGAAACTGGCAAGTGAATATAGTTCCTCTCGTACATTACATTGCAATATGCTTGTTCTCATGTTGCTCCTATCTTGCTCACACACATAATTCATACTGTTCGACTGATCGAAGTGTGGTGCTATCTCTGCTTCAATGTCGGTGTGCGAAGACAACATCAACTTACTCTGTAGTTGCTCTTCTTCTTTTGCATTGTTTGGTAGCGTTGGAGCGCGCTGTTTGTAATGTAGTGTGGGTCCTAGAGGGCTTATCACTTGTAGCAACCATCAAGGCGACAATACCATAGCATCCATTGTGTTACATGTAAGAGAGAGCGGAATGTGTACCCGTTCAGGCGCAACGTTTCTCTAAATATCAGTATTGCATAGAACGCACTGTGAGTAGCTCATTGGAGGATTTTTATCCGCAGATCACACCAGTCCCTTCTAGCGGAATAATTACCAGGGAGCTTAGCAACAAATTGTGTGAAGAAAAGTCAAATTTATACTCGCGTTCACTATGTCATACTGAGTCTCATACGATTTCTTATGCCGTCCAGGACGGTTTAAGCGTTTTTTAATGCCGTCCATGTCACCCCTCCGCGTCCAAGGGGTTAGGCTCCATGGTATTGAGCTGCTCACTACCAATGCGTACACACCAGAGGAAAACTGTCTCGTCGAGAAGTTGAATGGTACCCTGATCAGCAAGGTGCGAGCGGTCAATGAAGCAGCTGGATTGCCGTTCTGTCTATGGGGAGAAGTACTGCTGTACGTTGTGGACGTTGATAACATGAGTGCTACGAAGGCATTGCATGGCACGACCCCGCACGAGAAGTTGTTCGGAAGCAAGCCCGAAGTGAAGGACTTGCATGTGTGTGGATCCGTTGTGTTTCATTACATCCCGAAGAAGAAACGCCACAGTAAACTGGACATGCGAGCTGATCGAGGGATATTTCTTGGGTATGCGAAGACGTCTCTCGGCTATCGCATTCTGGATCTGTGCACAGGGAATCTAATTGAGCGACGAGATGTTGTTTTTCATGAGGATATGGCAGCAGACCCGAAGTATGTGCGCGACTTGATTAATAAGCGGTACTTTGGGGAGGAGATCGAAATGCCAGAGCACATTGACTTTGTGTCGCTGCCGGTCAGCCGTGTTCACTTACCATTGGACGAGTACGATGAGAGTTCCGAGGTGTGAATCTGTTGGCTCTGGCGAAAATGGTGATGACGATGAAGAGTTTTATGACACGGACGATGGTATGGCCGGAGCATTTGTCGATGAAGACGTCGATGCCGACAGTAGTGATGATGATAGCAGTGGTGACAGTGACAGTGACAGCGACTTCAGTGGGAGTAACGCTGAAGCAATGGAAGTCGATGTCGCTGCTGATCATGAAGACAATACCGGTGACGAAGAAGTTGAAGATGACCACTCCGGGGATCAGGGCGTAACTTTGAGTGGTGGTCGTACGCCGGTGGTCAGATCCAGCGGGAGTTCTCGTGCTAGTGGGGGTTCTCGTGCTAGTGGGAGTTCGAGCGCTACTGGAAGTGCTGGACCAAGTCCTGCGACTGCACCAGCGGCTTCTGTGCGTAGATCGGGCCGTGTGCGTCGACCTAATAGCCGGTATGACTCTCGCACATTTGTGTTGGCACAGACGTTGATCCAGTGCATGATGATCGCTACTGTGTGCGACTTGTTGAACCCGACCTCTGTCCAAGAGGCACTTAACTCTGAGTATGCTGCTCAGTGGAAGCGGGCAATGGATGCCGAGTACGAGTCGCATATGCACCACCAGACCTGGGTACTAGTTCCAAGACCACAGCCGACAAGAGACAAACCGGTGAACATTTTATCGTCGAAGTTGGTGTTGGCGCTAAAACGAAACGAAAAGGGAGAAGTTGAGCGGCACAAGGCAAGACTGGCAATCAAAGGGCATCGACAGAAGTACGGATTGGACTATCTGGAGACGTACTCTCCTGTCGTGCGTATTGAATCGGTGCTGCTTGTGTTGCTACTAGCGCTACTGTACGGCTTGGACTGCAGACATGTAGACTTTGTTACGGCGTTTCTAAACGGTGTACTGCAAGGCGTTGAGATTTTCATGGAGCAGCCCGAGGGCTACGACGATGGCTCTGGGAGAGTTTGCAAACTGTTGAAAGGTCTTTACGGCCTGAAGCAGGCCTCTCGAATATGGAACAACACCTTGCACAAGCATTTGATTGCAATTGGCTTCAAACAGTGCACGTTTGATGCTGGAGTATACTGGAAGGAGGGAGATCACAAGAAGATTTTCCTTACAGTGTACGTCGACGATATTGTAATTGCCGCCGATTCGCGTGACATTGACAAGGTAGTGAAGGCACTAGGCAGGAAGTTTAAGTTGAAGGACTTGGGCCGAGTGCGGCACCTGCTAGGAATGGAGATTATAGGAAAAACCGAGTTGCACTCGTAGCACTTCGCCTACGCAGATCTCGCAGGGTCGAGTTGAACAGTAGCTTTATAACACGAAGTAGGAAGCAAAACAACTAAAATGGCGTGTGTCTTCCGAGAGAAAACAGATTGCATACTTGTTGTTCAAGTGTTGTTGTAGGGGAAAGCACCTCGAGCCATAAAACCCCCGTTGACTACTCTTAACTACACTGGCCGCAGCCAACGAAGGAGGCTGCACGCATGCAGGAGAAGTTCCGAGAAACCCTCGGGTCTCTTTCACCAGAACTCTCTTTCCTCTTCATCATAGTCAAAGGCATCACGGTCTCAGACCTCAACCACCACTCACTACCCTGGTCATTCAACAAGCACACCGCCGGCGCGCTGCCAGCAACCCAAGTGACCACCGACCGCAGTCGGTTTCTCGTACTCCCACTTCACTTTGGTTGCTTAGCGCCCTCAACCCCCAAGCACACGGTAAAAAAAACCTTCATGCAATTCACCCGAGGTAGAATGCAGCGCATGCATCCCTTGTCTCACTCGAGCTAGGTTGCCGCAGCACACCTATTCGTCACTCATCTCAATGTCCGACGCGCAGTCAGACGCTCTGGCCGTTGTCGCTCCAGCACTGCCTTCAACTTCCGACAAAGCTTTCCGTACATCTTCCAGGTTGAGCTGATCACGCAGTCGCTCAAACACGCACGGACCCAATGCTTTCGTAAAGATGTCAGCAATATTTTCGGTGGTCGGCACGTACTTCAACTCTAAACGACCACGGTCCACCCACTCAGCAATAGAACGCGTCTTCTTTGCCTAATGTTTCTGCTCCTGCGAGTTCCCATTGTTTTCCACTTCCTTGATGGTGCTCTGGTTGTCGCAGTACAAGGTTGCCACCGCTTGCTGCTTAATTCCAAGCTCTTTCAACATCTTCTGAGCCCACTTGATCTCTTTCGTGCATTTATGCGCAGCAATCAATTCCGAAGCGCAGGTATCATCCGCAACGGTACCTTGCTTCTTGCTTTGCCAATGCCACACATTTCCATTCAGACGTAGCGCCCAGCCACTTACAGATCTGCTCGTCTCCGGACATCCAGCATGGTCAGCATCTGCGAACGCATCCAGCTTCACACCGTCCTTGCTGATGTCCTCATATCGATAGACCAGTCCGATGTGCTTAGTATCACGCAGATACCGCAGCACGCGCTGAGCTTGACGGAAGTTTTCCTTCGTGTACGCACTCCCATACCTTCCCAACGACCGCACTGCATTAGCCAAATCCGGCCTCGTGCAGTGGACAAGATACTGTAGGGAGCCAACCATCTCACGAAATGGCAACGCTGGATCATTGATCAGCTTGCGATTCTTCTCTACACGCATTATCGGCTCATTATGCATTTGCAGAGACCGAACAGATTTGGCATCGGCCATTCGAAACTTCTGCAGCATACGTTCAATGTACGCGGTCTGGAAATGCACAAGATCTTGCCGGGCACGAAATTAGTCTCCATTCCTAGCAGGTGCCGCACTCGGCCCAAGTCCTTCAACTTAAACTTCCTGCCTAGTGCCTTCACTACCTTGTCAATGTCACGCGAATCGGCGGCAATTACAATATCGTCGACGTACACTGTAAGGAAAATCTTCTTGTGATCTCCCTCCTTCCAGTATACTCCAGCATCAAACGTGCACTGTTTGAAGCCAATTGCAATCAAATGCTTGTGCAAGGTGTTGTTCCATATTCGAGAGGCCTGCTTCAGGCCGTAAAGACCTTTCAACAGTTTGCAAACTCTCCCAGAGCCATCGTCGTAGCCCTCGGGCTGCTCCATGAAAATCTCAACGCCTTGCAGTACACCGTTTAGAAACGCCGTAACAAAGTCTACATGTCTGCAGTCCAAGCCGTACAGTAGCGCTAGTAGCAACACAAGCAGCACCGATTCAATACGCACGACAGGAGAGTACGTCTCCAGATAGTCCAATCCGTACTTCTGTCGATGCCCTTTGATTGCCAGTCTTGCCTTGTGCCGCTCAACTTCTCCCTTTTCGTTTCGTTTTAGCGCCAACACCAACTTCGACGATAAAATGTTCACCGGTTTGTCTCTTGTCGGCTGTGGTCTTGGAACTAGTACCCAGGTCTGGTGGTGCATATGCGACTCGTACTCGGCATCCATTGCCCGCTTCCACTGAGCAGCATACTCAGAGTTAAGTGCCTCTTGGACAGAGGTCGGGTTCAACAAGTCGCACACAGTAGCGATCATCATGCACTGGATCAACGTCTGTGCCAACACAAATGTGCGAGAGTCATACCGGCTATTAGGTCGACGCACACGGCCCGATCTACGCACAGAAGCCGCTGGTGCAGTCGCAGGACTTGGTCCAGCACTTCCAGTAGCGCTCGAACTCCCACTAGCACGAGAACCCCCACTAGCACGAGAACTCCCGCTGGATCTGACCACCGGCGTACGACCACCACTCAAAGTTACGCCCTGATCCCCGGAGTGGTCATCTTCAACTTCTTCGTCACCGGTATTGTCTTCATGATCAGCAGCGACATCGACTTCCATTGCTTCAGCGTTACTCCCACTGAAGTCACTGTCACTGTCACCACTGCTATCATCATCACTACTGTCGGCAGTCCGGCTCAACTCATGAATCAGCTCGATCAACTGCAACCATGCTAGAAGTGCCCCCGTCCTTTGTGAGATTCACCGCAATACTCCCACTACAAACTTGCACTTGTGTTCGGCCCATTCAGCACAGTACTCCCACTGAACTACTAAAACGACACTCTCAGTGTCATTAGATGAACAAATGTAAAGCAACCCGAGCTTTGCAAACAATTCACTCTACGAAAGACCGCTCGCACCAATCCACCACTCGACTTTCCGCAAAAGACTATTGAATCCGCAATTCAAAGCGGTATTCGAGTTTCTTGTTGCAGCTCAACACGTGTTGCTAATCGTACCAAGCATTACCGATTCAACTTCCAGAATTAGATCCCGGTGCACAGATCCAGAAGGCAGCAACAAAATCACTGGAAGCTGGAAATTCGATCCTTCAACAAAGCGGAACAACACTTCGTAGATCGGATACACGAACATCATCATGATCTGTGCGTGTAAGAAGTTCGTGTACTGGATGAGCTGCTTGCGTTGTGCGAATAGTTGGCGCAGCATTTGAGCGCCCAGTATGACTCGAAACAGAATAATGTGGATAATGTTGTAGACAGGAGTCAGCACCAATATGAGGAATGGGATGGGGAAGATCGTGCCCGCCGAGATGGCCATAGCGCAGGCCGTGAAGATGACAGCGATACCCCCCGATAGCGATGTGAGTTGGCGCGAAGAGATATTGAAGTTGTCGATGAAGTAAACCGCTTCACCTGTAGATGTTTGGGCGATTACAAAGACCACGATAGCGACTCGTATCCAGAAGCCATAGTTTGCTTGCCATCCGTCTTTGGGGTCGCAAAGTGGCAGCGATTCGAATAGAAAGACCAGCGCAGCCATCGGGAGTGGCGTCCAAATGCACACGAGCAACCCGTGGACTAGTGATGTCGACTGTGCGTACGTCTCCAAGGCGAGTAGTCGGTGGATGGAGTACTTGCCACCGTAGTAACTCAATTGCAGCTTCTTCCAAGCGTCAAGTAGCTGCTTGGACCTCAGTGCTTTATTCATTTGAGATCGAGCCTCGCAATGAAGCCTCCAACGCTTCGTCGCTATCGATAAAAATACTGTGTCCAGTTCAGTTGAACTGGTCTACCAATTCTACGGACGCATATACCACGCATATACGTCCAAGACGACTGTATTTGTCTCGTGGAGTGATAACACCGCGCATACGAGACTCACATTAAGTCGCCCTCGCATCCTGGCCACGCGTTAATATTTGATTTTGCTGCGCTGCTTAGTTTGTGGGGCGTCCTTAATGAGAGCGTGTTTGCTCGGATCCACTGAATACTGTGGATCAGAGTCCGGCTTTTCGCACACAGTTCCATCACGAAAGTTCGTTTTAAGCTGAGGTGCATTACAGTCATTTAAAGTTCCTAACGACCTAGAAAATGCCCGACCCTCTGATGCTTACAGATCATCTGAGGGTTTGCTAGCTACCGCTACTGGTGCCAGCAAATGCGTACCAGCTAAGGTGCGCTACGACGAGCGGAGGCCCGGCATCCGTCCTCCTGATCCGGGTGAGTGTTCATCCAGTGATCTACGTCCGCTTGGAGGGGCGCGATGACTGATGTCCAGCGCGAAGGCAGGCTTGCTACGTCTGCAGCAGTTACCTGCGTGCTCTTCTTGGTGTCCATGGCCAGGTTGGCTAATCCGCCCGCCGTCTTGTTGAAGTGGCGTAAATGATGAGACCAGGAGGACACCATCAGTCGATCCGCTAGTAGCCGGCATTGTGTATACAGTCCTTGTAGGTGTTTGGCTCGAGGCGTTTTCCGCTTCCGTAATTGCGTGAGAATGAGATTACTGTCACCGACGACGTGTACTCCCATCAGCTTGCACCTAGCAGCATACCGTAGTCCGTTAAGTAGCCCACGATCTTCAGCGATGTTGTTAGTCGTCTTGGACGCGTAAGAGACGCTAGCCATCCACATCACCCGGGGCGTGAACGTCGCCCCACCCAATTGCACAATGACCGTTCCCGCACCGCCTGGCCCAGGGTTTCCGCGAGATCCACCGTCGAAGAATAGCAAAGTGCCTTGGCGCCGACAGTCTGGTGGGGGATATGTGCCGTCTCCGCCGAGGGCGTTGGCAGCACCAAGTGGCAGGCACGTGCAGCCGCAACCAGAGGCGAAGGCGCATTCATGGCCGTGGTGTTGATCCTGATTGTCAGGTAGGCCGCTCGAAGCCTGCCATGAAGTACCGCAGCCGCCCGTGTTGCCGTCGCATCTTCTACCGGATCCCGATACAAACAGTGCCGTCGCCATATCCCTTGGAGTGTAGTCACTACTCCGAGGCGCCAACACTGATTCAGGATAGTGTAGATGTGCGTGCGGATGGAGTCTCGCGTGGCTTCGGTGTCGTGTCCGTGTAACGCGTCCAATAGCGACCACATGCCGATCGGTACGCACTTCAGTTGAAGTCGAAAAGTGGATGAGAGTCGTTCGGACGAGTCGACAACACCAAGTGCCGTCCACGGCGCATAGAAAACTCCCCATAGGCAGGTGGCCCCCTCACATGTCCAAAACGTGTGTGAGGTGTTAACCGCAACCTGCAGGCACTCTGCAATTGGGCACCCTGGCAGTCTGCGCGTTGAGTCCCACCAGGTGAAGGCTTGAAGTTTAAATCCAAGCAAGACCTGTTCACTCCAACCTGTGGCTCCACTGATCTTCCGAATCGTTTCCAGGTAACTTTAGCAAGAGCGCTGGCAATCTGCGGATGTTCCAAGCTCCACGCACTGGCCCGTCCTGCAACGTTGCGCGCACCGTGTCTTCTGGGCCTGGCAAGCACCGCTCGTATAGACGTGTCGAGGCTGTTTCCACCTCCTTTGTCCTGTCGTTAGGCACACCATCCTGTTCAGCCGTGGGTGGGGATGGATGCTCCGGATGTTAACCTCGTTGGCTGTGAATGCGTTTAGCGCTCTCGTTGCCGCAGGTCTTGAGCAAACCTCCACCGTGTGAATGGGTCCCACCGTTGTGCTTGCCACGCTGAGTGATACTTTCGTCCCGGTGGCTGGACCCGGCGTAGGAATCACTGTCAGTGGATGGTCAGCTGGCATAGCCGAGATCCGTAGCTCCGTTGTACAGCTTGGAGGGTACACGAGCTCAGGATAGTGAGCGAGGATGTCCAGAAGGAGTCGACGTACTTGACCTGCTGCCCTTTGGTTAATCGTAATTGTCCGGGTCGAACGTGGGTCCAGTGGACGATGTCGTTCACGAGACAACCGGGTGCGGTGGTACGGCAGGCGAGCGCTGCATAACCAAGTGAGTCCGGCGCCTTCCACGGGAAAAGGTGGCGAATTTCTGCATAGGGCAGCCACTCAAGACATGGCTGTCCATTCTGGGTGCGTAGAATTTGACGTGGGGTGGCTGTTTCTCCTCCGGCCAACACCAACAGGTCCAAAACACAATGATCACTATCCCAAAGCAGTACATCGGGGAGAGCTTGATCAACTATCCCGTAAAGCTCTCTGACCGCCTCCTCGTGCTTGCGGGTGTATGGTTTTAACCCAGCTCGGTGGACCATGCTGGCGCCTGCTTTCCATAACGTAGCACCATCGCGGAATCCCTGGACAATACGATCGCTTACACTTAGCAGAGCTTGTGGATAGGATATCTCCAATGACATGGTCGATCAATGATCCGTTGAGAGCCCACTCGGTGACGGTCGACGCCGCCATCGCCAGCAGTTCTGCTCGCAGATCGGGCACGGCCAGCCCTCCGTCCCGCCGGGGCAGAAGGGTAATGTCCGCAGCAATCCATGATGTAACTCCGGAAACTCTCTCCACAAACTGGCCATGTAACACGAAATTCCGTATGCACTTGGAATATTCCTCGACAATTGCAGTGGACGACCAACCATGCCTACCGATGAACAACAGCTTAGGAACGATCACTGCCGCCGCAACGACAGCGCGTTGATCCACTGTGAGAGTGCGCTGGCTGGCCCGCCTTACTCGAATCTGTAGCTGCTGACCCGCAGTGTGCCACGAATGACTTGCCTCTGAGCGACTTCCTGCTTGAACGCCTAGATAGCGGCATCGTTCATCACGGGGAAGGAGGCGAACAGGCCCCGTCCAGAGTGTGCTGGAGCGGAGTCCGTCTGGGTGCAGCGCAATGGCCACTGTTTTAGAGCAGTTGAGGTGGAGACCTGAAGCCGCACCAAAGTCCGTGATAGTAGCGAGTGCCACTTCCAGCTCCGCCGGGCTCCGCAAATATAACGCCGTATCGTCGGCGTACCCTGCGACCCTCAATGCTAGTGGCTGTGCGTGCCTTCAGAATGATCCCCTGATGAACGGCCCCCTTCTCTAATCGCCTGTACAGTGGTTCCAGCGCTAGAATGAAGAGCAGCGGCGCGAGTGGGCATCCTTGCCGGATGCCACGGGTGACCGTCACCGTTCGAGAGCGTGTTCCATTGGCAAGGAAGCGCACCTTTGTCCCAGTGTGGAGCTTTTCGATCACCTGCACAAAGTGACGTGGGTAGCCGTGACGGCGCAGCACTGCGCACAAAAATTGTTGGTCAAGCGAGTCATAGGCCTTGGCAAAGTCCAATAGCAGCGCGAGAGCATCCCGTGCGTCATCTGAGCATAGAGCCATCCGGTGTGCAGCAGCGAAATAATCTATCGTCGCGTGAATTTGACGACCAGGAACAAACCCATGCTGAAAGATGCTGATTCGCCGCGCAAGAGTAGTTCGAACCTGAGTCGTAAGTAGTCTTGTCAGGATCTTGTAGCCAGTATTTAGCAGCGCGAGCGGTCTGTAGTTGAGAGGATCTCCACCGTCGCCACTCTTCTTCAAGCAAAAGATATTTGCCTCCAGGAAGGAATCGGGAAACACTTGTTCAGTATACCAGAGCTTGTACAGCCGCGTAAGTATTGGAACCAATGCATCTTCGTAAGCCCGGTACCAGTCGTTGCCCAGCTTATCAGGTCCACATGCCTTGTCCACCTTACATTCTCGCAGCGCCGTTCTAACTGCGGTTTCCGTGATCATCTCCGCATCAGCCAGCATTGCAGTGTCATCTCCGATGTCCTGCTCCATCCAGCGTGTGACGCGCTCGACCGCTGAAGAAGAGGCCGGAACGCCGCGCATGATAGGACTCCATGCGTCGGCGAGGGTGTCTGCCTTGGCCTGGGGGTCGATAACAGCGATGCTGGAGTGGTGACGGAGAACCGGGATGATGTTGTCCCCAAACTTGCAGGATATCCGCTTGAAGAAGTTTTTCGTTGTCTTGCCTTCTCGCCACGTATGCGATCTAAACAATCGCTGCAATTTTGCACGAATCCACTCGCGTTTCGTTGTTGCGATGCGCTGCGTGAGCCTCCCGATTTTGTCGTGGCAGAGTCGCTGGAGGTCCTGGTTGGCTTGTTGAGAAGCGGCTCGAGCGAGCTCCTTTGTACGATCCAGTCAGCGGTACATACGCTTGATCTTCTTGCGATAAGCCTTCTTCTTGCTCATCTTCGCTGCCCTTACAGCATTCAGTAGCCCCACCGCGACGCGTTGCTTCGTTAGATCCCATAACTTTGCAGCTTGCTGCGCCGTCGATTCCATCACGAAAGTTACCACCGCACGAGCATCTACTATGCGTAACATGTAAGCTTGCCGCAATACGATTAAATCTAGCAAAATGACTACTACTATAGAAGTCCAGCTCTATTCTGGATATTTCACGGGTGGATATTGCGATTCATGCTCCTGGGCACAGGTAGCGATAACAGAGAACACAGACAACTTGTTTGTAGCTTTACGCCGTCTGTCCCGTGCCAGCCCCGTGCCAGGCATCGGCGCGGCGGACTCGCGTGTCGGCTGGAGTGCCGAAATGGCTACATCCTACGAGGGGTACCGATTGTGAGGTACTCGAGTTGCTGCCGGAAATGATGGCGCGACGCGCGTGTGAGGTGGGACTCTTGGAGGTCCGTGGACGTCTCCATCCCCGCTCGAGGACGGGTGTCGTGCGTACGAAACAACGGAATATGGTGTGAATGCGGAGGGGTTGTCGTGCCCAAGGACGAAGGGTACACCTGCAACTCCGAGAAGCGCAAGGAGACGTATTGACTTTAGGATCGAGGGCGGCCGTGCCGACCCTCGGCTTGTAGATTCGGTCGTAAATCTTCCCTGTCTTGTGAACAACAACAACCACAAAGAAAGCTTTTGTAACAACTACAAGGTTATCTTTTGTTGAAGCTTTCACTCGTCTAAACACCCAGTCACCTTCGACCTCGTGTAGGCCCCTTCTTTCCAAACAGTCCCAGCGAACTCGACCCTGACGGTGGAGGTATACGACACGTCCTCCGCCTGCAGCTCCGAGCAGCAGCTCCCAAATCTCCAACTGCGCCAGTCGGGCGAATCGTTGATCAGCTTCTGCTCCTTGGCGTTCTTCGTCCTGTCCCCGAAGTCCGCACTCTCGTTGCTGGACTTGGACACGACGATTGGCGGCAAGTTCAACATAGTGTCGCTTCTCTCTGTGCGAGCCGGCGGATATTCCAACAGTGGATTCTGTACAAGAATATATTGCAGGTCTACCACCCCACTTTGGCGAATCTGAAGGTGAAGTCGACGCCTGCAAACCAAGTTGACCATCAGCACTCGCCATTTATCAATAAATCCATGAAGAAACGCACCAAAATGTGCTACACGAAAGGACAAGGTGATCAGCATCCAGACCATCAACTTGCTCATGATGGACCACCTGTGCGTCTCCAGGACGAATGCAAGCTGGTAAAGCACCTGCATCCCGCAGTTTTGCCTCACTACCGCCACCAACAGTGCAAACGACACAACTTGAAGCAGTCCAAACACAAACACAGGGAGCACGGTATGACCCGCGTTCTTCGGCGTGACCCCCGCCATCTCCGAGTGATATTGGACACTTGGCAGGTGTGACATCACGGGGATATACGCCGCGTACAAGAGATGGATGATAGTTTCCAAGAAGGAGGTGACAACGAGACATTCAATCGTAAAGAACGTCTCCAGTAAATAGCGCAAAAACGACGGGTGTTCTTCTACCAGATTCGTTGAAGTTTCAGGTGCTCGAGCTACACCTGCACGAACTACGGTAGGGTGGATCTTCTTGTTGCCTTTCTTGGTAGAACCAAAGCAACATGTGGCAAAATTCACGGGAGTTTGGATGCCCGCGACAGTAGGAGATGATACAACTTCGGATGGGTGACGTACTTGCCTGGTCGCGTACAGTCTTCAACAGAATATCATTTTGCGTCGGTAGTCGGTGCGAGAAATTCGTGAAAATATTGATGCTGTGTCGAACGAGTCTCCCGATAATCGTTGTATGTCAGCACAACAAGCACGTTGCGCTGAGCAGATCATCCGGGATTTCAATACCAGGTGCAGAATCTCGGAGTCCACATAAAATATTACTCGTCCGGCGGTGCAGGCCATACAACATGATAATAGTCTGTGAGAGATCCGTAATAACGATGGCGGAGATTGCGAGGGTCGACATGGCGCTCTGCATACACTAGCCACGTAGATGGCGTTGAAGAAGTCCACAGTGAAGACCACCAGCTCCGGCGTCATATCTTCCACGTGCTTCGTGCACCTCAGCACAATATTTTTTATGACAACCTTCATCAACGGCAACAGCAAAATCACCGGAACCTGAAACTTTGACCTCTCTACAAAGCGGAATAGTACTTCGTAGATCGGATACACGAGCATCATCATGATCTGCGCGTGCAAAAAGTTCATGTACTGGATGAGCTGCTTGCGTTGTGCGAATAGTTGGCGCAACATTGGGACCCCCAGTATGACTCGAAACAGAACAATGTGGAAAAGGTTGTAGACTGGGGACAACACCAGCGTGAAAAATAGGATAGATACTGTTGGCAGAAATGACCATCGAACAAGCCGTGAAAGTTACAGCAATTCCAGCTGAAAGCGATACAAGTTGACCTGCAGAGATCTTGAAGCTTTCGATGAAATAAACCGCTTCACCTGTAGATGTCTGGGCAATCAGGAAAGTCACGACGGCAACGCGTACCCAAAATCCAGGGTTTACATCCCAGCCGTCCTGCGGGTCTCGCAGTGGCAGCGATTCTATCAGACAAACCAGCACAACCGTCGGAAGTGGCGTCCAAACACACGCGAGCATCGCACGAAGCAGGGACGTCGTCCGTGCATACGTCTCCAAGGCCAGCAGTCGATGGATGGAGTATTTTCCACCGTAGTAACTCACTTGCAGCTTCTTCCAAGCGCTGAGCACCTTCGACCACCGACTTGTATCACTCATATCAAGCGTCGGGATGCTGTCTCGAACTGCGTCCACGAATACAAAAATCCTCTCGATCACGGATGACTATACTTAACAGAATGACTCCATGTCTTGGACTTGCTTGCAGCTGTACCCACGAGTGACGTGGAAACATAACGAGGCCATCCACAACTCCTCAATTAAGGAACGGAAGAGAAGGGTGCTACTTAATTGCGAGTACATTTCCCTGAACTCCGAGTAATTCCACAGAAGTCTTATTTTTGAATCAGGAAAGATGCTACATACGGCATCGCCACCCTGAACGAGACCGAAGATATGCACACTATGAATGTATCTGGGGAAGTAACGCATCGAACGAGCAACTAGAGAATTTAAGCGTTATCTAGCAGAAAACAAAAGAAAATTGCCCTAAAGGGCTTGTAGCACGTTATTTGCTTTCATGAATGCCATCCCAACAAGCAACGTCTTTATAGTGAAGTCAGTTGTTGCAAGTTGATGCAATGCGCGAGTTTAAATGAAGTAAATGTACTCGGAAGTCCGAGCGCATTACTCATTACTCGAAAGTCCTCAAAATGTACTCGAAAGTAAGGACGACCCGGAAGAGAATTGCCCCCGTGGGGTTCGAGTTCAATCAGCTAGTTCTGCAAAGGTAAACGCTTCAACTGTTCAAGGGGACCACGAGTCTATCCAAGATCCAGGGCAGCGACGATATGCCCCCCCCCCCTCGTGCTGGAGTTGCGGTGGAGCCTTAACAGCGTCCCATGACGCATTTCCGACCATTGCCATTTGTGCGCCGGTTCCAGCTTTCAAGCTTTGGGTAGCAACTACCGCAGCTTATTGTATGGCAGCCCAACTACGACGAACAACCAAGCAGAATACAACGGGCTGCTCACCGGCCTGGTATACGCACACAGGGCGAACATTGACCCGCTATTTGTTGTCGGGGATAGTCAGCTCATCATTCGGCAGCAGCGGACTCGCGCGGAACCACGAGCGCATCATTTGCGTCAACTTTATATGCGATGCAGAGGGCTGGCAGACAAGTGCAAGGTAGTCAAGTGGACACATCAACTCAGGGTATTTAACAAGACAGCGGACTCGCTAGCAAACTTGGCTATGGACACCGCTCGCAGCAGACAAGTGATATTTTCTCCAGAAACTACGGATGATCACTTCCACACGGTAGTGATGCGATACGCTGCTATCGATCTACGCAAATGGCTGGATGATTGATTGTGCAGAAGATCGCAGATAAAACTTTTCCGGGTTGGTCCACCGCATAAACGGACTGAAGACCTGCCAGCGACGGAAACGGGCGTAGGTAGGAGGTGTGATTAGAGGTCGTTAGGTAACTAAGTGACAACAACACATCTAATAATTAAAAAAAAACTACCGCAGCTTAATGTTGCTACCCACTGCTCCGACCGTGCTTTGGCAATCTACTGACAAATTCACGACCAGGGGTGGGATCTAGAAAAATGATGCCACTGTTTTTTTTCAAATGTATGCAGTAGCACCTCCACCCGTAGAAGCGTTTGGCGCGCACGCTGCTGCCACGCTCAACTACTACAGTAGTAATAGTAGTTTTTTTAAAGGAGATCTCGCAGCCCATGAATACACGATGAAGTCTAAACAACTAATAAAGGGGTTTATCCCATAAACCTCCTATCCCAGCCTTCCCACTATTTGTGCTGTATCGTTTTTTTTCAATGAGACTACAATAATAGCGGGTGTTAAGTGAGCACCGAGTATATTATTGGAGCACTGTCATCAACCTCATTCTTGTCAATCATGTCGAGGGCGTTGACCATGCGGACCAAGCTTCCTCGATCTTGGAAGCGGCTTCAAGTGAGCTATTACGGAGGGTCGTACTCCATCCACCGTCTACTCGCTTTGGAGACTTACACAAAGAATACGTCGCCATTACGCGCTCTCCTCGTGTGCATTGGAGCTCCACTACCCATGGCAATCATCGTTTTTATTCAAGAATCGATTCCGCTTCGCGGCCTGAAAGACGGATGGAGCGCCAATTACGGCCAGTGGATACGCGTGACGATGCTGACTTTCGTGATAACTTACTCGTCCACAAGCCCGATAAATTACTTCCTCGAGGGGATTCATTACTCTGTCCGCCAACTGGTACAGCTCTCCACCTGCGTTTCGGTACTTCTCACTGCGTGTACAATGCTCATTTCTGCCTATTTGATCTTCCCGATCCCGTTCTCCGTGCTTACCATGACCCCGATCTACAATATTATTTACCTCATTTCACTCCGAATTGTGGTGGGGGCTGAGGCTATCGAACGTACCAAGGCCCAGCCGGAACAATTCAAGCGGTTCTTGAACAACTTACATGCTCAAGTCGCCATGATGTTCGTGTACCCAATCTACGAGGTGTTGTTCCGCACAGCTGAAGGCTCGCACTACCAGCTTCTGGTGATCCTGCTTTTACCCGTGATCAGAGTTTTTCTCAAGAATATCGTGCGAAAATCCATGATGCATGCGGAGGATATGGTACCGGAGGCGGTGATTTTCACGGTGGATTTCTTCAATGCCATCTACACTGCGACGTGCATGCAAACGGCGTCCTCCGTCCTCTCCATCTCAATGATCACCGTCACGGATTTATCTCAAACCGCTGCCATGTTGTACGGATTACACTACTATCTCATCAAAACTTCTCACTAGCGTTCAAGCATCCTCAGAGAGGGAGAAGTAGGACCTACTGCTCAGTGTTTTATCTGCTTTGTGTCGAGATCCTGTAAAATTTACGAAGCAGAATCGAGCGGGGCTTACAATTCGTTCGTGTTTCGCTCACCACCTCTCTGAATCAGACGCAAATCTCCTGGATACGCTGGAAACTACTATGAACGAAGATGATCTATACAGCAACAAGCAAAGAAGTCAACAGCAGTTGTACCATATCCAACTGCTGATGGTGTTCCATCTCGTAAACCAGCTTTGAACCACTGGCTCTGCTCCAGAAGTCGTAATGGCTCCATTCAACCAACTTCAGACCTTGTAAACATGGCAACTCCTCCAGTCCAGCAAGGAAAACGACTCACTACGAATAAAAGCTCCCACACTAATACTATCGACCACCCGACGTTCCTGCGAGATTCACTTGAGGTCCTGTTCACTGTGGAGTGCCTCGTTGTCACCGCGTACCTAGAAGCCGTCATTCCGTTGTTCTACACCGCGTACATATTGGTGATGGTACACCTGCCGAGCTCCAGATATCACACTGAAATGGTCGGCATGACGCCGGACAACGTGGTAGCGAGGATTCTACCTGTGTTCACGTTCGGTCTACTTGAGATCGCACCGCTCGTGCTGTTGGTGGTCGTGATCAAACGGAACTGCAGGATGCGGGCGATTTACCACCTCGCGTTTGTGCTCGAGTCGCAGAGGTCGCTGATCCAGATAAAGTTGATCGTGTGGGTGATGATCACCTTGTGCTTCCGTGTCATGCATTTTGGTACGTTGTACAGTACTCGGATCCGCAATACATTGGGCTACAGTAGTTATGTTCTGTCGGTCAATGTGAACTCATTGTTGTGTTTTTATGGTTGTGCAGGAGTAGATTTTACGTTCAAGTTCAAAGGTTTCGGGTACAATTTCTCGAGCGATTAGGCTCCAACCTCGGCATAGAGGCACATAAATCAGTTGTTCTCCCTGTTTGTATATAATGAAACTACTAAAGTTGTGGATTTGATTTTTCATGAAAGTTTCTTCATTTTACACAATTATCTACGATATTTTGGAGAAAGATGACTGTGTCTGCTGATGCTTGCTTGCCTACTACACCTTGGATTAGCAAAGATGTAATAAATTGAAATATAGCGCTGTAATTATTAATGTTTGGAGTGTTCTTGGGCTGCAACATGGACTTTTGTTGGACTTTGCCACTCGTTTCCACTTACTTCGTTGCAAGATGGTCAACACACTACGAGCGCATGGAGCGAGGCTGCTTCATGCCTGGAAGCGACTACAAGTGAGCTATTACGGCGGCAAGTATTCCGTCCATCGACTGCTAGCCTTGGAGACTTACGCGCAGCATTCAAGTGGGCTAAACGCACTATTGGTATGTGTCGCGACGCCACTACCAATGATCGTCCTTGTCTTCGTCCAAGAGTCGATCCCTCTTCGAGATCCAACAGACGGCTGGCGAGTGAATTACGGATTCTGGATTCGAGTTGTAATCCTCACCTTCGTGATAACGCACTTCTCTACGGGTCAAGCGGTTTATTTTATTGAAGGATTTACGATCTCTACACGACGATTAGTGCTGCTTTCTACGTGAGTCTCAATACTGTTCACCGCTCGTACGATCCCCATTGAAGCGTACTTGATCTTCCCTCTCCCGTTCTCCATTTTGACCATGACCCCGATCTACAACATTCTCCACATCGTATTATTTCGGGTCATTATGGGCGGAAATGCTGTGCAGAAACTTCTGACGCGTCGAGAACAGCTCGTCAAGTACATGAACTTTCTGTACGCTCAGATCCTGATGATGTTTGTGTATCCAGTCTACGAACTGTTGTTTCGGCTTGCCGAGGGATCGAAGTACCAGTTCTTGGTGATTCCGCTTCTACCCGTGATCAAGGTGGGGATCAAAAATATTGTTTTGCGGTGCGTCGCTCACGTTGAAGACATTGCGCCAGAGTCGGTGATCTTCACTGTCGATTACTTCAATGCCATCTACGTGGCGACGTGTATGCAGAGCGCGTTCTCGGTGCTGGCTATTGTGGCGATTTCCGTCACGGATCTCTCGCAGACAGTCATAATGCTGTACGGGTTGCACCATCGGACGATTTCCATTCGAAAGATGCTTCGACACTACACCGACTGTGGTAATCCTGGTGATATGTTGGGCATTATCTGCTCGTTGTGTCAAAATCCCGACAAATTCAAGAAGGTGAAGCTCACAGACGTCCGGATTTACTCGTGCTTTCCTCATCAACTATCCGCGGAGGACGCGGATCTGCTGAACATATGCCAAAAGCTGAAGTATATTCACACCAAGAAAACTCGAATTAATTCAGCCATTGTCGTGCCTTTACTATGATAAGCATGGGTCTCCTATATTTTGTAACACTGTTTACCCCTTCACGGCTGACTTAACCTTACCAGAGGAAGTGCGACCCACAGAAAGTGTTCGTCTCGAAAAGGTTGCGGCAGTGGATCAGTCCAAAATGCTGCACAATGCTTTGGAGCTACTGTTTACCTGGAATGTCTCGTTGTCACTGCCTACCTGGAAGCCGTTATTCCACCCTTTACATTCTGATCATGGTTCACCTCCCAAGAGCCTGATATCACACCGAAATGGCTGGTGTCGCCCTCGACAACGTGGGTGCCACCGTCCTTCCTGTCTTCGTGTTTGGACTGTTGCAGATCGCATCGTTCTGGGTACTCGTGATTATGGTCAAGCGCAGTTGCGGGATGAACGCGCTGTATCATTTGGCGTTCGTATTGAAAGCGCAAAGACCTCTTATTCAGGGCAAGTTGATGATCTGGATGGTGGTGTTTCCGTGTCGTTCATTTCGGTACATTTCCATACTTTGCTGGGTTGATGTGGAGAGCGAAAGTAAGCTTACTAACTATTTGGTGTTTGTACTGACGCTAGGTGCCGACTTCACGTTCAACTTTGCGAGGCTTGGGTACAACTTCTAACGGAGTCAGTTTAAGGTCGATCTTGTGATGATAACAAGCGAAATTTTTGCTCGTTAATTTAAGAAACAGAAGTCCGAGATTTTTTTGAGTCAAGCAGAGCTTGGTGTTTGTATTAACACCAATGGATGCCCTGCCATTGTTGCTGCACTTTCATCCTTTCGTTCAGGCATATATTTTACACTCGAATTCCGGGTTTCGGCGACAAGGAACTGTTATGGATTAATGATGTGTGCTTACTTTGATGACGACAAAGTTCTTGATGTCATTTTCCTTAGAAACTCGTGTTGTTATTTTCGCTTGCATTGTTAAGTACCTAATATGATTAGAAATAAAAAAACTCGATGATCATGGCAGTAAAAGAGAACAAGGAGTACTCGCTGCACTCCATGTTCTCTTTTCCTGTCATGATCACTGATTTGTTTTTATCCTGCCGCGATCTTGTGCAGTATAAGAGATCGGCTTGCAGTCAGCCAGTAGGTCGCTTACATGATGTAAGTTACATCCTTCGGATCTCGATTAACCCTTTCGTGAACGAAGGGTGCATAATGCTCCCATCGAGGTATTTTTGAAAACAAGGTGCGATTCCAACCCTTCGAAAGGGGCATAATGCCTTCTTCCACCCGAAGGGGCGCTCAACCTCACCCAATTTTATTTTGACCAATCCAGTGTAAGGCGAATAGGAGTAATGTATGCTCGGCTGGGCTTTCACCTCCAAAAACAGATGAAACCCTGCTAAATGTGATGAAATTTACGCGATAGATTCCTGTCTTTGGTAGATGAGCAGCTTGAAGGCGGCTACACGAAACCGTCGTGGTACTTGCGGTTGATTTAACGTGGTGGTGATTCACCACCACTGGTGAATGGAGGCTGAGTGTCAGTCTCGAACTCGCCGCGTACGCCAAAGATGGATTTCCGTCGCAAAGGCGACTATGTAAAGGTTTCTCGTGCGTGTTGAAAGTTTTTGCGTGTGGATTGGTTGCTAACTGCCCTGTATAGTTTGCTGCTCCGATCAAACGACACGCATCGGATGGCAGGAGCATTTACGGCGATCCAGCGGAAAATCTCAAAAAGGTAGGCATGGCATAGCATATAATCTCCGTCAAACAGCATCCTTATTGCTTCCCCTTGTACAAGCACTTTCTTTCTTCAGCTGTGAAATGGAAGTAGAGTTTGACGCCCTCAATCCAGTCTACTGGCCTTCGGAAGACCGAGTACGTTTGTACATTGTGACGTTTGGTAAACTGTATGTTTGCTAAGGGTACGGTCATGTCAAGGAATACGAGCGCGGGTTCGGGTCCTCGGTGGACGTAGATGATTTATTGCGGCGCTACCAGTGAAAGAAATGTACTCTGTCTATGCTGCTGCGTGGGAAAGCGGCGGTGAGTTCACCGGTAAGCTCCTACACGACTTTGTCTTTATCATGCGTTGGTGGAAGACTTCGATGGAGATCTCTGAGGTAAGCTTTTTGTCGGAACTTTATAATGGCTTCTTAGGTCGCTTACTTGCATTCACTTGATTATGTTATAGATCACCCGCAAGGATATCAAAGCTCGCCTATAGTATCTGGATGCGTACCTATCGCGAAAACGCCGTGCTTTAGACGTTCATGTGGAGAAATACGTTGCGCTACAGGCCGACGCTCTTGCTGGTGACGACGCACGCAACCGGCACCTTGTTGATGGTTTCAAGCGTGAGCGAAGCTACAATCTGATGGCTTTTCTTTCGAGGGCCATGGAAGTTGTGGACGTATTGGCCGAGCAGCTTGAAGACGAGCGACTCCAGCGGAAGATTTGTAACTGCGAGAAGTTCTGCTACTACCGTTCTCCTGAGTGGTTAACAGCCGTTCGGAATGGCCCCCGACACACTGCCACCAAAGCGCTTTCACCGTCAACGCTGTGAAACGTTCTCTCTGACAGAACACTACTACAAACTCTAGCGTAAGGCAAGCGCCAGTTTGTACGAGTTGTAAGCCTGTCAATTTCTTTTTCTCTTTGTATTACATGCTAAGTTGTCTTTCACTACAGTTGTGGTTAATGTCGCTTGGAGCTGTTATCGGACGTGTACAGTGGACAAGTAAAGCCGGGTTACACATTGGTCGCTGGTTATAATGTAGTGGGATTTACAGATTATCTAGCTGCCGTTCCTACCAACGCAATAGTGCAATCTCGTCGGTCAGTCGGCTCGGTGCTGCCATTGGTCGTTCCGCGTGGACAACGCGTCCAGGACGTGCGTGGAGTCGCCCGGCGTCTTGTCAATTCATCTGAAGGTGGTCTCGGGGTTGACTACGACGTCCAGAAGCAGCGTGGTGGTGTCGGCTACCTCGTTCACCATAGTCGTCAGCAGCCTGCTGTAAAACAACCTGCACAACAGTCATCGCCTTCAAGGTGGCAGCCTCTCCCACCATGATGGCCGTGCGCACACTGCCCAGAATGATGACCTTCAGCAGCGTTGAAGGGCAGATGCTGCGCACTTTCGGTAGCCATGGGATGCAGTGGCCCCAGTCCCGATGTCTGCCGAGATGATACTTGGTATCGAGAAGCTTGGCCACGCCCACGGTCAAACGCAGACCTGATACCCAAGTCGTTGGCGAAGCTCACGCAGTACAGCGCCCTACTGCTTAGTGGTGTGGCAGCCGGAGAAACCTCCGTAGCGTGCTATCCAGCCGTGTAGAAGTAGCAATCGTACTGTGGCGGGCAGGATTCCGCCGGCGCAGGTGCACCACGCCCGGCATGGCGGCATGAACTTGGGGATGTCGTCTCGTATGACGCCAAGCTCGGTGTCCAGCTGTAGCAAAGCGTTCCGCGGCTGCGACGTAGACATCGATCGTAGGGTTCAGCAACCGACGCCAACTACGATGTCCAGCAGCACCGACGTCGAGTACAGCGTCCAACAGCTCGGATGTAGACGCCAAGCATGACGCACACCAGCACCGACGACATGCATGGCGCTCTGCGGCTTTGCCGCCACGAACGAGGCTCAGTAGTATACCGAGATCCGGCAACGACGACGTCGAGCATGACGCTCACCAGCACCGACGACAAGCATGGCGTCAGCGGCTCCGACACCAAGAACAAAGCTCAGCGACTCCGACGTCGAGCACGGCGTCCAGTGGCTTCGAAGAAGCCCTCGGGTGCATTACTCAGCGGGCAAGGGTGTGAGCTTCGCGGGGCTGACTTCGATCATGACGGCCAGTATCGAGACCATGTCGACGCGCACGGTGCGCAACGGGCCTTCGTGTTGCTGGAGGCGAACAGGGCGGGACGTTGCTCGGTGGACGTGCTCCTTGTGGCGTCTGCCCAGACGCGGGACTCGTCATGGGCATGGGGGTCTTCAGCTTGGCAGCATCCGTGAGCATGGGGTTCGTGAGTAGGGCGCCGAGTAGCTTGGTGGCAAAACGCTGGCGCAGTTTGCAGGAGCCGGCAAAATCGGAAGTGAGCGATTGATTTGAAGCGGCGCCGCGCGCGCAAGATCGCGGTTTGGCGCCCAAAGCTTTAGTTAATTCCACCAATTGCCGCCCGCTGCTACATTGACCAGCCAATCACCACACAGCGTTATCACGATCGCTACCTGTGATTGGCGGGATTAGCAAAACCGAAGACATAGGCGAAACTCTCTGAGCGATTATTGGTAGAAATAGAGGAAGCAAAAAGACCGCAAAAGCTTGGATACGCTGCAGCTAACCGCAAAATTTGCGTTTTGCCTGAATGGGTGCGCTGCCGATCGATAGCGACGCACGTACCTAAAACAATACGTGTGGTAGGAAGAGGATCTAGAACAAGCGGAAATGGTAGTTCATACAGTTAGAAATAAGCACCACGGTAGTCTGCAAAAGCTACTTGACGTACACGCGCAGCAATTTCACCCCTGCCGCCTCTGTCGTTCACACCACCGTATTGTCCCGGTGTCACCGCCGCCGCACCAGCTGTATTTAGCACCGCCATTTGGCCGTCGCAGAAATCTAATCAAACGACCAGTAGCGGTATGATGGCGCCGGCAAAACTGCGCGTTGCTCAACTCCGTTTGCGTAAGGGTATGCGCCTTTAATGGCGCCGCGGTGTCCTGGCGGCAGCCCCAACCCGCGCGTGCTGTTGGCAGCGTGGACACTTTGGCCGCAGTGATGGTCTGCACCCAGCACTACTCAAGCCTGCATCCAGCACTACTCAGGTTACCACCTGCGTAATCTTGTTGCTGGCAGCGTGCTCGCTGCCCGGCACATTTTGCGTGGGGATATTGCCGATGATGGCGCCGTGGTGTCCTGGCACCTGAAAAGCCAAGCTAATAGTAGTAAACGTCGATCGCCATGACCATCACGTGACCCTCCCCCTGTACTACTCACTGGTGCGTCACCACTAACTGTACACTGCTGTTGGGCGAACAAACGATAAGTGGTGTGGGGGGGGGTTATCGAGCTATTTGGTTCCGGACGAGCCCACCCTTTTAGTGTACATACAAGTCAAGAAAATAAACTGTGCGCTGTGGAAGGAACATACGCATTTTTATTACTCACAAAAGCGTCATGTATTGAAGCAGCAATGTGTCTGGTTTCAGAAATAATAACATGAATTATTGCTAACCCTTTCTAAGAAGTCACTGCAGCGATGACTCGAAACAAATCCTCACATGAAGGCAGCCAGACAGTGTGCGTCCGGTGCGCCATCGCTACATTAGTGGCCGTTTGAATAGCTCTTCGTTGCGGCCAAAATCTCTGCATTAACCTCCTCCCTTTAGCGCGCCGTCTTTGATCCGGGACAATATAGGATGTAGCGGCGAATGCACCGCTCGTCGTGTGTTCACCCAACTGTTCACCCAACAGCAGTATACAGTTAGTGGTGACGCACCAGTGAGTAGTACAGGGGGAGGGTCACGTGATGGTCATGGCGATCGACGTTTACTACTATTAGCTTGGCTTTTCAGGTGCCAGGACACCACGGCGCCATCATCGGCAATATCCCCACGCAAAATGTGCCGGGCAGCGAGCACGCTGCCAGCAACAAGATTACGCAGGTGGTAACCTGAGTAGTGCTGGATGCAGGCTTGAGTAGTGCTGGGTGCAGACCATCACTGCGGCCAAAGTGTCCACGCTGCCAACAGCACGCGCGGGTTGGGGCTGCCGCCAGGACACCGCGGCGCCATTAAAGGCGCATACCCTTACGCAAACGGAGTTGAGCAACGCGCAGTTTTGCCGGCGCCATCATACCGCTACTGGTCGTTTGATTAGATTTCTGCGACGGCCAAATGGCGGTGCTAAATACAGCTGGTGCGGCGGCGGTGACACCGGGACAATACGGTGGTGTGAACGACAGAGGCGGCAGGGGTGAAATTGCTGCGCGTGTACGTCAAGTAGCTTTTGCAGACTACCGTGGTGCTTATTTCTAACTGTATGAACTACCATTTCCGCTTGTTCTAGATCCTCTTCCTACCACACGTATTGTTTTAGGTACGTGCGTCGCTATCGATCGGCAGCGCACCCATTCAGGCAAAACGCAAATTTTGCGGTTAGCTGCAGCGTATCCAAGCTTTTGCGGTCTTTTTGCTTCCTCTATTTCTACCAATAATCGCTCAGAGAGTTTCGCCTATGTCTTCGGTTTTGCTAATCCCGCCAATCACAGGTAGCGATCGTGATAACGCTGTGTGGTGATTGGCTGGTCAATGTAGCAGCGGGCGGCAATTGGTGGAATTAACTAAAGCTTTGGGCGCCAAACCGCGATCTTGCGCGCGCGGCGCCGCTTCAAATCAATCGCTCACTTCCGATTTTGCCGGCTCCTGCAAACTGCGCCAGCGTTTTGCCACCAAGCTACTCGGCGCCCTACTCACGAACCCCATGCTCACGGATGCTGCCAAGCTGAAGACCCCCATGCCCATGACGAGTCCCGCGTCTGGGCAGACGCCACAAGGAGCACGTCCACCGAGCAACGTCCCGCCCTGTTCGCCTCCAGCAACACGAAGGCCCGTTGCGCACCGTGCGCGTCGACATGGTCTCGATACTGGCCGTCATGATCGAAGTCAGCCCCGCGAAGCTCACACCCTTGCCCGCTGAGTAATGCACCCGAGGGCTTCTTCGAAGCCACTGGACGCCGTGCTCGACGTCGGAGTCGCTGAGCTTTGTTCTTGGTGTCGGAGCCGCTGACGCCATGCTTGTCGTCGGTGCTGGTGAGCGTCATGCTCGACGTCGTCGTTGCCGGATCTCGGTATACTACTGAGCCTCGTTCGTGGCGGCAAAGCCGCAGAGCGCCATGCATGTCGTCGGTGCTGGTGTGCGTCATGCTTGGCGTCTACATCCGAGCTGTTGGACGCTGTACTCGACGTCGGTGCTGCTGGACATCGTAGTTGGCGTCGGTTGCTGAACCCTACGATCGATGTCTACGTCGCAGCCGCGGAACGCTTTGCTACAGCTGGACACCGAGCTTGGCGTCATACGAGACGACATCCCCAAGTTCATGCCGCCATGCCGGGCGTGGTGCACCTGCGCCGGCGGAATCCTGCCCGCCACAGTACGATTGCTACTTCTACACGGCTGGATAGCACGCTACGGAGGTTTCTCCGGCTGCCACACCACTAAGCAGTAGGGCGCTGTACTGCGTGAGCTTCGCCAACGACTTGGGTATCAGGTCTGCGTTTGACCGTGGGCGTGGCCAAGCTTCTCGATACCAAGTATCATCTCGGCAGACATCGGGACTGGGGCCACTGCATCCCATGGCTACCGAAAGTGCGCAGCATCTGCCCTTCAACGCTGCTGAAGGTCATCATTCTGGGCAGTGTGCGCACGGCCATCATGGTGGGAGAGGCTGCCACCTTGAAGGCGATGACTGTTGTGCAGGTTGTTTTACAGCAGGCTGCTGACGACTATGGTGAACGAGGTAGCCGACACCACCACGCTGCTTCTGGACGTCGTAGTCAACCCCGAGACCACCTTCAGATGAATTGACAAGACGCCGGGCGACTCCACGCACGTCCTGGACGCGTTGTCCACGCGGAACGACCAATGGCAGCACCGAGCCGACTGACCGACGAGATTGCACTATTGCGTTGGTAGGAACGGCAGCTAGATAATCTGTAAATCCCACTACATTATAACCAGCGACCAATGTGCAACTCAACTTTGCGCACGCATCAGCTCTGTACACACGGAATAACAATTTGGCAAGGTAGCATAGGAAGCATCCTTCGTATATTTACATATTAAAGCATTGCCAACCTACTCACACGGAAGTATCGTTCAGATCGCTCACGATCGATCGAGCGGCGCGAGGTCGGGGTTGCTCTGTCGGAGTGTTTGAGGGTACCATGGACGTCTCCTTCAACTTATACAGCGATGATGATGTACGGAGGTTGCCTTTCTCTGAGAAGAGTTGGTTAGGAACGTAGTAGCGATGAAACTTTTCCCAACATGTCAGGTCCGTCTCCGTGCACATATACGGCTTGATTTCTTGCTGGTAAATGCTGCGGCAAAGCCAAACATTATGTCTACCGCAATAGTCGGTCTTTTCCGTCGCGTATCGATCCTCCCAGCGACAGACAACACACGCGCGCCGCTTTCTACTGCAATCACCGAGGGCTTGTCGTGATGTCACAGCAACACACCGCTTGTGGGGGCTTCCGTCAGGAATGGTAGACTGCGGTACTGCTGTCGAAAGAACTAGCAAAGGGATTGGCTCGTCGGAACCAACGACATCAAACGCAATACGGCCATCACTCGGCGAATCGACCCATTTGCCAGAAATTAGCTCCGATGAAAGTTGAATCATGAAATCCCTGTGCGAATCGCGGTCTTTAGACATATCTACCACCTGACGGCGCGTTAGATACGCGTTTGATCTGGCAATATCGATGAGGCCAAGCGCCAGTTTCTTATGCCACGGCTTGAACGAGCTGCCGTCAGCAATGGAGAAACGCGCCCGAGTCTGGTCGAGTCTGTCGACGCCTTGCATGTGCGCATTATACTCTTTCACACACATAGATGCCGGGTAAGTTTGCTTAGTCGCTCCCACTTGGCGATCCACAGTCCCTATCACCGACGAATCAGCGTTCGAAATGACCTGAACAATACTCCCATCGCACCACGACGCAGCCACGATACTGTGCTCGGAAGACACACCTTGCCGATAATCGCCTCGAGTTGCGGAGTTCTTGTCTAGTACTGTGTGTTTGGGGAAGTGCTTGCTTGTACCCCTCACCGTACCTCGTGCGTAGAGTCCTTTAAGTCGCAGCGCCTGCAATAGTTGGACCGAAGTATAGTAGTTATCCATGTTCACGATTCGATTGGATCCATAGAGAGGCCGAACCGCTTCAAGAACGAGCTTCCGGACAGCAGACACCTTCGCTGTCGCTAGTTCTCCACTAAGTTCTTCTGCCGAACCTGTGGGCACAACGCCCTGCAGCCTGTCAGCCATAGTACTACTGCAATGAAATCGAAAATTCACAGCAATCCATGTCGTACCACAACACAACACGTAAAGCCGGAAGTGATACTTCCCTGTTGGCTTCATCGGGTTATAGACAATAACATGGCGCCCGAACTTTGAGCGGCATGCGATACTGCACTCATCGAGGGCAACCTCCCCCCCCCAGCTCAATATATTTTCCCCCAGTACACGTGAGCAAATTCAAGAGGGGCCGAATGTGCGCGGCAGGATCAGTCTGAGCAGATGGAGGCGCAGCCCGGAAGCAAAACACTTTTCGAAGCAGCTTGAAACGCCTCAGTGGCATGACTTTCTCCAACCCCGACGAGGTTTGGTTGCCCAGTATTATATCCTCTGGTTGCGGCCCCCAGTAGTTAGAGTATTCACCTCTGTCCGTGATCGTCATGAAAAATAGAATTCCAATGAACTTCATCAGCTCCGCCAATGTCACAGGATGTGCCAGGTTGATGCCCTTGATCTTTGCGTACGCATTGCACTCATTGACCACTTGCTGCCAAACGTACAGTGGTATGTACACCAGAAAACTCGATGACGCAGAATGAGTAAACAGGTGCGTATATTCAGGCCGCACACGAGTTACATTTGCTCCATTTTTCCTGTCGTACAAGTCATGGGGGGCTTTCATCTCAACGCGGGGGTCGAACCGCATACTTTTTACAGTCTCAACCTCTTTCAATGTTGTCGGGAGTGGCTGATCGGGGTCAAACTCCACGGGTCCCTCCTCTACCTCAACAAGGTCTTCTAGAGAAACACTCTTGGGAGGTCTTCATCGTCTTCTGCGTGCGCGGTTGTCAATGCTGTCCAGGTTGGCTTCGATGAAGTTTGCGTGAGCAACCTATAATTTTCGATTCCTTGTTGTAGAACTCCAAGCGGAACCCAGTGTGAGTGCTTCTGAAATATGGTGTCTAACCAACGCACTTCGTACAGAACAGCTTAGTTTTGGACAGTCCGTCGGCGCACACGACCCACAATAAGCTGAACCCACAGGACTGAACGTCGACTCCAACTTTTTTGTCAAAAGCCACTTTGATTTTGAAGGTGTGTACGCGATGAGATTGCCGATGTAGTGCTCCGGGCTTGCTGGTGGTGCAACTGAATTTCTCGAACTTATAGCGGCTTGCGAGCTTGCTATCCGTGACTCAACTTCGTTCATCCCCAAACCAAAGTAAGACTTAGAACTGACGCTGCCATCAATATCACCATTTGCCTCATCCGATGAAGCATGACTTTGCTCTGCGATCCTCGCCACCGTGCCTTCCCCCACCTCCTGGCCGCGTCCACGTCCAGATCGACCACCGCGACCGCGTCCAGCGCTCCGACCGCGACCACGACCACGACCCGAACGAGCTGTAACACATCTCTCCCCGCGACCAGTGGCATCCACGCCCACAGCAACGCCTCGAATAGGCTCCTCAACCCGTACTTCAGGGGTCCGTTCGCTACCACATCCACCGACCGAATGAGCAATCCTCGCTGCTCCAGCAGCGTTTGCAGTGTGGCCGTGCTTCTCGGGCAGTAATACCCGGCTGCAGCCTTGACCTTGCCCCCGACGATCACGATCTCCACCACCGACATCGTCACAACCAGTCTGCTCATGACTGAGTCCCTTTTGCTCCACTCGTCCTTCCCGTCCAATCGCAATACGATCCATGTCCTGGTCCAGTAAAGCTCCTTCGCCGCGAGATGGGTGGTCGTCATTAGTTGTGCCTGCACCATTTGCATCTTCGTCCACAACTCGCTCGGCCAACCCCGCAACCATATCATCGTGATCGCCTACGGGCACACTAGAAAGTTCACGAGTTTGTACAGAAACAGTATCACTCACAGCAGCAAGATTGAGCTGTAAAGTGCTGGTGACGTGCGCGACTATTGCCTCCTCCCCTAAAAAAGTCTCGGCCTTCTTGCCCAGCAACACCACCATCCGGTGGGATGTAGCGGTAGCGGGTGTCCAAACTGCGCAACGATGGCCGCTTCGCTGTCCATCCATCACGTAGGAGATCTCGCCAAATTCTCGTGAAAGCAGCCGTCTGTCATAGCAGAGTACACGTAATTAAAACCCAGCAAACATGTTATCATTAGCTGTTTTCTTCCGTACCTCTCGATATTTCAGCACTGCTTACATCTTGAGAGCGCGTCAGGCGTCGGTACTTCACAGCACCAGCAGCGTCCGTCGGCACACTTTGCTTTGATCTTGCCATCGTTTTTTTCGAAGTGAAGGGGGAGAGGCCAAGACCTGGGGCAGGGGAATCCATTTATTTTCACAGTACAGATGTATTGCGAACATTAGTACCGGCGAAATTGATCGACCATAACCCAAAAGGTTATACAAATTGAAGACCTCGATGTCAGTGATGGGGTGGTGGGATGGGGCGGTATGCGCAGGGTGATGCTCATTGAAAGATATGGCGAAGATAAAAGCTCCCACAGTGTTTGGAAGCCTGCTAAGCACGCTGCAGTGGCGGCGCCCGACCAATCGCAAGAAGTCGGCGACTCTTCAGCGGCGCAGGTTTCACGAGTCTACCGTTTTGGCCTATCAGAATGCTCTAATTGGTCCTGTCGATGGGGGCATTTTGCATCCTTCTATCATTGAACCCATTGATGGACACGAATGGCTACATGCCCGATAGTGGCAAAATGCCTCCTTCTATTTCGAACTTACTTGATTTTGTATAGTATACAAGAATGAAGTATTCGCGAAAGGGTTAAGCGATCAGCCACCACGTCACCGACGCCATGACAATTGCCGCTATTGTGCGGCTCACACCTTGAAGGCTCGACGCGGCGCTCTTGCTGCTGGCCGAGGTGGTCGTTGTGGTTGTTGTCGTGGTCGTCGTGGTCGTGTTCTTTTCTGTTCAGGCCGCTGGTGCTGCTGTTGTGGCTGTGGGCAGCTCCACCTTCTGAGTGCGCTCCGAGTACTTTCGGCCGTACTGATCGACGCACGGGATGAAGTACTGGAATTGCAGGTCGTTCAGGCTCCATTGCATTTCGCCTGACAAACTGATGTCGCCGTCTTGCAACTTGTATGACGCGGTGCATCCGTTCTGCTGCTTTCCGACGAAGCAGCCCATCTCAGGAAAGTACGCCTTGGAGACGAGCAAGGGCGGTGTTTGATCGTCCATGAAGTAGGCCACGTTGCGTGCGCAGGCACCAGTGCTGTACGCGACGGCATCGTAGTCGAACGCTGTTGCGTTTATCGCCAGACACGTGCAGCCAGAAGGGGCCTTGTATTCCAGCGTGATTGCGGTTGAATCCGTCGAATCCGTCGTCGTGCTAGAAGCCGTCGACGCATCATCGCATCCAGTCGTTGTTGTCGTGGTGGTCACTATAGTGGTGGTGGTCATAGTACTCGGTGCTGGGCACGTGTCCTCGTTAAGACATCCTGACCCGCACTCCTTGTTGAGCGCTGGGATAATGTTGCCCTCGATGATATTCAGCGCTTCGTTTGCCTTGTCAAGCTTGCCTGCTGCCAATTTGGCAAACTTCCCAGCGCCTTTCAGAGCTGTTGCGGCATCCAAAGCCGCCGAGACGCACGAATGAACCGTGTGGAGCTGCTGCCTCGAACCCCTTGAAGCAGTCTCTGAAGTCGTCGAACACGGAGTTGATCTCCCCTACTCCCAGGTCGATGACGAAGTCCAGTTGATCAGGTGTCAAGGCCTTGAGTGCATTCCCCAGGGTGGTGATGATTGCATCGAGCTTGATGGGACAAACGGCATCGAAAGCGCATTTGCCGACAGTGATTGGATTCAGACAAATGGCTTGACCGTCGCCGCACTTGAACGTCCCAAAGAAGCACTTCGCCTCAGTAGGTGTTGACTGCGTTCCGAGCAGCAGCGCAACGATGGCAAAACGTGGAGCAATGACGCGCATGGGTTTCTTGGTGGTGCAGGTACTGAAGGGGCTTGGAGCCACCAAGTTGGCAGCTCTTCGGTTGTGATGAGCAGGTTTACAAATGATCAGGCTCTAGACTCGTCGTAGAGTTGGGAGCTACAGTAGTTCGAGCTCTAACGAGCAATTTCGATATTTTTACTGTCAACAGTAGTCAAGATGAAGGAAGTCGCCGACAGAGCAGATAGACGCTGTTTAATATACAGGTTCAAAGAAGCGACTTGTGTCTCCACAATTCGGTGTCTATCTCTGGTCGCTGAGCAGCAACTCGTTCGACAGAGTCGCATGATCACCGCTTCTCATGTGTGCTGGTGGGATGAGTTTTCATTCATTGCGACCCCGCACCTTGTCCTGGCTTGACAGGGCTTACTGGTGCGAACATTCAAATGTTCACCAGTACAGTGCAGCATCGCATTTGCGATCGTGAGGTCGCTTTCACCGACTTCAACCTGAGGCATACAAACAGCAAGCCTTTTTTATCCATACAAAATACAAGTAAAGTGCAAGTCCATCAATTTGGTGTACCACTTACGTATCCCTTACGTCTCGACCATCTATCAAACGTGGCGTCACCCATTTGATCTCTTCGGGTGGCACAAGATGGTGGCGAGAATGACCCAAGTGTGCGCGGCGCTGGCGCTGGCCACGGCAATGCTGACGGCCTCCTCTGCGGCAGAGAAGAAGAAGGAGGCGGCGGACGACGAGCTGGTGCTGGGGCTGTTCACGCCCAAGTGCTTCGAGGCCTTCGCGACGCACCACGACTTCGCCAACGTCGAGTGTATCAAGGCTGTGGTCAGCAAGGCGCTGAGCTACGCCATCATCACGGGCAGCCTGATCCTCAAGCTGCCGCAGATCCTCAAGATCCTGGGCGCCAAGGACGTCACGGGGCTCACGCCGAGCGCCTTCTACATGGAGGTGGTGCTCTACCTGTCCAGCACCATCTACAACCTGCTGCGCGGCTACCCGCTGAGCACGTGGGGCGAGAACCTCGTGATTCTGGCGCAGAACGTGATTCTGGTGCTGCTGCTGTGGGCCTTCTACACACCCAAAATCCCGGTCTCCACGCGCTTCGGACTCGTGGTGGTGTTCGCTGCCATGGCGGGCGGGATGCTGTCCATCCCGGACGAGTACCAGTGGCTGCTGGCCTCTGCCGGCATCCCCGTGAGCATCGTGGCTCGTACGCCTCAGGTAGTGAGCGATGGGTTGCTGTAGTGTTGATTATTATGAGGAGAACTGACGGTGCGATTGTGGTTGGTGTGGTTTTAGATCCTGTCGAACTTCAAGCAGGGCCACACGGGCCAGTTGGCGCTCATTACGCTGGTGCTCAACCTGGCCGGCTCCATTGCGCGCTTGTTCACGACGCTGCAGGAGACGGGCGACCCGGTGCAGGTGGCGGGCTTCGGTGTGACCATCGTGCTCAACGGCACGCTCGTGCTGCAGGTGCTGCTGTTCTGGGGAGCTACCAACAAGGCCCTCGCCGAGGCGTCCAAGAAGAAGGCTCAGTAAGAGATCGGTCGAGTGAGTGAGAGCTGCGTGCTACAGTACAGTAGAGCTCATGCCGCAGCTTTGGCGGCTGTCGGGGTGTTATTCTGTAACAAGCCGTGTTGTTGGCCGTCCTTCTCCTCGTACTCTTCAGTGTCCTGCACACTGTCGATGTCTTCTTCGTTGTCTTCCTCCCCCTCCCCATCCGCTTCCAGCTTCAGTCTGTTGAGTTTCTGCTGTTGCGAGCTGATCCTCTTCTTGGGCTTGGGCTGGTTGAAAATCGGCGGGAAGTCGAGCGTGTTCATAAAGGTAATCGTCTTGGGCGCTCCAATCCTGCTGTAATACCGCACCATACTGCCCGTGAACGGCGCCTTGGGCGCCACGCTCTCCGCCTTCTTCTCCTCCTCCAGCTGCTCCAGTCTCTGCAGTGACTGCGTATTCTCCACTTCGGTCCTCACCGCCTCTGCCAGTAGCTGCGCCTGCGTCAACCTGTTCCCCGTCTTCTCCACCGGCGGCTTCTTGTTCTTCGCCGCCAACTTCGCCGCTTCATGCGACGCTCGTCGTCTCATCTCGGACGACTCGGACGACTTTCTAGCCGTCGAGGACCGCACCGTCGGCGCCACATACTCAAACACAGGCGTCGTCGGCGCAGCAGCTGCTACTGGGGCCTTGTTCACTGCTGCAACTGCCTTCCGTTTAGCTGGTCGAGGCTGGATCGGCTCCTTGTAGCGGCCAGAGCTCGTCGCCGAGCGCTTGCGCCTCGTGGGCTTCTCATCTTCTTCAGCGTCGTGCACCTCGTCATCTGGAGCTTCTTCGTCGTCGAAATCTGAGTCCACAATGTCCTCCTCCTCTGAGATTGATAAAACCCATAGAGTTAGCGATAAAACCCACTGGATTCGCATTGCAACGTGTTGATACCTGCTTCGGTGGAGTAGTCTTCGTCTTCTCCGTCTTCCTGCCACGCCGCTTGGCCCCAGAACGACGCGTCGGCCTCCGCCTCTTCGCCGATGAGTTTGTTGATGCGCGTGCCGCGAGAACTGCGAGCTGGGAGCACCTTGCGGGTCTCCGTGTCGGCTGCAGAGCTGGGACTCCGGCGACGAGAGTGGCGCGATGACATCGTGGACGCGATAATGAAAAATGTGTGGCGATACATAAATTATCGTGGGTTTTATAACAATGTATTGTGTACCCATTTGGGTGAAATGAGAAAAAAAAAAAGTTGGGTGAAATGATGTATGCGTACTTGTTGCTATGATTGCTGCGATGCACTCTTGCTGCGCAAGCTGAGTCAGGATTGAGCTTCTCGGCTTTCGGCGTTGAAGCCACAACTGTCGGATCTCTATATGGTGATTTTCTACATTGTTACCCACCACTTTTAAACCCTAGCGCGGGGAATGACCCCGTCGCTCTCTAGAACTGATAATGCACGATATCCCAGTCAACTCGAACAGTGAACTCTTGACGGAACATGCGCCATGCGCCGACATGTCCATGAGCTCCTTGCGTATGAGCCCACCCGTCAATGGTATTGCGCGCGTCGGGCGTGACGCAACGCTGGCGAACTATTGAAAACTATCTCTATACCAGGTTTTTCGCGTCGTAAAAGTATCTTTCCATTAACACAACACGTGGCAACATGGCTTGCTCGGCGCCGTTGGCGTACCGTAGACGCCGAAGCCGGAGTCGTCCGGCAAGCAACGTGACGACTCGGATGAAAATGAGGGGGAACGCGTGGCCTCGGTCCTTTCGAGCATACTACAGCGGCGTGGTGCATCCCCAAAAGTTCCGCCTTGTCGCTCTGACAGCGGAAGTTGAAGTGAATCCCCCAACGCGTCGACCAGAGAGAGAGCGGTTTTCCCAAAAGTATCAGCTCGGCCAACACCTCTCTCACGAACTGCATTGCCGTTTTCGCTGCTTGATAGACCCACATCACTTCTGAACCGAACAAGTCGGCGCCGATTGCTGGCACAATGCATGGGCGGCGTACATGTATTTTCTTGACATTGATGCGCCGCACCGCAAAAAGCACATTCCCGTCTGCCTGCTGGCGCTGCAGTCGTCGAGTGTCGCCGCCGAGGCGAGGCGCCAAGTGAAGTGGACATCCCAGTGACGTCTTCTCCCCTCCACGACCTCGCCCACCCTCCTCCGAACTGAAAAAAGCGCGCGGCACAGCCCACAGATCGACCCTTGCAGAGGCGCGGCCGGCCAAAGCTCCGGCCACTTCTCGCCGCAATCATCACGGCAACGCAACGGGACTCGCCAAGCAGCTTTCAAAAGGCAACAAGTCAGCACGGCTAGCCAGTCGCGCATCAACAATCTATAGCGTGTGTCCGTCTTGTTTCTCCCCATAAATGAGCCCCCAAGCTCGATTTTTATGCTCTAAGTACCACTTTCAACTGACCGCAGGAAGCCCCTATACACAAATACCTCTACAACTACATAGGAGACGGCTTACATCACACATCTAATATCGCGTTTACGGTTACCTAGCCCACTGTTCGTTCTCCACACATCAAGTTTCATCACCCTGCAATTATCAGGATAGACGAACGTAGCTGCTCGAGGATCCCGTGCCCGTCAACTTCATGCAGACGATCGGCGGGATGGTGTCGCCGCTCATGGCTGTCCAAGACCCGCCGCCACGCCACCGCGCCGACCTCGCAGCAGAAAGCGCGTGGCGATTCACCCCACCAAAAAGAGCCTTCTCCCCCCTCAGTCTCCAAACGTCCACTTCGCCGCTGCTTTCTCTCTCTTCTGCGGTGCAGTGCAGTCCCCTCGAACTGATTTCGTTCCACTTGACCAGCTGCACAGCGAGTCGAACGGCCCGCAGCGAGTGGCGTCGAGCGTGGCGGTGGCGTTGGGTGCAGCAGCGTTAGTGCCTCGCTCAAAGTTGGAAGAAAAAGGCAGCGCCGTCACCTGCCAAAGCTCTCGGACTAAGAGGCTGCGAGGCAGGGAATCAATTGGGATTTTCCAGGCTCCGAGCTCAATTGGGGGATCGGAATCGCAATAGTCCGTCATGGATCGAGCCCGCAGGACTCGCAGGAGACAGGAGGCGCCACGGGCTCCGTCGACCATGAAGGCGGGCGCTGCAGCGGCGGTGCTGCTGCTGATTCAGGGGGTGGCGGGACAATCGTGCGGATTGACGGCGTCGACGCTGTCCACGAGCTGCAGCGACGCGTGCGCGCAGTATGAGCCGTGCGTGGCCTACAGCTCCTGCCCCGCAGGCGCGACGTGCGTGGCAACAGACCAGTGCGCGATCCAGTGCTTCTCGAAGCCGTTGGACGATACCAACGCGTTCACGTTCTTGGTGGAGTTCGGCTCGTACGAGAGCAGCAGGGAGAAAGCAGGCAGCGCCGGATCTTCGCTGGATGGAGGGCAGGACGAGACGGAGACGTACGCGGCGGCGAGCAACGACGCCGTCTCCAATATTAGCACTATCGAGCTGCAGCCGACGGTGACGTCATTGTGAGTCATTTGGATTGATACAGATGGAGTTTCGGGGTCTAGAGCTGTGGCTAACCACTGTAATTTGTTGGCTGCAGCGTGTTAGCAGGCGGTTCAAACAGCAATTCCTCCGTCAAGGGCAAGGTGGCCAAGGTGACCTTCGGCTCCGACGTCATCTCCGCGCAATCCAACGTCTCGAGCGTCGCGCTGCGCAGTCTAGACTTGTCCGCGGACGCTACGCTGCAGCAGCTCCCGGTTATTCTCCCGACGGCGCTGCAGAAATTGAGTCTCGCCAATACGCTCCTATCGGCGTTTCCGAGTCTTGTAGCGAACTTTACCAGTCTCCAGACCCTGTAAGTTTCCATTTTAGAGCTCAGGTTAGCTCATTATTACCCATCGTGAACTAACAATCTTTTTTTTGTCGATCAGGGATCTGGCCAATAACTATATCACGGAGATCGCCGCAACAGCAGCGCTTAACTCACTTGCGCACCTGTACGTGGCGAGTATTGCGCAGGATTTGTCTGATAATTGGGAACCACGGCTTACATTTGGCTGTTTATTCACTTTTCAGGTGTTTCCTGAACAATGAGCTCAGTGCTTTTCGGGCGGTTTTTCCGAACCTCGAGACGCTGGACCTGAGTAACAACAACCTCACGGATATTCCAGCGACCATCTACATCCACGACAGCCTGGCAGAGCTGCGGATGAAGGGCAACCCGCTCGAGTCTCCGTGGTTCACAAAGTCCGAAGCAGATTTTCTAGCGCAGCTCTCGACTCTGGATCTGGAGAATTCCGACTTTACCAAGCCCATTGACAGCTGCAGTGCAGCCAACCGACTTGCGGTGCATTCCTTGACTGTTTGCATTTCGGATGCCGGGAACGACGACGACACGGACAGCAGCGACGAGGTCACCACAGGCTCTTCGTCTTCGAGCTCGGACGTGTTCGTTATTGTCGGCGCTATCGTGGGCGGTCTGCTGGTTCTTGGCGGCGTGGTGTTTGCTGGCGTTTGGCTGTACCGGAGGCGAGTGAGAAGGCCACAGACCCGACGCTCCAAGATTGTTCGCGAGTCGTACTTTGGTGGTGTGTCACCCCCTCTAGCTCGATCCCCTGTTGACAAGGGGTATCGCGGTGGCCGCCGCACTCCTGTGAGCGGAGGACCGCGATTCTGCTCGAACGACTACGAAGAGGAAGATAGCTACTCCTCGCCAAGAATATCGACACGCAGTACGCACAGTAACAACAGTTCGATGGCCTATTCCTTGTGGAACGATGAGGAGTTGCTGTCACTTCAGGTCAAGTACGAGGAGATCGAGGATATCGGAACTATTGGCAGTGGAGCGTTTGGAATTATTTGGCTTGTGAAGTACCGAGGAAATCAACTCCTCGCTTCGAAGCGGCTTCGGTCCGATCAGGTTACTAAACAGCGAACGCAGGCGTTCATCGAGGAGATCAAGATGGTGGCACCTTTCGATCACCCGAACATTGTGCGTCTCGTTGGGTGTGCGTGGACCATTGAGACGGATCTTCAGGCTCTCTTCGAGTACATGGAGAACGGAGACCTACGTGACTATCTGGTGGACCCGAACTCCCCTCGCCACTGGAGCCAGGAGTTGTTGCAACTGGCTGTGGACATCATCGAGGCGCTTGTGTACGTGCACTCGTTCACGCCGCCGTTGGTGCACCGCGACCTCAAGTCGCGCAACGTGCTGCTTTCGGGCGAGATGCAGGCCAAGGTGACGGACTTTGGAGCTTCACGATACAAGTCGATGGATGAGACCATGACTGCAGCGGTGGGTACTGGGCGTTGGCTGGCGCCCGAGGTGATCTCGGGCAGCAGCAACTACGACCAGTCTGTGGACGTGTTCTCGTTCGGAGTCGTCTTGTCCGAGATGGACACGCACACGATTCCCTACGACGACGTGCGTGGTGCCAATGGCAACAGGTTGAATGACATCGCCATTCTCCAGCTCGTGGCTACAGGTCAGCTCCGTCCGAGATTTGGCGCAAGTTGTCCGCCAGAGCTTCGTATGCTGGCCGAGCGCTGCCTCGCGCAGGACCCTGAAGAGCGTCCACCAGCTCATGTCGTGGCGTACGAGTTGCGAGTCATCCAGCGCTCTCACTACACGCTGCTGTAGGGGGGATAGATATCATGGTGTTAGTTTAGTTTTGGGCATGGGAATGACACGATGAAGTGTGCATCCAAGACAAACATTAATCTTAAGTATAAGTATGAAAACGTTCATTGGTGCTCGTAGGCTAGCAATGAAGCTCTCCTGCAGTGAACTTACATTGAATTCTTGGCTTTGACGACCAGTAAGTGAAGTTAATAGATCGCTCCCGATTTCTGCAGCGTCCGCAGTGCGAATGCCACTTCAACGGCCGTGGGACGGGCTTGAGGGTCGTAGGCCATGCAGCGTCTCGCCAGCTCTTGAAGCTCTGGAGGACACTGCGGCCCGAACGTCGGCAGCAACCTGCCGGACGCCACCAGCTGAAGAATTGCGACGTCGGCGAGAGGGTTCCCACCAGCTCCACGGGCGTCTTCGTACGGGAGCATGTGCGTATCCAGCTCGGACAGCACGACACCCAGCGCGAAGATATCGCTGGTCTGGTCGTAGTCTCTGTTGCCCGCGATTACCTCGGGAGCTAGCCAGCGACCAGTGCCCACGCCACTTGTCATCGTGTTGTTCGCCGAGCGTACACGAGCAACGCCAAAGTCACTCAAGTGTCCCCGCATGTCTTCAGACAGCAGGACGTTGCGTGACTTGAGGTCGCGGTGAACGATCGGAGGCGTGAACGAGTGCACGTAGACCAACGCCTCTGTGATGTCCGCAGCAAGCTGCAATTTCTCGGTGTTCCAGTTCCTGGGGGACGACTTGGTCTTCTCAAGGTACGTTCGCAGGTCGCCGTTCGACATGTACTCGAACATGGCTTGTAGATCGCTCTCAATGGTCCAGGCGACACCGAGCAGCTGCACTACACGAGGGTGGTCCAATGTAGCGCACAGTTTGATCTCAGCGATGAAGCTCTGTGTGTTTTCGTACGTGGCCTCGCCCTTCTTCAATCGCTTGCAAGCCACGAGTTTATTCTTGCGGTATTTGGCAAGATAAACAACCCCAAAGGCTCCAGTTCCAAGCTTGCGCACGTCTTCAATGTCGTCGGGATTCACTTGCAGCGACAGCAACTCCTGGTCGTTCCAGAGCGACAATCCGCCTCCAGCCGATCTGTCCGAATAGCCTGTAGCGGTCCCGAATCCCTTTCCTCGGGCCTTACGTCTGCGGTAGCAGAAGAACGCAATACCTGCCAGTACCACAACCACGAGAGCACCGACGATACCACCCACGATAGCTCCGACGTTGCTACTGCTGCCTCCACCCGAACTGGAAGAACTCCCAGCACTTCCTGTGCTGGTGCACACTGCCACACCACTGATCTTCACTTGCGCCGACTCCGAGCACGAGGACACGTCACCGAACGTGTCGATGGTGAAAGTCTTCAGGTTCTGCAGGAACGTGACTTGGTCTGTTGTCAGTGAGACCCCAGTGAACGAGTTGTCACTGAGGTTGAGATACTTCAACTTGGGCATGTCGAAGATGTTCGACGGGATCTCAGTCAACGTGTTCCCCGACAAATCGCTGCAAAAAATCCAGTTAGATCAAAGAAAATAAGTCACTCATACAGCAACTGGAAGCTAAGCAAGCACACAGAACAATTCGTACAGGTTCGTCATGTTGGGGAAGTTGCCACTGCAGGCCGTCAACGCATTCGTAGACAAGTTCAGCGTCTCCATCGTATCATGGGAAAACTTGACCGGGTAGTCCTTGAAGTAGTTCTGCGAGAAATCCCTGTTTCCATCCCCATACGCGTCAGCCCACACATCTCAAAACAAAAACAATAAAAACCTTCTACTCACACGTGCACGACGGACGTCATGAACTCCAGATCCGCCGGGTACGTGCTCAACAAGCAGTTGGACATCGTGAAGCTCTCGACATTCGTCGTCGGGAACGTCGACTGCGGTGGGTCCACGTCAAACCCAAGGTTCACCATCGTACTACAACAAAACTCAAATCAGTTCTCCCACCCTAAAGCCCCATCCACCACATTCACGTACATGTTCTTCAACTGCGTGTTACTGGACAAGAACTCGGCGCTGAGCTTCACTTGGGATACTTTTCCCCTCACGCCCCACACACTCGTTCCCCCTACAAACATCCTTCAACATAAGTAGTAAAAAACAATAAAAAATAAGAACCACATATAATAAATAAATAAATCCCCACCACCACAACGTACGCCGTCGTCGTATCCGTGAGGAACGTCAGCGGTTCCATCTCTTCAAACACCAGGTTGGATTCGCTCGGGTAAAGCTCGGTCTCGTCCACTTCACTTGCCAGTTGCGAGTCGACCGTGCTGGCCTGGGAGCTGGTCCAGTTGGCCTCCCACTTGCTCTGCTCGCTGCCGTACGGGATGAAGAAGACGTAGTCGCTGAACTGCACGGCCCCGTTGGCTGCAAAGTCGCTGGGCCCGTTGGTGAAGCACTCGAAGGCGCACGAGTCGCCGCTGGAGCCACTGGAGCTGCTGGAGCTGCTGGCGTTGCCGCTGTCCGTGACGCACGTGCCGAAGGTCGTGGCGTTGCAGGCCGCGTCCGCGGCGAAGGCGATGCAGGGGCGCCCCTCGTAGCACTGCGAGCTGCAGTCCGACGTCAGCGCCGTCGTGTCGCGGCTGCAGGCCGCGTCCGCCGCCTTCACCAGCAGCGACAATAACAGCACTAGTACGCGCATATGGAGGGAGGAGGATCTAGTGGTGCTGGCCCAAATCGGCGTGTGGAGTGTGGTGCACTACGAGCTTTTTTTCTGTCTGGCGAGGGGCCAGTTGAACCCAGTGAAGTGTGGAAGTGAAGTCGACCGATAGGTTGATAAAAGGGATGAGTTGCATGGCAGAGGGCTGGGCAGGTTTCGACTCAGATGGTGTGGGGACCGCCATGTGGAACTGCAGGAAGGGGCCTGGAGGCTGCATGTACATGTACTCGGCGCGAACGCTTTGGAGGGTCCATTTGCTGCTTGATGGTTGGTGGTGTAGGCTTCCCAGGGATGCAGCCATACTTCATGATGAAGTGACTGGTACGGGCGTTGGCGTTGGCAGCCAACTTGGCTCGAGTTGATACTCGGTATCAACTCGACGATCCAGCGGAGGACAATACGCTGAACATGTACACGCAGACACGGGCAATTACTTACTTAAGTATTGCCCGATGTGCCGTCGCCTCAAACTTCCTGCTCACGATGAAGCCTGAACCTCCTCTTTTCAGGACATTCAGCTTTGGAAAATTCAATCGCGGTGGTGTCAACCGACACGTTCATATATTGCGCCTTCCAACCTACGCACAGCACCAGCTACGCCGCATTTCAAGCAAGTGGCCGCCGCGCTAATTAGGGCCCTTAGCGCGGCGGCCACTTGCTTGAAATGCTCAAAGTACGGAGCGTAAGCTCTCGCCCCCGACGCCGAGTCCATGCCCAACATTTTCCTCACGTAGCTGGCCGACTTGCCTGTTTCCGCCCAGATCTCGACTCGCGCCGTCAATTCCGCCGGCGTGGCCTTCTCGCTCACGAACTTGGGCATCAGATACCCAGAGCCTATCGTCGACTCGACGTTCTCGTCGAACGCCTTGACGTAGTTCTTGTAGATCCGGAATCCTTCAGTGTTCTTGATATCTTTGAGCCTCTCAACGCTGACTCGCTCGAAGCCCATACCCGACCAGCCAATCCTTCTCAATCGTCGCCTTATACTTCAAAAACAACTTGTAGTTCTTGTGGGACGTTAGCTCAGCTCCGGACAGCCCCTCCAGACCCATCTTCTTCTTGACGTAGCTTGCAGGCTTTTTGAAGTCGCGCCACCACGCCATTTTCAGCTTCATAGGGATCTTGTCGGAGATTTTCGACACAATCGAAGACACGCCACCTGCTCTCTCTTCCGTCTCATTTGGTTCACTCTTAGCATCTTCATCGACGGCGCGGTCGTCTTGGTCGGGCGTTTGAGCGACACGTAGTACTCGATTCTGTTTGGCGTTGCTGTAACCTGTAGTAGTGGACAGATCCGTGAGTGGAGATTCCTTCAACGTCAGGGCCTCTCTGGCTCCAGTGGACACCGAGAGCACCTCGGTGACCAGGAGAATAGTAGCCATCACCACCATCCCAGCACAACGGCAGCGCATGGTGAACAGCGAAAGTAAATTCCAAACTGACCATATACACCAAGAAAACGATGGGGCCGAGTGCTGAAGACTTTGGTAATACATATAATGATTTCGCTCGATTACTATCCTGATTATTATATGGCGCTCCCCAGCGAATGTGAATAAACCGAATTCCCAGTCATTTCGGTCTACCGGTCTGGGAAGCGTTCGTTTAGTGGAAGACATCGAGCTTTCTACCGGCTGCATATGCGTACAGTATTAGCACAGTCGTCAATTACTTACCTACATGTGCATCTGATCTGTCTGATGAGTAATTATACTACATGTAGTTCTAGTGTGCACGATTATTGCTTCCATAAATTCGAAATGACTCAATAGTAACTAATTTAGTAGCAAATGTACTACTAGTTGTACTAAGTACTACTTCGAGTACTTCTAGTAACGTAGTAATATGTTTATCGAGATGATACTTCACTTCCATTCATGGTCTTTACTGGTGGTGAAGGCCACTGACCGTGTTCGACTTGCACACCCCAGTCGAGCTCGATTCAAAAAGGACTGGTTTTGGACAAATTGTTGGCTTGGATTCGAATGGCGTTACAGCAACCATATGACGACAACACGACAGAAATTAAAGCAACCACAAGGCCTAAAGCAACCCTAAAACTAACTGGCACCCGGTAATTTATTTTAAATGACGCGTAAATGACAGGGACACGTCGCCCTCGTCATGGTCTTGCTACATATATATCTAAATTTAGACACGTCGTGGTGGCGTCTAACTGATGTTCTCTACACAGCAATACGTGAAACACATGACAATATGTGTCCCACATTTTCAACACTTAGCAGATTTTGAGCGACAGCAAAAATGGAGAAGAAATCGCTGGCACATGAGCTGGTGCGCGCGAGAATCGCCGAGATTGCACTCCTCAAGAAGAAGCTGGATGAGCTTACCGAGCATCTGGAAAAGCTTCTGGCAGCGCAGCTACAGATCCAAGCCCTCGTCGAAGATCGCGAAGAGAACAGCTATGCGTTAGCAGCCGTCTTGGGCGATGAAGGGGCCGACCAAGGTGGTCTCACCGCAGAGGACGACGCTGTTTCCCTCGATGTTCTACTGGAGCTGGCAGTGCGAAAAATGAAAGACTTATGCAGCATAGACTCTGTATTTAAAGGTAAATACAGACTGTGGTGTTTATCAGAGCTGGTTCTGTAGCTGCTGATGAATCTGGCTAGCTTTAGCGACGTCGCGTTCAGAGAGATGACGTTCTTGGGAGTAACACATGATGACCCACAGCATTTTCAATCGCATCACCTTGACGTCGTTCTTGGAAATTCTAGAAAGTTGCATCTGCAAGTTCCCCATAAGATAGCTGTGGGCTTGGGCTACTACCATTACACCACAGCTAGCAAAATCAGGTTGTTGAGGGGCACAGATCCACTCAATCGGATCGAAGAAAAGATGGCCGCGGGGGTCAGAAGCCTTGTGCCACCGCTCCACATAACCACGAAGCCCCTCCTTTCCTTCATTTTCTTTGTCTTTCGGAATTCCAGTCCACACGATTTCCATTTCATGGTGATAGTCATCATCAATGAGCGGCTCGTACATGTAAACATACACCCGAAGCTTGCTTGTTTTTGCCGTGTAGCGTAGGCGAAGGATAATTACCTCCCGTGGTCTGCGTGCAGATTAACGGGGTGGATAATAAAATATGTTGCTGCAAGTGCTGTCTTAGGGAGATTTGGCCATCCGATAGCCCATGTCAGTGATGACAGCACATGGCACTTCCCCACCGATCTAGCAAGGGTCTCCAAGCAAAAGTCCACAGGGCTATCATTTAGCCATCCACGACAGATCCCTCCCACGATGTTGTCAAAGCTGATCAGGACTTTGTTGGAGAGCGTCACAAATTCAGTGCGTAGCCGACTTGAAGTAAACTTTGAGATAATTTCGTTCGCTAGACCTTGGTGCCGCTCGGGAACAGCATCACGCGGTAGTCCTGCAGTTGCTGTCTCCGCAGCGAAAAGATCCACGATGGAGTCAACTTTACGCCAATCTTGCTCCAGCCACTTTCGGTCCTTCAACCATGAGGTACATTTCGCCTTGATCGCGTAGAATCCTGTTAGAGCACCTACATATTGTCTAGAAACATAAGCATGTTAAAGCAACCCTATTAAAGCAACCATATCGCTAAAGCAACCATACCCGCTAAATTTCCACAGTTTTGGATCAATCGCCAAGACGACGTCGAGAACAAGTCCTTGCTTCTTGGCCTTTTCATCCAGTACAATTGGCTGCTTCTCCTTCCGGGTAGTAGTCGTTGCTGCCTGCATTGATAGGGCGAGGTCTTGTGGAATTACAAATGTGTGCATGTAGTCCGCAGGTCGTACAATTTCCCAATGACAATCAACCTTCCGAGCTCTTAGATAGGCATCCTCCAGCTGAACAGGATACTTCGACAGCATCTCCATCACGCGCTTCAGATTTGAGGTGTTTCTGGCCCAAATCAGGAACTGATCCAAAGTCACGGCAAGTTCAGTGGGGTACTTGTGAACAGCAAGACGGTCGGCTTTGAGACTGATCGTAGTTTGCCTCAGCTGTTTCGGAGTTGACCTTGACTTTCCTTGGCTTGGTGGCTTAGGAACTCTAACGACATCGACCTGGCGCACGTGCGACTCTGTGTCAGGCTTCGTAGAGCTTGAAACCTTGTCACAGCTACTCATTCCGCAGCTGTCATGAGATTTCTCGTCGATGGGGGGTCGAATTGGAGATGACTGCGAAAGGTGAGTGCGTTGTGTCGGTAACATACTTTCGTCGGACTCGTAATCGCTACAATTCATGGTCATGGGGCCGCTTTCCAATGCGTCCATGAGCGTCATAGTCCCCATTGCCTCCACGGGGTCCAGAATGGAGTCTGAGACAGGTTCAGATACATCTTCTTCTTGCTTGCTATCTTCAGCAGATTCTGTAGAACTCGGTTGGGGGGCAGGGTTGACACGGTTGAGCCCTATGTCGATCGTTTCCTTCCAGGCACTTAGCTCTTGGTAGAAGTCTCCACTAGACAAATATGACAGGTGTTCCAATAGCGGTTCCAGCATCGCTTTTGTGTATGCGTATTTTTCAGCTGAAGACAATACAACCTGGTTTGCCCGTTCACCTCGCCGTAGCCGTACGTACGCAACTTGCTTCCTAGCTTTGGTTGGCGAAGCGTTACCCCCCCGCAGCATAAAGTGGTTGTTCTGGTTCAGCCCCCGTGTCGTTCGGCAACTTTACTTTCGGCAACCTTAACTTGGACATCTGCACAACTGGCTGTAATATTTCCGCTGCAGCCGTCAATTCGTTTCTCACTTCCAAGGTCTGGTACGTACTCCACCGATCATGAATTGCCATAGCTGGAAGCAGTTTGAAGCCATGCCCCTCGCGTGCTAAGTGCATAAGATGACGACATGGTAAATGGTGACTGCTATAAAATAGACAAGTACACGTCCACTCCACATCGTGACAGCGAAAGGTTTGATTCCCGCAATATATTTTTCATTGTGAAGGACTCGACGCTGTACGCTCACAAGTCGCATCTGCCATGAAGTTCACAAATCGTTCCCACTATTTTCTCACTTTCTCGAAGATGTCAGGGTACAGTCGAGTTGCTACCGTCCGGAGAAACATCGGTATGGTTTTAGGAACGGTCGAAGTCGAATGGTGCTGCGCGGTGACGAACCCGATCTGCTGAGTTATCATGATTTGATGCTGCACCAAGCCCGCAATAGTCTTGTCAATTCGTGTCTTGTGCCCCAACAGTATTTTCACTTGATTCCAGTTTGACTCGATCCTGTTCGTTGTAGTATTCCCAGCCGTGAAAAATTTGCTGCGAGCAAAGTTCGCCCACATGTCTCGACACGAATCCCAGTTCTTTTTAAAGTACGAGAATAAAGCTTGTTTCTTGTTGTCTTCGCAGTATTGCTTCAATGCACCGAAACTAGAATCGTAACCTGTCTCTGTGGAGCTGCATATGGTTTGTTTTCCAAAGTTAGCGTTACCACAAGAATCATAAATAGAACCTGTTGCGTACCTGTACAGCGTTTTTATCATCGGGTTGAGTAACTCGTCGCGTTCAGACACCTTCAGCTTGTATGGGGCCCGCTGCATCACCTTCTTCCAGTACGAAATGGCATGGAATTGACAAAGTAAAACTTTCGCAGCAGGAAATAGTGTTTTCAGCACCCTCCACTCAACGAAATCTTTGTCGATCACGATGGAGGATATCATCCGCCAACTTGGGTTCTTCTCTTGAAAATACTCCAGGATTGTTGTCATCATTGGAGCTCGTTGGTTGAGGCATATGAAGTCTACAACTGGGAACCCTCTAGCAGTAGCAGTTGTGACGACCAGACTCCCTGAAATATCCAACACACAACAGTAGAAAATTACTTTGTTAATAAGGTTGCTATATCATCGATATGGTTGCTATAACTACGCAAGGTTGCCGTAACAAATATAAAGTTGCTATACCGAACAACTCATACGCACCCAAGTGATAGCCCAAATTGTTCGTGCCGTGAGTGAAATCCATCGTAAGAGTGTCGCCCCAGCGCTCGAACATCAACTTCTGCACCTTTGTTTGTATCACGATACCGCATGTCACGTCCATTTGGTCTTGAATAACAAGGACGTCACTGCCGTCTAACTGGCGGATAGCTTGCAGCATGTCTTTCAAACGGGCCTCCGCTGCGTCGTGCCCCATAATACTGCGGATCAGATTACGGGTCTGTTGAGGTGTTATTTTGCAGCCTAGCAAACACACAAAGCGCGAACAGTAACGTAAGTATCACTTCAGCATATCATATATAAAACTATGCACCGGTTCTCTCATTCAGGAAGTTCGTGATGTGCTTGGAAGAAACACTAGCATCCGTTAAAGTCTTAACATCTTCGAGATCTTGCTCGTCCAACGGAAGTGTCTTTGTTGTCAGGTACAACGATGATTGCGTTCGGGTGGTCGGGTGCGTGTGGGTAAAGTTCTGATTATCAACAGCGACATGTGAGAAATACTAACAAAGCAAACACACGAAAGGCAGATACCTCGTTTCTTATGACAATTCGAAATTTGCCATTTTCCATCCGCTGAACGGTTGGTGTCATGCGTGCAGGACACCCGCAATAGTTGCGTGCAGGACACCCGCAATAGTTGCCTTTTCTATTGCGATGTCCCTTGGAGCGCGACGCATGCGAAACACCGTGTGTACAGCGGAGGACCTTGTGACTCCAATTAAAACGTGAAGGGATTTGGTCCCGATGCTTGCTGCATATGAAAGGGGTTTCGTTAATAACTTAAATTTCTCATCAAACAGAGGTCACACATACCTGTTGTACTGATTTCGTGTCTCCGAGCTTCGTACTCGAAACTTGAGGTGGTGCTTCTGCTTGTATATTTTCAAGTGTGCGTTGAACTTGCTCCAACTATTGATAATTGCTGGGGTAAAGGGCGGAACGGGGTTGATAATTTCTTCGCGCTCCTCGTTGATCTCCCGCAACTCGTCAAGGTGCTTGCTTGATCGCTTCTGCGGTATGTACTGCTTGTTCCGCTTGGATAAACGTGGGGCCGAATCAGCGTCGACAGACTCGTGAAGCTGCAGCTCCGCCTTACGCTTTTTCGCGAAAGATTGGGCTTCATCCCCAGCAGAAAGCTTGCATTTAGCCAGAGCGGTACCTATCGATTTCAAAGTGAATGTCAATATTAATGATAGCGCAAACTTTTTGCTTAAAACGACTTTAACGAGAATACCTGGTGTTTTCTTGCGTGCTGTGGCTTTCTTTCTCGGCTCGGGGCTCTGTTTGCGTGTCCTGCGTTCTAAACAAACTAAAAAAATACACAATACATTATCAGTTCAACTCAATAAGTATCAACAAGAATCCAAACGAGTCTTACCCGCTTCTGCTTCGTCTTCTGTGCTGGATTCTCCGTCGTCGTCTGGCTCCTGTTCATCGTCACTCGCCTCCTCTTCATCGTCGTCACCCTCCTCTTCATCGTCGTCACCCTCCTCTTCATCATCGTCACCCTCCTCTTCATCGCTATCGCTCTCCTCGTCATCATCGACCTCTTCTTCGTCTTCCTCCTCTTGGTAGCAATCCTCCGCCTCTTCGTCGCCGTTGTCTTCCTCATCCTCCTCATCCAGAACAAAGTCTTCGTCTTCGTCGTCGTCTTTTTCAATCCCGAGAGCGGCGTACATGTAGTTTAGCTCCTCGTTTACGTTCCGCAGCTTTCGGCCTAAACAATACATACCGACAGAATTCAAACAAAATGTGAGGCACGTAGATACTCTCGTTGCCACCAACATGGAGCATACTGATTACCGTTTATAATGGCTCCCCCCGCTGGAGCCATCGGCCCCCCCTCGCCGTTTGGTGCTTGACTGATTCGCGAGAGGTGCGTGCCCCACGTGGCCTCCGTTCAGCAGCGCGATTCTTAAAATGAGCGGCTGTGAGGTGGCGTACTTAATGGCATCGTAGCTAATCAGAAGCGCACTTTAGCGTGATTTGCGTACCTAAGGGCTTAATGGCAATTTAGACATTTAAATTACGCTCGGAATTTTTGAAATCCCTAAAAGCAACCATACATGTCTCAGAATGGCTAAAAGCAACCATACTTATGGTTGCTCTAACCACTCCCCTTGGATTCCAAGTTGGGAGGCACGTAGAAAAGGCAGGGTTATCCAGCCCGATTCATAATTTTGCCTATTTTAGGCCGTGTTCGACTTGCACACACCATTCGAGCTCGATTCAAAAAGGACTGGTTTCGGACAAATTGTTGGTTTGGAAGGCACGTAGAAAAGGCAGGCTTATCCAGCCCGATTCATAATTTTGCCTAGACCTGAATTTCAAATCCAGCTCTTTTGAGCTTATCGAGCTGGATCGCTTCTTGGGTGTTTCAGGTCGCAAACGAGCTGGATGAAGCAAATCCGGCTGCATTTGGCCTAAAACAACTGGATTGGATGCAAGTCGAACACGGCCTAAAGATTAGCACCCAAATTACAGCATGCATCCGTGTTGATTTGCCTAAAGCAGGGCTTTTATATTTTTGTAGCTCACGGTTATGTTGGGCCTTTCTTCATACTTCGCAGATATCCTAACAGGCCATAACTGCTCCAACAGAGCTGTAATTGAAATAAAGTTCTACACCCTAATAATTAATAATTGATTTTTGTTTTACAGGTGTGAGGTTTGAACCCGCTGCGTCATCAATAATAATCACATTTAGTAAAATACTCTCAAAAAAGTAAAAAGAGATATTCGACAGACTGTCATGTTTAAGATTTTTTGTACCTCACCAATCGCTGATGCTGATGCATTATCCAATGAGAGATATCACATTAGAGCAGTGTATTTTAGCCACTCGAAATTGGAGTTTTCTTTTCTTTTCAAAATAACTGCTAATTATTTTTTGTGCCGGAGAGCTTACTGCGGCCACGCGATGTATCATCTCGCATAACAGGTTATGAGTATATCTCTAAAAGCTTAGTAACTATTATGGTTAAACGTGGTTTGTTATTCTGGCTCAAATTATTTTATGACTTCAACATTTTTTAAAAACTGTCCACGTACTTCACCAAATAACGGATAGCGCCAAATAGCGTACACTTCCCGAATTGAATACCTCCTCTCAAATCTGATAGAATGTGCTCAGTACACAAAGCTACTGTACCTACGCCAATTTGTATACCTCAACCAAACCGTATAGAATGTTGAGTACACATGATTTTCTTGAAATGTATGTGAAATTTAGCATGTTTTATTGGCTAAGAGATGTCTTGAAATTGAAAATCACCCATTATTTTCCGTGTAAGTATTACTTTGTCAACTACGGCAAGCAAGATCCGGTTATTTTTATCTTTTTAAAGATCACAGTTTAAAAACTGACACTTGTCTTCGGTACTGTTTGCCATTTTTGCAACTTTATGCAAAATTACCGTAAGGTACCCAAAGAAAAATGGTTTTGGTTGTTGGTCCAAGTTCTGCTTGCATCTAACGGCATGAGAGGCGTTGTGAACAAACTCTGCGCAATCTATGGATGTCTCCATGGTTTGAAGACTAGTACATACGTTGGCAGGATGCCATCAAAGAAGTTTTGCAGAACGTAGCTAGCTCTACACACAATATCCAGACTTGAATGTGTCGGCCCTACTTTGGTAGTATACCCCCCCTCCTATTTGTATATCTTTCTAAATTTGACAAGTGTTCAATTCAACAGTATGCGGTATACAAATTCGCGTTTTCCGTTAAACGCGTTTTTATATGTTGCAACCGCACTAATTTGAACGTAAAAACGTCAATTTCCCCAATACGAAGATTTTATGATAAGATTTCGCTTTACACTGCGTGCTGGATGTCAGCTACCTACATTTTGTTTATATCATCCGTCAAGGGCTTCAGAGTGCGGTCATTTAGCTAAACGTATATATTGACGAAGTGCGATATTAACAATAGCTTTCTACTCCTAAAAATCCAGATTACTCTATTTTAAAAGCATTTTGAATTTTATTCTTGATCTAATTGGCTAATACTGAGTTATTTAATTAGGCGAAAACATTTTTAGCAAATCAAACTGAAAGGACTCTCTAAATTGCTTAAAACATACCATAGAATATTACGAAATACATGTATTTTGTGATTGATCGCCAGGTTTCAAGCTATACATATATTTGGTTTAAATATTAGTAAATTATTGAACTCAGACAGTTATAGCAAGCTTGGGCTCTCAAATTATATAGCACTGAAGGCAGTGTAGAGAGTGACATCGACAGTGATAGTGATGACAACGGGGATGAATTTAACGACATGAAGCCAAGTTATGGACACCGCGGATGCATCAGCGACTGGGGTTCGCGAAACTTTCTCGGCGATGGTTGCTAGAGCTGTAATGGTTCTCGCTGTGGTGGTCAACACGCTCATGGTGGAGCACGTGGGCCGTGGTTTCGCAAGCACCAGCTCGACTAATTGGTTTTCGTGCTATGTATTTGCTGTGACGCCCTGACCACACGCGATCGCGACGGCAACTTGGTGTTTTCCAAGATTGACATTTGGTAATGACCCTACCGTCTGGGACGGTTTTTATCTTTGCAAGCTTGGATTTACAACGCGCACATTCCAGATACGGCTTCAAGAGGTGTATCAAGAGCTGCGCGATGCTGGCTTCCCAATGGACGAGATGAATATGTAGCTCAAGTATATCCTGATTGGTATGCCACGCCAGAGGCTCAAGCTTATCGAAGATACCGCGTGCAATACAGCTACGGACAGGCACCTTCGGTTCCGGCACCACGCGAACGCAGCCGTTGGCGCTGCGGGGGCGAGCTACCGGACCACACGCTCGGAGATGAACGAGCTGGTGCAAGGCGACAACACCAGCACGCTGTCGAAGCTATTTCGGGATTCGGCCACGACGCTGCTGGAGAGCTGGGACGCGGCGCCTTTCAGCAAAGATGAGCGTGCGGAGTCCGTGGACCTGTTTTGGCACAGAATGGAGGCTGAGCGTCTGCGGCGTCAGGAGGAGATGGCAGCGCAGAGCGGATAGCCAGGCCCAGCGTGCACCTCCGACAGCTCAAGGCTTGACGGTTCAAGACGCTGACGGTGCTTCAAGTACAAGCGGTGAAGGCTCAAGTGCTACCGATGAAGGCCAAGACGCACCAGAATGCACGGCAGCCGCTCGCTGCACTAACCCTTGTGTCGTTCTCGATAGTGGCCGCGTGCTCAAGACCTGCCAGCTTCATCGAGACCTCGACAGTGCCCGACGGGAGAGTTACGACTCGACTCGACACCCCGCGCTCTGCCGACGATGCCGCAATCCGCGCGCACAAGTCCATGGACGGCTGATCACTCTTTGTGAATATCATCGCGAGGAGGAACGTGAACGATGTCGTAAGCGGCGTCGCGCTAGCGACAACTAGTAGTATTCGCTTCAACATGTAGCCACAACAACTAATTAATCATTTAACATCGCTACCAATTGCCGACTTCTACCTCCAGCAACAACCATGGCAACATCATGGCCGTGGTGACTCGCCTAGGGACTTTCGACGGGTACAAGACTGTCCAAGATTGCTAAGACCGGCTCAACGCACTGACGGAGCACACTCGCGCGGGCACGCTGGTCTCCTTGATTGACGACGAGGTGCGGATCAAGTTAAAGGAGACGCAGGACTTGGTCCGAGAGGGGATGGCCTCCCAAGAAGCGTACGACGGAGCGGCCCTGGTCCGGTCCCAGGTTCTGGACGATCGAGTCCGCATATTGGAGCGGCAGTGCGGCGAGCAGCAGCAGAAAATGAAGAAGCTGGACGAGCGCACACAAATATGCATTTATATCTAAAACGAAATATGATTTAGTGGCTGGTCATACTAATTAATATAAGAATGTACTAGTAGGTCATTCTTGGAAACACCAATATAATGCGTGGTAGAGGGGAAAGAAAAGTTCGTGAAGCAATTTTGCGATTCCTTGCTGACACTTTACGTCCCGTTAGTGGAAGGGTTTATTATATAATACAAAATTCAAGTGTTTTTCGCAGCAATCAGAAACTGGACAAATGTGCGTTACAAATCTAAAATATGGTGTTTCATTTTCAAATTTTAAAAAAGGAGCTGCAGAAATTCTAAACATGGTAAACTACACTATTATTTCGAAGTATCTTCAGGATGGCAGCGAATATGGTACAACTTCCACCTACTTTCAGGCATAATGCATTCAGCTTCGATCCGACATTTTTTTTCAGGCAACAAAATCCAGTCCCAACGCAAGCAGCTTCGGTTCTACATTTTCTTTGCGCATAATGCCCGTCGTGTATTAGTTTTTATCATCATATGAGTTCTTCGGGGTACTTACAGTTAATGGCCGATTGCGGCAAAAATCAAGAATTAGCAATGATGAACAGCATTGGGCAGAACTCAGTAGGACTGGTTTTCGTGGAGCCTGGAATAGCAGTCCATTTTGCTTCAAAAAGCATTTCGTACTACCTCCGACCCCAAAAGTTAGAAAATTTTGTCGGTTTCCTCGCCATCTCCTGGAAAGCCTTGTTTTAAACGGAATAGAGCCTAAAAATAAAGTCATGTGTAATGTAGCCATATGTTAGAAATGGCAGTGTCCTACTGGTCAATTTACAACTGACCCTTAGGAGTGAACGACGTCTACGACTAAGATGCTACCGTAGTTGTGTATATCCCCTTGAAAATACGATTGTCGTGCACATAACTTGGTAAACTGGAATATATGTACACGCAAAAGTTAACTATCAGGGAGATCTCGACAAGCACCCCATAAATTATGTGGCTGGTACCACTCGAAGCTACCACAGCCTTTCCTGCGGATTTTAGGCCAGGCGTGACGTTCAAATCAGAGGGCACCGAAGGCTGACTTGGGTGACGAATTGGTCCATACGGATTTTAGGGGTTAGATCAGCGTTGCTACGCACTTAACCCCAACATTTTTTGTCCTTGATTTCAAAACAAAAATCCGCTCAAGTACGATGTACTTTCCGGGGGGTTGTCCTTAAACCGCAAAAAAGGACCAAAATAGACTTGGCGTTTGTATTGAGTGTAATCACGCCCGGGTAAGTATGAGGTGTCATTTGTAACAAGTACATAGACTGTATGAGAGGTGTAACGTCTGTATCCACATAATGAAATCAAGTCAATGTGCGCTTTTTGTCCTAGAATTAAGGACAAAAACCGAAATGTGATATGTTATATATGACACTTTTCGATCTGCATTTTTACCCTGATGGACAACAGAGGACTGTGTGCAGGGCACCCCCCTTGTAGAACGAATCAAGGGCTTTCTGGTCATAGCAATAATACGGTGTATCTCGCAAAATCAATACCAGCATAAGCCTCTAACGTTTGGTCCTTTTATTTGTCCTTAATCCGGGGCCTGTTGGGGTTAATATCCGATACCGAAACCGTGGTGCATCAAATGAAATTTGAAACACGTTGACTTGGTCTCAGTATCCGCGATGGCCGACCAACCACCTCGCCGACTTGACCGGCGCTCAGTATGGGCTCCGCAAGCTGGGCGTCGCGCCGTCGTAGACTCCATGCTTGAACACTACGTGCTGTGATGAACTCCTCTAGCGCTGAAGAAGCATGAAGAAGCGGCTGAGGGACGCCCAAGTGACGTGAAAGGATAGAGAGCTCAGTAGAGATATTTCGAAGCTTATTAGCCTTACGCCTGAGGTAAGATTGGTAAGTCCTTATGTTACCGCTCACACTTCCGCTGGTTGCGTTGGATAAGTCATACGACATGGAGCTCACTCAGTGTATTGTTCAAGGTCCTCACTCTACAGACCAGAAATGAAATGGGAACGGGGAATCTCCCGTTCAGACAATCGTACGGTAGCGAATTTCCATTGTCCACACTCAGAACCCCGCGGCTTACCGGCGCCCTGGCGGTGGTTTCGAGTCGTTAACTGTAATAGCACCTTGACCACCACAAGCCCGATAAAGCAAGACTGACAGGACAAAGTCCTTCGAGCTTCGAGCGCCACCAGTCAAGGCCACTTCAACCTGTACAAAGACTGCGAGTCCGGTGTTGCATGGCTACATTTCGGTAGTCAGGCGACAAAACATCCTTTTCATCTGACCAATCAGCGCCTCCCCCTACCCTGAATTTCCATCTGCACAGCCAATCAACGCCGGATTACTACCCGCTTAGACGACCGCCGTCCTTCCTGCAGTGCAGCCAACACATCGCCGCAGGTGACCGCCAGCCAGCAGCTGGCAAAAGGCCACCCACGGCCTGCCTTGAGAAACGCTGCGCTGGGCGGGCGGACAGCACCAAGGCGCGGCGGATAGCACCAAACAAGCAGCGCAAATCGCGCCCGGTCACTCCGCTGAGCTGCTCGCTGTCAACGGCCGGTTGACAGGTGCGGGTGCTGTAACGGGCAGGAAGGTTCGCTGGTTCCGCCCGACGTCCGGCTCGCATTGGGAAAATGCGAGGAGAGCCTATACACCAGCGAGACGGCCTCTGTCTCCGCGGTCTCCACTGCAGTGCCGTCCTCGCTCGCTGTTGCATGTTGCGGTCTGAACGCGCCGCCGGCGAAACTGCGCGAATAAGCCCCATCGCCATGCGCTCTCTCGCCCAGCTGACCGCGCCGTGGAAGCCCTCGGTTTCGCACGCCACGGCATTTGCCACCCACGCGCGCCGGCCCTAAATCAGCTATGGCCGCTTCAGTTTTTGGGCTCCGGGCCAGCTGAGCGCCGCCGCGGACTCTACCTACCGCGCGCCACGTACCGCTTCCAGTGGGACCAAGTACGCCGCCGAGAACTCGCCTCGGAGCGAAACCAACCTCAAAATGCAGCCTTCCACCACTCATGCCTTGGCTCGGAACAGCGGGTTACACACAGCATCTGGGTGGTCTCGGCGTGAGCTCCGCGCGAAGGAAGCGCGGCCAGATGGCGCCAAATGAGCCGTGGCCTCGCCCGTATCCGATCCGCGGCCGTGGCCATCGCATCATCGACGGTCTCCGCGCCGCTGGATGCTTCATGCATGCTGAAATTGAAATTTGATCTATTTCTTATCGGCCGGCGCTGGTGAGCAGTGGGCCTCGGCAGCCGCGGCACCGGCACCATTTCCGTCTTATGCGCGACGATCCCATGCGAGACTGCGCGCTCAACGCCCGTGCTGGTCAACGTCACAGCAGCACTCACTTCGCCAACTCAAAAGTATGGCTTCCACCATCGAAGGCGGAATTTCCGGGTTTCTCGCAGGCGCCCGTTGGGGCAGCCGGGCGTTATCGCGCTTTTTCTCGCTTTTTCGGAAATTCTGGCCCCGTCTCCGCACGCAGCAGCCCACGGGCACTCACGGCGGCAGTGGCAGGGTTTCACTTCTCAATTGACTTCGCCGGGCCATAGCTGCGCTCCGTAGAGGCCCTGCACCACTCCGCGGAACAGTGAAGCAAGGAAGCCATCCGCCCAGCCACCCAGCCAGCCATCTAGACAGTCCGAGAGAGGAGAGATGCAGAGCCCGCGCGAGATCTCGTCCGAGCGCCAGGGCGCGCTCACGCCCGCCACGGCCCGCCTGGTGACCAAGCCGGCGGTCGAGCTGCCGGAGAGCGGGGCCACGCCGCGCACGCTGGACCCCGCGGCCGCGCGCCAACCCTGGGCCAACCTCAGCGTGGACACGGCTGTCAACGCGGACGAGGACGGCGCCGCCCACTTGCCATTCGGAGCTGCCGGCGCCGCCGTCGCCTCCTCTACTACTACCACGACTACTAACGCTACGCAGGCCTCTACGACCAGCGCCGCGTCCTCGATGCGCTCCGGATCGGGATCCAGCCAGGTGACGCTACCCGCGGGCCTGCTGCCCGAGCGCTACACGGCCGACCTGACGCACTGGCAGTCGCCCGCCGACCTGCCCGAGCGCCGCCTGATGGTCCAACGCATCATCGCCATGACGCGCAGCAAGCGCGTGGATGCCGGCACCTGCGCCGACGCGCGCACGCCGTCGCTGGCCAAGCGGATCGAGCTGTCGCTGTACTCGCGCGCGGCCTCGTTCCACGAGTACCGGGACCTGAACACACTGCGCCGCCGCCTGCAGTCGCTGGTGTCGCTGAGCTTCCACGAGGCCGCCGTGTCGCGCCGCCGCGCGGCCGCGCTCATGTCGGGCCACGGATCCGTCACTGCGGTGCCCCAGCTGGGCAAGCGCAAGTGCCGCTCCATGACCCCGTTCGGTGTCTCCAGACTGATGATCAAGCGGCCGCGCGCCGAGTGCATCGGCTCCACTTCAACGTGCACGCCGCGCACCACCGCCAGGATGAACGAGGAGGCCGCGTTCTTCATCATGGACGAGGCCATCCTCGGCCTAGTGTTCGCCTTCCTGCCGGGTGTCGAGACCATTCGGTGTATGCAGCTCAACCGCTTCGCGCGCCGCGTGCTGCCCCGCTGTGTGTTCACACTCGAGGTGGAGCTGCGCCAGTTACAGCTCGCCTACACGCTGCACGCCGCGGCGGTGCCGACGCAGCCGTCCGCCACTTTGCTGTGCCAGTTCCCGAACTTGACGAGCCTGACCGTCTTCAACTCGATGAAACCGCTGTGTGACCAGCAAGAGGCCGGACCCGCACTGCACGCCTGGGGCTGCAGCGAGCTGGACATCTCGCACGACAACGCCGGCGAGGAAGTGGTGCAGCAGCTTGCGGAGGGCATCGAGCTCGGCGCCTGCCGACGACTCACCAGTCTCCGCCTCGTGTCGGTGTTCACCAACACGTGCCGCGGCAACGCGCTGCATCTGCTGTGCGCGGCTCTTGTCAAGGGCTCGTGCCCCGACCTGGAGGACCTGCTGCTCGGAGGGAACGGCTTCTCGGACGTGGGCACGGTGGACGTCGCGTGGTTGCTCAAGGTCGGGTCGCTGCCCAAGCTGGCACGCCTGGACATCCGCCGCAACTACATCGGCGAGTCGGGCCTGAAGCGCATCATGGCTGCTCTACGCGCCGGTCGCTGCCAGCAGCTCAAGTACCTATGCATGGGCGGCAACATCATCACGGACAACTGCGTGGCGCCCGTCGTGGAGCTGCTCTCGAGCGCCAAGTGCCCGCAGATGCGCTTCCTCGGCCTCGAGGACAACTTCCTGAGCGCCCGCGGCGTGCAGTGCATCATCCAGGCGGCGGTGGCCGGCGGCATGATGCCCAAGCTGCACCACGTCTCGTGCGACGGGACGCTCGGCAGTGACGACACCCAGAGTGTGCGGGCCGCATGAGGCACCACCATTAGACGAAGTCAAGTCAAGTCCACTGCAACACTAGGCACACCAGGCAACGCACACATCAAAGCTGAAGTTAGAAATTGTTAAATAACCAGTAGAGAATCCCGATGATTTTGTACATACAAACATGAAGTGAATTGACATGAATTTCAAGTTAAGATTGTCCGTTTCGTATCGTAAAAGTTCTGATAAGTGCCAGAATCGACCTCCTTGGTGCCCGAAGCGCCCGCACCTAGCGAAGCCAGCATCCAAGGCCAGGCAGCCGGCGCCATGTCGTACTTCATCCCGCCCGTCAACTACGGCATGATCGAGGAGGACCTGTACCGCTCGGGCCAGCCGAACGAGCTCAACTTCCCCTTCCTGGAGCGGCTCAACCTGCGCACCATTATCTATCTGGCGCTGGAGGAGCCCAACCCGCAGTTCCAGAGCTTCGTGGAGGAGCAGGAGATCCAGCTCGTCTTCCTGGGCGGCAACACGCGCATGGAGAGCCGCCGCAAGTCCTGGGAGCCGCTGTCCGAGGAGACGGTGCTCGCGGCGCTCGACATCATCCTGGACCGGTCCAACTACCCGCTCTACATCACCTGCCACCTCGGCCGCGATCGCACGGGTAAAGGAAGGGATAATAGTGCAGCCTCCTTTTAACAGTGGTGGCTGACAAACTATCACCTTGATGCTCTTCTATTGCAGGCGCGGTGGTGGGTTGCCTTCGCAAGATCCAGGGCTGGCACTTGTCGTCCATCTTCGAGGAGTACCGGCGCTTCGCCGGCAGCAAGGTGCGGCTGCAGAACGAGCAGTTCATCGAACTGTTCGACACGGACCTGGTGACGATCCCCGTGAACCCTCCGTCGTGGCTCAGGAAACACCCGTGAGCCGACAACTACACACAGACACACACTACTAGACTGTTGCAACAGAAAATAACAACAAAAGTCGATCTTGCATATGAAAGACAGTGCTGGGCTTGCATTCAACAGTGCGTCGAGGAGTCACCACTGCATGTACTCGGCCGGCTCTTTCGTCGTCTCGGGAGGAGCAAGTCCTCGCGTTACGCTTGGGAATGACCGGCCCAGCACCTCCAAAGGCAGCAAGCTACCCGACGTCATAGCACATGTGTTGCCAGCCCAGCTCGCAAGGACGTGAAGATTGCTGCGAATGGACACCGACGAGAGCCGAGTTGCTTCTTCTCCTCCTTATTGCTGCCGTCCTCTCTCTTCTTCTTCTTCTTCTTCTTCAACAACTCGCTCTCTTCTCTCTCTTATCACACACAACGGACTTAGCACCGGAAGCCGCCGACCTGCTCCAGCGCGCAGTCGATCTGGTCCTGGTCCTCGAGCTCCAGCATCTTGGGCGTCTGGTCGCCGCTGATGCGCGTGCCGTCCAGCAGGAAGCGCAGCGCGCTGGCGGGCACGCCCTTGCGCTGGGCGTAGGCGGAGAAGATCTTCTCCATCTTCGTGTTGGGCTTCACCTTGAAGAACGTCTCCTCGCCCGACTGGTCCTTCACGCGGATCGTGATGGCCTCGGCCTTCTTCTTGTCGTCGTTGTTGCTGCCGGTGTCCGGGGTGGGGGGCACTTCGTCCGACATGATGTTATTGACTGCAGATACACCAGCAACCAGTGACAGTTAGGATCCCAAACTCACTTGGACTTTGTGGGCGCAAGGTCAACTTCTCCTCTCCCCCTCGGATCGCCGCCGCCAATGGGCAGTGTGGGACCCGGATAGGGCATCGAGATGCAGCCCTTGCAGGCCTGTTACATGCAGCGCCAACGCCATACAGCGGCAGCGAGGAGGCTGACTGGCAGCACCACGCACCTTCTTCCAGTTGCTTGAATTTCAAAGTGAGGGTTTTTGGCCGTGCCGTTTCTTTCCCCAAATTTCCGCCTAGCCAACCGGGGAGCGTACCGCAAACAGCGTGATTGACACAAACAAGATCAAACCCGTTTCCCACAAATAATAGACCCACACGGCTCAAAAAGCGTCGACATAGAGAACTCAAGTCAAATAGTGGAAACGGGTCGGGTTTACCCTATTTGTGGGGGGATTGACCAAGACTCCTAGATATTAGAGAGACCAATGAGAGGCGCGATTTGCCTTCAGAAATGAACTTTTAATGTGGCATAATCAGTTATTTGTGGGTGCCTAAGTTTACGTATTGTACACTTATTCAAGGACTCTCGCGGATCCCAAAATAAGGTGCGCATCACCATATTTTGGGCACTCGGCACTTTGCCCAACAGCGCGCACACGGAGCTATCGGCCGGAGACACTTGGGCCTGCACACAGACGACATGGTACGTAGCGCGCTGCTCATGCGGCGCAGTCGAGAGAGGAAGGGTCCGTGCTGACGGAGGAAGCGTCTACCCGCCGCAGACCCACTCTCGAGCTCTGGATCCGGAGCTATTGCAGCGGCGCTAACGTATCTTGGTTCTTCGATGTCTGTAGCTGCCGCTTTCGCTGCTCAAGACGGCGCAGGGCCACCCCATGGTAAGTCCACACGAGGCTGGGGAGCGGACATTGTATTGTTTAAGAGGCGGCTGATGCTTGTGCTGCTGCAGCTGGTGGAGCTCAAGAATGGCGACACGTACAACGGACACTTGGTCAACTGCGACACCTGGATGAACGTCAACCTGCGCGAGGTTATCTGCACGTCCAAGGTGCGGCGCGCACTGCTCTCAATGTAATTGGCTCTGCTCCTAACACCCCGGGTTTTTATGCTGCTGTAGGACGGTGACCGCTTCTGGAAGATGCCCGAGTGCTACATCCGCGGCAACACCATCAAGTACATTCGCGTGCCCAACGAGGTGGGTACAGATACAAGTGCTAATTGTAGTGGTGGTATCTAATGCGCATTTTGTGTTTGTGTTTGTGCTATTCAGATTCTGGACATGGTGAACGAGGAAGACTTCAGCAAGCGCGGTGGGTGTCTGCTGAGACGATGCAGAGCAATAATGCTCGTTTCATGTCGGTTATGCTCACTCTTATCTATGCGTATGCGATGAATAACAGACCGCCAAGCCAACCGCGGACGTGGTCGTGGAGCTCGTGGCGGCTTCGGTGGCCGAGGAGGTCGCGGAGGCCGGGGCGGACGCGGCGGGCGTGGCGATGGCCCTGGCGGCCGGGGCGGACGTGGTGATGGAGGCCGCGGACGTGGCCGAGGTGGAGGTCGCGGTCGTGGCCGCGGGCGCGGCGGCGACAACTAGCTAGCTAGATAACGAACAACGGAAGTGAGGAGTCAACAGGACAAGTACACTTGAAGACGCACCAGCGATGGTGAAGTTTGCAGCCAGCTTCAAGCAGCTACAGTAGAGGTACCAATCGAAGTCACATGCACTTTTCTCTACTTTGTCAAGTGTATATTCGTTGAAGGAGGCAAATATGTGTTGGTGTTGGAGGCGAGGTGACCTCATAGGGCAGTCCGTCTCTTAAATCGCTGCCTTGTCTTGCTAAAAAAGAACCTGCGTGATCTAATTACTTGGCTTCGGCGCCGCTGGGGCCCTGCGGGTTGTTCTTGATGAGGTAGGCGGCCAACCACTCGATCGGGTTGGGCGGACGCTCCTTGACGAGCGCCGACATGCCCTGCAGCAGGATCGGCACCACGGTCTGGTCCAGGTACGCGCGGATGGGCAGCGCCTGCACCTCGACCTTGTCCTGGACGCTCTCGGCCGCGGGCTCAGCGGCCTTCACCTCGTCTTCGTCGGCCTTGGAGGCGGGCGCCTCCTGCGCCGGCTCGTCCTTGGCGTCGGCCTCGGGCTTGGCCTCCTCCTCCTTGGCGTCGGCCTCGACCTCCTTGCTCTCGGCCGCGGGCTCCTCCGCGTGCTCCTCCTCTGCAGCCGGGGCGGGCTCTGCGACCTCCTCGGCGGGGGCGGGCTCGGCCGCGACAGGCTCCTCCTCGGCGGGCGGCGCCTCCTCCGTCACGACGGGCTCGGCGATTTCTGCATAGACAACAAGAAGAGACGGAGTGTGAGCCACGGGATCTTGTCATTAGCAGCTGATGATGGAGGACGCACCAGTCACGGGGGCGTCATCTTCCATGTTTTCTGTTGACTGTGGGGGCTGCGCGCGGCGAGGGCGAGCGGAAATTGACTTGGCACCTCCTGCTGAAGATCACAAATGCCGCTCCACGTCCGTGTCGACTCCCGACTCGGCGCAGTTGTTTGGGCTAGTGCGGCCAATTGGGCGGTTGGATTGGGTGCCGCAAATAGAGACCAGACCCTGGAAACGACCTGCTCTTGGCGTAACGACCAGGGCTCCAAAACGGCGTGGGATTGGGCAGAAAGTGTACCCCCCCGTCAGTGTACCCCCAGGGGTACGAGACTAAAAGCTGTCCTACCAGCACAAGTACATGTAACGTTACTTAGTACAAGATGGAATGACTCCATTGTTTGCCAACACAAGTCTTCACTACGACGGCATAGGCGCTTTGATGGGGCAATGTAGGATTGATAGAGCACGAAGCGTATCTGCGAATATTTGCCACATTCTACGTCCGTGTTCCATCTTCAAGGTGAACCCATAAGAGCGAACCCATTTCCTCACGCGACGCATCAATATATCGCTGCTGTGTATCACAACGCAATTGACCCGGTAGACACCAAGTCACGCATGTCCTCGTCCTCTTCGTTGCTGTGCACCCGCAACCAGACCGCGTTAACGTCGCAGTGCAATTCTCTGTGCGCTGAAGGCCGCCCGTGCGTCGCGTACGCTGCCGGGGACGAAGCGGAGTGCGTCACCTCGCTCTCCACCTTCGGGGCCTGCACGGCGGACGACTATTGCACCTACGAGTGCTTCGCCAATGGGCCGGACGACTTTGCAGCCAATGGGGCCATCGATTTCAGCACGTACACGTTCCTGATCCCGTTCGGGAGCGACGTGGAGCCAAGTGAGCAGGAGTTGGGCTGGTCTAGTGACCAGGAGGCCGCTGCGGATGCGGAATTGGCGGTGGCGGGCAACCTGACGACGCAGCATCCGTCCAAGTCCAATGACGCACTGCAACACATTGAGCCACTTGACTTTATGACGTCCACTACGGGGGTCGTGCTGGTTGGGGGCTCCAGTGTCTTTGGCGTCCGTGGAAAAGTGGCCCGAGTGCAGCTTCCGGAGAAATTGTTCGCGGCTGATACACAGCTACAGGCAGTGTATGTTAGACTATTTTGCTCTGGTTGAGTGACTAGGTAGATAAGTATTTTCTTGGTGTACTGCAGAACATTGGCGAACCTCGGCTTGGAGCAGATCCTCGTGTCGTCGTTGCCGTCTGGACTGGTTAACCTGACGATCTCCAACTGCCTCATGACGAGTTATCCAGAGGACCTGCAGGCCATGAGTGATCTTGAATTTTTGTAAGACGTTTTCTGAGAAATGCTCGACCGGTTTGCGAGGAAGTTGCTGATTGTGGCGATATTGGTGTTGATGTAGAGATCTGTCCAAGAACTACTACGGATACTTCCCTTCAGATCTGGAACTGCCGAAGCTACAAACGCTCAACTTGTCCGCTAACAGTATCGGGAGTTTCGACGGCACTTTGCCGAGCCTCATCACAATGTACGTGAAATTGTACCATTGCTTCTATGTCTCCTGAGCAACTAACAATCAAACTCCACAAAACTGTAGTGATCTTGCGGGCAACAACCTCACTTCCATCCCATCGACAATTTTCGATATGAAATCACTGCAGCAGCTGGACCTGCGTGGCAACAAATTTGCTGGTGTGGAACTCACTTCGACGCAGTTCAGCTTTCTCCAGGATCTTGACGATTTCGCAGTGGATTCATTTGGTGAGCCGGTCTGCAACACGACCGAGAAGCTTGAAACCAGCTCCAGTACACTCAGCGTGTGTGTATCCGGTATCACCAACTCGACCGAAAACGAGGATTCATCTTCCAACAAAGCGCTCATCGCCGGGATCATGGCTGCAGTCATCGTGCTCTTCGTCATCCTCGCCATCATCTTCATCTTCCGATGTCTTCGTCATCGCGCGGAGCGTTTAAAGCCCGACACCGAGCCAGAGATCATCCATTTGCAGCGCCAGCTCATCAGTCCGACCGAAAATGCTCCATACACGCACGCACTCAGTGCAGAGCGATATTCTGCTCCAGACTCTGATGCTGAAGCAGTTCCAAACCAGCACGCCTTCCCTTACGATGACGAACTCGGTATGTTGCTCCTGAATGTGGACGATCTCGAGTACATCCGCAAGCTGACAAGCGAACATCGAGCTCGAAGTAATCGCGTGACGTTCCTGACGAGATTCCGTGGCTCACGCTTCCTTGTTTGCAAGAGACTACAGCAAGAATCGATCGATGAAGCCTCGGAGACACAACGCTTTGCTCAAGAGGTTCGCCTTGCTGCGACTCTGGATCATCCGCGGATCGTCGCTCTCGTGGGCATCATTTGGAGTCGTATGTACGGCTTGGAGGCGCTCTATGAGTACATGGAGGGAGGGGATCTACGCTCACATCTCGCTAGCGTTGACGGTGCCAGTCACGACTTACGATCGTGGCGTTCACAGAGTGCGTGGAAGTTGCAAGTCGCCTTCGACGTGGCCGAAGCGTTGGCTTATGCGCACGCGTTCTCTCCTCGACTTATACACCGTGACTTGACTTCTCACAGTGTGTTGCTGTCGTCACCGCCAGAACTTCGTGCTCGGCTCGACGAATTCGTGATAGAGCAGCAAGGATTCCCCAGCATGCCGACTATTGGCATATCACTCCGAGAAGAGAGGTGGCTACCTCCTGAGGTGATCACGGGCGCAGCAGACTACAGCCCTGCCGCCGATATGTACGCGTTTGGCGTGATTCTGTCGGAGATCGACACGCACTCGTTGCCCTACGAGAATATTCAGGGCGTGGTGAGCGGCAGGCAGAACATGAGCGAAGTGGAGATCCTCGACCTCGTGGCGTCTGGGAAGTTGCATCCTGTATTCACGCTTGGCTGCCCGACGGGAGTTCGAGAGCTGGCAGAGCGGTGCCTGAGCTACGACGCCTCGGAACGACCCACTGCACTGCAAGCGGTCATTGTTCTACGCACACTGCTATCAGAAGACCGTCGGACCTCATTCACTGTTTAGTTTGAGAACTATTGCGCATGAATTCAGTGTGTATTGCTCATCAATTAACCTCATCTTACTGTGGCGGTGGGAGGAGGTCTCTCGTTTGAACACGCCGCACCGACTCGCCCGTGATGGGGTTCACCCCCTCGCGCGAATTGTGGTACTGCAGGTTCTGAGCTCTCAGCATGGCTCGGTGCTTGATGGCGGCGTCTGCAGCTTGAAGTCGTTCGCTATCTTTGCCGTCGTTGTATTTCAGTGTCACGGGGTTGAACGGTTCGCCGCACTTGTTGCGTCGAGCTTTCGAGCCCGACGCTCGCAGCGCCTCCCACCGACGCTTTTCCTCCGCAGAAGCAGCGTCCATGGCCTCCCAGCGACGCACGTCGCGGTTCACAGCCTCTCGACGACGTCGCTCCTGGTGGATTTTGGTGCGAGTCCGAGCATCTTCGCGAGCTGCACGCTCCTCTCCGGCAGTGTCCGAGTGGAAGCGGTCGGCGTCACTCATAAACCCCTGACTCTGAGGCGTGTACACCAGCATGGCACTACCCGCGGCTGTTGTGTCGACGCGTACGAAGCCTTCCTTGCGAGCACGGAGGCGCTCCTTCTCACGCTGCTCCTTGTCACAAACAGCCTCGCGCTGCTCTCGCGTCCGCGCCGGGATGTTGTTGAACTCGCGGACGGAGGTGGTCGCTGCTGGCGCCTTGCTGTTCGCTGGCATTTCTCCACGTAGGAATGGTATTTAGCTGCCGGAGAGAGAGAGAGAAGACGGCGAGTGCTAAAGGAGAAGTGGAGAAGGTTGACGAGATGATGCAGTGTAGCCATTTATAGAGACTTGGTTACGTTGAAGTTGCTGGAAGATCGCCATAGCCTATCAGAAGAAGGTGAATATGCAGGTCTCCCACTTTTCCACGAGGGGCACGACGCTGTCTTGCCACGTGACTTGGCCAGTCTTTTTGTTCGGCTGCGCTTGAGTGTCTTGCCCTTGTTGCGGTGGAGCTCCAGTACCGACAGCAGGGAACGAGTGCGGCGACACATCCACGCCGTTCACGTGAGTGAGGAAGACCTCGTCGCGACGCATACCAGCCTCGAAGCACGGCGAGCCAGGCAGCGCCTGGACCACGATCCACCCGTCCTGTTGACGCAGCGGCTTGAGTCCGAGCGCGCCGTTCACCTTGGTCACGCTGATGGTCTGCTCGCAGTCGAAGCTGAACCAGAGCCGCACAGTCTGCACGAAGCCTCGCTGCATTTCGTCCGGGTTGAGGTGATACACGCCTTCATACAAAATCTGAGGCCCTTGCTGCGAGATGGCGCTAGGACAAGCCGCAGCAAGCGGCAAAGTGCACGTCTGGATGCTCAGGATGGTAACCGGTCTCCCTGCACGTCGAAAGTTGTTGATGTACTCTCGAGCTCGGTTCGTCGTCACGAGAACGTCTTCGTACTGCGCTGTGGGTCGAAGCGAGATCGACTTCTTCTCCTTGAGCATGACAGGGACCCACGTGCCGATGTGAATGTACGGCTCGTGGTAGGAGCCTTGTTCCTCGCTCGTTTCGTGATGGAAACCTCCATGCGCCGCGTTGCCCAGCGGTGAGATAGGCATACTGGATGCTGGGACTCCGTGCAACGCACTCGCACGACGGATCTCCATAGGCTGGAAGGGCGTAGCGCTGACCCGACGAACGCCGCGGATGGCATGGTCCGTTTGCAGGTTGAGGTCGCTGCGTTGGCGGAATGGACTGCCGAAGATGTCGAGCACCCAGCGCGAGTCGGGCTCCACGAGGCTGTACACCTGGCCCTCGAGCTCCTCTGCGGAGGAGCCGTCCGGGAACGTGTACAACGCGATGTCGTCTGCAGACCCGACGGCGAAGAGCTCTTCCTCGCTGTAGAGCGCACGCGCGAGCCCCATCTTGACGTCGCTCCAGCTCTCGACGCCACGCAGCTCCGCCGGCTCCAGCTCGAAGCACCCGTCGTTCTTGCACACCAACACCCGCATGACGATCGAATAGAGGTTTGTGGGTGGTGCGTGGTGGGGAGACCACCCCCAAGAGACCGTCTCAACTAACTGTTCCGGATAAGCCCCAAGCGCCCTAATGACGCGAGGACGCCAGCGGCGTTTCACGCTTGGCGAATATAGATCATGAAAGCTGAAGAATTATTAATACACGAAGCTAGCATTGCGGAGGTAGAGGGCGGTAGTGGTTTGATGCACACAGACAAATGGCCTGGCCCGATAGGATGTCCGCGTTAAACGAAATGCTGCAACAACACGACCGAAAAAGTATCCAACGAACGCAGTCATCGTCGTGACCGGAGTTCGAGGCCACGTCGAGATGCGAAGCAGCAAACGCTTCGACGTCGAGACCGCACGCCTTGATGTGTGCGCCGCCGATCCGATTTGCAGGTTCAGCTTGAAGACTGAAGCAACGTGGCGATGGCCGCGAGCGAACAACCCAACGCGCCAGCTCTCTGGTCTCTGGTCCATTAGCCGGTCACGCTGTCGTCCACGAGAAGGAGCGCGTGGCAGGCAGTCAACATCGAAAGGTGTGTGTGGAGATCGTCTCGATCTTTGGCTGAGCTTAGCGGCGGACAGCAGGCAATCCGCCTGGCAGTGTCTCGCCGATTACGCGCTAGGGAGACATGCTCTACGCCGGCTGCAGTGTGTGGCAGTTGGAGGCGCAATGGGTTTTGGGGCGTGTGTCCCAGCAGTGAAAGTCGACTGGCGAGCGTCGTCGTGTTCCCAATTGGCAGCAACATGCTGAGGTTTCCTAGCGAAAGGCAAGATGGCACTGCCACGCAGGACTCGACTCGGCCTGCAGCGTCCCGGTGTCGGGTCGCGGGATCAGCTGGCCCAGGTTGAAGTTGTGCCCCTCGAGATGCGCTTCCCTGGGCTCGGCTCAACAGATGATCAGCAGCGGCGGCAACGAGGGCCAAGCGGCGATCACAAAACTAATGGATTTGGTCCCGCCCGCTCAGAACTCGTGCATGCAAGGGGAACCAGCAGCATTGCACGTCCGATGGGCGTTTTCCAACGCGCACGCCAGCCTCGCGCGAAGGTGGCGTCGCTGGCACCGCAGAGGCGACCGAGTCGATCGGCCAGAGGCTGTCTTAGTCTTGCACTGAACTGCGCTCGGCGACGGCATGACAAGTACGACAAGTATTGGTTGCCTTGCTATCGTGCTCATAAATACGCCTCGCCATTTGGCCCCAAGCAACCTGCGTTTTCTTGCAAAAAGCGCTGACATCGTCGGGCGGTGACACCGGGAGGTCACGGCCTGCGTCGACTGAATTGGGGTGCGTACCTGGTAGATTTTCCTAACGCGACGCAACACCTTCGCATGGAGTGCGCTTCTTGCTGCGATCATGCACGCGCAAAAGTTTGACTTGCATTCACTATCCAATTTTAGTCCGTATCAATTCGCACAACGAAATTCCAGCCCGTCAATTGGGTTCGCATCTAGATGGCTGCTTGGCATTTGCTACGAGACAACCAGCCTTATGAAATGCTCAGTTGCAATGGCAATAATCCAGCCTCGCTTGTTTTGCGCAGGTACCACAATCATTGGTGCTCACGCTGCTGCGTCTTCGAATAGAATACACCCGACCGAGAAACGTCCATCAACCCTCCACATCAATCTCGCGTCTATTGTGGTTTATCCCGCTGTGTGGCCGCAGTCTGTTCGCCCCTCGGATCTCCCAGCGAATGCCTCGCTCGCGGCCCTTTTCGGCCTATTTTTGGGAATTGGCTTCTGGAATACAGACAACGACTTACAAAGCCGACATGCTTAATGCCATCCTCCTATATAAAAACAACGATAAATTCCCTCCCGTCAAATCTGTAAAACTGTCATAAAACACACGGTGTGTTGCATAAAGTACACAATAAAGCATATAAAGTACACAAAACCAGATGGTATACAAAGATGAAGTCATTTGATTGAATCTGATTGGTTGGTTTGCTCATGTTAAGCTTTGCTTGACTTCGTCTGCCGGCTTTTTGTGTCTGCCGGCTTTGTAAGTAGTCCGCGCCCTTTTCTCTGCACCATTTTACAAGTCATTCTTTTCGCCGCGGCTATGCACGAAAAATCCCCGTCTGTTCACGCCGAGATGCTCTCTCATCTGCTGCACCCGACTCCAGGCATCCCATCTACACTAAGCCGAGTCGGTCGCGGTAGCCACCGCCGTTAGCAGCACTCTCCCTTCCGCACACATGTCGTCGTTGCACTTTCATTTCAGAATCCGCCGCCTCGAGCTCACTTCTGTAGCGACGCACGTATTAGTCGTTACGCCTCACGGATCCTCCTCGCTGTTTCCGACTTCAGCCTTCCATTCAAGCCCAGCCACCCGATTGTATCCATGATGGAGAACCCGCTGCACTCGTCGACGCTGCCCAAGGCCGGCGGCCTGCGCAAGTCCAGCTCCACACGCAGCCTGGCGTCGCTGGCCGACGTGCAGGCGCTGATCCTGGCGCAGGACGAGGACGAGCAGGCGCAGCAGCGCAGCAAGGCGCTGCAGAAGCCGCCGCGCCACGCCAGCGTGCCCATGTACGCGCAGATCCTGCTGCAGCTGTGGCAGCGCGAGCTGCAGCGCAACGACGTGGGGCTCACGAGCGACTTCTTCTACGACCTCCACGGCACGGAGGAGCAGGGCGCGCAGCTCGTCGGCCGCATGCAGGCGCTCGGCTTCAACATCACGGTGCCGCAGTTCTTGTCCATGCACCGCTGCTCCATCTACTCGGTGCTGCTGGTGGCGTTGTGAGGCGCTGCAAAACAAGACTGCAACCCCCAAGAAGAAGAAGAAGAAGAAGAAGAAGAGGTGTCTATTTTATCGGTCGGCTGGCTAGTCCGACCACGACGTTCCCCACACCCGTTCGCCCGACCTCTCATTGTCACAAGCCTTCAGATGCAAGAGCGCGGCTTCCCGTAGTCCACGAGCTCCGTCCCCCACACCCCGCCAGCGCCGCCCTCCAGCGTCACCCCCAGTAGCATAGCAACGATAATTTATAGCGCGAACGAGCATTCTCCATGCAAAAAGCAAATGCTGCGTCGTCGTGCATCGGCCTCAATCAATACATGTACGATATCCTTTGAATTCCAACTGCCACGACGAGTTTTCTCATATTTATTCACTCCCACCAACTTCCTCTTCTTCACTTAACGTCCGCGGCGGAATTGGCTCTGCACCTTGCTCTTGTGCAGGCGGCCGAGCCGCGTGTTGGCGCGCGACGACTGGCGACGGAAGTCGCTCTCGCCGCCCATCGTGCCCGGATCCACGTACTGCGGCCGCGGGTAGCAGATCTTGTAGTGCAGCGCCACGTCCACCTGGTTGTGGCCCTGGCGCACAGCTTCCTCGATCGCGGTGGGATCCCTCAGCGACCGGTTCTCCTCAAAGCGTCTCCTGCACACCATTGATTCCGGCAAAAGGTTAGATACCTTTTCCACATTTTAACCACCAGAACATTCCTCCGCCGAACGCAAACACTCGCGCAAGTGAATTGAGTGCATTGCGTCGGGCCTGATGCCTCACGACAGAGACTCAAAGCTTCTGTACCTGGCCTCGGCGCGGATCCAATCTTGCTCCACAGCGCCGCCTTCCCCTGCATTGCATTATGGTCGAGCACCAAGAGCGAGCATTGACATGGCAGAGAGAGAATGAGGAGCCGCTCGCTGGGGATGGGACACACAGGAACCGGAATGACGGCCAACTGGCTGGCTGGCTGGTCCCTAATGTGCTGCTGCTTGGTGGAGGCCACGTACATGTCCTCGCCACGCGGAGGATGCGGCGGTAAAGCGATAGCGACATGGCGGCAGGTTACGGCGAGTCTGGCGTGGCGCGCGCGCTGGTCATGGAGCAAGCAGCGCCGCCTCGTTCCAGTGGTGACCGCTCTGGATTGGCTCGAACAATGGGCCGCACGTTAAACGAGTGTCGCACCAACTGGCGCGACCTTCGCGTTACCGGGCGGTGGACCATACTCACTTCAAGTTCAATCTGAGACCCGACGCTAAGAAGTGACCATTTGGGTACAGCATTACATGTGTAGCTTTGCCCCACAGATGCTGGAACGAATGCATGAGATGCATGGCTAGGAAGACCTAAGTGCTGCTGCCCCGCACGCAGCCTGCAGCCTGCTGCTAGAGGCGCAGGCCGTGACCTCCCGGTGTCACTGCCCGACGATGTCAGCGCTTTTTGCAAGAAAACGCAGGTTGCTTGGGGCCAAATGGCGAGGCGTATTTATGAGCACGATAGCAAGGCAACCAATACTTGTCGTACTTGTCATGCCGTCGCCGAGCGCAGTTCAGTGCAAGACTAAGACAGCCTCTGGCCGATCGACTCGGTCGCCTCTGCGGTGCCAGCGACGCCACCTTCGCGCGAGGCTGGCGTGCGCGTTGGAAAACGCCCATCGGACGTGCAATGCTGCTGGTTCCCCTTGCATGCACGAGTTCTGAGCGGGCGGGACCAAATCCATTAGTTTTGTGATCGCCGCTTGGCCCTCGTTGCCGCCGCTGCTGATCATCCGTTGAGCCGAGCCCAGGGAAGCGCATCTCGAGGGGCACAACTTCAACCTGGGCCAGCTGATCCCGCGACCCGACACCGGGACGCTGCAGGCCGAGTCGAGTCCTGCGTGGCAGTGCCATCTTGCCTTTCGCTAGGAAACCTCAGCATGTTGCTGCCAATTGGGAACACGACGACGCTCGCCAGTCGACTTTCACTGCTGGGACACACGCCCCAAAACCCATTGCGCCTCCAACTGCCACACACTGCAGCCGGCGTAGAGCATGTCTCCCTAGCGCGTAATCGGCGAGACACTGCCAGGCGGATTGCCTGCTGTCCGCCGCTAAGCTCAGCCAAAGATCGAGACGATCTCCACACACACCTTTCGATGTTGACTGCCTGCCACGCGCTCCTTCTCGTGGACGACAGCGTGACCGGCTAATGGACCAGAGACCAGAGAGCTGGCGCGTTGGTTGTTCGCTCGCGGCCATCGCCACGTTGCTTCAGTCATCAAGCTGAACCTGCGGCGACACACACATCAAGGCGTGCGGTCTCGACGTCGAAGCGTTTGCTGCTTCGCGTCCCGACGTGGCCTCGAACTCCGGTCACGACGATGACTTGCGTTCGTTGGATACTTTTCGATCGTGTTGTTGCAGCATTTCGTTTAACGCGGCCATGTATGTTACCAGTTTAAGCTTTCCGACCAAACCTTTCCATTATGTTGCCATGACTTAGTCTCCTTTTTCAGCTTCATATTGTTCGCATTGATAGGTATCTGTACCCTGTGCTCTAGCGCGGCGCCTGCTAATCAAAGAACCGAGTCACACCGGGCGTCGGTGGCGGACTGCCACCATCACTGCTGGGTCACTTAGCGTCCAAACTCGCACCACGGCGTCACAGTGTTGCAGGCAGGTGTAGATGTAGGCGTTCTGTTGGACTTGGGTCGATAGGAAGTCCATCATGTGGAGAACTCGGTTTCTGGTGTTAGGCGCCACACAAATTCTCCCCCAGCGACCTTCTCCAAGAGCTCCAAGTTCGCGCATGATATCATCCACGAAGGAAGTGGCCGTAACCTCGTTATCTGGTCGAGTAAGCCACTCTGGATCTGGATTGCCGACAGCAGCGTTCAAGGCTCGGACAAGGGTGCCGTTTATCCCATTCCAGCAAAACAACGGGATCTTCCGTTGTCACCCTCACTTGGCGAAGATAAGAGCATCTCCAGCGGTTGGTCTCAAACACGGTTTTATCCTAAAAGTAACGCTGTTAAGACTTGGCCGAGACTTAAGGCTTCCACCAGAAGGTCCTATTGCAGGTTTTAACTTCACCGGGACCTATAGATTGGCTTTCGAGTCTTAAAATAAGACCACAATCTTAATGCCACCCATACAAAACTGAAGAGTCGCCGTATTTAAAAGATTACACCAAGACTGAATGCAATTTTCACATGCGGGAATGGACTTATAAGACTCGCTTTAGAACTCACCGCTGGAAGTAAGTTGGTCTGCGCGGGTCTCAACTGTAAAATTGTGGTCTCAAAGACCCTGTTACGTCTTAGGATAAGACCCACCGCTGGAGATGCTCTAAGCATCTAATCGTATCAGGACAAGCTTATTCAGGAGCAATAACGGCGTACTTCGTGTGACCATTCAGTTGCAAGCACAGCACTTGGGGGAGGCAATCCTTGAAGGATAGCTGTAGTTAAAGGAAAAACCTTGAAGCCTGCAGATTCGAGCGCATGCGGTAAAGCGCCGTCAAGAGGACTGAACAGTCCATCTGAATTTGAAAGTAAATTCGTTACCTAATTGCAAGTTCACAGAGCCCCCAGCCAGCGTCGCAGTTCCGATCCGCAGCGGCTATTGGTAGAACTGAGCCACATTGGGTGTCGGTAGCATGTCCATGGGGACTGCCGCCGCCGCTGTTCCGCGCTTATTCAGCATCGAAATGCTCACCACGACGCCATAGATGCAGGCGTTATTTTGGACATGGCCAGTGAGAGAGCTCACCATGCGATAAACTTGGTTGCTGGTATTGGGCGCCACACACACTCTCCCCCAGCGACCTCCGTCAAGGCTCCAAGTTCGCGCATGATATCATCCACGAAGGAGGCGGCCGTAACCCCCCCCCCCCGCTCTTCGGTCGAGTAAGCCACAGTGGGTCTGGATTTCCGACACCAGCGTTTGAAGCTCGGACATGGCGGAGCAAGTTGCTTTCATCTCAGTCCAGCAAGATCGCGGGATCATCCTCTGTTACCCTCACTTGGCGAAGATAAGCATCCACCTGTCAGCGTCGTAATAGGACACGCACGCCTATTATACTCAGCAACAATAACAACACACTACATGTGCTTATTCAGTTGTAAACACAGCTACTCACTTGGGGGAGGCAATCCATGAAGGATAGCTGCAGCTCCGGCGTTATCATCAGATCGTGCTTTGGCCGAGCGAGAGAATGGCGTTTGCTATGTTGATGACTTGGGACGTGGGGCTTTTGATGGTTGCTTTTCAACCGTGTAGCTCCACCAAGTATTCCTCGATTTTGATGGCAAGCCATGACGATACGCGTGGAAGCAGCAACTGTAGCGAGGCAATGGAGGGTAAGACGCTGCTCAGTACAGCGCAATGAGTGGAGATGCGTGCAGCAAAGTACGGCCGTGGACGGGTGCTCTTCCACTCCTTGAGGGTCCGTGGCGAGGTAAATTACCTCATATAATTGATTGCTTGATAACTTGATGGCTTGCAGGGTGTGGTCAAGTGAATTTGAGCTAGGAATGTTGTGGTAGACTTGTTTTTTCGTGGTTATTGTTTCTGCTGCAGATGTCGTGGGATGCTGTGCTGTAGACTTTAGAATGGGTTCCTCCAGTCTAGAGAAGGTGAACGAAGTTGGCGCGGCGTACTCGGGTGATATTTATCACCTGTTACTTTAGCACTCTTCGGCTGTTGTGTCTCTCCAGCCCCTGTCCACCTGTCGTTAGCCCTGCTCGGCTGTCGTCTGTTAATAACCTTTGTCAAAGAATATATTATGATATTGCGAGGGGTACATGCGCGACTCGAAGTTTACCTCCGTGAGGGACTCTACTAATAGCCGAGAGCCTGATCGTGGTTCGTTCGGATGCGCAAGGACAGTGGGTTAGTCCAGAGCTTACAGTATCGTGGTGGCGCTGTATTCTTGGGCTGCAGCTCTCTAAATGACTTCCGGTTGCTTGTAGCTGACTTAATTTGGTGTATCTTGTTCGCTCTCAGTCCCAGCTATCGGCATGATGTTCGATTGCGACCCTCAAGCGTTAGTACGAGATGTTTGCCCTGCCGATTGCGTATTTGCACTCGCCACTAACCTGATGACTGCTAGGTGCTTGCCTTGCAGTCAAAGAGCACTCGCAACAGGTTTTCAGATCAACAGGTTCTCAAACTTGAAAACCTGTTGAAAACTAACAGTTGAACAGGGTCGCCAACAGGTAAGTAGGGGCTGTGAGCTAGCAACAGCCTAGTAGTGGTAGAACAACAGGAATTAATTATTTTCCGGCGTACTCGAGGATGCTGGTCCTTAAAGATGTGTGCAGGCTTGATACACAATGCGAACAGCATTGTGAACGTGGCGCAGGTGTGGGCTAGTCGAGGGTACAAGTTGTAGTGCGGGAGGTTTGCTACAGATCCCGGACACGCCACGATTCGACTGAGCTGGCAGCGTATCGGATCAACAGGACTGCAACACGCAGGTACAATTTGATTAGTAGCTTGAATCAACGCATTTGAACCGACAGATTCGTACCAGAAAGCTGGAAAGGAGCAGCACACACTTAGCGCCAGGTGGAACGTCGAGAATAGGATCGAAACAAGCATCAGACCAGCGATGCCCTCATGCAAGCACGAGTCTACCATCGTCCCGTACGCGAAGGTACTGGACGCGCGTGAGAACGTGCACACGCAGTCGAGCAGCAGCAGCAGGGCTGCTAGTAACTGAGGAATGGCAGTAAGCAGGTACTTGAGCGACAATTCGTGGTACACCTCGCGGTTCTGGAGCTGTGGAAGCAGCATGCATATTGTGATGAATGGGTCATACACAGCAACACAGAGCCAAACGTACGTCGGTAGCATGATACCATTGACACAAGCCGAAGCCTCCCAGCCGGAAACACGATAATCCTTCGAGTGAGACCTTCAGCTGCGCAAAATGTACAAGCATGTCAGTAGAATTTTACGAGAGCACTCCAGCCCAGGAAGGAAGGATACAGACGAAGATACAGCGGCAGGGGTTTCATCTGGCACAGGGGTTTACTCGGTGCACAAGTTGTCTTTTCTCCTGTCAAACAAGAATTTACCATCGCTCGACGATCTATGGCTCCGAAGTCGACAAGTGTAGGACCTGTATTTTCGGCAACGACGCATAATATATTTCCGCATGTGCAGCTAGTTGCACTACTCACTTAAGGCAGGCAATCCTGCCTGTCAGATCGTTGTCAGCCTTTGTACTTCCAGGAAAATGGGACGGGACGATTGTTCTCAACTTTCCAAGCAAGCTCAAAACTCAACAACCCTTCTTGGACAATGGTGGAAACGCGCTCAAGCGACCCAGAGCAGCAGTTATCGTTCGATTGTCTGCCCCAAGTGAGTATTCTCTTCAACTGCACGCATTGTTGCTGCTGCTGATCAAATGTTTCTTGAAATGGCAGGTGGATGCTTATCTTCGCGGAGTGCTCGTGGCACGAGACAATCCCGCAGAACCGCCCTGAGGCAACTGGTACGAGGTTTGAACGCTCTGCGCGGCCACCACCCAGACCCAGTGTGGCTTACTCGACGCAACAACGGGAGTTACCGTCAACTCTGTCGTGGACGATACTGTGGCTGCACTTGAAGAAGTTGTTGGAGGCCGCTGGGGGAGAGTTTGTCTGGCCCCGAACGACGCAATTCAATACGGAGGAATTGTACGCTTTCTGGCTACCTACGTTCAACACGACGCCTTAATCCAAGAATGTCTGGCTGGCGTTCGCTGTGACGCGGTGGTGCGGATTACGGCGCTGAGTGAGCGTGGATCAGCGGCTGCCACACGCAACTTTCCTGATCGAGAGCCTCCGCATGGTACTAGAAAGTTTTACCATTAATTTCAAGAGGACCTTGAACTACAGTAGTAGGGCAACAAACATGCATTCCAGTTTTGATCGTCAAAACATTGATACTTGAAGTGACTTACTATACTCTCAACACTCGTTCCAGTACGTTGCACGCTTTTCCAGCTCCTGGAAAATTGCAGCTGAGTGCAAGCAATGGTTTGCGCAAATAAATACATCGATATGTGGGAGCTCGCTAGAGCGACATGGACTGCTTCTCCTCCTCGTCTTCAATCACCTTCAAACGCTTCGCGCACCGTTTCAACCTTCGTCGAACGGTATGCTCAACCTCCGATCCTTGATCGGTCGCGGGCATTGCGGCCAGCACATCATACGCCAACTTGATCGACTTCATCAGCCGTTCCCCCTCGTCATCCACACTTTGCACGTTCCCACTCTCCACAGGCACAACCGAAGAATCCACGCAACTCACAGACCTCTGCTGGAGACTCGCCTGCACACTCTGCTGCATCTGCAATACACCCGGCGACTCACCCTGTCCAAAATCCGTCTCCGTCGGCGCCTTGCACACAACCGAGATCAACTCGGGCTTGTCATGGAGCCAGCGTCTCAAATAGTAGACGTCATGTCGCCCCGAACATGCGGCCAGCTCCGCCGCACTATCCCCACCAGCAACACACTGCGAGCCGAAGACGCAGACGTAGGCCAGGCCCAGCTTCTCCCACATTTTCCGCAGCTTGTCGCTTGAATGGGCAATGGGCGAGCCCAGATTGAAGTCCACGAACACGTGATCATCTGGGTACGCGACCCGCGCGTACTCCGCCTTGTTGCTCACAAACTCCGCCCTCACTTTGTCCCAAAAAGCGCTGCTGCCGTCCGCATTGCGCTTCCTGAGTGCTCCGTCAACTGTCAACTGCCTCAAATAAGGCGCTAATTGAGGCGAGAAGAGCACGTTCGTGAGGCGCAAGTTGCAGTTCTTGCTCTTCCTGGTGCGACCCGCCGGGTTTGCATTGATGAATACAAACCCACCGCCGTCTACGAGACCCGCGGCGCTCGCTGTCTTGGCCTCCAGCAACTTAAGCAGCAGCTCCGCGTACCCGGCCTTGGACTGGTACGCCGCGTACTCCTTGCTCTGCGCGGGCACGCCGAAGCCGCCGCACAGCGTGCGCAGCTCCTTGGTCGAGTAGCTGGCGATCTCGGACTGCAGCTCCGCGCGCTGCCCTGCGTCGCTCAGCCGCTGCAGCGCCTCCAGCCGCTCACGGCGTGCGGTCGCCGCCCCCACATTCGCCATGGAGCTCCTGGATGCTGGATGATCAACGGTACCCCATTGGCTTAAAATGGTTGAAACGATAAGGGATTGGGCAAAATGGGGGAGGATTTGAGCCAGTTATAAGACAGATCACCAGGAAAAATACGACAAGCCTCAACTCTAACGAACACTTACGTGTACTTTGTCGTTATTTTATGTTGTTTTAAAAAGATTAACGATTGCGAGAATACCACTTGAAATGATATATTGTGAGAACCGGCTAAAACGCCCATCTCTAGCAACCCCTTATTAGATCTCAATAGCCAAATTAATCAGAGTACAAATCAGGTTTGAAATCGATCGTGACACTTGCCTGCGCGATTGCCCAGTAAAAGGTGAGCATTCTGCTCCAAACGCGGCTATATCGACTAGGTCTCCATAAAACGGTCGCCTAATCTGCACATCCACTCACATATGTATCGCAGGGAGTCGATCGATTTGTAAATCGATCGAGCTAAATCAGGGTGTTAATCAATCGATTTACGAGCAAAATAGGCAAATGAAGCGGGTTTCACAATACTTCCTCTGGCCGAAAATAAACGCAGGTTTCAGAATACGTCATGGTGATTGGACAAAAACAGGTATTTTGGTCTTCGCGATTGGCTTATAAAGCATTAGCCGCTCCATCCGCGGGGCTTGCTGCGAAGCCCTGTGCGGTTAAGGCACTCCCAACGGCAGTTCCCAATGTTCCCGCTCTCCCATGCCTCAATACAAAGTCCCTTGACCATCGTGGCTCGCAAAAACAACCATATTCGCGCCACAGTGACTGAAAAACGGTGCTATTTCATCGCCGCTGTCACGTACCTTCCGCGAGGCAAAACGTAGCTGTTACTGATCGCTAGCAACTCCAAAATGGTGTCACGGCGCTCTTTAACCATAGCCATGAGATTGGTGGTGCTTGGCGGGTAATCGGTGCTCTAGTAGACTCGTGGCGGAATTCGGTCAAATCCGCAGTTCGTAAGAACTGTCGTTTGCGCCCCTGCGGATGTTTGAGATAATGCAACATAAGGTTTTATACTGGGATAGGAAGCGACGAAGTGCTGATAGCCCAGCCCAAACAGGATTAATTCGGGCGATGTCCCCCCGTCCAATCGACACCGGTGATGAACCGGTAACGTCTTTAGGTCAATATACAGTAAGTGATGTCTATTGACCGAGTGTTTTAGACTTCTCAAGAATGATGGAGGCTGCTCCAGTTCATTTGCAAATTCGTCGAGTTAGATTCGTCATAGATTTTGCTCTGAAATCGGTTGTACGTCGTGACCATAGAGGCGATACATTGTCGGGCAGATTCTGCGGCTGCGAAGCAGGCGCAGGAGATGCCCGTGGAGCGTGCGGATTGAGTTTATCAATGGCGATCAAAGGTGAGTTAACCAATCCTATCCCAGCCTTCGCGAAGCCCTAGTTCCGCAGTTCGTCAGAACTGTCGTTTCGTATGTTTGAGATAATGCAACATAAGGTTTTATGTTGCATTATCGGTTAAAGAGCTATTTGACACAACAGCAATGACAGTTGTACAGCAATTGTATTACAGCACAGCGGTGCAAACTCCGATTCATTACAGCTCAAAGCAAGCATGCTTTCGGCGACAAGCTGACCAGGCAGCAGCAATAATAAAGAGGGGTGATCAGTCAGTCAATGCAATTTGTGAGGAATCGACCGAATCGGGGCAGCAAGCGAGCAATAGGTAGGTCGCCGTCGTATCGGCTAAGTTAGTTTAGGCATGTGGCTGTCATTTCTAAGATACGATGTCGGACGCCACAGCAGCAGCAACCATAAACCGTCGTTGAGTAAAACAAAATTATCGCTATTAATTAATGGTCGTGGGTGCGAACTGTTTGTTGAGAGTCGACTTTGAAGTGAGGAGACCTAAACGGCATTTAAATCAGTATAGCAATTCTACAAAATCAAGTTGAAGGCGTCAAATTTGGACATATACACCGAATAACCCCAGAAAATAAACACATTATACATTCTGAACCGAAGCTCAGTCTGGCAGCTTAAAGCTGTGCAGTATGTACCTTGAATAGCAGTAACGCTAGTGTGAGTTCATGCAATGAAATGAAATTTGCGGTTATGACGGCTGACTACGCCCGTCGCCGCGCACTGCTGCAGCGCAGCATACGGGGACTCCCGCGGTAGCAGCCGAATAGTGTGAGTTCACGTTGATCCGCCACGGCAGATCGAGCAGCGTAAGCCATCCAGCAAATGGACGCATGATATTTCACAGTACAAAAATAAGAGCAAGCGCTAAAATTCAAGAATGTCATCACGCAACGCGCTTCTGCGGCAAGCATAGCGCTATTACCACATAGTACTACTAGTAGTAAATAAGTTTTCTACTGTGCACGTTTTAGAATACAGTAAAAAAAGACCGAACTGCGAACACCGCGGGCCAAAGCCCGCAAACCAGTGAGCTCTCGGAGTAGCGTCGCGTTTGTGATCATAGCTCAGTCTCCAGATCGAATCTGTTCGTAAACGCCATATTAGCCAATAGCAGAGATCGCGGTGCGTATTTTGGTCCAATTAGGGTGACCGTACCGGTAGAGCTATCCCTATATTGAATTTGGCGGGCAAATCATGTGGTAATTGTAGATTTGACAATGGCGAGCGAAAGTTTCACAGCGATATCGCTATTTTCCAGTCACACACACACGGTAGTAATGCAGCGTGTGTTTTCCTAGGCGGTTTTGGTGAAGATGAAGCCGCTTTCATGGCTGCCGATTGAAAGAGGACCGGTGGTACGGAGATTGCCTTCTCATCGGGGGCGTCTCGACGTGGTCGTGCGCTAAGCTAAGCCAAACATCGCGCTGATAGTCGCGTTAGACTGCCTCAAGGGTTCGACTCGGTTGCAACGGACCAGGGGCGTAACTAGGCCCGATTAGGGGGGGGCACGCCCCCCCCCCCCAAACTTTTGCCTCCACCTCGCTTTGAATGCTATAATCCATACTATTTTTTGCCCTAGACCCGTGCCCCCTAGAAAAAGGGCGGTGCCCCCCCCCCTAGAAAAAGGCTCTGGTTACGCCCCTGCAACGGACACGACATGTTGCGTGGGCATCTTTACTGTGTTCCAGCTCCGATCCAGGACTCGTAGAATGCACGTCCTATAGACTGCGGTCACGTTCCCCGTTGCTATTTTCACGACCAAATTTGGCCGCGGAAATAGCTCTGGGATCGGGAAGCTATTTTTGATTTGGCATTTGGCAATACCCCCACCTGTAGCCAAATCAGAGCCAAATTTGGCATTTGTCGGCTGGATAGCTCGACGGGTACGGTCACCCTTAGCATGCAAAAAGGCCTTGTTTTCGTAGAGCAATGGGCAAATGATCTGAAACCTGCGTATATCATCGGCCAGAGGAAGTAGTTCACAAGAAGAGTTCGTTCGAATCCGATTCGTTGCTTGAACGAAAACAACATGAAAAAAGAAGCTTTGGAATTACAGCAGACAAATGGGAACAAGGTCAGTGTAAATCAAACTCGAAGATTTTCTATGGAGGGGAGTATTTATGATCCTTGCGTCGCTGTTCTATCCACAACGCTTTCGAAGTTTTTCTTTCAATTCGCTATATTTTAGGATACTCTCAATGCTGATGTTGCTAAAACACTGCACTACGTATCTCTAATTTGTTGTTGCCCTCATCGCCGTCTTCTACCTCAGTCGAATGTCATGACTCACTGAAGTAGCGCCTGCTCCTTGCCCTGCTTCTGCTGCTCCTCTTCCCCCTCCTCTTGGTCCTGGTTGCGCTTCTGCCTTTGTTGCTGCTTTTGTTCATGCTTCCTCTTCTGCCAGTTCCACGCGAGACCCCCCACGAGTAGCATGCCGATCACACTGCCGATGGTTGCCTTTATTTTGGTTCTTATGCAGATCAGGTCTAGGATTTGAACATGCTGATTATGAGACCGAATCGGTAGACCTGAACCAAACAGCCACGGTAGTGGAACATGGTACTACTTGCCACCATTTGTACGACCTCCGTTCGGCTTTCCTGCCGTAGCAAGCATCCATAATGCTACTTGTACATGAAGGCTGAGCATTTGGACCCACTGCTTTAAATGAGAAGGCATGGTGCAATGAGCGGAGCCTATCATTGCATTAGTCGCTTCACAGCGTACCGTGGTGAAATGGTGGCTACCTAAGCCGCGACGGAAGGCGTTTGCTCAGTCCAATTAATAAAAACGATGGGCTTACACGTTTTCTTAAGAGTGCAGTGACTACGCATTTTTACCAAACCAATGCAGCAGCTCAACGCTGGCTCACCTCGGTCGATCATCATTGCTGGCATCTAACTAAGTACTTGCAAATATGTTATTTGTAATAGTTTTCCATTGAGTTTGTTGCCGATAGTTTGCGGCTGCAAGAAGCGAATACATATCCTTTGACCATACTGGACGTGTGCTTCGTACTGATAGCAAACGATATATGGATACTACTTCCTAGAGCAAGAAGTAGTCTCGAACAGGTAGCTGTAGAAACTGCGTTTAAAAATCTAAAATATAACCTAAGTAGTTGATCATTTGTTTTCCGTTCTATTCCGTCCGACTCAACTGAAGCGCATCAATCGCCAGAACTGAGTGCTTGCGCATCTCGATCGGTATGGTCTCCAATTCAGCCTGTTGCCGCAAAAATAAACGTGAGCTTGACTTGCGTAGGCGCTCGCAGGAAATTCCAGCGCCGTCCCTATTACACTCGCTCGGAGATGTCTACACTATCGACGCACCGCCCTCACCACCGGTCTTCACACCCATGCCGCCAAGCACGTCACTGTTGGTCACATTGCTGATGCTGCAGCCATGAGGACGTGGCTGCCCACCGCGCGGTGTCGACAGCCTTGAAGTTTTCATCTGTAGACGACGCAATGGGCCCGCTCGCCTGTATGCCAACCCTTGACACGTTGCCAGCGCTGTGTTGCGCGAAACACAACACCAGCACTGTTCCGCTGGCCACATCCGTCCCGCTGCCGTATTGAACGGCCATACCACAATCTGCAGCCGCTTCTCGTGCCTCGCTTCTCTTCGGCACACCGGAGATCTAGACCTTGCCTACAACATGTACACCGCATCGACATCGTCGTCGCTCGTCGCCTATTATCGTGCAGGCCTTGTGTCTGGCCCAGCACGCCGTCGCTGTCGGTATCCTTGTCCACCAGAAACACCACGCCGCGCCGCGCACGTAGATCTTCTTGCTCCACACGGGCATGATCATGTCGAAGCATCCGATCCACCTCAGGGTTGGCCCCCTCGTGCGCGCTGGATAGGAGACGTAGCACAGCCTTCACGCTGAAATAGACGCTCGGGGTCCCTAACGTGCTCAGCGCAGCAGTGACGAGAGGAGGCTCAGTCCATGGCGGTGCTTGGGCTTGAAGGCTCGGAATCACGGAGCCGTAGGGTGCTGGACATTCCTCCACTAAAGCTCGCGTAGCAGAGTGAGGCAAGACTTTAGGGCCTACGTCGCCAGTTCACAAACAAATGTGATCCAATCACTGGATCAAAGAAAAGTACGGTATGATAAATTCCTCTGCATAAGACCCATTTAAAAATCTTCCACTGCCGATAACCCAGCCAGCAATCGTGCCTCCTGAGTACCCTTTGGTGTACAATCTTCTCTCCACCGCGGCACCCCTGAATGCACTGCTCGAATGTTTCACGAATGAAAGCAGCAGCGCGTTTGTCAGCACGAATTGTCCTTGCATTGGGATCGGGATCTTGTTCTTCACTTGAGTTGGGCTCTGCGTTTTGAGATGTGATGGGCTACCAGTGATGTTGTGGCATAAGATCACATGACTGGTGAGTCACGCATCGTGTGAGACATATCAAACGAAATGATACCAGGTACACTTTTAAGTATTAAAATACATGCATAACAGGGATTGAAAAGTCTGCATAGAAAATACCTATTATACTAGTACAGTAATAGTATTTTGATAGTATCGTTTAAAAAATCGCAAAATCGGCTACTAGTACAAAAGTTATTCAGAGTTCGTAGACACCAAGACATCCGCAACCTGCAGTGGGTCTTACGCTACTTACACAGTAGGCGTCGATTTGCCTCATAGTTACGATGGATTAAGCTAAAAAGTATTACGATCACACTCTTGAAAGATATATCAAAACGAGGAAGTTTTACTAGTTGAGCGTAGCATTCTTCCTACGTCAATGACATAAAAAAAGAGCACCAATGTCAATTGTGTGATGTGCACATGGGTCGATTAGTACATTTTGGGGGCGTCGAATCGAGATGATTATCTTAGACGACTCGCTGATAGATTTTCAGGAATGAATTTATGTATCATCACGCGGCTGTGGGCGCGGCCAATACATGTACAGTTCCTGATCGGGTTGCACGGTCCGTCTCACTATGAAATTCCTAGTAGGATGGCCCCTTACATGCAGAACAGGTTTATGGACAATGGTCTGTAGCAAGTGCGCGGTTGTTGATCATTGCCCGTGAGGGTAACTTGCCCGTGAAGAACATGCACACGCCAAATGAGAAATATTGTCGTGTAGGAACACGCACTAAATTATATAATAGCACACTTTCCCCACCTACAACACCCACCAAGTCCCGATGACTCAATGGGCTTGTTAGGGTTAGAACCTGAAGACCCAGGAACTTTCCCTTGCACCGAGTTGATGTTTCCTTTGTGCACCGTGTTTCCGCTTAGTCAACTGACGGAAACCCAGCGTCACCAGCCACGAGCAAAGGCTGGCACGCTCTCACACACAATATAAACCTCGCATGCCCTCAGGAAGGAAGGGTCCCAGCCAGTCACGGCTTGATACGAGGGTGCCGGAGGTATACTCTGGCGGGAAGGATAAATGGAGTGCGCTCTCGCTCCTCCACTACACGGCGATGACTCGCCCTTCGTATACACGGCCACCTCTTCTCTTCTCTTGGCCTGACCACGGGTAAACACACGCTTCGATACTAGTAGTAGGCGTGTCCACCGGCAGTCATAATCCTACGAACAGGTTTATTCAATTGCTACGGGAACTCACCGATAGCCCGGACGTCTTCCTTGAGTGGTTGGGAGGAAATCGTGTTCTCGTATTGTTGCCCAAAGGGCTTAACTGTTCTATCTTCTCTTTCCTATCTTTCAATACAAATATCTAGTCTAGACATGTCCGTTTTGGATCTTCCAGGTAACCACCCGACTCTTCCAAGCCCTCTTGAAGGCTCGGACGGCCTCCCGATGACTCGAATAGTCGCCTTAGGTGCGGAACTCAGGCCAAAGTTCGCCGTAGGTTCGGGTCGTCCTTGAAGTCCCGGTGTTGTGTGGGTACACCACTGCTCGACCTTGGGTGTCGACGAGTCATCGTCATTGGTCCAGACTGGCCAATCAGCAGCCGTCGAACGCCATCGAACGAAAGGCGATGTGCCTTGACCTGCCAGTTGAGTTGACGCCGAATGCCGCGTGACTGCCGTAAGCTTCACTCAACTTTCTCGACACCACAATATCACGCATAGTACACAATCAGGTTAAACGCACGCAGCTTTCAACTCGGCAGATGGGACATCAACTCCAATTTTAAATATTGCTTGAGAAAACGTAACGTGTTCGTGATTTTATTGATACACTAACCACTGTAAGTGATATTTGCTGATCTTTCATAGCATTCACAATACTACGTAGTAACAACCCAAGAGAACTACTTTGCTACCAGTTTGCTTTGGATGGCGTAATAAAGAGAAGAAGGCCTGGAATCCACTCTGATTGCCAAAAACGAACGGATGGAAGCAGTTTAGTCTACAAATTCCATAAATCAAACTAGACACTACATGTTAACTACCACACAATTGGTGCTTGGTATACAGTAAATGCTGTGCGTACACTAAATATGTAGTGACTAGACCGTTAAAATTCAACTGATATTACCCCATCCCAAACCTAAAGACTTCGGTGCAAACTCAGATCATTTTTATTTCAACACGTACTTGGTTAGATGACATTTATTTGAGGCTGATCCACTTTGAAGATCTGTATTGAATAAAATTTTTTGGGTCGAATCGAGTTGATGATTTTAGCTCGATATTGACCGCGGTCTCGGTTGAAGACCCGCAGATAGGATGTCATCAGCGGATTTATGTATCACGCGGGTGATTGGGGCTGTCTCATTGGGAATGGCCGACCACACAAAAAAATTAGTAGGAATTCAATGGAATTAGCCATAGCTCTCTGTACTCGCCGTGTACCGAGTATGAGGGAGCGCGTGGTTGAGGTTTTGCCGGTCTAGCTCCAACGGAGCAATACCACGCTGAAATATTATCGTGTGGCAAATAAGATATTGAGTGCAAGTAGTAGACATCATAATTACAGATTCCATTTGAAAATCGCCCAGGAGATATTCATCACATACCGAGGAATACGTAGTTTTTTCATTGATGGGAAACCCGCGGTCTCGATATGATATGTATGCAAAGTCACATGAAGTTTAGCATCAGTTGTGTGGGATATACCTGAGTTTAGACAAATAAAACTTTGATATTGTGCGGGGTTGCGCGGATAAGATTCTAGACAAAATATGTCACTCATAAAGTGTAGAGCCTTTCCTTACCTTGGAAGTCAGCACTTTGGCGATGAGCGTTGGGAGGTGCATCCGAAATGAAGGCGGCCAAAAATACCGTTTTCTATTTATTTTTCTACGAGACCAGAATATCGTGAACACGAGACGACTCTGGCCCCTGGGTGCTACTGTAGATTTTCCAGGATGTGCATGAGGATTTGTTGGAATGCGTATTGCAGGCTGTCTTCAACTGCATTGAAGTTCAAGATGAAGGCCTTGGGACCCTGCGAGCCTGGATAAGAGCAGCAGCGCTGTGAAGTATAGTGAAACTAAGTATGTAGGGTCTATGTGTGAGAAGCTGCTGAAGCCTGCTTAAGTAGTTGACGGGGGCTGCAGCACTAACAGTCGATTTACTTTCTCTTTCATCTTTCTCCCCCGAGTGTTGGCTGGTGGCCATACGGATCGAGTGCGACTTCTAACAGGGTACTGAGCCCAAGTACCGTGAAGGTCCTGCTGCAGCAGAAGTGATCCAAGATGGCGAAGCCTCTCAAGTACACGGCGGAGGGGATCCCCAAGAACTGGGATGAACGAGACTGGCAGACCTACAAGTGGGCGATGAAGACCGTCTTCCAGGAGAAGAAGCTCACCGAGATCGTGGAGGGTTCGATTGTGAGGTCGGAGCTGTCGACGGCCCAGAAGCAGGAGGTGTTCGATGAGAAGCAGACGCAGATCATGCGCATGGTGGGGTCCTCGGTGCCGCCGGACACGCTGCACCAGATTCGCGACAAGACCACGGGGACCGAGATGTGGGGCGCGCTGTGTGAGCTCTACGAGGGCAAGACCAACAAGACGGCTATGGCCCACAGAGTTCCCAACCTCAGGAATGATCTCTGGAGCACGAAGCTGAGCCCTGGTGGAGATGTTAATAAACACCTGAGCTAAATGTTCAATTTACGGACTGAGTTGGCTTCATTGCCGTATACCGTGGAGGATGTTGACATGGTGGAGATGCTGTTGGAGTGTGTGCCGAACCAGCCCGAGTTTGAGAACATGAAGGCAGCGATTCGGTACAACCCGAATTTTGGCGCTCTCACCCCGAGTGGAGTCCGTGATATGATTCGTGCAGCTGATTCCAGACAGAAGGAGTTCCGTGGCAAGAATGGCAACGGACAACGCGGAAGTCAGAAACACGGAGGCAATTTCGGCCGATCCAAGGACAAGGACAGCAAAAGTGATGGTCAGCAGCAGGATGCAGCCAAGGACGCTAAGAAGAAGAAGAAGCTCCGGAAGTGCTACATCTGCGAAAGCACAGAACATCTCAGAGCTGACTACCCTGATCGTGCGAAGGGGCCTAGCGGTGACGGAGCTAATGCGACTGAGCAGAAGCGGAAGCCTCGCGGGAATGCGACCATCCGCAGAGACGAGAGTGAGCCACCACAGCCAGACCATGAAGACGCAGATGTTGGGGTGGTGACCGGTGTGCTGGACGCGATGGTGATCGATGCCGGTGTGGATGCAGAGATCAATGATGAAAACTATGACGTTGCAAGTGGTGATGCAGTTCAAGAGGTGGATAGGACCGATGATGAAAATGAACTTGCGATTGATACCAGTGGTGGTTGGTGGTATTTCGATACAGTGGCAAATGTCCATGTCACTGGGAACCGGTCCTATTATGTGGCCTTTACGGAGGACACGAGCCAGTCGGAAAGCATTCACGGTGTCACTCCAGCCCTCGCATCGCGCATTGCAGGTGTCGGAACGGTAGCGTTACTGACCGAAGTCGATGGGTTACAAGTTGCAGTCGTCTTGGACGATGTTTTCTACGTACCTGGAGCTGAGTATGGGCTTTTGTCGCCTGGACTTGCAGTAGAACATGGCCTTCAGTTTGATTATGATCGTGAGACGATGAACTTCCGGGTTATGGATGAAGGACGCACCGTGATTGTTGCCACACCCCAAGAAGCTACATGGGGCTTCTTTGTTTCGCATCCGTCTACTGGAGCAATTGTTGGTCCGCAGGACCAGCCCCTGTGTAACGTGACTGCTGTTAAAGGGTTGCATCTTTGGAGCTCTGGCATGAGCGCCTGGGCCACACGTGCCAGCAGTACCTGAAGACTATGGTCGACCGAGGACTCATGAAGGGCATGTTGCTGACTCAGCGCCAGCACCAGGGTCCATGTGACGCGTGTCACGTCGGAAAGCAGAAAAAGAAGGCACATCGCAAGAAGCTGGACCGAGGCTTGGAGCAGCCCAACCAAGTGGTGTACGTTGATTTGTTGATCCCTAGCAAGGATAATGGAACTCGCTACGAGGCAGTGTTGATTATCATGGATGGGTTTTCTCGTTTCGTGACCATGCACTTGCTGACAAGCAAGGCGAGTGAGGTGATCAATGCGCGCATCAAAGAGTACATTTTATGGGCTGAGCGGCAGGCTGGGAGAAGCAAACGTGGTGTGAACTGGATCAAGTACCTGGTCCAGCAGGTGTGGACTGATAAGGGAGGCGAGTTCGTCAATGACGCGGTGAGCGCATGGTATCGCGCACATGGGATTGAGCATATTCGCGTCGGCCCCAAGAGCTCCCAGCTGAACCTGTGCGAGGGGACGCATCAGTCGATCGTCGAGATGACGAAGGCGTCCATGCACCACGCTGGTTTCCCAAAGAGCTTGTGGCCGGAGGTAATGCGCAGCGCTGTGTGCGTGAAGAACAGAGTGTACAACAAGGATACACAAGGGATACCGTTCGAGATGATGTTCGGTGCTAAGCCTGATCATCACCACATTCACAAGTTTGGTGCGCTCGCGTACGTGCACGTTCCTGTCTCGCCTGGGCGACGAAAGCACCACGGCAATGCAAAGCTAGGATTTGTTCTGGGCTATGCTGAAGATGTCGTGGGGTGCAAGGTATATTTTCCGGAGGAGTGGACGGCTATGTTCGTTGCTGACCTACGGATTGCTGAGGATGTAGTGTATTGTGTCCGGCACGAAGTGTCTGTGGAGGATGCAGACCAGGAGTCACTGCGTTTCAAACGCTCTGAAAATGAACACGAACTAGATTGCAGCATGGGTTATCATGAGGAAACTATCACTGAGCTTGGGCAGCGGGGAACTACTGTTGCGCCTCTGACTGGATGCGAGTCTGCGGATTCGCAACCCACTGAACTCGAGGGAGGCGAGGAAGCTAGCGAGCGATGTGCTGCCTATGAGCAGCGCCCGAGTGGCGCCTTCGAGGATAATTCTGCTGCGTGCAGGCAGGCGACGCAGACAGAGCGGAGCTGTGCAAGCCCTGCAGGAGTCGAAGGCATTACCGATGCTATCCCGAGCGAAGTTGGAGCTGCGATGGCTGACGACATGGATTGCGCAGGCGCTGTCCGCGGCTACGGAGCGCATGTCTGTGCAGGGCAACACACGGACACCGCATCATCATTGCCCTCGCGGGGTACTGTGCAGCAGCAAGATGACCAGAGTGAGTCGGGCATCTCGCCGATGCAGGCATCGCTGGATGACGAGCAACAGCGCGATGGCGACATGATTAGTACTGATGGAGACGAATCTGTGGCTGGCGTGTGTGGAACAGTTGCAGAGTCGCTGCTGTCAGAAAAATATGACGATGTGGCTGAGTCTACCGAAGATGATGCTGATGAAGTGGAACCAGTGGAGGCCGGTACTGCTGATGATGACGAGGTTACAGTGGCGAGTACTATAACATCTATGGAGGATAATGGACAAGTGGAGTTGGAAGAGTTGCCGATTCGACATGAAGTTGTTGATGCAGGTCCACTATTCCCCCAGAAGCAGATTGGGAAACGGACTCACCGTGAGGAGGCTCCGTCAGAGGAGTTGCGAGTCGAGCGTGGTGCTGAGAAGCAAGAGCCTAAGCGGACACGCACAGGGCTCCGTGAGTACCACGAACGACGACGCCTGCGCTACCTCGACGACTACGTCGCGAACGAGGCGCAAAGTACAGCACGTATTCTAGACGAGAATGGCAAGCCGATCCATGCTAGCAGCGCGAAGATCCCAAAGAACAAGCGTGAAATGGAGCGTTCAAAGTACCGTGAGTTTTGGATGCAAGCTGATCTGGAGGAGATTGGTGCATTGAGGGCGAAGGGTGTCATCATGGAGATGCCTAAAGAGGATGTACCGGAGGGGGCCAAGCCTCTGAACACTCATTGGGTGCGTTCTCTGAAGACAGATCGACAGGGCTATGTCATCCGGTTCAAGTCCCGGATTGTGGCGTTTGGCAACCACCAAAGACCTGGAGTGGACTTTGTGGAGACCTTTGCCCCCGTTGCTCGCATGTCCGCCTTTCGGATGCTGGTGGCTCTTGCAGCGGTGCTGCATCTACAATTGTACGGTGGTGATATTAACACCGCATACCTCAATGCACTGCTCGCGATCCGCCAGTACCTAAAGTCGATCGAAGGCTTTCCGTGTGAGATCAATGGACACGTTTACGTGGTTCTAAAAGCATTGTATGGTTTACGGCAATCGGGCCGAGATTGGAACTCGGAGCTGAGCCGCTGGTTTCTGGGCCATGGCTATCAGCGCTCGCTGACTGAGCCCTGCCTCTACTACCGCTTTGAGGGTGAAGTGGTCGTGTTGGTCCTCGTGTATGTGGATGACATCACCGTCGCAACCAACTGCGAAGAGATCAAGTGTAAGCTGTTTGAGGAGCTCGACAAGGCCTATGGGTTGAAGGACCAGGGTCGACTGAGTGAATATCTGGGCATCGAGGTTGAGCAGACCCCCGGCGCCGAGACACTGCGCCAGGTCAAGTACGCGCGTGATGTGCTAGAGACGTTTGGGTATAATAACGCCCATGCACTATGGAAACCAACGTGCGACTTGGGCCTCTGAGTGACAACGAGGAGACGGACACGAGTTTCGAGTACCGCAAGGCGATAGGTATGCTCATGTGTCTGGCTGGCTACAGGTACGCTCCCAGACTTGGCGTACACCGTGGGCCAGTTGAGTCGCTTCGTGAGCAAGCCCTCCAACAAGCATGTGGGTGTGTTAAAACGCGTGTTCCGGTATCTGGCTGGTACTGTTGACTATGGTATAACTTACGATCGCACGCAAGCTGTGCCGGACAGCGTGATGTTGGATGGCTACTGTGACAGCGACTGGGCTAACGACCCAGCCTCACGCAAGAGCACAGCAGGATTTGTATTTACGTTGGCTGGAGGTGCTGTATCGTGGATGTCACGCCGCCAGTCAATCGTGGCTCTCTCAACGGCCGAGGCCGAGTATGTGGCTGCTTGTGAGGCTGCTATGGAGGCTGTTGCTGCGAGCAATATCCTGCAGGAGGTGCTACCTCAGCGGAATGTGCAACTGAAGCTTGGTATTGACAACCAGGCTGCCCATGTTTTGGCGACCAAAGCTACCTACATTCGCCGCACCAGACACATCGAACTTCAATGGCATTTTGTGCGTGAGCAAGTGGAGAAGGGCACGATCTATCTGCACAAAGTGAAAGGTGCCGCGAATCCGGCTGATGCATTTACGAAGCCGCTGGACAAGCAGCGACTGAAAGACCTGCTGTGGCTCGTAGGTGTGAGTGGTGCCAAGTGATGAACTAACCCGCCTCAAGAAGTGCATTCCGGAAGTCGAAGCTTGAGCTTTGAAGGAGGCGTGTTGGAATGCGTATTGCAGGCTGTCTTCAACTGCATTGAAGTTCAAGATGAAGGCCTTGGGACCCTGCGAGCCTGGATAAGAGCAGCAGCGCTGTGAAGTATAGTGAAACTAAGTATGTAGGGTCTATGTATGAGAAGCTGCTGAAGCCTGCTTAAGTAGTTGACGGGGGCTGCAGCACTAACAGTCGATTTACTTTCTCTTTCATCTTTCTCCCCCGAGTGTTGGCTGGTGGCCATACGGATCGAGTGCGACTTCTAACAGGATTTGCTGCAGTGCGCGATGCTAGGGAGGCATTAGCTGACGAAACAGCAGGATACACCATACATCGTCGCGATGAGCAAGACAATCGCAGTGTCAACTCCCAAGACTGGGAAGGAGAGAATCACCACAACCGAAGTCAGTAAGACCAGTGATGAAAAAAATCGGGCTAATTGTGCATAAAGCAAAGAAAATAAGTCATTCGATGTATTCACATTTTCACCAATAAATACAATTCGGGACCCGGGCGAGGGGGAGGGGGTTCGACCTGTACATGTTGAATTACGGGAGCTCGAGCTAATGAAGGTAAATATACTTCGAAGTAGTTCTACATGTAGATGAAGCTCGATGAGTAGATAACATGTATTCACAAAAAAAGAATCGACCTGTATGATGACGCTTGACCACCCCCACTAACCTTTCACATTTAAACCGCACAGCTCAGTAATCAGTTGACGGCACGCACTACTCTGACGACAAAGTTTCCTTCCTCTTCGATTGTACGCATGTGGTTTTCCAGCTTAAAGCTAACACGTTTCACATTCTGAGGGTGTTTCGCCTTTATGGCTGACACAGGGCTCTTCTTGTACACATTCAGGTACTTAAACAGCAGCTTGACCTCGGGCGGGTGGTACCTGTCCACATTAAGTTGCTCCCGGATGCCCCCCCATGGTTTGCTTGTCCCACTTCCGGTACAGTTTAAGTTTAAACTTGTCGTTCTTCATGGCTTTCTTAATGGCATTTCTCGAGAGGCAGACCATCCAAACCGACCAGTTTCTTCAGCGCGCTGCCGAAACTTCGCTCTTCATCGCCAGCACCGTCCTTGTTCTTGTGACTCCGCAAGAATCGGCTGGCGTTGTCGTCTTCCAGAGCAGCCTTGCCGGACTGGGATGACTTTGTCTGGTCAATGCCTGCTGATACCCCACCACAAAGGGCGAGCAGTACGACTACTACCAGCAGCAGAACGTAACTTCGATGCATTCGCGGCTCTTGGACTGAACTCACCGCACGTGTGCTTGTCCGCAGGAAGGAAAATGAGAGGGGTCCAATCAGCGTAACTGTAAATTGGAGAGGTCGTCATTACGACCCTCTTGGAATGTTTGAAACAAACACATTTTCGTGGCTGAAGCAGATCCTACACGACCGATTGTACCCGTGTCCAATCTCCCAATTTACTCGCGAATATAAGCTCCCTGGACGATTTGACATAAAGTAAAAAAAACTAAACTGAAAGTAATGAAAAACGTGGTTCGCTATTTCTTGGACAAAATACGATCGACCTCAAGAAATACCGACATTTACAATGTAATAGATGGCGTTTAATGGTATCATCCGAGAGGGCATCTAAACATTGCTGGGAGCACGAACAGAGACAAACTCACTTAGCTGGTTAAATAAAATCACTGTTTCTCGCTGCAATGTGCAGTTGCCGCAGGTCAAGCACATTTTTGGTGTGTGCACTCCCTGCGCATAACGGTGGAACGACTGTAACGCCAAGAAAAATGGTGTTTACGGTATAAATATGTACGTGATTTATTGGTCCCGGAGAGCCAGCATACATGTACAACTATGTATTTAATACATTGTATTATACAAGGATGTTTACGGAATATACATGTACATTTTGCACGGTAAACTGGAAGTGAATCTGCCAGTCCTTACGGGGAAAACTTCAATGGTCCAGTAGTGAATTCGTCCGATACCACTAGCAAGCCCCATGAAGCTCTTAGTCGTTGCATTGGTCTGCATCACGCTGCTCTGCTCTGTTGTGGGCGCTACGATTATCCATGACCAAGTCAAGCCCTTCGCCCAACCCGTTCCGGTCACGATATCCGAGAAGGCAGCGGTCAAGTACAAGCCACAGCTTTTTACCTATGATCGGTGCGAATCGTTTCCAGCCGTGAACGCTGCGGGTGAAGTCACTGGCGGTCTCAAGGGAACGAAAGGAAAGAAAGGTTGCGAGAAAGCACCTCGGGGCTCTCAGGTTTACGGCCGCTCTGGGTGGTATCAAGACAAATGGCCCATGATGTTTGCGTGGTACTTCCAGAAGAACGTTAAAGGGCACGCGTCAAAGAAGCGCCACGACTGGGCGAATATGGTGCTGTGGATCGACAATCCTGCTCTCGAAACGTCAAAGATTCTTGGCGCGTCGTTGTTACTGAACCACCTTACGAGAAGATGACCGAACTTCACCCGATGTTTTTCGCTGGCGCCGAGCAACACATTAATGGAACCGAACCTCCGCAATACTACCGTCGCCGTTATCAATCACCCCGATACATTTATTCGTATACGGCGGGCTCCAGCTTCACCACGAGAGTTACCCATTCGTTCGGATATCCTGAAAAGGGCTGGATCAAGTTGGAGGTTGCGTACGCAGACGGCAAGTCACAGGATCTCATCATGTGGGAGCAACTTACGGATGCAGCTCGCGAGTGTCTCAATTCGGCGGATTTCGAGGATACGAAGGTGCCTTTCAACGATAAAAACTTTCAGGAATCGCTGAAGCAAGCATATCCGTTTTAGGTCAGCGGTGGACTTGTGTCTAACTAGCCCCGCTCCAGCGGAAGTTATGGGCATTTCGGAACTGCTTCGGAACTGCTTCGCTTGACCACACCTGAGGTTTAGCAATGAAACTCAATAAATGACGGCCAATGACAGTTAGAATACTCCTATCCGATATTACCCATGAACTATAGCACTCCTTCTAGACCGTGGGAAAGCGAAACTTGTCACTAGCGCAAAATAGTGATGCAACTTCACTAAGAAGTTTGCGGGAGGATACACTAACTATTTTTACTGTAGCAAAATCAAGCAATTGCATAACTATGTTAAATTAATACTCACCGCTCTCCGTAATAAATCATAGTTCATCGATACTGAGTGTTACTGGCGCCAGTCTAACACTTAGGTAGCTCTTATGGTGAAAATGTAAACAATTCGGATTATTGTTCTTGGTTTCTAAGGCAGTATGCGTAACTAGTTTGAATATTTCCCACCCCGACTCGGTTGTGCAACACGGCTTGGAGTCTCAGCCCTCTCGGTCGAAGATGAGGTTGAGGAGATGGGGTCAATATGCGGGAGGAATCTTCGCCTTTGCTAGACGATCTCAGCACAATTCCAGCCGCCACGTTCACCGTTATTCCCGAGTCCCTGCCTGACATCGAGGTCGAGTATACGAATTCCAAGCTTGCACTAGCTGCCGATAACAAAAATCTGCTTGCCGAAGTCCCGGATCTATTGAAAGGTAAAACGCTGTCCTTAATTCTTAGACTTAGTTGTATTTTACGGTAAGCCTTTTGACTAATCGATATTCTCACCAATACAGTTGTAACAGGTACGGTACTCTGTACCGGGTGACGAGATCAGCGAGAAACAGCGAGCGAGCAGGACGACGAGATCTGCAGCACGGAGGGGACGACAATCGAGGGAGCGGGCGGTGGCGAGGTACGAGGGCCACACGTTCGGGATCTTGGGCACCAGTAGTCGCCTGGACGCGAACGAGAAGACGCGATCCAAGACGGAGAGCGGTGAGTGGCTGGATGCACGTGCTAGAGAGCGCAGTCAGCTTGAGACCGCTCAGTGAAGAACCTACCTCGCGGGCCACAGACGACGAGAAGACGAGTACTGGCGAGCACGAGCAGCCGGTGACGATGAGAGACGAGCGAGGAGTGATGACCTTCGCAGACGACTGAGCAAGGGGCCACCTTCGCGGGTTGTCGCCGACAACGAACGACTGACGAGTGGGTGAGGCGTGTAATGGGCCTACCTTGGCTCACTACTACGGCTTACACGTATGTGCACGTGTATGAGGAAGCGTAGGTTTCTTTTACTTGAGTTAAGTATACTCGAGATCCACGAGTATACTTTAAACAAGATAAAGACTCCAAGTAGCGGGTTTTGGTAAAAGATGAGAACTGCTATTTTTGTTTTATGTTTCTGACTTCCTCTAAAGGTAATATTCTAAGATAGGAATCTGCCAACGGCTGGTTGGCAGAATTCCAATGCTATGCATGTCGCTCATTGGCTAAAAGATGCTGCTCTCAGCCAATAGGAATCCTAAGTCTCTATGGACCACCCGTCGTGGTGGTCGTAAATGTATGTAGCCATTGGTGTACCTTACACCAAGGTCGAGGAAGTGTTCAAACCTCTAACAGACATCGCATCTGTTAGAGTAACAAGTGACTGTAGCCACTTGTGCGTGTAACCCCGTTACACCATCCCCCCGTCAAGGTCAGACGTGCCGGTCTCGGCACGTCAACCACCGTTGACCGTTTGGTCAATGCGTGACGTTTGAAGAGTGCGTGCTCGTTCCGTAACGAGCACGTCGAAGTTGAAGACCCCTGGCGCAGCAGCGGAGAACCTCTCTGCTGCTGATAGAGGACGATGGCTTCCGCCGAGTCTTCTGCTTCGGTTCAGTCGAGCTAGGTAGCTCGTGCTGCAGGTATAGCTTCAGCATTCCGATGTAGAACGTCGGATGGAGACGCATACTAGACGGTACGTCCATTGACAAGACTAATGAACCCTTCTCGAATTCATTAGTGTTGCCCCTGCCAACATTGTCTGCGTTCAGCTTCTGTCGGTCGACAGAAGCTGCAATAGCGTCTTGGACAAACCGAATGACGGCTTGTCTGCGCTGCACGAAGTTGATTGCGTTCGAGCTGAACGAGTTCAGCTCGTTTCCAGCAGAAGGCCCGGCCTCTGCGTTGGTCTTCGTGGTGTCTGTGCCCTGCACAGACACGCTCTTCTTCTTCTTCTTCTTGTCAGTGTCTGTGCCCCGCACAGACACGTTCATCGTGCGCTTGTCGGCGTCTGTACCCTGCACAGACGCGCGGTTCTTGGCTTTACTTCGTGTCGTTGCGGCTGACACTGTGCAAGTGTCAGCGGCATTCTGCGGCTGCTGCGTTGCAGTCGTAGATCCTCCCCCACTTAAGGAAGGAGCCACCATCCGGAGTAGACTCGGGAGGCGTGGGTGCCATTCACGTAGAACGGTGTATGCCCGGTCGAGGCATGTACCGAGTTGTTGATGGCGAACTCCGCCATCGGCAGGCACTCGCTCCAGTGTTGGAACGAGTGCGCGTAGCTCTTAAGCACGTCTACGAGCACGCGGTTCACGCGCTCGGTCTGCCCGTCTGTCTGCGGATGATCCGCAGTCGACGTCGAAAGTTGACTCCCAAGAAGTGTAAACACTTCTTGCCAAAGGTGTGCAGTGAAGCGCGGGTCTCGATCCGACACAATGTCGATCGGCATACCATGGTGTTTGAACACCATGTCAACGAACAGACGCGCCGTCTGCTTCGCAGTCACTTCAGTGGGTACCGCAGCAAGATGGTACATCTTGCTGAAGCGGTCAACAAAGACCACAACGCCCGTGTTCCCCTGGTTGTCCGGGGGAAGACCGAACACGAAGTCCAAAGACATGGACTGCCAACACTCCCGTGGAGTCGGTAGTGACTGCAAGGGAGCCTGCGCGAAGGGCGCAGGCTTCACACGTTGACAAACCTCGCAACCACGGACGTACTTGCGCACCCATTTATACTGGAGGGTCCAGTAGAAGTCTCGCGTGAGAAGAAGGTATGTCTTCTCACGGCCCGGATGCCCCGCAGTCGGTGCATCGTGATACTCGTACATGATCCTGCGCAGGTCATGGTCATTGGGCACGACAACGCGGTCCGCGTTGTCGTCGACTGCACTGTAGAGTAGTAACCCGTCGTGCACCCGATAACGGTGTGCACGAGCACGAAGATGCTTCGGCAGCTTCTGACGAGCTTTGTCAGAAGGCGCTGAGCCGTAGACCAGCAAGAGCTTCACGTCCGCGTCGTGCGCGTACGCGACCTTCACGTCGTCCAACAGTGACGACGTTGGGGTGCTCGATCGCATGGCGTCAATGGCATTGACGTCGGCATCGGTCGTGGCGTAGTCAGGTCGAAGCGAGAGCGCGTCGGCCGCCACATTGAGTCTTCCGGGTTTGTACTCAACCCGGAATTTATACTCTGCGAAGAATGAGAGCCATCTCGCCATCCGTTGCGAGATGTGCAGCGATTTCATAGCCGTCCGCAGCGACGCGTGGTCCGTATAGACCACGAACGGTTTGCTTCCGAGTAGATATACTCGGAACTTCGCGAGTGCGTACTTCATGGCAAGGAGCTCCTTGTCATCTACCGGGTAGTTGCTCTCAGCTGGCTTCAGCTGACGCGATTGGTAGTAGACGACACGATCACGGCCCTCGTGATCGTGCTGCATCAACGCGCATCCGATTGGGAAGTCGGATGCGTCACACACAACGTGGAATGGGCGATCTTGGTCAGCCACCGCCAAGATCGGCGCCTCAGTCAAGCCCCGCTTGATTGCATCGAAGGCCTGCTGACACTCAGCAGTCCAAACCCACTCGGCGGCCTTCTCCAGGAGCGGTGACAGCGGGCGTATCATGCCCGCGTAGTCCTTCACTACACAACACACAAGTACGTGGCCAAGCCAAGGAACTGCCGCAGTTCCTTGACGTTCGACGGCGTCGGCCACTCATTGATCACTCTGACCTTCTCAGAGTCAGGGCGGACACCGTTCTTCCCAACGAGACACCCGAGCACGGGTATCTCGCTCGCCCCGAAGATGTACTTCTTCAGGTTCGCATAGAGCTTGTGTTTGCGCATGAGCGCATGCAGCTTCCAGCGATGCACCTTGTGCATCTCAACATCGCTCATCCCGTCCGCAGCCCGGCTGTGGACGAACACATCATCGAAGTAGCTCAGTGCGAAGTCGCGTACCGAGCGCAACAAGTGCGTCACGCACCTGTTGAACGTCTCAGGGGCGTTCTTCAGACCCTGCGGCATCACTAGCCACTCCCAGAGCATGCCGCTCGGCGTGCTCACAGCCGTGAGAGGGATATCGCTCTCACGCATGAAGATCTGGTAGAACCCATCGCGCAGATCAAGAGCAATGTAGATAGTGCTCCTAGCCATCGAATCGATGATGACATCTTTGCGCGGTATCGGTGTCTGCGCCGGTATCGTCGCATCGTTCAGCTTGTTGTACGCATGAACCATGCGCCAGCCGCCCTGTGGCTTCTTGACACAGAACGTCGTAGCGCTGTGCGGGGACTTCGATTCCCGCACTTGTCCAGCTTTGCGACGACTTTCGAAGAAGTCGTCGATCGCCTTGACCTGCTCTCGCGGCAGTGGCCACTGCCGCGTGATACAGTACTTCGTCCCCGGCACGAGATCAGTCTCGTGCTGGATGTCCTTATCCTGCGGAAGCTCCGCTGGAATCTCTTCCGGAAGTACGTCCGCGTACTCCCGTAAGATCTCGTAGTAGGGACTCGTTTTCAACGAGTCCCAGCTCTGCTCTTCAAAGCGCTCCTTCTTCGTCTTCGCACTGAGAGTGTCCGAGCTCTCAGTGGTGGTCTCCATGAAGAACTGCCTCAGTTCTTCATTCTCGCTCCTCGTTCTCTCGGCGTCCGAGAGAATGCATATTTGCTCGATGCGTCCATCGTGCAAGTCACGCGCGAAGCGCTTCCAGCTCATGACTGGAAGGGAAGTCAACTCCGACATGTGCGTCGGAGGGTTAGCGAGAGTCATCTCCCTGTACCGGAACCCGGCACAGGTACGCGTCAAGACGTTCAACGTCTCGACGTCCGGCTTCTCAGCCTCCGTCTGCCCGGCAGACATTCCTTGTAACATCTCGGCCCCAGGCCGAGACTTGCGCAGCGACCTTCGCATGCGCCGTCTTCTTGTTTTGCGGAGCCCGGCTCCGCTTAGTTCTTGACCTCGTCCAGGCCCAGCCGTGGACGGGTGTTCTTCTTGTATACCGCCGGCGGGTACATCCCGCGGGCGAGCGACTTCAAGCCCGGCTTGGTCGTCCGGCGCTTCGTCGTGCAGCCCGGCTGCACGACAGCATGCAAGTTTTTCCGGTGCGGGACGTTTGCAACCGTCCGCACCGCCTGCAGCGTCGGCTCCCGGAGCCGACACGCCATCATCACCTCGACGCCTGTTATTGGCGGAGCCCTTCGTTACAAAGGGTGCGTCGACTCCCGGAGTCGACGCGAAACTTCTTTTCGCAGCGCCGGTTCCCGGAACCGTCGCGACTTTAGTACCTCGACGCCAACCATTGGCGGAGACCCCCATTACGGAGGGTGTGTCGGCTCCCCGAGCCGACGAATCAAATTCACCCAATCCATCGACTCCCGGAGTCGACGGCGTTTCGTCACTTTGGCTCTTATTATTGGCCAAGACTGATCCAATCAGATTCGCGTCAGCCTCCACGGCTGAGGCGTGTGACTCACCTGCGTCATCCGTGTCGGAGACCCTTCCTGATTCACTGAAAAGCGGGTGTCGATCTCCGAGATCAACACATTTTCTCCTTCAGCCGTCGGCGGCGACGCCGACGCTTGCTGCTCTTGCGCGCGTGCTCGCGCGCGCCCAGGGCGATCCGGGACAGCGGCATTAGACGCTGTCTCGAGTGGGGAGTCGAGCGCACCTGTCGGTGCGTGCGTAGCGGCAACAGGGCCATCGCTCACTGTTCCGCTGTCGCGACCGAAGCGCACGAGAGTGCGCTTCTCCCAATCGATGACCGGATCATGCCGTGCAAGCCACGGCATGCCCAATACAATGTCAAACTTATCGTCCAGATCCAGGACGATAAAGGTCTCGACAAACTCTTGATCTTCATACGTGAAGCGCACGCGTACCTTGCGCTTCTCGGTCTTCACGACGGCACCCGTTGCCAGTCGTACCTCCAGTATACTTCGAGGTATCTTTAAATCCTCGAAGTCAAGCCTTGATAGACTTCGCAGTCGAACAAAGTTGTTCGACGCGCCCGAATCAACTAAAGCACGAAGAGAGTTGCTCCCTCTCTTCGAAGACACGTTCAAGATGACAAGGTTCGGTTTGTCATCATGCATTTTTGCAGTGAGAAGGGTCCTCACTGGGGGCTGCAGTCCTCAGTGTCGAATGTCCGAGTTGGACATGCGTGACTGCTTTACCAGTAGGGCGCCCCGCGCCTACTGGGTTCCAGCGTTTTTTGTTTGTCCGCGACGATGCCCGGCATCGCCGCGTCGACCACCATCTCGGTGCACGGGTGCCGTGCACTCTCGGGCATAGTGGCCGATCCTTCCGCAACGGAAGCATCGTGCATTACTTCCTTGTTGCTATTGATAACCAACAGCCGTTGCATTCGAGAGGTCCATTGGTTCTGGACCTCCCGCCATCACGACCGGAGGCGGTTGCAGCCTCGGCGCATTCGCATGCAGCTTAGCCTGCCTCAGACTAAACTCCTCCTGCATTGCAAGAGTAATCGCAGCTTCGAGAGTACCTGGGTACTCACGGAAGAGATAGGTCTTTACAGGCCCATCTCTCAGACCCTTCATGAACGTGACGACCTTGGTCGCCTCGTCTATTGGGTTGGTCACAATGTTCGAGACCAAGTGCCGTGCTCTCTGCGCGTAATCATGGACATCGTGCTTGTGCTTACCCTGCTGTAGGTCGAGGAACTCTGCCCTCGACCGAAACTCATTTTGCGGGGGCTCAAACGCTTGCCTGAGCTCCTCCTTGAAACCCTCGTACGTGCTGAAGCACGTAGGATAAGAGAGTCGGCGTCCATACGCCCAACTTCTCGCTCGTCCGCCAAGGCATGCCATGGCGAACGCAACCTTGGACAACGGGTCGACGATACGTCGAGCCGCAATGGCAGTGTCGAGTTCGACAAGCCACCGGAGGAGAGGAGAGGCTCGCCCTCTCTTCCGACATAGTTGCTCACGTTTAGCTTCAACGATTGCTCGCGCGGTGTCATCCCCGACGCCACCGTGATAGAGGAAGCAGAATCCCAGAGCAACACCGTGTTGCTCCGTCGGCGAAAGTGTGCGCAGCATTGCAGCTACAGCCGCTTCTCCAATGACTGCTGACAGTCTTTGGAGTGCCTCCCACTCTGGGTCCGACAGGTGGAGGCAGTCAGGGCGTGCAACATGAGTTGCAGGCGAAGTGGAGCTTTCCATGAGCACTTCCGCGCTCATGAAAAGGTTCTCAGCTCCTCGTTCGTACAGCTCCGTACGAACGTTCAGGTAGTCGGTCGTTGGACGGACTACAAAGTTCTACCAGGTGTAATGGGCCTACCTTGGCTCACTACTACGGCTTACACGGATGTGCACGTGTATGAGGAAGCGTAGGTTTCTTTTACTTGAGTTAAGTATACTCGAGATCCACGAGTATACTTTAAACAAGATAAAGACTCCAAGTAGCGGGTTTTGGTAAAAGATGAGAACTGCTATTTTTGTTTTATGTTTCTGACTTCCTCTAAAGGTAATATTCTAAGATAGGAATCTGCCAACGGCTGGTTGGCAGAATTCCAATGCTATGCATGTAGCTCATTGGCTAAAAGATGCTGCTCTCAGCCAATAGGAATCCTAAGTCTCTCCCGTCGTGGTGGTCGTAAATGTATGTAGCCATTGGTGTACCTTACACCAAGGTCGAGGAAGTGTTCAAACCTCTAACAGACATCGCATCTGTTAGAGTAACAAGTGACTGTAGCCACTTGTGCGTGTAACCCCGTTACAAGGCGGGCGAGATGCTGTCAACAGCCCAGCTGACGAAGCGACGAGTGAAGTGCGGCTAGTGACGACGCTATGGCGGAGCCACCAACAGACCAGAACGTGCATGAGTGCGGGGTGAGGCGGGTGAAGACCTGCGTGTCAGCGCCAGCCAACAGACTGATAATACATGAGTGTGCGGGGTGAGGCTAGCTACGGCTGGCGTCGGATCTAGGCAAGGTGAACGAGTCGAACGTGTTGTACGAGTTGTACGAGTTGTACGAGTTGTACGAGTACTAACTGACGAACGAGTAGTAATACAAAAAGTAGGAACGGACGCGTTCCGTCACAGGACTCAAGTGGAGATCCTGTCGGTCAACATGCGTTGAAGTTGCAGTATCGAGATCCTTACCACAACGGACCTTGGCAAGGACGCAGCAAAAGCACTACGTGCGACGACCCGCTGGCGAGCTGGCGTTAGCAGACCCGTTACACAGTACACGAACATGTGCAGTTTTTAACTCTGAAAGTGCGACTTTAATCAAATCGAGTTTGTGACAGTCGAACGATAATAAAAAAATCAATTTGTCGCTTTGACATGACGTGTGATGGCAATGCGTCAACGAATTCAGATTGATTTAGAACATAAGCGAAGACTTAGAGCTTTGCTTAGACAAAAATGAAGTACAGTATAACACTATTGCCGCTTGCAAATACTTTGCCCTCTAAAATAGACCTCTAAAATAGACCACGCCTGTCTCTTAATATGAGTGGACACGAGATAGGCGAGGGCTGATTTAGCTTTATGCTTTGCTGGGGGCCGCTTTTAGGCCCAGAAACTCGGTTTGGCCCGTCTAGATTGGCATTTCTGCGTTTCCAAGTCGTAGAAAAGCGCCTTGGTCGAGAAAACAGAGCCCAAGCTCGGATCTTAGACCGTACTGGCGAGATATATAAATCAGACCTAGGTCTTAATTAAGAGCTGGCTGGATTAAAATCGAGATTATTAACGAGATAATAAGCATGCGTTGGCCAAAATATCTGCAAACGGCAATACCATGCGCATATCTATTGATTTGTTAGCTGCGATTACGCCCGAAAGATGTACGAATACAACAAAATCTACATTTCTCCCTACTTTTTTGTAGCACTGAATAATCAAACTCAGTCCGAAACCAGCTCCCTTCCCATCGAGCCCAAAGCCGTCAGTAATTTTGATGCAGATTCTTCACTTTCTACTTCTCGTGCTGTTCGCCGTCGTTGCAACATCAGACGGCATCGCGGCCACTGAAAACAAGGTCGACACCCAGCAGACCAACATCCGTAGCGTGCTTGCGACGGAAAAGGGCACGAACATTAAGTCTGTGGAGGGCGACAAGTCCATCAACTCCAAGAGCGAGGACAGGGGAATTAACTTCTCCTCGATCCTATCGAAGCTGAAGGTCAAGGCTCTTCCCAGTAACGCCAAAACCGCCGGCCTCGGCAACAAGCTCAACAGCTTGCGCAAAGATCCGGATGTTGTGCGACTCCTTTCCGGCCGTGAATGCTGCGGGCGAAACCTCTGGCGGACTCGAGGGGACGGACGGAAAAGATGGCTGCGAGAAAGCACCTCTGGGGACGCAGGTGTACGATCGGGATGGTTTCAAGACAAATGGGTACTTCCTGAAGAACTTTAAAGGGCACGCGTCAAAGAAGCGCCACGACTGGGCGAATATGGTGCTGTGGATCGACAATCCTGCTCTCGAAACGTCAAAGATTCTTGGCGCGTCGTTGTTACTGAACCACCTTACGAGAAGATGACCGAACTTCACCCGATGTTTTTCGCTGGCGCCGAGCAACACATTAATGGAACCGAACCTCCGCAATACTACCGTCGCCGTTATCAATCACCCCGATACATTTATTCGTATACGGCGGGCTCCAGCTTCACCACGAGAGTTACCCATTCGTTCGGATATCCTGAAAAGGGCTGGATCAAGTTGGAGGTTGCGTACGCAGACGGCAAGTCACAGGATCTCATCATGTGGGAGCAACTTACGGATGCAGCTCGCGAGTGTCTCAATTCGGCGGATTTTGAGGATACGAAGGTGCCTTTCAACGATAAAAACTTTCAGGAATCGCTGAAGCAAGCGTATCCGTTTTAGATCGGCGATTGTATTGTGTTCTTCCCGCGGAGAACTCGGAAACACGAACAGTTATACCAAATATCCCTGGGTTTAAAAAGAAAAAAATATCTGTATTTTGACATTGTTCGGAGTTGAATGTTTTAAAAAAAACTTTTACTACTTCACCTCTAGGCAATTGGCGTCGCCATCGCCAGCTTGTCGTTCTCCGAGCTCGCAGTGTGCCAAGTGCATGATAGCGCGTGTGTGAGCGTGCCCTCTTTCGGGTCCACATGCCAACGAAGCAGCAGCACGTTGAAGGTGCGCAGCATCCGGCTTGGGACCAACTGTGCCACTATCAGCAGCATCACCGACGCCGCCTGGTAGATGTGCTCCCCATGGTAGATATCCCGTGAGCAGCAGGACCTCAGTCGTAATGCATTTCTTACCATTGTACGAGACGTACGCGATATCTTCGCAGTCGTGGAATAATTTAGTGAATGGAGCGCCAATACAGTTCTTCTCGAACGACGTGAGCTCCTCGGGCGTGGCCGAGTTGACTTCATACTTCCTCTTCTTCGTGGTACTCACTCCAGCCGCTGAGACCTTGCTATCTGCACTCTTCGAGCCAAAAGTACCGTTCACAGAATTTACCTTCGGAGTAAACAGTTTGGCGATGAGCGAGGGATGACAGTGGCAACGCCCAGAGTTAAGGACAGGATCACCACCACCGACGGCATGTTATACGCGAAGAGAATGCAAGAGTCGTTTAACCCGCAGTACTTGGCACCACGAGCTGAAGTCTTGCGTAGAATCTCTGCGTTATCCGTGAGAATAGCCACGAACGGCGTGCGCTGTACGGACAGCAGAATCGAGCCGACACAAATCGTGACAGGCAACTGCAGGGCCTCCCAGATGAGTCGGTAGTGTCTGTCGAGCTGCTGGTCACCCGAGCGAGCCTTGACCATGTTCACGAACGAGTACGAGAAGGCGAAGAAGCAGCACGTGAGGTTGGCGATGGATTCACCGGTGAGAGTACCAGTCGCGAGCCCAAGCATGTACAGGTCCGAGTTGTAGTAGAAGTGGTAGGTGATCTGAGCCAGGTAGACGATCTGCATGCGGCCGTTCTGGCATCGATAAGCCCAGATCTGGGTGAGCAGCACCGATCGTCTGTGTGGCATCACCTGGTACAGACTCACGACGCCCATGAGGAGGATCTGCGTGACCACAATACCAGGGAGGAGGTTGATCCCGACGGTGTCACCGTATCGACTGCGGAAGGTGTTGAGGTAGAGCGCGACTCGGTTGGGGTTTTGAGGGTCCACCTCCACCAGTCCTTCCCATTGCGTGTTGAAGTAGTTGTGGATGCAGACGTCTTTAGTGCTGCAGAGAGGAATGTCGTCGGGAGACTGCACCATCAACCCATACGTCGCCCAGTGCTTGGAGATCTCGCACGTGTCTTCGATGTAGACGCCCGACGTGTTGACTTCTCGAACGCGGCAGCCTCCGTAGTACGCTTGCAGTTCAGGCTCCACAACAGTCGCGGCCCCATACTTCGTGTTAGTGGCTGGAACAATGCGCGAGACTTCGCTCATGCTGCTGGTGAAGCCGTAGGGAAACAGCGTCAACACATCGGGGACTTGTGCGAGCAGATCCTCGCCATCGGTGGCTAGTGCGAGCTTGGAATTCGTATACTCGACCTCGACGTCTGGCCGGCACTCGGTGAATTCAGGGAAGACGCTGAATGTGGCGGCGGGGATCTTGCCGAACTCGCCGTTGCCAGCGCCAGTCGGGTACAAGTAGAGCCGCGCAGTCCCGAATATCGTCCAGGTCGCCTTGCACTCGTCCTCTCGCTCGACAGCCAGCTCCAGCTCACGCTGCGTCTGCAGAGACACGCCGATGTTGAGTGTCGAGACGATGTTCAGTATCTGCTGCGGCGTGCTCGTGGCCATGACCGTGGTAGACCCCCACTCGTTGATGCCGCTGTGGCAAATGGTACCGTCACCATCCAATTCCTCTCCGAGAGCTAGAACATCACTGTTCAAAGAGCTGAAGTCGTAGAGCGATTCCGTTGGGGGTTGGCTGACGAGGGCTGCGAATGTCGGGGCACTGACGAACGCCTTATCACTGAACAAACTGAGCTTGAGCAGAGTGATTTTGCATGCTCCAAGGCACCCTGTGCACCCTCCAGCCATCGATAAATCCATCTCGGTGAACGAGAAGAAGCTGTCGTTAGGCTTGATGAGAACGGTGGCGTCTGAGAGGTACCCGGTGGCAAGGAAGAGAAGGAACAGGGCGAGCGGGCCGATGATAACTCGTCCTATGACAGCCAGACACGCGGCGATGACGGACGGTCGGAGCCAGTTGGTACACGCTTGGGTCTTGAGATTGAGTAGTTGCTGATGATAGAACTCCAGTCCCCAGTCGGTCGGAGGGCGGCTGGCCATGGCGTTCTTTGTCAGGCTGCGTTGGCTGGTGAGCTGGAGTGAGTGAGTCAGATCGAGTTCGTGAATGGGACTGCTCTAAAATGGCGTGTAGCTGCTACTGAAATAGTTTGCCTACAATCACAAAGAGCCGAACTGCGAACTGCAGTGTGCTTAGCTCTTGTGAACGCTCGTTCAATCTTAGCACAAGTGCCCCGTAGTCTATTCCATTGAAGGCTCTTCTCGACCTTATCATCGATACTCAACGTTGAATTTAATTTTGGCCATCAACGGCGAGTCAACAAACGTCACGGTTATCACCTGATCGGCGCAACTAGAGGCGAAGCTTTGGTCTGGGAGGACAGTGTAGACTTCCTTTGTGTGCAAACGTGGGGTAGGCAATAATAATGTAACATGAAAATTGGTGGCAAGTTTTCAAACCCTGGTGTCGCGCCTTCCTGGCAAAAAATGGCGAAGTTGCCGTGCAAAAGACACGAAAGAAGTTAAAGGCGCGCTCGGCCGGGGGCTTTGGGCTTTGCCCCCGGCCGAGCGCGTTGACGTCATGCATTTCAGCTATACAAATTTACACAAGAAGGATTCATGGGGTTTAGTCAATTTAGAGCGGGGCCAAACGCGGAAAAAGAGCAATCCGTTAGTTGTTATTTCAATGATTTTGAGTAAATGTTAGCTTATAAGGAGAAAATGCAGCTATCCTAGTTATGATTTTCCAAATGAATGAATGAATGAATGATGTACGTGTTCGCGTAGCCATACCGTCAAAATTCCAACTGTCCGACCAAGGTGTCCAACCTGTACCGGTACTACAGCAAATCATTTTAATGACATCTATTTCATTTTAATGACATTATAACTAAATCCTGTTCATTCATTCGTTCACTTCGGAGCGCGTGGAGAGGGCCCCCGGCCAGCAGCACCGAGAGCAAGACAGGCGTCGGCAGCGAGATGGACAAGTGCTCGGCATCGGGCGGGGTGATGGAGCTCGAGGCCAGCAGCATCAGTAGCAGGGCGACGACGCGGGCGAGGGCGAGGGCGACAACGTGGGCAAGCGCTCGACCTCGGGCGGGGTGATGGCGCTCGAGGTCAGCAGCACCAGGAGCAGAGCGGCGACTGCGACAGCGGCTTGGCCTCGCGCGGGGTGATGGCCGGCGGGGCCAGCATCAGCAGCAACAACAGGACCAGTGAGTGCGGCTGCAGCGACACTGCCGGCTGGCTGGTCTTGCGCAGGGTGATGGCGGCCGAGGACTGCAAGACACTCTATGCCCTGCCATAACTGTGAACGTCCTATTCTAACGTTATGTTTTGTGCAGTGTTGTTTATAATGTAGTAATGAACAAGTGCAAGAAAATACACGAAGAGGTTTACCCAAATTATGATGTTGTTCATGTATTCATGTGATGTCGGTGGTATTGTCCCTTGATCAGCGAGCCTGGTGTGCGGTGGGTCGCTTTAACTGTTGAGTTTGTTAATTTTGCTATGTGTTACAGTAGCAGATCAACCTTGCGCGGGCGTCAGTCGAATGAATGATGGAAGTGCTGAAGGTTGCCTCGGATCGACAATGACACCTTGGTCAACGCGTTCATGGAACTGGGCGATGAGCGCGTCGAGCTTACCAAGCTTCTGCATCTGACGAAGAGCCTTCAACGCCGAACCTGCTGCAACCGCGGAGGAGCCGTGCGATTTCAAGAGGGTGAGTGCGTTCTGCTGCGCTTTATCACCTAGCTCCAGGACCTCGCTTTTGTATGCAGGCGAGGAAGTGTCAAGCGCGAAACCTTCAGGTAAGAAAAGCATGAGATACCCTGCGATGTGCCTGTACTCGTACAATGCTGTCTTCTTTACAGAACGCGACACATACACACGAGGCTCCGCTGTAAACCACTCGAACCAGATTGCCGACAACGACTGGGCTCCCTTCTTCTTCGGGCGTGTCGTCGTAGCTCCTATTGGCGGTGGTTGTTCGGGAGCAGGAAGCGTGGCGTCGGTGTTTGCTGATTGAGTTGCGGCTGTGTTGGTAAGGGCTTGAAGGTGCGCTTCAACAGCTAATATGCGCTCGTCGAGTCGTTTGTTCTGCAGGATTAAGACGTCAATCTGCTCGGACTGGCGTTTGATGAGGCAATCAACGCAGGCGACTGCTCCTCACCAGCGCTAGCCGAAGCCTCTGATGCAGGAGGTGCCACGAATGCCTGGTTAATCGTCACGCTCCACGCCAGCAGCTCGGACTCACCGATGGCTCGTTGTGCTAGGAGCTCACGTATCTTCGTGATGAGCGGGCTGCTTGGGCAGAGCACTAACATGCCGGGGTAATGCATGAACAGGGTAGCCGTAAGGACGTCAGCGACGTCGTCGTCGAGGTTCAAGGTAGCGTCATCGAAAGCCATTGTACTGGAAAAGAGAAGCTGCTGCATCTTGCGAGCGCGGACCAAGACTGGCGTGTCCAGAGCGGCTAGCGTTGGTAGCCGCGCGCCGTCCTTGGGCTTCCAGCTACTTAGGACGCGGGACACCTTTTGGTCGGCTTGGGTTGTACCAAGCATGTACCCGAAGGCCTTATTGACGCGGTCCAGCTGCCAGCCCCCGCGCTCGATAATCCAGTTTTCCGCCAAGGTACCGTCGTTGGCATGCATGGCCCCACCACGTCGAAACGAATGAGAGGTAAGATCTGGCGTCATACGAATGCTTCGCAAATCGGCGAGTTTTTTAACTCTAACCAGCAACCTGTTGACGTATGCTTGTGCACCAGGAACTGCCCGCTTTGTCGAAGGTGCTTCAGATTCCTCCATAGAAGGCTGGTCATCATCAACTTCCAGTAGTTCAATCAGTGTAAGCTCCTGTACATCATCAATATCATCTGATCTGTGCTTTTTGGCGATGAACTGAGGGAACATGCGCTGGCTTGGTGCCTTCTGCATAACCAGCGCCACAGCCAAAGCTTGCAGAGGACATGTCAAGAAATTCGTTGGGTCCTTGAATAAGGAGATGCCTTGTAGTAAAGCTGTTTTAACCCGCTTAAATCGAAGAAATAAGACGCCACCTAGCATAAATGCCCTCAGTGTTAAAATAATTCTGCTAAGAACATCGTAATTAATCACTTACCAGGCAAGATGGATAGCTGGCTCTTCTCGACTGTTTCCGCGTCCGAGCTTCGACCGTAAAGGTACCACATCATCACGACTAGGGCCGCGTCGAGGTATTCACTCTCCGTCGCAGCCGTTGAGTACAGTAGAGACACCATAGCTTCTAAGTCTTGTTTAGAGCACAGGGGTGCTTTCTTCTCGTCGCCGACCTCCTCTCGGTTGCTACAATACATACCCAGCCCAGATAGAATTTTTTGGAGCTGAGATTTAACTAAAGCTCCTTGCAGTCGGTACTTATCTACTAGCCAATTCTTGACGTTGTCATAGTATGCTAGACACGTATTGGTCGCTCTTACTTTTTCGGCTGATGTGGCTAACGAATATGCATACTTGTCTAGTATAATACGCAATACCTTACCTGTCATATCCCCGTCGATGAGCTGGTGGGTGGCTTCGAGTGTCATGCTCTCCGCGGCCAGGAACGTCGTGAACGAGTTGATCGCCGTCGCCCTGGTCTTCTTGCTGTTGGCAGGAGCAAGCGATGCGATCGACATGCTAGCCTGCCTGCTCTTTTCACTCTGAACAAAAAAATATGTACCGACCATTCGGGTTGGAAACTGAAGGATATTTTTGGGATATGCATTTCTATAGACATTTGTATGGCATTAAAAATATTCTGACAAAATTCCAACCAAATATGGTTGGAACGGTTGGAAAAATGCCCTAGTTTAGAGGGGCTTCCGATTGGCCAAAATTCATCGAACTTAAGGCATTCATTGGGTGAAAGTCGTCGAGTACGAGCGGTTTGGGATTACAAAAAAGAGTAGCGGTTGGAACAGAGTGAATATTACTCCATACCATGACGGTGCAGACAGCGGCCGACAGTGGCCTACAGCGTCGTGATTGGTAGAAATAAGCATTTAGTTGAGCGGTTAATCTATTGGTCATATCATTTGACTCAAATGTCAATTCCAAGATGCAGGCCAGGCCGCACGGACGGCGGGTGGGTCATCAAGGAGGGCGGCGAGCCGAAGGACGTCGGCGAAAAAGGGGGGGGGGGCTGCATAGTTGCGCCTGCCAAGATGTGGGTGGTGTCTGGGAGGACGGCGGTAGGCTGCACGACGGCGGGCGAGTGGTCCACGGTGGAGGCTAGGAAGATGGCGCGCAGCACGACGATGACGGTTACCTGAAGCAGGGCGGTGGGCACCAGGATGGCGGCGCAGGACAAGACGGCCGCGTCGTGGAGGATAGACGGCGGGAAGGAGGAGGAGGAGAACCGGAGCGAACGGCAAGAGGCGGCGGACCGGAGGTGGGGCGATGGGGAGGGTAGCCGCCAAGGCGAGGGCGGTAAAGGCATCGAGCGGAGGGAAACGAGCGCAAGGGCGCAGCGACCTGCTGGGAGGCGACGAGCATAGGGATGCGTGCAGCAGGAGGACGACGTGGCTGCTGTGGCTTGCTGCGGCTTGCGTACTGGTGTTGGCACCAACAACACGACGCTGGTGGGGTGCTGCTGCTGCTGTGTGGACTGGAACTGTTGGTGGGGTATCGCTGCAGGTGGAATGCTCCGCAGTCACACACCACCACTAGCGTCTAGTACTCTTCGAGTAGGAATTAGTTATTGATATTAAATGGAATGAATTAATGGTTTTCTTGTATATTCTGCATTGGATCCTAGCACTTCGCTCGTGCGGAATGCAGCAAGCTCCGCCTGAGCGACACTCCTGAATGAGCAGCTCTCACTGAGTGCTGCTTGTTCATGTTATGGGTAGGTCGATAGGCGTGCCCAGGAAACTCGTTTGAGTTCGTGATAATGGTTGAAACGCTATTGCAAACGGCTCAAATCAGCTCGTCAAAGGCGATACAAAAGCTAAGTAACTTGTCGGCAGCAGAACAGATATGTATATTATATCCTTATTACTTAGATTTCCTATGGGATGAATACATATTTCGGCCGCGTTGCCGGTATTATACGTCGGCATAGTGTCGGCAGCAAATATACCTACCCCTAATCATGTTGATTGGCCTAAATAGGGATCTACCGGATGCTTATTCGCTGAAAAATCGTATTGGACATCTGATTGGGCCATGGCCGCCATACAGTGGCCAAGTCAAGTTCTTGTATGTCGGCACCGTCACGATATTCATCCATATTACACCTGCGCTAGGCTCAACTTAGCTAGTCGGCGGCATAGTGTGGTGTCCGCATACGTCGAGTCTCCAGTAGCCGACAGCGAGTCAGCAATTCCAGCCATCAGAATCTTCCATTTCAGTCTGTCACCAGCAAGTGTGCGGAGTCCCTCGAGATCTTGCGCGTTCCGAAGTCGATAGCCTTGGCCACTGGCTACGAGGTCAGCATCAAGTACGACATGATTTTCCAAATACATTTCATAAATTCAAGAACTGCTCACTACATTGTGTGGTACACACTACGGATACGGTCGACATTCTGGGAACAACCAGCCACGAAATGTACAACTTTGTGATGTTACGGTAGCCATAATCTGTGGACTATGTCCTCCCAGTATTAAATTTAGCATAGCCCTGTTATTATAATAGTTTTTCATGATGGCGTGCGTCTCTATCTTGGCGTCGAGCGTGCTGCTTTAAGCAGCACACCAAAGCAGCCTGCTTTGGAAGTCCACCCAGCAGCTTGTGCTGAAGAAATATATGGTGGTAGGTCTACGGGGCATTGCATCTCGGCTACGGGTCGATGAAAATTCCAGACTATTTGCTCGGATTCCAAAGAGTGCGCCATAATTACGGGAGTAAAATTCCGGATGTAAATCGCCCCGACTGTAGTGGCGCAACGTGGAACCGAGTATGACTGCATACTGTGGACCCCGACTTTCAAGACAAGAATTCGGCATGTGGGCTCGAATACGTGTCATGAAGCGTACTGTACGTGGCACCTTGAGTCGGGTACTGAACTGCAGGTTTTAACATTTTAGCTGTAGTCATCCCAACTTGATCATGTTTGTACGTGCACAAGCACCCCTCATGAGCCAATATCGCGCTGGGAATGTTTTTGCAGCAAAGCTGGCACAACGGATTTGTCGCGGTAGCTTTGATGAAGATTTAACGATGTCATACAATGATTTCCCAGCCACAGTCATCTACCGTAGCAATTCTAGGCGAGTGTGGTACCCGGCATCAATGATAAGCATCTATCAAGCGCGCCGAAGTATTACAACAGATACTACTCACCGTAAATTAGGCATCCACGGAGCATGAAGAAGCCATCATGTAGGAAATAAGTGAAATTAACCTGTGTATGAGCCTATCTGAGGTGGTCTCAGGCTACAGGGGTCGCTCCAGCCAGCTGATGATCCTCCTTGCTCGCAGTATACCAGGTGCACGACAGTGCATGAGACAGCGTACCATCTTTCGGGTCAAGGTGCCAGCGCAGCAGCAGCAAGTTAAACGTGCGAAGGACCCTTCTCGGAATTAACCGTGCAAGCAGTAGTAGCATCACTGCGGACGCCTGATAGATGTGCTCACCATGGAAGAGGTACCCTGTGAGAAGTAGCGCCTCGACAGTCGTGCATTTTTTTCCCTTGTACATGACGTAAGCCATGTCGTCACAGTCTCGGAAGAGTTTCTTGAACGGTGCACCGATGCAGTTCCTCTCGAATGAAGTGAGGTTATCTTCCACTGAAGAAGTATCCAGATACGCCTCTTTCTTCGCACCAAAAGCGCTTTTAGGCTCAATTTTTGGAGCTCGCGCGAGTTCCTGAGCCGTACCGATCCCGTTCGTGGCCAAAGCCAGCGACAGTCGAGCAGACCGCACAGCACTCTTGACTTTTGGACTCAACAATTTCACTATGAAGGACGCGAGTAGAGCTGCCACGCCCAATATCACAGACAGGATCGTCACGACGGACGGCGTGTTGTGCGTGAAAAGGATGCAGGAATCGTTCAAGCCACAGTACTTGGCGCCACGGGTGGATGTTTTCCGCAAAATCTCAGCGTTCTTGGACAGGATCGACTCAAACGGGGACTTCTGCCACGAGAGGAGAAAAGATCCGACTGCAACTGTGATCACGATCTGCATGGCCTCCCATACGAGACGGAAGTGGCGGTCCAGCTGCTGGTCTCCCGATCGCGCCTTGACCAAGTCGATGAAAGAGTACGAGAAGGCGAAGAAGCAGCACGTGAGGTTGGCAATTGATTCCCCGGTCAGGGTTCCAGTGGCCAGCCCAAGCATGTACAGGTCCGAGTTGTAGATGAGGTGGTACGAAATTTGTGCGAGGTAGACCACCTGCATGCGCCCGTTCTGGCATCGATAAGCCCAAATCTGGGTGAGGAGCACGGATCGCTTGTGTGACATCACCTGGTAGAGACTGATAACCCCCATGAGAAGGATCTGGGCGACGACAATTTCGGGTAGTACGCTTATCCCGACAGTGTCAGCATAGCGACTACGGAACGTGTTGAGGTTCATACCAATGCGATCAGGGCGATCTGCTGTCATGTAGTTGACCCATTCCCACAGCGAGTTGAAATAGTTGTGGATGCAGACGTCACCCGTTGGACGTCGTCTGGAGAATGCACCACAATCCGTAATTTTCCCAGTGTTTTGAGACCTCACACGTGTCCTCAATATACACCCCCGTTGTGTTCACCGCTCGCACCCGACACGCCCCGTGGTAGGCTCGAAGTAAAGGCTCCAGGACGGTAGTTGCGCCGTAGTGAGTGCTTGTGGCAGACACCACCCGCGATACGGCAGGCAAACTGCTGGTAAAGCTGTACGGGAACAAAGTCAAAATTTCAGGAACCTTGACCAACAAGTCCTCTCCTTTTGTAGCGAGCGCCAACTTGGAGACAACAAGGCTGTCGTCGTTCGCCACAACGGGGCGGCACTCCGTGTAGTCAGGGAACACGTTCAAGTCGACGGCTGGAATCTTGGCGAAGTTTGTGTCGCCTACAGTGGTCGGATACTGGAAAAGCCGAGTGATGGCGATCATGTTCCACTTGGTGACGCATTGATCAGCTTGTTCGATGCCCAGCTCCAGCTCGCGTACCATTTAAGGGGCGACGCTGAGGTTGAACGTCTTAATCACGTTCATGACTTATTGAGCTGTCCCCGTGACGACGTTCGTGGTTGACCCCCACTCGTTTATCCCACTCTGACAAATCGCCCCGCTGGCATCAAGAGCTGCTCCAAGAGCAATGTCTTCGTCACTGAGAACACTGAAGTCGTACAGCGATTCAGTCGGCCCAAGTGAACCAAAAGCTTTGAAGTCCGGAGAGCTGATGAACGCGCTCCCGTTGTACAGCGAGTACTTTAACAGTACGATCTTGCATGGACCCAGACAGCCCGTGCACCCGCCAGCCATCGACAGATCGTTCTGAGTGAAGGCGAAAATGCTGTCTTCCGCCTTGATGAGGACCGTGGCGTCCGATAGATAATTTGTACCGACAAACAGCCGAAGTAGAGCGAGGGGTCCGATGAGGATGCGTCCTGCGACGGCAATCGTAGCTCCGATGACCGACGGCTTGAGCAGAGTCTTCCATCCTTGAGCCTCGCGCGCTAGACGTTGCTGGTTGTGGTATTCCCGTCCCCAGTCCGCAGTGCTGTCGCTATCCGAGCCAGCCGTTTTACCGAGTCGGGGTGACTTGGACTGGCGAAACCCGAAGTGAGGCATGACATCAGGCAGACGCTCTGTGTTGGCAGCTAAGACCGTCCACCCGAATTGCTATTCTCGGTCTCCAAAGCACGGCGTCATCGTGTCCGATAAGGACGTCGCCAAAAAAAAATGACGGCCGCAAGTTACCTGCGCCAGAAAACTTTTGTAGGGTTACTTACTTTACAGATCAACACGAATATAGCAGCAACTTTTGAGCCACCTACCTACGCGAGGTGCAATGGGGTTCTCACTACATGCTATTAGATGTATCTGCATGTAAAGATTGGGTCATAGTCTACGACTACCAATCTACGACTCCAGTTTGTTTTGTTTTGGCCGTCCGGGCTGCATATACAGCCATTTACTAATAAATAATTCGAGGATACCGTGCGCCGAAAGCGTGAAGGACAGCACGCAGCCAAACAAACACTTGCGCCGCCTGGATTCCGAGAAGGCACATTTTTAGGCGAAATTGTGAGCCTCTGCAAAATGTAGCCAAACTGTAGAAGTTGCCTCTTCTCTGACTCGAGCTTCAACATGCTTGACAACCATCAGTTTGCCTGCTCAACTGCATGGACGATCTCAACAGCAACACCTCTCTGCTTTCCTGCTACAGGTATTATACATGTAGTATGTAAATTTCGCCTACATGTACACGCGCGAACAGTTATCGCCGAGATCAGGCCGCCGCGAAGCGGTGCGCCAGAGAGCAGGCCTCGGAAATGGACCTTCAGATTCCGGGTTCGATTTTTCCAGCAAAAATGATCTCGAGCACCGAGCAGCTCCACAACTTCAGGAAGCATTCATAATAACAGCACCAACACACCACTTGTGTCCAATGCCCTCCTACAACGTACTTCTACAAGGTAGAGGAAGGCGCGGCGATCTACTAAGCTCATGCGATGCCGCAGCCGCTTTTCAGCCAACCAGTGGGCGTCTGATTTGCGTTTCAGCCAATCACAGCCACAGAAGAATAAGCTTAAAACGCCAAAGAAAAAGCAACGCCAGCAGTCCCAAATCTCCATCCGACCCTCCCGAGCCCTGTGACCACATACACATGTCGGAGCACGCGCGCGAGTACGACCCGCTGTTCCCGCGCAGCTACGCGGCGTCCTCCACGACGTCCACGTCCACGGCGCCGCGCTGCTACGGCGGCTTCGAGCAGCAGAAGCGCGTGTGGGCGTCCACGGCGCGGCGGTCGCAGCGCATCCGCGTGATCGCCGGGCTGCAGCTGCTGCTGGGGCTGCTGGCGTCGGGCAACTACCTGTGGCTGTCCAACATCTTCATGTTCGTCGTGGGGGTCGTCGGGCTGCTGGCCGTGCGCTCCGAGCGCATGAGCTGGACCGTCGTGGTGCGTTGCTTGGCAATTGATACATTTGGGTGAAGAAAGATATTCTGATTTGCTTCTTCTTCTTCTTGATGCTTTGCATTGCAGTATTTGCTGCTGAGCGCCATGGAGTTCGCGCGTATTGTGATGCTGACGCCGCACCTGTACGAGCGGTTCGAGGTGCCAGGGTACGCGTTCACGCGCTACGAGTACTTCCAGGTGGCCGTGCTCGTGCTGGAAGAGGTGCTGCTAGTGGTGAGAGAGAGCTGCTGATTTATGCGGTTTTAGCTTCAATTCTGATGGGTTTTGTGTGTTTCATTGCTGCCAGCCAGCAGCGTTCTTCGTGTGCATCGCCGCTGCAGCGGCCGTTGCCAATCCGCTGTGGTAAAACTGGGAGCAGGGATGCAGCTGCCATTATGAAGGCATTGATACATTATCAGGGGAGTGCGAGGATCATCGACACGACGATGCTATGAGCGAGGCGGAGCTGCTGGGTCTGGGATGTGGAGGGAGGTCCCTTCATAACCGACTTCAAGTCAGGGCGCAGTCTCTCCCTCATCGAGTCCGGATTTATTAGGCATAGTTTCATCAGGCACGGCAGACGGAGGGAGACGACGCTGCTACTCTGCATGTAGAGGCCGACTGACTGGGTGGCGCTGCATCCAGCGGCTTCAGTACGCGTTATATCGTCGTGTGTTTCTCGCACAGCTAACTTAATCTATATCGCTTCACGACAAGCTCTCTTTGAGCGAGCTGGGTTCTATGATCTCGTATCTAGATGAGCTCGATCTGGCCACTCTCGACTTGGCTCTTGATGCTGCGGTAGCGCAGCACGTAGCGATCTGCGGGGTGCATCTGCACGAAGTCGCCGCCCTTTTCGTCGACCTGCACGGCTTCAGCCCCCTCCTTGCCCTCGCAGAACACGAAGCTGTCCAGATTGGGCTCGGTCACTGCAACGCACCACCAAAAGTCAGGATCAGACTCGCACTACTGGCCCCAGCGCCATTACACATTGTAAAATGCATGGCGTGGACGCTTGTCTTACCCATGCCTTCAGCCGTGAGGCTGCGATAGTCGTCGGCGAACTTGTTCAGCGCCAGCTCATTCACGTGCGACTCGAAGAGCATCACGAACCTGCACGACAATAAAACAAATGCACAATAAAATATTAGAGCAGGAGGAGGTTCCTCCAATGCAGAGAATACCGAGCAATCTTACTGCTGGGCAAAGTTGCGCTCTTTCAGCGACAGTCGCTGGGTCAGCGCTGCGTCGCTCAAGATGTGGACGGCAAACTTCTCAATCTGCTCGGGCAACACAAACACAACAACAGCAACAATAAGTATGCCTGTCATGGGGCAAAGTATATAGATGTGGGGGCCTACCGCACCTTGCGCAGACGCGTGCGGAGGTAGGACGAGACCGTGTAGCGCAGGCGGTCGATCTCCATCTGGTAGAGCTTGTTGACGAAGGACTTCTCCTCTGTGAGCTGCGCGCGGTCCTCGTAGACCGAGTCCACGTACTCCTGCTGGTTGCGGATCTGCTCCAGCATCTCGGTCACCATCTCCTCGTTGTACGGCAGGATCTCGGGCGCGTTCTGGTCCATGGCAGTAGAGTGCAAGCGGTTAGCGGCGTGTAACTCGGTCAATTCTGCAGCATTTTCGACGCAACGTGCAGCGAATTAAGCAGGAGATAGAGACGCACCAGCTCGTTCACCCAGAGCGTGCGCATATTCACGACATCCTCGTTCAGGTTCTCCCGATCGAACTCGGGCTGCGACTGCGACTCCATGGCGGCTGGCTGAAGAGCTCCAAAAATGCCGTTCCCGCCAAAACCAAGCTTCTCTCTTATTGGTTGGAAATAAATTTACCACAAATAGCACCCTTATTTGTGGTGGGATCCTTGTGTAATCAGATGTAGCCATCTTCCTAGAAAGGGAAAGGTAGTCAAGAGCTCCTCGTGCACTGGGGCTGGAGCGAAGCGCTAGTGCTGCTCTTTCTCGGACGATGGCGGTCTCCAAAGAACTGGACTCCCTTCAGTGGTAAATTCGAGCCGACAAGGAGAAGACCGAGCGACCAAGACCTCATGGGCAACTCCAATTGCTGCGCGCAGACGACGCCCGACGGTAAGCGAGCTGGCTGAGCAGCGTTCCGGTGCTGCACTGGGTAGATGCTGACGATGGGGTGGCGGTGCTGCCATTGTTGTTCGTTGTAGTGGACACGTGGAAAACAGGCGAGCGGTACCGGACGCTGAGCAGGGAGGAGGCGAGGGCGCTGATGCCCATGTACGACTACGAGCCGTCGCTGTCGCTGGACCACGAAGGACGCACCTCCAGCATCGACGACGCGTTGTCCAGCCTCGGCTTCTCCCCGGACACGCCGCTCTCGGTGTCCAGCAGCCACGGCTTTGGAGAGAACGCGATGGTGCTCGTCTCTGCTGAAGGCGTTGTGCAGGTCCAGGACGACCGCGAGGAAGAGAAGGCACCACCTCCTGCCTACGATGAAGCGTATGAGCTGCCCCCCGAGGCACGAGCGCTGCTACCCGCCCCCAACTCCTGCCCGAGATCAGGTACGTGTGCATCGCGCCGTGTATGCAAATGTGCAGCGCCCCTTAACCGTGCTCTTTGTTTGTCTTGCTTCGACAGGCATCAACCTCCGTGCGCAGTCGCCGACCTACAGCGACCAGTCGACGCCGCGCCACGCCCAGACCTTCGATGCAGGTAGAATTGCTATTGGCCTGTGTACTTTCTTGGGTGGAGCTGATTGTTTGTGCTTGCTTCTTTGGGTTTGGCCAGATCCTCCGCAGCCCTGCATCGAAGACTACCTGTGCACGTGCAAGTCGTGCCCGCGCGCCATGATGATCCAGCGCGCGTTCAAGCTCTACAGCTTCGCGCTGGACCACCCCGAGAGCGACGCGCTGCTGCGCGTGCTGCGCGCGTGCGCCAACTACGACGAGACCATCATCGAGATGGACCCGCTGCTCGTGCTGCACGCCGAGAAGATGCTGCAGCAGCTCGGCTTCGACGAGGACCAGGCCTTCCGCCTCCTCATCGCCTCGCACTTCCAACGCCCGTGAGCCAGCAAGCCGCAACGGCTCCAACCATGTAGAATAGATCAACAGCTGTGGCCGCGGTCACCCAAAGGCACCCCTCAGCCAGCAGCAGCCAGCTCAGGTTGAAGCTCCCTTCGACTTCGACCACCGAAATCGACAACCGTTACTGCAACACTTATCCGCTATCATATCACTTAGCTGTGTTACAACTTGATGATTGGATTAAATATCGCCTCCTACCAACCCCTCGAAGAGCAGCGATTTGCTAAAACGTTTTTCTAGGCACTGGTCCACACGTGGCAACGGAGTTCACGGGGTTCATTCCCAAAAGATCCCTCTCGGTCTCAAGTCTCACCCCTCCCCAGCAATCATGGCCCGCGAACGCACCTACATCATGGTCAAGCCCGACGGCGTGCAGCGTCACCTGGTCGGCGAGATCATTAAGCGCTTCGAGACCAAGGGCTACAAGCTCGTGGCCCTGAAGCTCGCCCGCCCGTCGGTGGAGCACCTGGAGGCCCACTACTCGGACCTGGCCGGCCGCCCCTTCTTCCCGGCCCTCATCAAGTACATGAGCTCGGGCCCCGTGACGTGCATGGTCTGGGAGGGCACCAACGTGGTGCTCGAGGGCCGCAAGATGCTCGGCGCCACCAAGCCCACCGAGTCGGCTCTGGGCACGATCCGCGGCGACTTCTGCGTGGACGTCGGCCGCAACGTGTGCCACGGCTCGGACTCGGTCGAGTCGGCCGAGAAGGAGATCAACCTCTGGTTCCCGGAGGGCGTCGTCGAGTGGGGCGCCCAGGACGACGAGTGGGTGTACGAGAACTGAATGCCTCGCGTCGATCCAGCTCCAGCTCAAACTCAAGTAGCTCCAGCTGTAGCCAACGTGACGGTCACGCCGGTGCTCGAGGACGCGGAGGCGCAGCTCCCCGCCCCATCCGGGTGCGCGCACTGCACGCTCCTCTAGCTCTAGTCAGTTTAATCAGGAAATGAACGCTCGGGAGCGTCCCTCACGGACCCTCCCTGCATTTGTTGCCCTGCTCACTCCCTTATCGCAGCTCCTCGTTGTCCTCTCATTGTAGCTCCTCGTTGTTGCTTGCCTGTTGTACCGCCGCCTCTTCAATTGTTCTGTGGGGCGAGTGGAATATCCACGACGAGCGTTTTGCTGCTGGCCGCTAATTTGAGGCGCTGGAAACGGCTGTGGCGCATGCGACGCTGTGCTGGTCACGGCTGAAATGCTGCGGATGGGGTCGGCGCCATCTGTGGGGGATAAGAACGGCCAAGTCCTCGGTGTCTCTACCACTCTGGCGCTGTGTCTGCGGAGCTCCCGTCTCTTGGGCGATCACATTCGCAGCCATCGACCCCGCGGAGCCCGACCTCGACTTGGGCTGCTGACAGCTCCCGACCGACCGGGTTCTTCTGGATTGACGCACACCCCCCCGCCGCCGCTCGGGAGATAAAGTAGATAGGTAGAGCCCCCCCCCCTCTCCTCATTACGTGACCTGCGGACATGCGCTCGGACGACGACTACGAGGTGCACGTGCTGCCGGCCTTCGTGCCCGTCTTCTGGGTCTTCGTGGCCGTCGGCGTCGTGCTCTTCTACTACTCGCTCGGCTATGCCAAGAAATACTCCACCACCGCCGCCTTCCTGCTCACGGTACGTCGGTCTATTCGTCTTCTCCTACTGGGCTCTATAGACTAAGACATGCTCCTTCTGCGTGTATTGTATGCAGCCATTTATCTGCTTCAGCCTCGTGTTCGACAACGCCATCATGGCTACAACGGGCATCGACCGTCGTCGCGCCAGCACGCAGGCCATGCTGGCCTTCCACGCGTGCGTGACGCCCATGCTGCTGCTGGTGTGCTACGAGCTGGCCTACATGGTGCACAAGCACAAGTCGGTCAACTTCTGCGGCATCTCGTTCGAGAGCGGCCACCGCGAGCGCGGCAGCAGCTGCGACAACGCCGGCGCGGCCTCGAGTCTGGCCAGACGCCGCTGGTGGCTGTCCACGTGCCTGCGCTTCTTCGTGTGGCTCGTGGGCTGCGCGCTGCTGGTGCTCAACCTGCTCGTGACCTACCGCTGGACGTCGGATCTCACGCCCGAGATCGCCAGCATGTACGAGCTGCAGGGGGACAGCACGGCCCACGCCGTGTGTGCCATTCTACCGGCGCTGGTGCTTGTGGCGCTCGCGCTCTACATCGGCCTACGGCTGTGGAACTACGGCACCAACTACTCGTACATGGTGCACGCCACGTGCTTCAACCCGTGGATCTGGATGCTCGTGGGGGCCGTGGCGCTGCTAGTTGGCTACCTCATGCCGTCTCCCATCTACGCTCTATCCTCGAACGCCGGCGAGTTGATCATGATGGCTACAATCGTGCGCATGTTCCGCGAGGTGCACCACGACATGCAGCAAGGCCTGCAGTTCGACGAGTTTATTGATCCCGAAGGCGCCGCTGCTCGTCGACAGGGACCGGGAAGCCCCAACAACCTGCGCAGTATGAGCATGAGCTTCACCAAGAGCTTGAGTCGCAGCAAGATGGCTGCGGAACAGCCCAGCGGCTACATGGCGGTGACGACCCCGAAGGAGTCGGAGCTGCCGGCGACGTTCGCCAACCGACTCCGTCGTGGGGACGAGGACGGAGATGCACAGCCCAGCGCGAGTGCAGCCTACCTCTCGGTCGTCGTGGCTCGAGAGCGTACGAACCCGCTGTGCCAGTAGGAACAGGACCTTTTTGATTCATTGGAGACCCACCCTCTCCTCCCGCCCACATTGGCGCAGATGTACATGTAGAAGGCTCGAACAATCTACTTATTCCCATTTTTGAACGCACTGGAAGTGAAGACCAAAAGTTGAAGTGGGCTTGTATTCGTAGGTTGTCATTACAACTGTCGGAGCGCATACTACGGAAGTGGTAGAACTGGCCTACCTACTTGTCACGCTTGGCCATTTTCTTCTGGCTGCTGCAGAGGCTCTTTGAACCCGCAGCGCCAGCAGTTGGTTCTTGTCGTACACTTTCTTCAGCGACTGCAGCACCGCAACTTGCTTTTTTAGGTCCGCGACCTCCTTCTCCAGGCCCGCGATCTCGGCCGCCACTTTGCGCTTGTTGAAGCGTTTCGTCAGCTTCGCGATCTCCGCCGTGTCAGCAGCGCGAAGGTCCTCCATATCTGCCAGTGTCTGGCTGAGCGCTGCATTGCCGTCTTGCTCCTTCTTCAGTCGCTCCTTCAGCGCCGTGATCAGACTTTCTGCCTCTTCATGCTCCTGTTTCCCCAGGTGCACATGCTTCTCCAGGGCGGCAAGCTTTTCAGTGACCTTGGCCATGGCCTCGTGACTGTCTTCCAGCTGCTCCTCCAGCTCGGCGATCTGTCTTTCGGCTGCACGCTTCTCCGCCTTTAGGTCTTCATTTTCCTGCATCAGCAGGAGAGCGACAGGCTGTCCAACAGAGTTCACCTGCGCACGGCGCACAAGTTAGTCAAGTCAACGTGCAGCCTCCACAGCGCCTTCTTGTGCAGTACCTGGCTTACCGTCGACGAACACTTAGACGCTGCACGCGTGGTGAGAGCACTGATCCATTGCCAGATCGATGAATAAGCCATAGCCACTGGAGGAACTGCAGGCTGTCGCGGTGGTCTCTTGATCTCTTGGATGGCTGATTCAGGAATGAAGCTGTTGAGCTCACCTCCACTATGTTCTTCTTCGAGAAAGTCCAAGCACCTGAAGGTCGCAAGAGAAGTTAAGGGCCGTCGTTTCTCGCTCGTACTCAATGCCTTTGAGCAGAGGTAGACTGGCCCTGACCATAAGCACAAGAGCACAGAGAGCATACATTGAGCAATGAGAGCAAAGGCAAACTCTCGTCCCCAGTGTTATTTTACCTTAGCTAGGAGCGAGGCTTGAGACAGGAGCTCTCAGGTGAGCGTACAGGAGCTCGCTATACTCCGCTGGAGAGCACAACGTGAGCTTCCTTGGTGTGTTTTTGCTTCTTCTCGAGCACCTTCATCATCTTCGTGCTGCCTTCTCCGGAGAGCAGCTTCTGCGCCTCGAGCTCCTCCTTGAGCTGCTTCAGGCGCTTCTCCTTTTTCTTCTTTCCTGGCTCGTGGCCGTGGAACTTGTACGACAGCATACGGAAGGCCTCCTTCTTGGTGAGCAGACGACCAAACTCGTCGCGGTAGTCCAGCTTCACGCCGTTCTTGATGCGTAAATCGTCCTCGAAGTTGCGGTCACGTGCATCATTCGCACGGCCGGCTTGGCGCTCAACGCGAGTCTGACGGAGGTCTCCCGTCTTGCGAAGCAGCGCCAATGTCGCACCCATGCCCGTGCCCACCAGTGGCTGCTCTTCGCCCCACACCTCATTCTCTTTAGTCTCTTCGTCTTCATCGTTGTCCTCCTCTTTCGTCTCCTCGTCAATCTCCATGTCGTCTTCGTGCTTCTGCTCTTCAGCGGCCGCAACTTGCTGATGCTTATCAGACGCTGGCAGCGTCGGTGCTGTAGCACCGCCAGTTGCAGCCTGAAACTGGGCCGCACGCTTCTCCATGGCGTCACGTAGCCGAGTCTCGAAGTCGGTAGCCTCGTTGAAGACCACCGTGTTTGATGTGGTGCCGACCTCGCCAAACACTTGACCAACCGGCTTGCTACTGACAGCTGCAGTGCTGCTCATCACGACGTCGCCAGCGCTGTCAGTAGAAACAGCCGGGGTCGTATCTTCCTCGTTGCTAATCGTTTGGCTAACGAGTTGCGCGATCCGGGCCTCACTGGTTGTCGGTGCAACGGGTGTCTGCGTCTGACTCTGCTGCTGTGCCAATTGCCGCGCGCGAGCCAGCGAAGCGCCAAGCTCCATCTCTATAGCGGCGGCATCGTCCACAATCTCGCTGTCATCAACTGGGCGTCGCTTCATCCGCCTCTTACCCGAGCTGGCAGCCAGCGCCTCCGACGCCACAGCATTCGCCTTCTCTCGCGCCTCCTGAAAGCGAAGCAAGTTCTCTTCCTCCTCAGGGTCTTCGTCGTCCTCGCGACGGCTACGCTTCCGCTTTCCGCGGTCTTTAGATCCAGAAGCGCCAGCCTGCAGCGCCTCCTGCTCCAACTGGGCTACCAGCGACACAGCGTCCCCTCCCTCCTCTTCAGCAGCTCCAGACTCCAGCTGCACTTCAACCGCATCATTCTCACCTAAATCTTCATCATGATGACGACGCGATTTCTTCTTCTTCTTCTTTCTCAGTTTCTTGTTCTTCTTCTTGGCAAACTGCGCTTCCACCTCCTCCTTCGTGTAGTAATCCTCCGCCTGCTTGGTGCGATCCATGGACAGCGAAATCACCGCCACGTCGTCCTCTTCTTCCTGCTTCCCCTCACTCTCCAGCACCGCTGATCCTCCCGTAGCGTCCAGCTTAAACTTCCTCGCCTCCGCGGCCTCCGCCACGTCCTGCTCCTCGTCATACTGGGCCAACAACTTAGTCCCGTTCTTCCTCTTCCTGGAGCTCCCCATCTCAATAAACTCATCGTCATCGTAGCCTGAGTACACGGGCATTGCGGCACGCTTGGCGCGCGCCTGGTGCTCCAACCGCCGGTCTTTTTCACTCAGCTCGACGTTCACGAGCTCGTCCTCCGCCTCATTGAGGTCCTTGCCGTCCTCACCGAGCACGCGTGAATCCTTCAACGTGAGTACAACTTCCTGTCCGTCCTCAAAGGTGTCCAGCGCGTGACCCACAGTCATACCAGCCAGCGCGGCGGCGTCATACTTCTCCTCCTTCTCAGCCTTCTTCTCCTCCGTCTTCTTCTCCTCCTTCTTGTTCCTGGACTGCTTGACCCACTCCAGAGCATCATGGCTACCCTTCTTTTGACCCTTCTTTTGCGCCTCCAGGTCCTCTTTTAACTGCTCGCCGAGCGATTTACCGGCTAATTTTTGGGTTAATTCGCGCCTTGTGCGCGACTGCTGCAGCTTGCGCTTGAGCTCCTGCTGCTCGCGCTCGGCCTCGAGCTGCGCGCTGCTCTTCTGCACGCTGACGACCGCCTGCTCCTTCTTGGAGGGGCCCACGGACAGCGGCTTGAGCCCGAGCGATAGCCGCAGCTTGTTGGTCTCCTCGATGCTCAGCGAGATCTCGCCGTTCTTGTCGTCGCCCTGAGCGGGCGGAGGCGACGCGTCCTCGCGGCGCCTGCTGCGCGTTTGGCTCCGGCTTCGACTCCTGCTGCGACTGCGGCGGCGGGACGAGGACGCGTGGCGGTCGCGGCGCGACGAGGAGGAGGAGGGGCCCCCATGACGCCGAGAGCGGGCAGGAGACCGCGACCGAGAGCGACTGCGACCCATGCTTAACTGTGGGGATTTTTGTATGGGCGGAATTATGGGTACAGTCATGGTGTGGTGCACATTGGTTTTAGAGGAGATGGATACATTTTGTGAGAGATGGCTATGGCTACATTCATGGTGTCGACTTCAACTTCAGGGGCAAAGTGAATGCATTATTCCTTCGCTTTCGTAAGTAGCATATAGGGGTTCCTGCGAAGTCGTCGGCGTGGACAGCTGACATTTTGCAGGAAATGTTTTTTCCTCACGGGATTTGACTGGCTTTCATTATGCGACTGTTGCCATCCATTTCTTCTGAGCAAACGTAAGCGGGAGCCGCCGACGCTTACATCAAGTCCTTCATTGGCTAAAATTTGACAGCAACACACAAAGAACATCGACCCAACAGCAACATGAGTGATGGAGGCTCGCAACGCGCTTTTGCTCAAGCGCGGAGTACCAGTCATGCTGACGTCGAGGCGATACGCGATGTATGCGTCACCAAGCAAACAAGAGAAAAGTACAAGAGCAGCCTCAACGGGATTAAGAAGTGGATCAGGAGCGAGCTCGCTAAGGAGGATGAGAACATCGCCAGGTTTTTCGACGCTGATGATGACATTAATCTAAGTGAGTTTACACCGAGTGTTTTTGAGCGTTTTCTGGTGTTCAAGAGCGCTTCTGTGAAGACGGCTACGCTGAGCGGGTACCGAAGTGCTATCAAGGATCTTTATCGCGTGGAGCGCGTGGCGCTGCCTCCTGAGTACGGTGATGATATGAAGCAACTGTTCTGCGGTATGAAGCGGATGGAGGCTGATCAGGCCCAGACTAGCACCCCAAAGACATCAGGAAAACAGCCACTCACGTACTCCCTTTATAAGGAGTTGTGCAATTCGACTCTCGTGGCGGGTGATGGCGGGTTTTCGCATCTTTTTTTTACTTCGCAGTGGAATTTGATGTGTCGCTCAATGTCGGTCCAGACCCTCCAAAGTCAGCATCTCGTGGCGAAAGATGATAGCGTTGGAGTAATATTTGTGAAGACGAAGACTAACCAGGAGGGTTCAGGGCCCCGTGATCCACGCCACCTGTACGTGAACCTGCTGAGCCCATCAACGTGCTGGGTGACTGCCTTGGCAATTTATCTTGCATGCCACCCTCCATTGGAACCGGGGGCACTATTTCCAGGCTCTAACCAGAAGCTACGATTTAGCAAGGTGCTGACTAACCTTTTGAAGCAAGGAGACGCTGGTAAAAGTTACGGTACGCACTCGGTGCCCAAAGGAGTGGCTACATTCGCTTGTGGAGGACCTACAGGTGGTCCCTCGATCGTGAGTGTGTGTCTTCGCTGCGGATGGAGCCTCGGTGGAGTTCAAGATCGCTATTTCCGTTATGAAGCCGCAGGGGATCAATTCCTGGGGCGAGTAGTGGCAGGACTTCCCGTAAATGACTCTAAGTTCGCTACTTTACCGCCCCATTTTCAGGATGGCCCCGATAAAAATGTGAAATCGCGCGTGGAGACTATGTTTCCGGTTCTCTCTCGTGAAGCGAATATGGCAGGAATTTTGCGGTTGTGCCTAGCATCACTCGTGCATCACGCGGAATATTTGCAACAGCATTTACCGGCCACCCATGCATTACTTTCGACACATTTGTTTACAAGCCCCACTGTCTTTAGGACGCTTGAAGGCCAACTAGTAGCTGGAGAGTCTGTCTGGATGCAACCAACGGGGATACCGCCCTATATTGAGCTATACAAGAAGCTTGACCAGCAGCAAAGATCAATTGATGAGCTGCCTGGCAAACTGGAGCAGAGAATGGAGCATGTACTTGAGAAAAAGGGTGTGGCAGCGGGCAATATTACGAGAGAGTTATTGCGTGATGAAATTCGATCGTTGTTAGACGAAGTTGGGCTCGAACAGCGTCCGTCGATCAACGCCGTAGTGCCAGCGCCAGTTCCAGTGCACCAGTATCATGTCTGGGACGGGAAATCTCATGTGCTACCTAGAGAGTTTAGTTTTCCGAATATCGATCCCCTTGGGGCATGGATGCTATGGTGGTTCGGAAATCCAAAGCTCAACTACCCCCCGTACAAAGGAATACCATCGGACGACCTGGATACACCGCAGAAAAAAGCGACGCAGTCAGAATGGTCAATTATGATGCGGCACATTATGAATGGGATCGAGGCCAAGCTGGACGCACCTATGCCAGAAATCCGTGACAAAAAACACGCTATTGAGCTTTTCAACATTGGATACGGTACACTGCGGTTAAAGCCAAGCAAACGTAAGCGAAGAGCTGACAGCTTAAGCTTACAACTGTTTTGCGACTCATCCGACAAGCCGATCATGTACAAGTCCGAGTTGTACACCACGTGGTAGGCGATCTGCGCCAGGTAAATCACTTACATGCGTCCATTCTGGCATCGATACGCCCAGATCTGAGTTAACAACACGGACCGCTTGTGCGACATCGTCTGGTACAGACTGATGATACCCATGAGGAGGATCTGCATGACCACTGCGCCAGGTAGCAAGCTGATAGCAACAGTATCCGCGTATCGACTGCGGAACGTGTTGAGGTTCATGCCCACGCGGTTGGCTACGTTGGGGTCGATGTAGTGCTCCCATTCCCACAAAGAATTGAAAAAGTTGTGAATGCAGACGACTGCAGCGCTGCAGAGAGGAACATCGTCGGGGGAATGCACCATCAGTCCGTAGCTGACCCAGTGCTTGGAGATCTCGCACGTATCTTCAATGTAGACGCCGGTCGTGTTCACTGCTCGCACACGACAGCCACCATAGTAAGCTCGAAGGTAAGTCTGCACCACACTCGACGCTCCATTCTTCGTTTTCGTTTTATCCGCTGGAACTGATCGTGCGATATGAGGCAGGCTGCTAGTGAAGCTGTACGGGAACAGCGTCAATTCATCCGGAACCACTTCCAATAGATCTCGACCATTCGTGTCAAGCGCCAGCTTTGAGCCCACAAGATCATCGGTAATTTCAACCACAGGACGGCATTCTGGGTAGTCGGGGAAGACGTGAGTGTCCACGGCTGGAACCTGACCGAAATCCGTGCTGCCCTCTGTTGTAGGGTACTGGAAGAGTCTCACAACGGACATCATAGTCCACCCGGTGACGCACTCGTCGGCGTGTTCAATGGCTAGCTCCAGCTCCCGCATCATTTGTGGGGAGAGGTTGAGCTTCGCTATCTTGATAATGTTGTAGAGTTCCTGTGCAGTCCCCGTGACGACGATTGTGACGTCCCCCACTCGTTCTTGCTGCTCTGACAGAGTGTTCCATTCGCGTCCAGAGCGTCCGAGAACGTGAGCACCTCGTCACTGAGAGAGCTGAAGTCGTACAGCGACACGTTTGGGGCTAATGATGTGAAGGTGAAGAACGGCGGCGCGGAGGTGATGGCTACATCCTCGATCAGCTTGTACTTGAGCATGACGATCTTGCACGGACCAAGGCACCCCGTGCAGCCTCCAGCCATGGACGGATCTCGCTCCGTAAACGCGAAGATGCTCTCGTCAGCCTTGATGAAGACCGCGGCGTCCGACAAATACCCGGTAGCAGCAAACAGCAGCAACAGTGCGATCGGGCCCGCAACGATTCTTCCAGCAATAGCGACGTACGCTGCGAGCGCAGAGGGGCGGAGGAGAGACCCCCATCCTTGCGTCTTGCGAGCCGCAGCCTGCTCGTTGAAATACGCCGCAGACCAGTGCCTAGATCCGACTTCACCCCTGGCACGGCCGGTCATCTCGTCGCCGTGAGTCGTACGTGGTCAGAGGACAGAATTCCCCGACCAAGTCCTGCTGCCAAGTGTCCGGGTGGTTGCTTTGGAATGTGGGTGGTCGGCCACGTCGAGACCTTGACCTCCGCCGCACTCCAGAAAATAGCCTCGTCGTGACCAAAGGCTCGTCCTGAAACCCACTTGACTTCAACGGATGTGTGTGCGCCAACATCGGCGGTATTTTTAAATGTCTTTAAAAAGACATCCAAGCCCTAAAAGCAACGCTGCTGGGGTTGACAGGTCCAAAGCATTGCCTGTTCCTATCGCTTCTTAGGTCAACCACCCAGAAATGAAGAAGCGACCTCGATATATTGCACTAACATTTTCAATGCAATTTTCACTTGGAATGCAGTACGTACACATGCATTTCAGAGCTCACTAGCGGGAGCAAGTCGATCTGCACGAGTCTCATCTATATGTAGCGCTCCGTACTGGGTACCCCTTTCACTTCAACGTCGAAGATCTCTCTGGTTAGTCGTTACTTGATCACAAACCGCCGCTAACCCACTGCTCATTCTCCAACCCACCGCCAACCCCCTCCCACTATGTTCGTGCCGGTGATCGACATCTCGCCCTTCGTTAATGAATCCGCCAGCTCCAGCGCCGCGCGCGACCGAGTGGTGGAGCAAGTGGCGGACGCCTGTCGCAACGTCGGCTTCCTGGTCATCACCAACCACGGCGTTCCCCCTGAAACCATCAGCGCAGCGTTCGAAGCTGCGCGGGACTATTTCGACCAACCGTCGGACGTCAAGATGCAGGTCCCCATGTCCCCCGAGTACCCCTACGGCTACGAGAGCGCCGAGATCCTGTCCAACTCGCGCGAAAAGGACGACGGGAAGGCTCTCCCCGACCTGAAAGAGACCTTCCAAGTGTGTGTCGGACCGGAAGGACGCGAGCTCAACGTCCCGACCCGATGGCCCGAAGGACCCGAGGGGTTTAAGGACGCCATGACGACGTACTACCGGAGCGTGGAGAAGCTCGCGGCGCTCATGATGAAGGTCTTCGCCTGTGCGTTGAAGCTGCCGAGAGACTTTTTCGACCAGAAGATCGGCAACCACATGTCATCGCTGAGGATCTTGTAAGTGACGAGATTAAAGAGGGAAGGAGGTTGCTGTCTAATGAACTCGTGGTGTGTTGTCTTTGGTAGGAATTACCCGCATCAAGACCAAGAGCCTGGCACGGAGCAGATCCGAGCGTCGGCGCATACGGACTACGGCAGTCTGACGATCTTGGCGGTGGACGACGCTCCTGGAGGGCTGCAAGTGCGTGATTTACAAGGAGAGTGGCACAGTGTGAAGGCCCCCGCCAACTCGTACGTGGTCAACCTCGGAGATTTGATGCAGCACTGGACCAACGATAAGTGGCGCTCGACGATGCACCGAGTGATCAACCCGCCGTCGGGCTGCGCCAACAACCGACGTCAGTCCATCGCCTTTTTCCACAATATCAACGCCGATACCATTGTGGAATGCATCCCAACGTGCCAGTCTCCGGAGAACCCGGCCAAATACCCGCCAGTACTTGCCGGTGAATATCTGATGATGAAGCACAACGCTGCCGTCGGAAGCTGAAAGTGTGGTGTAGCTGTACACTACCAGTATGGCGATGAATAGTACGTGCTTGATCGCAGTCGACGAAGTTGCGGAAAGTAAACCTAATTTCATGTGGAGTACTTCGAAACGATTCCAGCTAGGTTGCCTAGCTTTTCAAAACAAAATTCCCCGTAGTACATGTAGAAGAGAGTTCAGTAGTCTTTATGACTGACGGCCTCTGTTCATTGGGAATCATATTTTCGATCGAAGCTACGCTTTGTTGGACGTACCCCCGACTCCGTAGTCGCCCAGATTCTCCTCTCATGGGAGTTACCGGTCTCTACCAGGTGATGTGGCACCAGCGATCCGTGCTGCTGACGCTCATCCATGCCAGAACGGCCACGTGCGGGTGATCTAGCTGGCACAGAGTTCGTACTATCTCATCTACAACTCGGACTTGTATACGCCACTGGAACTCTGACCTGGAATCGATCGCAAACCTCACGTGCTGCTTTTTCGCCTTCTCATACTCCTTTATCAACTTGAACAAGGCGTGATCAGGAGGAAGACCAGAAGCTAGACCGCCACTTTCGGCTCGTACGGGAGAAATGGGAGACCATGCAGATCGCTCTCACGATTTCTGTTCCGAGTGCTGTTGCTCTCCATTCAGCGAATTCCACTCGTGGTGATTTTTTTCTCTCTCAAAACGCCGAGGTTTTTCGTAAACTTTCTACTCGTGGAGCAAAGTACTTAGTGTATTTTACGTGTCTTTCGCTGGCAAATGCGTGCTTCACCACTTCAAGCCCGTTGACGATCTAATAGCGGAGACTGCCTGTTGCAACGACTTCAGCTCGACAAGCCACGGACGCTGTAGCATGACCAACCAAGACCCTCCTACCGATTGGGCGCTTGAGCACTACCACCAGCAACTACTAAACCGCAAGACACGATCAAGTACAAGCTGGTTCCATCCGTCCGGCATCGCCGCGTTACTAGCAGTCACAGGCCGAGTTGTCATCGGGCCGCTCGCGCTATTCCTCCTTTTCGTCGCCACCAAGTACCTCTCAGACGCCCCTGTCCTCATCAAGCCCAGCGCCAGCTTGTTCTCGTTCACTGAGAAGGATTTATCGATGGCTGGAGGGTGCACAGGGTGCCTTGGAGCATGCAAAATCACTCTGCTCAAGCTCAGTTTGTTCAGTGATAAGGCGTTCGTCAGTGCCCCGACATTCGCAGCCCTCGTCAGCCAACCCCCAACGGAATCGCTCTACGACTTCAGCTCTTTGAACAGTGATGTTCTAGCTCTCGGAGAGGAATTGGATGGTGACGGTACCATTTGCCACAGCGGCATCAACGAGTGGGGGTCTACCACGGTCATGGCCACGAGCACGCCGCAGCAGATACTGAACATCGTCTCGACACTCAACATCGGCGTGTCTCTGCAGACGCAGCGTGAGCTGGAGCTGGCTGTCGAGCGAGAGGACGAGTGCAAGGCGACCTGGACGATATTCGGGACTGCGCGGCTCTACTTGTACCCGACTGGCGCTGGCAACGGCGAGTTCGGCAAGATCCCCGCCGCCACATTCAGCGTCTTCCCTGAATTCACCGAGTGCCGGCCAGACGTCGAGGTCGAGTATACGAATTCCAAGCTCGCACTAGCCACCGATGGCGAGGATCTGCTCGCACAAGTCCCCGATGTGTTGACGCTGTTTCCCTAGCAGCATGAGCGAAGTCTCGCGCATTGTTCCAGCCACTAACACGAAGTATGGGGCCGCGACTGTTGTGGAGCCTGAACTGCAAGCGTACTACGGAGGCTGCCGCGTTCGAGAAGTCAACACGTCGGGCGTCTACATCGAAGACACGTGCGAGATCTCCAAGCACTGGGCGACGTATGGGTTGATGGTGCAGTCTCCCGACGACATTCCTCTCTGCAGCACTAAAGACGTCTGCATCCACAACTACTTCAACACGCAATGGGAAGGACTGGTGGAGGTGGACCCTCAAAACCCCAACCGAGTCGCGCTCTACCTCAACACCTTCCGCAGTCGATACGGTGACACCGTCGGGATCAACCTCCTCCCTGGTATTGTGGTCACGCAGATCCTCCTCATGGGCGTCGTGAGTCTGTACCAGGTGATGCCACACAGACGATCGGTGCTGCTCACCCAGATCTGGGCTTATCGATGCCAGAACGGCCGCATGCAGATCGTCTACCTGGCTCAGATCACCTACCACTTCTACTACAACTCGGACCTGTACATGCTTGGGCTCGCGACTGGTACACTCACCGGTGAATCCATCGCAAACCTCACGTGCTGCTTCTTCACCTTCTCGTACTCGTTCGTGAACATGGTCAAGGCTCGCTCGGGTGACCAGCAGCTGGACAGACACTATCGACTCATCTGGGAGGCCCTGCAGTTGCCTGTCACGATTTGTGTCGGCTCGATTCTGCTGTCCGTACAGCGCACGCCGTTCGTGTCGATTCTTACCAAGAACGCGGAGATTCTACGCAAGACTTCAGCTCGTGGTGCCAAGTACTGCGGGTTAAACGACTCTTGCATTCTCTTCGCGTATAACATGCCGTCGGTGGTGGTGATCCTGTCCTTAACTCCAACTGTCATCACCTCGCTCATCGCCAAACTGTTTACTTCGAAGGTAAATTCTGTGAACGGTACTTTTGGCTCGAAGAGTGCAGGTAACAAGGTCTCAGCGGCTGGAGTGAGTATCACGAAGAAGAGGGAGTATGAAGTCAACTCGGCCACACCCGAGGAGCTCACGTCGTTCGAGAAGAACTGTATTGGCGCTCCATTCACTAAATTATTCCACGACTGCGAAGATATCGCGTACGTCTCGTACAATGGTAAGAGATGCATCACGACTGAGGCGCTGCTGCTCACGGGGTATCTCTACTATGGCGAGCACATCTACCAGGCGACGGCGGTGATGCTGCTGTTGGTTGCTCGATTGGTACCGCAGCGAATGCTACGAACGTTCAATGTAATACTGCTCCGTTGGCGCGTAGACCCGCAAGATGGCACGCTGACTTACCCATTATCGTGCACTTGGTACACTGCGAGCACCGAGAACCACAGACTCGGAATGGCTACACCGATAGCCTAGAGGTCGACCAAAATGAGCTCGAGCTTGATCGCTACAGCGCGTGACGCCTAAATCCATTATTCAATCTACCAAAGCGTTCCACTTCAATGGCGATGCCGCGAGCAATATCCAGCAGTGCATCGTTTCGACTCGAAACTTTGGCTTCATGATTCTTGGATCGGGATCCCACCAGATTTGCACATTGTTTATGCTCACGCATGAGCAGGCATCAACAAACTAGGATATGCCCTTTGGACTTGAAATCGGCACTTTGGAAACCTTTAATTAGGCACCATACAAAGATCTATATATTAGTATGGTAAAGTGAAGCATTTGATTTAGAGAATGTGTTCTACAAGTCGCTATCAACAGTGTTTGTGTTCCTGGCAAGAGATATATTCATGGGGCCGAGTGTGAATCGTTCTCACACCGGGACTAATTCACGGGTAGTCCCGACACTGCGTCGATCAAGATTTTCAGTCTGTGTGGTGGTGATGCCAGGTCCACCAAGCTAGAGAGCTGTTGTTACCCATAATATGTGATAAATTCCATGATGCGCAACAGCGCGCAGGTACAGTGTAGCTGCTCCTTGCTCGTTCTGTGGTATCCACAAGCCAATGTAAGGTAACGAAGATTTGATAATAAGTCGATTGCCAGGCTACATGTAGTTAGTTTATTATACTGGGATAGGAAGCAACGTTAGTGCTGCTATCGCAGACCAAATAGGATTATATCCGTGGTACGTCAAGTCAAAAGGTGACCCCTCTTGACACCTAACTGGAACATTGTCCTGAAACCGGTGTGACCCCGGTGCCGCACTGAAGGTTTATATGTGGGGAAGCTGAACTGGTAGGATACCCATCACACCGGTATGGCCGCGGTACCACACTCGGCTTCCAAAAGGTTTATATGCGTGGGCAGATTGAACCGGTATGAGTCAGTAACATATATCGAATAGTAGGAGTGAAGTAAAGTGAATGATTGAAGCGGGCAGAAGCATACAAAGGTAAACATTTTCATTTTCTACAAGCTACAAACAGATCTCGAGCAAGGTTCGTTTTATCACTGTGTATAAGCACCGCCAAGGCATATCATGTATCTACAATTTTGAGGTGAATTACCGGGCAGACGCCGCGGCTGCGAAGCAGACGCCGCGGCTGCGAAGCAGGCGCAGGAGATGCCCGTGGTTCGTAAAAAAACTCATAATAATAGAAAGCGATTATACCAAAAACCTCCTATCCCAGCCTTCGCGGAGCCCTAGTTTAAAATACTTACTTTGGTATATTGGTCTGTTACGATTGCCTGGTCGACCCAGCCCCATCTTATAATTTGGCAGGTACGGCTGCCGCGGAATGCGCTGCCATGTATGAGAGCTTCATTGGCGTGCCAAATGCACAGAGCAGAGGGAGGTCGAGCTAGCACGAATTATATTGGCGCGAAGCTTGAAGGCATAGTGACGAAAGTAACGGGAGGAGGGTGGTGGCAGTGGTTATTGTAGCGGCGACGGAATGAGTGTTTCTAGTAGTTCTAGCCCAGTTGCTACTGCGCTAGATAAGATAAAAGCACCGAGAAATACATGTACCAACGACATAACCATCAATGGACCACTATTTACTATAGAACCAAGCCTGAAGCCATTCTCATAAACAAGGACATTTTGAAAACTCCATCTAGGTACTTTCGATTGTTTATGTACCAAGTGCCTAGTTTGTTGATGCCTGCGCATGAGTCTGGCTGGGTACATTGCCATGTCATCACTTTGCAAATTGCAGTGCAGTGCCCGACTCAAGTGAAGGCGAATACGATTCTGATCTCCATGCGTGGTAGACCTATGATTTCGGGGCTGAAGCGGACGCTATTGCTGTTGTTAGTGGCGAAGGGGGTCGAAGGTGCCAGTATTCTGACGACCGACTGCAGTGATCTCTGCGGCCAACCCACCCCCTGCATCATCGATGATTCGGACGGGTATTCGTGTCTTGAGGGCTATAGCGATCTCGGAAACGCTATCTGCCTCCTTGGCGCGATGGAGCTGGGTCCAGACGTAACGCAAATGTACGTTATGCTGTTCATGAGTGAACTAACTTTCGTGCACTAACGCAGATTCGCTAACGCCCCCAATACATGTAGCACGCTTGCTGGTGGAAACAAATCAGACCGTGTTACGAGAGGCGTCGTGTCCTCGGTGGATTTCAGACCTGACTTCGCTATCGAAGCGATCCAAGCGGCCGACGTCGCGATCGTTAGCCTGAATATGTCGGCTGCCGTTGCCCGGCTCCCGCCGTTTCTACCAGCGACGACTACTCGGTTGCGTCTCGAGAATGACCTGTTGACTGGGTTCCCCACGCTTGCTCTGCTTCCCCTTCAGTCGCTTTCGCATCTGTGAGTATCACTCCTGGGTTCATTGTACACGGACTTCAGACTAAACAAATACTGGGTTTACTCTGCGAGCAGGAATCTGGATTCCAATTGGATCGAGGACGTCGATGTCAGCGCTTACTCGAACAGCCTCGTATCACTGTAAGTCCCTTGGGTCGTGCTGCTTTTATTTATTTTACAAAATATTCCTCTTCTCACAATAGCAATGTCGTGGACTGAAATGTAGAAGCCTACGAGCCAACGATATGCACTCATTCGAAGGGTACTTTCCTAAGCTGCACACTCTGTAAGTGCTTTTCTGCTATCTGCCTTTTTTTTTTACATATTCATTAACCTGAGGATGCCTTATTTCGTATTTGTAGAGATTTATCGCACAACCGTTTTTCTGCCATCCCTGAAAGCGTAGTTCTCTTCCGTCATCTGAAAACATTGTACGCAACTCTATAGAGCCACCCAATCAATCGATGCGATGAAGTACTAAAAGTTATTGATGCAGGCGCATGAAAGGCAACGCTCCTTTATCGCGCGATTTTACAGCAATCCAAGCTGACTTCCTCCGCAATCTGACGTGGGATCTCGAAGAAGAAGATTTCGATGCTCTGAGCGGATGCGATTCAGACCTGCAGCAAATTCACGGACTCTCGGTCTGCATCGCTGACGCTACGGAGAGACCTAGTGCCAGCGGTGCACTGATGCGTTCGAATACACCCGTGGAGCGGAAGCTGTACAGCTACTCCTATTCGTGTCCAGGTTATTATTCCGGCGGCGTGCTTGCTGGCTGCGTGGTCGGCACTGCAGTCGTTATGGCGCTCGTCGGTGTGTTCCTGTGGAGGTGGCAGAAGCAGAAGCAGTCTCCAAGCGTACCGCCCGGCTCTGACAATACGCCGACCAAGAACACGAATGAATCGTACGCATCGGTATGGCAAGACCCGCAACTTCTAGCAATTCAGCTGAAAGCCGACGAGATTGAAGACGTGAGAAAAATCGGCGGCGGAGCGTACGCAGATGTGTGGCTTGTCAAGTATCGTGGGACTCAATTGCTGGCTTCCAAGCGCTTGCGAAAAGTGTTCGAAACTCAGCAGAACACGCAGAATTTCCTCGAGGAGATCAAAATGGTCGCGAACTTTGACCACCCCAACATCGTCAAGCTGGTTGGAGCCGCCTGGATGACGGAGTCGGATCTGCAAGCGCTGTCAGAGTACATGGTCGGTGGAGATCTCCGCGAGTTCCTGATCTACCCCCACACTCCTCGCACGTGGGCTGCCAGGAAGCTGGAGATTGCCACGGATGTGATTGAGGCGCTCGTGTACCTGCACTCGTTTATCCCTCCAATTGTGCATCGCGATCTCAAGTCCCGCAACATTTTGCTTTCGAGAGAAATGCGAGCCAAGTTGACGGACTTTGGTGTCTCTCGCATCATGTCGGAAGAGAATACCATGACACAAGGCGTGGGGACGAGTAGGTGGGAGGCTCCTGAAGTTTTGGCGGGTAAGGAAGACTACAACCAGGCGGCGGACATCTTCAGCTTCGGAGTGGTGCTCTCTGAACTCGACACGCACGCGATCCCGTATGAAGACGCACGAGGACCGAGCAACAATCCGCTGGCAAATGTAGCCATCCTGCAGATGATCGCGGTGGGGGCCATTCGACCGAGCTTTTCGCCACACTGCCCTCCAGACATTCGTGCTTTGGCGAACCGTTGTCTCGCTCATGATCCAGATGACCGTCCCACGGCTCCGGAGGTAGCATACGCTTTACGGACCTTGACTTTGTAGGAATTTTTGGAAACCACGTACGAGAACCAGTCTTTACGAACTGTTGGTTAAATTGGTATGAAGCACACCCTGCTTGCAAGGACTATTCCTCTTTTTTATTTATTTTTTCTTGTACACTGGTGCAGCTTTCGAGTGTCAAAGGCACATGCACCCAGTCTAACTGAGTTCTCTTGATGGCTCAAAACAGGTTGATGAAGAAAAAACACGTCAGGATTACACTGAGAAACACCTTGATCGCTCTAAGGTGCTGGTACTTCGTGACACCAAATACGATAAATCAAAGTGTCTTACTACGTAGTCTCATCATTTTTTTCTTGCTTTTTTTTCTAATATGAGAGCATCACCAAAATACGCACCTCCTTTTTTGCTGTAGAATCGGGTACTAAGTACTTCGAAGTAGTCATATGTATAAAGTAAAACTACGCTCAAAACTAAGATACACGGATGGACATCGCGCGCAGTGAAAAATGTAGAAGTTCTACACTAGAACCAAATAGCGCCTCGTTGTAATTCCGTATTTGTTGCCAACGTGGAGATATCTCTAGTAGCGTGGGTTGACTTGGCGTTTAGCCAGAAATTCCGTGTAATACGGGTAGTTCCTGTTTCTGGCGAGCTTGGCCCCCTTCAGTCCTGTCAGTCCCAGCATCATCATCACATAGTCGTCCGATCTCCCTGCTTCAGCCCAAATCTGTGCTCTTGCCGTCATTTCAGCCGGAGTAGCCTTGTCACTCACGAGCTTGGGAAGATGATACCCAGAGCCCATCGTTGAAATAACACTGTCGTCGAACGCGTTCACATAACGCTTGTAGATTCGGTACGCGTTCGTGTTCTTGACCTGCTCAATCTGCGCCAGACTTGTGACGCGACCCAAGCCGAGTTCTACCCAGATATCGTACGTAGGGAAGCCTCCTCGAGCCCATTTATTCAGCCGATACATTTCCGCCGTGTCCACATATTTCACGAGCAGATTGTAATTCTTGTGGGACGTCAGTGCGGTCCCAGAAAGCCCCTCCATCTTCAGCGCCTTCTTGACGTAGTCTTCGGTCAAACTCGAGCCCGAACGCCATCCTCACCTTGATAGGGATCTTGTCTACGAGTTTCGACCATAGTGACTTCGCCTCACTCCTCTTTCCTCGGTGTTGTCGTCCTTGGTGAGTCTTAGAGATCGCGTTTGAGTGGCAACGCGGTCGTCAGCGGCAACGAAAGCTTGCGATAGACAGTCGCGCGACTCGAACGACGACATTTTGGTCTTTCTGACCCCCGCTGCTGCTAGGGAAACGTTGCTGGCGCCGACAACCATGAACATCATCGCCAATAAAAAATGATGCGAACGCATCTTGGACACAGAGAGAAGCAGCAGCTGTGGCAGTTCCCTCGAGGGCGAATGCCGAACTGAGTCCAACCAAAACGATGAGACTTTGCCCCTTACACGTTTACACGTCGAGTAAACATCGTGGCCTCTCATGTTTACAGAGATCAAATCGTAAGATGATTTAGTACGCAACACGCCCAGCTTAGAACTCAAGGGACAATTGATCATCTTCTCTTTAGTGCGCCAATACTTCTGTTTAGAATGATGGAAGGATTCCCGGAAAATATTCGCAGTTTGGACGTCTGCCGCCAGAGCTTGCAGCTTTTATTGACGGTGATACGAGTAGAACACATCGTTGTACTGTAGCCGACAACTCAACGGATGTTCTAGCGTGCTATACATACTGTTTTGGTAGAGAATTCCCACTAAAGAACAGAGTCGGCACGTCCAAGTCTTATTTTTAAAGACTTGGACGTGAAACAAACTTCTCCATTAAACTGGAGGAGTACTAATACCAAGTCGAAAGAGCAAATATTTAAGCAGCCTCTGCTGCAGCAAAGTTTGGACGCAGTTATTCCCAAGAGCAGCACGTGCATGTAGATCTACGTGTTTCTCGAATGAGCTCACGTTTCTGACCAGGGTCGTCAGGATCTAAAAACGACCCGTCCTGGTGCTTGAAGCCAACAGAGTGCCAACAAAGTTGCTGATCTATTAGTGACGTTCCTCACGTTCCCCCATTCTGAGGAGGATATAGACACCTGGACAACGGACACCTGGACTTGAAACGACTTTCGCCCCAGATAGGCTATCGTGGTGTCCTCTGAGCTGAGCTGAGCTCAGCTTGTTGTTATCTGTCGAGCGACCATGACTGCAGGCGACAAGTACAATGTGGAGGTCGAAGACCATGGGGGCTGGGCGAAGGAGTATCACGCGGCGCAGCGGCAGGAGCGCGAGAGTCATCGCTGGACGAATCTGCTCAAGCCGTCCGTCATCGGGGCGCTTTTAGCCGTAGCTGGACGCATTGTGGTGTGGCCTCTAGCGTTGCTGGTGGTCTTCACGTCAACCAGCTATCTGTCGCACGGCAACGTCCTCATTCTAGTCGATGACAGCATCTACGCGTTCACGGAGCAAGACCCGACGATGGCTGGAGGGTGCACGGGATGCCTGGGTCTTAACAAAGTCTGCTTGATCAAGTACAGCATCTTCGCGCAGGACGCGCTCATCGGAGCGACAACGTTCAAGAGCTTCGCCGGACGCTCTCCAGATCTGTCACTGTACGACTTCAGCACGTTAAGCGCGGAAGCTCTCGAGCTCGGAGAGAAACTCGACGCGAAAGGCGTGTACTGCCAGAGTGGAGTGAACGAGTGGGGGTCCATGACTGCAGGCATCGCTGGAAGTGCTCAAGACATTCTGGACGTCGTGAATACTCTGAACCTAAACATCGCGCCGCAATTCCAACGCGAACTCGAGATTGCAGTGGCTGGTAAAGCTCTGTGCGAGTCGGGATGGAACATCTACACTATCACACGGTTGTTCCTGTATCCGACTGTCAAGGGCAGCATCAACTTCGCCAGCATCCCTGGCATCGACTTCAATATCTTCCCAGACTACACCGAATGCCGCCCTGATGTGACTATCGACGACAATTTAGTTGGCTCCAAGCTCGCACTCGCAACTAACGGCGAAGACCTGCTAGCAGTATTCCCGGATCTACTCAAGTTGTTTCCGTACAACTTCGAGAGCAGCATTCCTCCAGTGCCACGCGCTGCTCCGGCTGGAACGACAAAGTACGGCTTCACTTCCGTGCTGCAGCCTCTTTTCAAAGGTTATTACGGCGGCTGCCGCGTTCGTGCTGTCAACACAACCGGCGTCTACATTGAGGATACCTGTGACGTCTCAAAGCGCTGGTCTTCCTACGGACTCATGATCCACTCCCCCGACGACATTCCAATGTGCTCCACGGGCGACGTGTGCATTCACAACTACTTCAACTCGATCTGGGAGTGGGTCAACTACGTCAACGAAGATAATCCGACGCGCATTGGCATGAACCTCAACACGTTTCGAAGCCGCTACGGCGACACCGTCGCCCTCAGTATTTTACCGGGCATTGTGGTCATGCAGATGCTGCTCATGGGCATGATCAGTCTCTACCAGGTGATGTCGCACAACCAATCGGTGCTGCTGACGCAGATTTGGGCCTATCGCTGCCAGAATGGACGCATGCAGGTGGTCTACCTCGCGCAGATCACGTACCACATCGTCTACAATTCTGACTTGTACATGCTCGGCCTCTCGACGGGCACGTTGTCGACCGAGTCGGTCATGAACCTCACGTGCTGCATCTTCACCTTCTCGTACTCGTTCGTGAACTTGGCCAAGGCTCGATCAGGAGATCAGCAGCTGGATCGCCACTTCCGCCTCACGTGGGAGACCATGCAGATCGTCATCACCTCCACCGTGGCCGCCATTCTGCTGTCCGTCCAATCGACTCCTCTGGAATTCATCACGGCGCAGAACGGCGAAATTCTACGCAAGACTTCCGCTCGCGGAGCCAAATACTGCGGTCTGAACGACTCGTGCGTCGTGTACAAGACCAACTTGATCATCTTCATCCTCATCTTCTCGGTCGGTTTGGGTATCGTGGCCGCTCTGTCTTCGCTCATCGTCAAGCGCCTGAGTCCGAAGGTCAAGAGCGCCGTGATGTCCGCCAGAATGTCGCTGACGGGTCAAGGCAGCTTCAAGCACAGCCGAAGCAGTCGAACTTCAGTTCCGGATCCGAATGGAGCTCCTCCGACGATCGAGGGTATTATCAAGAAGAAGTCCGTCAACGACGGTCTCACCTCCTTCGAACGGAACTGCATCGGAGGACCATTCCGAAAGTTGTTCCGAGACTGCGACGACATGGCCTACGTCATGTACAAGGGGAAGAGATGCACGACTGTCGAGGCGCTTCTACTCACGGGGTATCTGTACTACGGAGAGCACGTGTACCAGGCCTCGTCCGTGATGATGCTTCTGCTTGGACGCATGCTGCCCAAAAAGATGCTACGCACCTTCAACCTGCTGCTGCTGCGCTGGCACGTGGACAAGCAGACCGGAGCACTAACTCAAGTCTTGTCCTGTCCGTGGTACGCTGCCAGCCAGGAGAACCACTCGCTTAGCGGAGCCTCGCCCGTGCCTTAAAACTTATGATACTCAGATGAACTTCAACATGCACTGGAATGACTGCAGCACATACACATACCGTAGACTATATTCTGTGTCGTGCTTGCACTAATTAGATCCGACCCAATTTTAGATCTGCACAAACGACGTGTTCTTTTTTTAGTCCTACACAAAAAATGACGTGTTCTCATTCGTCCATTATCGGTAACAATGCACGACGGAGGCAATACGTTGACAAGCCGAGGAGTGCCCTCCTCGCCGCGGCGCCGGAGTGAGGATCTGGAGGGCGGCGCGGCGCGCGCGCGGCGGCCATCTGCCTCTGCTCGAGTGGTGGGGGCCAAGCGCCGTTTGTGGCACTACGCGGTGCCGCTGCTGCTGCTCGTGGCGACAATCTACTCGTTCTCCCATGTGGAGCAGAGGGCCGTAGAGCAGACCACCAAGACGCGGGACGAATCGTCCACCAAGACCCAAGGGGGCACGTTAACTCATATCGACGACAACGAGTTAACAACTCAGGGAGATGGGCAACTGCCCTCTTATTCGACGGACAAGGGCATTATTATGTGCATGCACAATGGTGTCGTCCCATTGGGGCTGTCGCTAGTGCGGGAGCTTCGCTGCCTGGGCAACACGGAGCTGATCCAGATTTACCACTGCTTCCCCGAGGAAATGTCCAACTCGTCGCGTAAACTGCTGTTCGAGGCGGACAACAACCTCGAGATTGTGGACGTCTGCACGGACCTCGTGAAGCAGGGCAAGCTCTCGGAGGACAGGGCCAGACACTTCCGTAGCTGGTGGATCAAGCCTCTCGCTGTGTACCACACCAAGATCAAGGAGTTGCTGCTGGTGGACATCGACGACATCTTCATGCGCGACCCGGCCGTGCTGCGGACCACCGAGGGGTACCACCGCACGGGTACAACCTTCTTCTACGACCGAGTGCTGTCCAGCACGGAGTTCTTCAACCAGGACGTGGACGGCGAGCAGTACCTGAAGAAGTTGCTTAACGAGTTCGACTACACCAAGTTCAACCTTCCGACCGGATCCACGCCGTCTGCGCACCTGAGCCCAAAGACGTCGTACGCGTGGCGCCGCCAGACGTCGCACGAGCAGGACTCGTCGCTCGTGGCTATTGACAAGTCCCGCGCGGGCAAAGCCATGGACGTGCTGTTCTTCCTGATCACGGAGCAGCACTTTGTGCATGAATTTTCGTACGGAGACAAGGAGAGCTTCTGGATCGCGTATGAATTGGCCAAGCAGGAATATTTCTTCTCGCCGTGGGGCGTGGGGGGCATCTCGTCTTCTACGAACAAGGACCTGGAGAAGCACGAGGACTCGCTCTGTGGTAGCATCGTGCAGTACATGCCTGTGGAGGACGAGACGACCGAGTCCGAGCTGCTCTACGTGAACGGCAAGGCGCTGCTGAACCCGTTCCCCGTGGCTATGGACAAGCTGGGCACTGCCACGCACAACGTGCTCTTCAACACGAACCCGACGCACCTCACGCCCCGCCAGAAGCGGAGGGGCAACGGTCAGACCACGACCAACTACAAGGGCGGATATGCCATGGAGTGCCTGGTGGGCTTCGGTTCCGAGCCGCTGCCGGTGAAGTTCGCGCCCCAATTGCTGCGACGACGTATGTTCTACTTTGGCATCCGCATGGGTGTGCTATCCGCACTCGACCAGTGTTTTCCCTTTGAAGGAATGAAGTAGGAGCGTATGTTGCCCAGAGCGGTGTTGGAAGAACATCGCTGCTGCACCGAGATGGTCAATTGTACACAAATTTCAAGTGCTGCTTACATACCCGCACCCCCTTCCTGTACTCAAATTCTGGAGGAGGATGCATTTCATCCGGTATCGTCATCAGCTTTCTGGTGTACTGAAGTAATCTTCTAAAGTGCTTAATCTCCGATGCAGTGCTCTGCATAGCGTACAAATCAACGTTCGCCCGGCCTCACACTTTGCTATTCGCGACCAATCAAACCACAGGAACGGGAGTTGCAGGCCACCCCAGCCACGCCTCTCCGCTACTTCCTAGTGTTCGCTACCGCCACCGTCATCTCAAGCGTCAATGTTGCCCTGGAATCACCGATCGCTGCGATACCCTCCACCTTCTCCCCAGCAGCAGCCTACACGGTCTTTAATGACTAGAGCGATGAAACTTCGCGGTGGTTTACGAGAGCTATGGATGAAGACGATGGAGAGAGAGCGGGGCCGCCTGCAGCTGCAACTGCAACTGGGAAGGCAAAAAGCTGGCTCGCTTCGTCGGATTGCTCAAGCATTGGCTGGACTCTGGAAAGCTCGTTGACGATGTTTTTCACTAAACTGGAGGTTTATCGCAGTTCGCTGCATGGCTCCAGTATGCAGACGATTTCGCCAAGAAGAACCCGGACAAGCCAAATTTGCTGATCTCAACTTTAGCGTGGCATTGCGGCGACGAACCCCCACCAGGAACGAATTGTATCGCTTAGTATTCGCTGGGGGTGGAAGCAGTCGCCAAGGCGACGGAAACCTTCTCTCCACCGATGGGTTTCAACTGTGGAGGAAGTGTCTTGACGGGTTCAACAGGATGTACCCCGAACAGAAAGCTAATGTCATCGAGACGCTGCCGAGTACGGAGAAATTGGCAGCGAATTTGCAGGGGTTATTAGAATCCCTCCGCCTCAGCACTTTGGCGGTCATTTCGTCCACGCACATCCGAGTTAAAAGCCGTGCAAGCTGTATACTCGTTGCAACCCGTCTTGAGAAGACTCTATGCTCTAAAGGCGGATCACACTCACAGCAGTGAAACATCATCCGGTGGTATGTTTGACCCTGAAGTACACAATATGTGTACCGTTAAAGCGAAGTAGCGCCCTCCCACTTGTCGGAAAGCTTTGACATGAACTCGGCTGGGTTGCATTCTTTTTTATATTAAAATCAGCGAGACAAAGCTTTGGGGGTTGTACACTCAGGAAAAAAATCCCAAAGTGTTTGAGTTTATTGGAGTTTCATTGACTACAGAACTGATAAGCCTAGAAGGCCTATTCATACTTCGCATTGTAGCTCTCGCGGTACTTTCGGTAAGTCAGTCTTTCCACACTGTCTGCTGCTGTTCCCTTTACCTTCAGCCACTTGGATACAAAGTCCTGAGCTTGTTTTTCTTCCAGCCACTTCGAAAGTTGGGTCTTCTGTAGTGCCTTGGCTCTTTGCGATGTTTTCGAGTAACTCTTGCCGACGATGATAATCTTGGTGAGAGCTTCATCGTCGAATTCCTCCATCAATACCTCAAACAAAGATGTCTTCTGTTCTTTCCGCCGAAACGCGTCTGGTAGGAGACCCAAATGCTAAAAAGTGGATCCGCTAAGAGATCGTCGCCTGCCCCTTTCAAATCCAGCAACTCGAACAGGAGATGGGGTGACGTCTGACTGCTCATCCACCCTTTCATCTGCTCCGTTTCCATTTCTTTTGCGAGTTTCGCTGTGTCGGGTTTCGCCTTTAACTCAATAATCATCTTCGCCAGAGCTTCGTCTCCATAGCGTGCTGTCAAGATCGCGTTCGTCGACTCTTGCGTTCCAGGGTGCTTCGTCTTGAAGAAGTCGACGTACTCGAGCCACGTTTCTAGCTGCGGCTTGTCGAAAGAGTTTATCCCCCGCGCTGTTCACCGCCCAGTTGTACTTGCTGACGTACGTTTGCAAGAGCGCATCAGACGTACCCGCGTTCAGCAGCTTGGAGACTTCTGTCGGGTCTTTCAGCTCACGCATTCACATGTTGAGCAGTGCGAGCTGCAAGTTCGCCGCCACCTTCTCCGTACTCGGGTTCTTCTTCGCCAAGCTCAGCATTTGAGCCAGCGCTTCGTCCGTGTAGTAGCCCAGCAGGATGTCGATGACAGTGGTTTTCTGTTTGGGGTGCATCTGGTTAAATCGGTCGAGGTACTTTCTCCAGAGTTGGAAATGACCGCTGGTGAGAAGGTTGTCCGTCGCCTTGCTTATTTTCTGCTCAGCAAAAGTATTGTCCGAAGTCCACACCGTTCGATACTTGTCCTTCATCGCAGCCCTACCGACTACCATGGTGAAGAAAGCACCCTCGGGGTCATGTCGAGTCAGCAACGACCATTTGACATACTCGGTCTCTAGTCTCTTGGCAACCGCAACGGTACTTGGATTCTTCATCGCCACTTCGATCTTGTCCAGTAGTTCAGTAAGCAGTGGTGTTTTACGAGGACAGCCAAGGACAATATGCAGTGACGTGACAAGGTACAGGCGTTTACAGCGGAAAACGAGGCCCAAGATGCGGACAAGAAGCACTCGGTCGACAAGCAGTACAAGGACGGCAAGAACAGCAAGTACATCATGGACGCCATGGGGATGAGTGAGCCGAGCGAAGACAGAAGGATCTGGTGAGCAGTCGCCGGTGATTCAACGACAGATGGCATGGTTGCGAGCTACAACGAGATGGATACGGCGAGTGCGGGTGACACGACCAACGGCATGAACCCAACGGACGGCAGTGAGAGGTCGGAGAGCAGCGTGAGCTTGCTCACTTGCCAATCGGCGCTGTGAAGCTCAAGCACGGAGTCGACACAGTGAAGTACAAGGGCGAGCAGATACGACTTAGCGGCGACAGCAGTGCTGTGGTGACGAAGTAGCCAAGACCGGCAGACACCGTAATCGCTAGTAATACAAAAGGAGTGCTCACGTGAGTGACGCACCGTCGCGAGGACGCAAGTTGAGTCCTCGGCGGCCAGTGTTCGTGTTGACGACTCAGAGCTATACGACCGAGGCAAGTACTGCGCTGAATAAGCCTGTCGCTCACTTGGTGGTTCATACAGGGACTAGTTTACACGGTTGGGCGGCCCTGACGATGTGTGAGGCGGCCTTCACGAAACTAGTCCCAGTGGGCAAGAACACCGTGCATCCAGTGGTGATTTCGGTGAAGCTACCTGAGGGATTTTGATCGATACGCGTGTGCGAGCGGAGATTGAGTGACTTACTTGCTGGAGTTCACGTGGTGGGATTGATCTCTGCAGTTGTGAGGCTTGAGCAGTAGGAGACGCAGAGGCAGCGAGGAAGTGTTGACCGCGATGCCGAAAGCGTTGAGGTGGTTGGATGCAAATTTGAAAGTGAGTTTATTTCGTTAAGGCCCAGTGGTTGGCCGTCTGGGCAGTGCCCAAGGCGGTGCTAGAGTAAATCAATCTGATTGGTCAATCCACTTCAAGTTGAAGTGAATTGACGTGCGTCATACAAACGTCAATGTAGTTGACAGAGGTAATGCACCATGTGCATGTTTCTTGCTTGTCATGAGTGAAGGTGCCTAAACTAGACTAATGCTTACGCCCTAGCCTTGCACTTGAACAGGGAGGGCCGACGACGTGCTCGTCACGTCTCGATCCTTACATCCTCCCGGGTTGACTTCACGTTGACGGCGCTTGAAGTCGTAGACGAGAACTTTCCAGTGCGAGACGTGCTTGATGTCTTTCTCGAGTTCCCACGAAGATTCGTGGTCTGGGAGACCATGCCACTTGACAAGCCACTCAGTCTAGCGATTGAACTGGCGCTTGCGTAGTAGTTGCTCGACAATGTGAAGGTCTTCTCCAGTGTCTTCATCTGTGACGATGCGAGATGCTTTCGGAAGAACACGAGTCTCAAACTTGTCCGGATTGGAGACGTAATGGCTGAGAACGTCTACGTTGAACGTAGGGTTCAACGACTTCATACTGCGTGGTAAAATCAAACGGGCAGCGTTGTCGTTGATCATGCGCTTGATCACGAACGGACCAACTTTACGGGCCGCTAACTTCGCACGTTTGCTGTCAATGTCTTTCGCAGGATGCTTGAGTGTGATACGCCGTGTATCCAGCATAACCAAATCTCCTTCCTTAAATTGGACGTTGCTACGACGTTGATCGTAGTACTGCTTTTGCGATGCTTGAGCCTTGAGTAGGTGTTCCTTGGCTTTGCCGATAATCTTGTCGCGTTCATCCTTGAAGCGGTTTGCATACTCAGACAGTCCTTGTTGAACTTGAACTGTGGTAGACAGCGTAGGAACTGTTCCGAAGGGATTGCGTTCCTTACGTCCTGTGACTACTTCAAATGGCGAAAGTCCGGTAGAAGCACTGACTAGCGTTGCGTGAGCATACTCAATCGTTCCCAACTTGGCAGCCCAGTCATCACCATGATACGAGACCATACAACGGAGTGCATCTTCTAGTACCAGGTTTTGACGTTCGGTTTGGCCGTCAGCTTGAGCGCGGTATGACGTTGTCATATTCAACTGTACACCCATGATCTGCGCGAGAGAGTTCCAAACCGTGACGTGAATTTGGGATCACGATCACTGATGATCACTGCAGGCACTCCATGATGCCGAACGACACTGTCGAAGAAGTTATGAGCGATTTATTCGGCATCATCGGTAGTGTGAACTGGACAGTAGATTGGACGCTTGGACAACTTGTCCACGACGGTCATGATATCATTATAGCCGTCTGATTCTGGCAATCCAGTGCCGAAATCCATGGAGACGACTTCCCAACATTCCTTAGGAATTGGAATCGGAATCAGCTTGCCATTCTTCTTGGCGTTGCTGTGCTTCCAACGTGTGCAGGTTTCACAACTTTGCACGTAATCGGAAACGTCTTCATGAAGCGACGCCCAGTAGTACCATTGTGTGATACGGAGATACGTACGACGAATTCCTGGGTGCGCGGCAATACTGGAATCATGAAATTGCTCGATAATCTTCGTTCTTAGACGATTGCGCTGCGATCTCGGGACACAAAGTCTCATCACTTTGGACTCCTTGTCGTCCGTGAATTGCACATAAAGCAATCCATCCTTGAGTACGTATGGATCGTTTGGAGAACGATACTTGTCGCGAAATCCAGGACCAGTGCGGTAGGCTTTGATGAACTCTTGTTTGAGATTCGAAGTCCATCCTAGCGAACTTGCGAGTTGCATTTGCACAACCGATGTGGCGATCTCTGCATCTTGAACAGGGATGTGGAGATAACCATCGGAAAGATCATGTATGGCGAGGTGACCAGCAGAAGCATCAGCCATCTCCTCCCCCGAAAATTCAACAGGCGAGAGAGCTGAAGACACCGTGGTCGTATTCACCTTTTGAGAGTCCCCATCATGCGGTCTTGCACGATAGCGTGATGCAAAACTGTCACACTGCGGAGTACACGTGTGAAAGCTGATCGTATTGATAGCGGGACGCGCAACACTCTGCGAATTTGGAACAGTCGAGCTTTCACTGTTTGGCGTTTACAGCGAAGCGGTAACTGCGTGTAGATCGCACACTACTCGAAAACTCGATGTCGTTTTACCACTGTCTGACTCGCAATGATGGACGCTGATCGTGTTGACCAGAGGTGGAGCCAATACAAGTGATGTAAACGCATTCGGAGTTGAGTCCATTGGAGGACGGGACAGTGCATCAACTACGACATTCATCGACCCTCTGAGGTGATGAAGTGTGAAGTCGAACTGAACAAAGAAGGTCAAGAAGCGTGCAAGCTTCGAAGAAACCTTCGGGTGGTGTAACAACCACTGACATGCACTGTTGTCCGTGTAGATGTCGAAATGACGACCATAATGACGCCATTTTTCCAACGAAAGCTTGATTGCGTAGAGTTCCTTCTCGTGGGTAGGCCAATTTTGTTCATGCACACCCAACTTCTTGGATAGGAAAGCTAACGGATGATCATGTCCGTTGTGCTTTTGCGAAAGCACTCCACCCACGCAGTATCCTGAAGCATCGGTTGTCACGATGGACGGAAGAGACAAATCCGGTAAAGTCAGGACTGGGGCGGATTGTAATGCTGTTTTCAGCTTGCTGAAGGCGATATCATGCTCTTCATTCCAGTTCCAGGTGTGGTCCTTCTTGACCAGAGGTCCAAACGGTAAGGCGATTGTCGCGTAGTTGTAGATGAAGCGACGGTAGTAGCCTACGAGACCCAAAAAGCTTTGCAATTGCTTTTGGTTCATGGGAACTGGCCAATTGGCGATCACTTCAGTCTTCTTGGAATCCAACACGATGCCTTGGCTCGACACGGTGTGACCTAGGAACTGAACTTGATTTTGCCCAAAATGAGACTTCGAACGATGACAGTACAGCTTCTCCCTGCGTAACACGTCGAAAAGTATACGGAGATGCTGCAGATGCTCCTTCATGTTCTTGGAAAATACACAAATGTCGTCCAAGCATACCACGATAAACGCGTATTTGCCCAAAAGGACACGCATCAGACGTGACCAGACACCTGGCATTCCAGCAAGACCCATTGGTGCAACACACCACTGGTAGGTCTCAGAATGAGTGCGGAACGCTGGGTACTGATGACTCTTCATGGTAACCCTCATCTGATGGTAACCTTGCGCGAGATCCAAGACTGAGAAGATGATGCATCCATACATCTTGTCAAATGTCTCGTCAATTCTCGGGAGTGGAATTCTGGCGATGATCGTCTGCGAGTTGAGCCAACGATAATCAATCACCCAACGAATCGGTAACGTGGCATTTCCCGATCGTAGCCACTCAGCTCGAGAGAGTTGTTTCCCTGATTTCGGGTCCGTCTTCGGGATACCAAAGATGTTGGAGACCCAGGGTGAATCGGATAGTTCGATCCAACCTTTCTTCAACTTTTCCTCGACAAACAGATCAAGGGCTTATTGTTCTGTCTTCGAGAGCCGGAAAGGTGCGCGTGTGCTTGGCATAGCATCTGACTTCATGTTGAGCTCGAATTCCACGCGTCGATGAGGAGGCAATCCATCGGGTAAAGCGTCTGGAAAGACGTCAGCAAACTCATTCAGGAGAGGCACAATTTCTTGTGGTTCCTCCGTGACGGATTGAGCTGGAGTAACCTTAACGCGGTAAATCTCCTCATAGTCATGGCGCTTGGCTTTGGCTTTGAACTCAGCACCAGAGACTTCAACTTTGCGCAACAATGGTTTCAATCCTTGCGGTTTGAACTGCAGATGATGAGTACGCCAATCGATAATCGGCTGATACTTGGTAAACCAGGGTTTTCCGAGAATGACATCGTGCTCAGGACTCATAGTCCACTCCAGGACCTCTAAGTCTCTGAATCTATAGCCATCCATCTCAATCGTGACCTTGCCCTTGTGAACAGCACGTTTCTTCGTTGTGCTTCCGTCAAACAAGGTGACTTGAGAGATCAATGTGTCTGGAATAGTGTCCACCAATCCAGGACGAATGACATTGCATGTGGCTCCCGTGTCTAACATAATGGTGACACGTTTGCCTTTACACAGACCTGGTTTCCGAATCAACTCATTCGGAGCTGGTAGTGACTAGCGTTGAGATCATTTATCTCAACAACTTCAACAGATTCTGGTTTCTCTGTGGCCAAAGTGTGAACGGCGAACTGACCACGCTTGGTGTCAGCCTGATAGCTGTTGTTCGATCCATGCTTCTGTCGATTTTGAAGCTTGAAGCACTGTTCAATCGTGTGACTAGGCTTCTTACAATACCGGCACTTCTTCTGGTTGCCACTGCTGCGATTGTTGTTCTGAACAGGGCGACGATAATTGTCACGGCGTGGACTATGCACATGACCGGTGTCGATTTCCATAGGCTCAGGCTCATTGTCAGCAGGACGCTGTGGAGCCGTGTTGGCACGAGTGAATGATGAGGAGTTGGAACGTCCAAAAGTCCTTGGAGGTGTCCAACGACTCTTGTGAAACGGACCAGCACGAAAGTGCGATCTGTCATAATCGAGTGCAACTAAGAGAGCCTCAGATACCGTCGTGCAACGACGATACTGAACTTCTTCTTTCGTGGGGCTAACAAGACCTCGAATGAAGTACGTGATCTTGTCAAGCTCACTCATGTCCTTGACTTGCATGATAGCAACGCGGAATCGAGAGATGTAGTCCTCTAAGCTAGAACAACGTTTTTGCTTGAGACTGTACAATCGATCTCGAAGGCGCTCCTGAAGGTCCGGAGGAACGAATTCCTTCGTGAGCTTCTGGATCAAGTCTTGGACGTCACTGATGGAATCCCTGCAAAGCATGTACCATGCAGCAGCATTTCCCCTGAAATTGGCGGTCATCATGCCAATGATGCGCTTACTCTGATTCTCATCTTGCCAATCAATGTTCTTCGCCTCAAAGTAGTGAACAACTTGGTCGAAATACAACTCAACCGAGTTGCCCATGTTTCCATAGAAACAAGGTAGGCTTATGCCCTCAACCATGACTTCCTTGGGTTGCGAAGTCAAAACGTCGATTAGTGCTTGTTGCTTCTGCACCATTTCGACCACAGACTGAGTCAGACGGTCAGCAGACCATCCACCAGGATTCAACGAAGTCATGATAGTGTAACTTGAGCGAAAAGCTGATTAAAGTTACGCTACGAATGCAAGCTACTAGCTACTAGAACTAGAGCTACGACGACACTGTCAACAACTACTCGAAACGCGCGCGCTTGATGCTGATGATGCGATCAACGAAGGCACGAACTTCGGTGTCGATACGGTTGACACAGATGTTCAGGTTGTCGGCGGTCTCGTAGAGAAACAGTCCAAACTCAGTCTCGATGACACGGTCGAGGTGAGTCTCGAAAAACGGAAAGAACACTTCACGGAGGTGATCCGTCAAGCAAGTAACCTCGTACTGCAAACGGGTAGCAGCACGGATGGTGAAAGCGCGTTGAACGGCCTGTTCGATGGTGAGAATGCGACGATGTTGGTGATCTTCTTCCCACTCACGAGCAGTACGCTTAGACATAGACAGGAAAAACACCCGAAGCTTACGCCAAAGCTTACCAGATACTTGAAAATTACGCGAAAAAATCAGGAAACGGCTGAAAATTACGCGGATTCTCCAATTCGGAATTAAACGGGTGATGGGGTGTAGGGTAACTACTGATTGGCTCAGCCAATTGTAATTGCACTAAAACAATGCGAAAAAGTCGAAAAACTTCACATATTAACACCTAAACAACGCTACTTAGCGCTAATTCAAGCGTTGACGCTTGGACTTGGAAATGGCTGTTTTCTGGCTGAAACCCTGAATAAGTAGCTCTTCCTCTTGAGCTCCTTCAAGTGCTCTTTGACGCGAGCTCTCCTTAAGTTCACGGTCGAACACAGTAGTGAGCGTGTTATGGATACGCACTACTTGTAAACTTAGGATGTGGCAAGCTTCTCGATAAAGTATACGCTCGGACTCTGAGCGAAAACTCCCCTCCTGAGCCTGCAGGTGGTGAGTCAAGGTTGCAAGGCGGTTTACTGCAAGTAACCCCTGTAAACGAAGTCGATCTACTGCTTGTAGATTTGGTTTTGGGTTTGGTTTACCTTTTTGGTTGTTCACCTTGGTCATTCAAGGCCAAGTGAAACAAAGGTTTCCGCAATATACTAGGCTTACGTGCGTGAAGGTGTCTAGTGAAGCGAAAAGCGTTAAACTAGTACAATCCTTCGAATAACTAACCGTTAGCGAAAAGCGTAAGGCTAGTTTAGCAAAAATCGACTAGCGAAAAGCGTTAATGTCGACTATGGAAGACTTTTACGGCTAGCGAAAAGCGTTAATGCCGCTAAGTCAGAGTGCACGTAGAGAAGCAGTTAAAGCGAAAAGCAATAACCCTAACCTGGAGGTTGTAGCAGTAGTCGAGCTGAAGCCGAAGTAGCGAGGCGAGTCGATTGGAGCTCTTCTGACCACTTGCCCGTCGAAAATTGACCGACTTGTGCTACCAGATGTGAGGCTTGAGCAGTAGGAGACGCAGAGGCCGCGAGGAAGTGTTGACCGCGATGCCGAAAGCGTTGAGGTGGTTGGATGCAAATTTGAAAGTGAGTTTATTTCGTTAAGGCCCAGTGGCCGGCCGTCTGGGCAGTGCCCAAGGCGGTGCTAGAGTAAATCAATCTGATTGGTCAATCCACTTCAAGTTGAAGTGAATTGACGTGCGTCATACAAACGTCAATGTAGTTGACAGAGGTAATGCACCATGTGCATGTTTCTTGCTTGTCATGAGTGAAGGTGCCTAAACTAGACTAATGCTTACGCCCTAGCCTTGCACTTGAACAGGGAGGGCCGACGACGTGCTCGTCACGTCTCGATCCTTACAGCAGTGGCCTTGATTGGGAGCTGAGTGCGTGCGGATTGATACAAAGGTAAGTATAACAAAGTCGGAAGCGAGGTACCCATTCCTTGCCCACATTGAGAAGTCGGACGCGAGGTACCCATTCCTTGCCCGCATTGAGAAGTCGGACGTGAGGTACCCATTCCTTGCCCGCACTGATTGATTGTTGAGGAGGTGGACAGGTTGAGAAGTTGAGAGAACAGTGGAGGAGGCTGATCAAAGAAGTTGACGTGGCTGAGTGAGTGAATTCAAAGTTGCTTTGGAGCGATGGACACGATGATACGCCAGCAAAGAGAAAGCAGCGGATAGAGATTCAAGACGACGCTGGAGGCAGCATGCTGCTGAAACAGTCAATGAACGACCCCAAGAAGATGCGAGTGCAGATGGTGGTGAGCCTCGACATGTTGATGCTGAAGAAGTGCTCGGTGAACCTGATCGAAGGCGTGAAGCTGCCAGTGACAGGTTTGATGATTGGTGGGAGTCTCTGACATCGCAACAGCAGAAAACAGCGGTGCTGGAACGACTTTCGGTGACGGAGCGTGAAGTCCCTCTAATCCAGCGAACGGAGTGCAAACAACTCTCTGTTGAGCCGTTCATGGGTGATGATTCTATAGCAGTGGAGGAGTGGTTGGAGACTGTGACACTGGAGGTGGAGAGACAGCGTGTTTTGATCGGTTAACAATGGACATCGCGTGACCTTTACTATGGTGTTTCGAAGTTATTCAAGGGTCCCGTTGCACGGTGGTTTGTACAGGCTCACTCCAAAACCCAAGAACAAGATCGTAATTTCGAGCACCTGATGACGCAGTTAACGCGGATGTACGGCAGCCATGAGAGTATCATTAGATACAATTGGAGATGGCGAAGCGGGTGCAGCAGCCAGGAGAACGTTTGCGGGACTTTGCTGACAGACTGCGTGAGATTGGAGTCGCTCACCCAGACATCCCGGAAGGCTGGTATGTCGAAACGTTCATCCGGGGCATCAACAACACGGACTGGGCGATGGTAGTGCGCATCCAGAAACCAACGGCACTGAGTGATGCTGTCCAGTTTGCAGTAGAGAACTTTGGAGACTACGGCGAAGGATATCAAGTGAAGCAGTGGCAGAAAGCAGCAGCACTTTACCGCGGAAGACAGCATTGTAATGGTTTGGCAGTTGGTGAGGCGAGAAAGGAATTTCCTGGTCGCAATCCAGTGAAAATACAACATCAAGACGACGATCGACCGCCCCGCTACGACACCAGAGGAAGACGTCTTGCAGATCAGCGCAACGAATCATTCTCGCCATCCGCACTACACGCGATTGCAGTGGCGGTACGAGTTGATGAAGCAGCAGTGCCGACGACATCACGCAGCGCTATTCGCAACTCGAACGAAGCCGATCGTATCGAAGGTGCACGGCGTAGCGGTGACGCTTGTGAAGTGATCCAGGTGCGAGCAGCACACAACCCACGCAAACGGACAAGGCGCAGAAATCACAGCGACCGAATGGCAGATCCGAAATGTTAAGGCAAGGAAGGCATGCAGCTTGTGTGGACAGCATGGGCATTGGCATTTGGAGTGTCCAGATCGAAAACCTGCGGCAAGCTAAAGCGTTGGTGAAACCTGCCAAATCGAGGACGATTTGAGAACTGAGGCTGGAGAGTAAGCAGTGGTGTTTTACGAGGACAACCAAGGACAATATGCAGTGACGTGACAAGGTACAGGCGTTTACAGCGGAAAACGAGGACCAGGATGCGGACAAGAAGCACTCGGTCGACAAGCAGTACAAGGACGGCAAGAACAGCAAGTACATCATGGACGCCATGGGGATGAGTGAGCCGAGCGAAGACAGAAGGATCTGGTGAGCAGTCGCCGGTGATTCAACGACAGATGGCATGGTTGCGAGCTACAACGAGATGGATACGGCGAGTGCGGGTGACACGACCAACGGCATGAACCCAACGGACGGCAGTGAGAGGTCGGAGAGCAGCGTGAGCTTGCTCACTTGCAGATCGGCGCTGTGAAGCTCAAGCACGGAGTCGACACAGTGAAGTACAAGGGCGAGCAGATACGACTTAGCGGCGACAGCAGTGCTGTGGTGACGAAGTAGCCAAGACCGGCAGACACCGTAATCGCTAGTAATACAAAAGGAGTGCTCACGTGAGTGACGCACCGTCGCGAGGACGCAAGTTGAGTCCTCGGCGGCCAGCAGTGTTCGTGTTGACGACTCAGAGCTATACGACCGAGGCAAGTACTGCGCTGAATAAGCCTGTCGCTCACTGTTCTTCATCATTGAAGTGGCGCACCAAGGTTCTAATCCCTATATTTGGTTGGTCCGGGTTCTTCTTGGCGAAGTCGTCTGCGTAGCGAAGCCACGAAACAAACTGCGGGCTATCGAAGAGCTTGCCCTTTGCACCCAGTTTCTTGAAAACGTCATCGACGAGCAAGCTTTTTGCCTTCTCAACAACAGCAAGTGATGACCCCACTCTGTCTTCACTGTGTCTGTCCGTTGTATCGTTAGCTGTCATGAACTGCGCCGAGGTGTCAGCACTCTGATCACCAGAAGCCAAACGAGGAGCTGCTACTGGTGCTGCAGAGAGGGTGGAGAATATCGTGACGTTCGGGGATCCCAGGGCGACATCAACGCTTGATATGATAGCGACGGCAGCGAACACTATGAAGTAGGGAAGAAGCATGAGTGGAGTGCTCTTCAGCTCAACTTCTCGGGGTTGCGGCTCGAGAATTTACAGACTGTGAAGGATTTTCGCGTACATGTTGTGAGCGTTGAATTATCCATCATGGTGATGTGATGATGTGTGTGGAGAGATTACGATAGCCCTGAGGAAATTGTGCTAAATTTTTGTCAACATTTAACCCCTTCAACCCGACGGATTTTGAGGGTGAGCTAAGCTGTATATACAGCATAATTTTATCTAGAAGTTTGTATACTCGAGGGTTGCGGCGGGAAGGCGGAGAAAAAGGCGGTGACGCAGACACTACGTAAAGCTATTCTTACGCTGTATTGGATGTACTACCGTCGGTATATACAGCGCCATTAAGCTGTATAAGCATGCACTCGCACTACTCTTGCCCATGTTCAGTACAGAACACGAGGCTCAAACTCTAAAAGCTGCATCTATGCTGATATTTTTTTTAAATATGAGCGCAGACGATGCGAGAGGGGGCAATACTGAAATCAAGTAGCTCCAATTGATGTACGGATGCAATCAAATGAAGCGTACCTCTAACCTGCATACAAAACTCAAATGAAACAAATCAATACAGTAAATTTCAACAAGCAATCATTGAACACCAGCTTATCCCCCCCGGCTACACGCCGCTACAAATGAGCAATCAAAAACTACTTCTGGACGTGCGCAGCCTCACACGCCTCCCCTCGCTCACGCTTCCACTCTCTCACTCACTCGAATCGCCCGACGAAGCACGGCGGCGCTTCTTGGCTGGGGACTTGCGCAGCCGGATCTTGGTCTGCAGGTGGTCAGGAATGGCGGTGCCGTTCTTGTATGTGGTGTGCCAGATCTCCCAGCAGCTCATCAGGACACCGTCGGTGGTCTTCTTCGGCTTCATGCACAGGTACACTTGCTGAGGGTCGACGCAAGCCTCGCAGTAATACGTCGTGGTACCGCCTCGCTTCCCATCCGTACGCATCAAAGAACAGATCTTGCAGTTTCGCCGTACGCATCAAAGAACAGATCTTGCAGTTTCGCTGGAGGTGAAGCATCCGCGGAGCGTCTTGGTCGAAGTACTCTGGACGTCGATGGCACCAAGTGATACTCAGCTTCTTCTGTGTCGTCATCGTCGCTATCCAAGCTAGCACGACCTGTTGACACATGAAATGGATGATGAGCAGATGAAATGGATAATGAGCACAAACGTTGATACCAGATACAATACACAAACTTACCCCGCGGACGTTTCGCAGGTGTACTGCGCTGTCGTGGGGCTGGAGTTCCTTAGCTTGCTGCTGCCGACGCAAGAGTCGTCAAAGCAGGGCTTGCCGCATCGCTTGCAGCATCCGGAGGCGGAGTCGCCGTTTCGCCCGCAGCGTCCGGAAGCGAAGTCGCTGCTTGACCTGCTGTTTCGCGGAGAGGTGAGGCCTGTGGGACTGGCACACATGCACCATCAACCTGGCAGTCTTCTTCTGGAGCTGCAGCATCACCAGCGTTAACCCATTAGTTAGATAAGCGCCCACTATGATAACACAATCTTGTCAGCATACCTTTTGCAACGCATGCTGCACTCAGCGCTTGAGCGCCTTCCTTCGAATGGACTGTTAGCAGAATCAAACAGTGTGTTAGACTGATACGCCAGACAATAGTCAAAATAGATTACATACCACGGGCGTAGTGGGCGAGAACCGCGTTCTCGCCCAAGAAGTAGTCCTTGCCCTCCGTGCCAGCCGCGCTCCCGCCTGGTGGGATGAATTTCCACCGTGTCTCGATCGAGCTAGCGGGGGGCAGTTTGTGTGTCCACCCACTCGCTTTTAGCTCCCTCCAGATGGCCTTCCACGTCGTTGTCTCGCCACGCAGGATGCGGGCCGTGCGTCGCTTCTCGGGCTCCTGCCATTTGAGCTCTTGGCCGCTGATTTCGAAAGTGAGACTCAAAAAGAGGGAGGCGGCTGCTGGCCACTCAGCACGAAGCCTGCAAGAATTAATTGGTGGTGTAGCATTTGTGTATAGTACCCTGGTAATCAATATTCCAAAAACTTGAACATAGACGATGGTACCTTCCCGCATGCATCTATGCGAACAGTTTACAGAAACACTGATTTCACTTGACTTAGTCTTTGTATAGTCAGTGATAGAGGCAGGCTTACAAAGAGTTCCGAGCATACAAATTCCAAGTATAACAATTTCTTATGCTGTATTTATACAGCTTAGATTTGAAATTTATCCTATCTGGATGATTTGCTAACACATCTTATACAGCGCACCGGGTTGAAGGGGTTAACATAGGGCCAGATGCTGCTGGTCTTCTGTGCGTGAAACAGCAGGAGAGTACAGTACAGAAGTGCTGTAGTAGCATCAAACATCGGGTAACTACATGTATTACGCTGAAGTGAATTTGACGGACTGCGCTCAATGGAAGGATGTAGGACCCTCTACACCCCCTTGCGGGTGAAGTGTTAAAGGTCATTAGCGTTAACACCAGCACTCAGGTTGCTATTTGCGCGAGATTCTGCGGTGACTGTATTACCATAACGCACCAAGGCGGCCGTATTTTATCATAATACGGTAAGACGTCCGTGTTACCTGATCCTACGCATATTGCTACATCTCGGCACACGGCAGCCTGGACTGCCGCGGGGTACACTACACTACATGCGTCCGTCCATAGCGATTTGCAGCTTACTGTGACTCCGCTGCTCATTCAAAGTGCTCTATTTTACCGCCTTCAACGCAGCAAGGAGTCTGAGTCCACCTCTTCGGGAAGGCAACACGAACAGCTCTGAAGTAACGAATGAAGCACTTGTTCAACGCACTCCTCAAACTATGTAAGAACGCTCTTGAGCTACCAAAAAAATCAAGAGATGCAAATAATTGCAGTTAAGGTACAACGCCATATTGTGGTTTTTGAGGAAAGGTTAATATTTTTGCCCGAGCTCGTACATGTAGCCGGTCTCACACGTATCGACTAGATATGCTGCACGAATCGTCAGGAAGCGTCGCGTTGAAAATGATCCTACGACTATTTTCGCCCTAGTCAGTTGAAAGCACTCGACCTGAGCACCAAAGTTATTTATCCAGATGTGCCTCGTTGAGTTGGTCTCGTATGTAGCGCTGCTGCTGAGCGCGGCGCTGGGTGTACCGGTATGCAGCCGACATAACCGCGACAATTCAAAATTCAAAGTTATTTATCCACCAATTGACGTGTTCCCGTCTGTACTTTTTGCAGACTCCCCTGTAGAATGCCTGCAGTCCTCTGTACAGTATTCACATCTCAGTTTCTGTAGATCACACACACGGTTTCTGCAATCCCATGTCGTGGCGACAAAATCACTACAAGTCACGTTGCCTGGTCGTGCACCAGGGCGCAAGCGTTCTGGACGCGGTGTCTTGAGCTTTGGCTTGGGCGGGAGGTATCAACTGCGACGTTAGAAGAGTCCAAGGCGTATTTCGCTGGTAGGACGGCACCCACAACTGGCAAACGCCTTCAGGGCCGAGTCCAAGTGTGTTGCGACCAGTAGACGTCAGACCACATTGATATATTCCGTCGGATGTGGTGGGTACTATGCAGCATCGGCACAGTACTTTTGTGGCAGATTCGGAATGAAGTAGTGCACGAAGGCACAACCTGGGCCGGTCCCCAGCAACTCAAGTACATGTGGGCCAGCATAATTCGGCAACTTCGAGCGGTCAGTCGTCGGGAACGTCAACGAGCCGAAACAACAACGCAAGGATTGCAGCTTCAGATATGGATATGCCAGGACTGCTTAGTGAATATGAAGGTCGAAGCGGCTTCTGAACGCCCACCTCCTCCGACGCAACTGTGGCAACGCAAGCCGGAGCTTGAACACGGTTTCTGTAATCCAACCCGCTCCTCTGAATATATACATACGCTACATCCTCCTCACTCACTGCTTCTGTAGGGGATTGCCAAAGGAGGGCCCTCGATACAACCAGGGCATTTGGGTAAATAGATGACAGTAGGTAACGCCTCAAAATAGGCAACTAGAAAACCCAAAACCAGTGACCCACATTGACTTGAGTGGGTCATCTACAAATGACCTGATTCGTATGCTTAGGGTCAGCAGCGGTTAACTTATCACTTATAACTTGTAGCCCGAGAATTAAGCAGTATCGGGTAGTGCTTCCGCCTTAACCTGAATTCATCGTTGTTTCTACTGTTCACCTATTGATAATGGCCAAAATGCACCCTTGAGGCTCAGTATACTCGTCCGTTTTGGCGTTCTCAAAATAGCAAACAAAGCAGCACTACCTTCACTGCCTTCACTTCCAGAGTTGGCCCAAGAGTGCGTCCGCTGACGCCCCCCCCCCCCTCGAATCTCCATCCTTCCTCAGCTACTTCGGCCCTACTAAAGTCCATTTAAGCTATCGATTTGGTATTCGTTCAACGACATGCGTCCGCCGGGTTGGTATCAAACCACCTCCTATGCAGACGCAGACCCACGCGGTCTCCAGCGGCGTACCTCTTCTACGGGCCATGTAGTTGACCAAGCCACCTCCTATGCCGGCGCTGACCCACGCGATTCTGAGCAGGTGATCTCTTCTGCTGCATGAGTCGCTGATCTAGGTGAGGATAAGGCCCAGCTCCGTTTCCTATTGCTCAGTCGTCAGCCATTTTTTTTTTTCAGCCGCATTAGCGTTGGAACGTGACCCTACTGTTGATCTCGACCTGGAAGGGGTCGACTGGGAAGGTTATCTATCTCTCATCGATTCCGAAGAGATTGAATCCGTGGCGAACCACAGCGACATATCTGACGGCTACGTGAACGATGAAAATGACAATGGAATTGAAGAATTCGCAAGTCGTGACAGTTCGATTTGTTCAGACTTCGGGATATCAAGATCTGAAAGAGATTTATTGCTGTTTGAGTACGACTTCTCTGATTTCAGTTTGGATTATTATTCTGGCGATTCTGATAGCTCGGATATTGACTCTGATGACTCAGACAACTTGGAATGGGTACAGGAGACAATATTCACTCCTGTTTGCGAACATTACTTGGAAGAGGAAGAAAAATCGCCGTATCCAGTTCGGGAGGATAGTCTACGTTGTGTCGTGGACGTCGCAGGCGCAAACGTATGTACTGCTTGGAATCAAGTACAGCTCATCCTCCGAAACTCCACCAGAGGCTGTATTTGATAAGCATGACGAGGCGGATAAAGCGGTTCATGATTGGACTTTACGGCATGGATTTAACGTTTTTCGGCGCCGGGTACGGTATCTTATAGGGTCTACAACGATTATTTGGGCTCGGAACTACGAATGTGATCGCGCTCGTAAGCCTAAATGCACTCAGCATCTCACGGAAAGTGAACGGCAACGTGAAATGCGAGGTTCAAAACGCAGCCTGATGCGTCTAAAAATTTGTGCAGTCTCTAAATCCAACGTTCATGGTCCTTATTTGTTCACACAAGTCGAAAGAGTGCTGTTCACAATCATCCACCGGCGGAAGATATTGTGGTACACGCTGCGCATCGACGGCGGGCAGAAAATGGTCTTTCTGTAGCTCAAGCCACTAGTATGCAGGACTTCATAGAGGGCCAAACTGCAGCTGGCATACCCGTGGCGAAGATTCGAGCTTCTATATTGCACAACGATTCACGATCTCTCGTTCTCCCAAAGGACATCAGCAACGCCAACTAGAGGGCACGTCATGTAGCAATGTCAACGATGACCCCCATGGAAGCTCTGTTAGCGTTATTGGATGCTCACAATTTTATCTACCGCTACGAATTGGATCCAGTGTCTAACGAACAGTTGTATCTCTTGTGGGCACACCCGGCTACTCTGCGTCTTTACGTCAGTCATTGTGATGTATTGATAATGGATGGCACGTTCAAAACCAACAAGTACGATTTACCACATGTAAATGTCATATCTATGTCTGGTATGAACACAGTACTGCCTGTAGCGCAGTGCTTCCTCCCTGGTCAGAAGGAGGTAAATTTTAGCTGGTTTCTCAAGACGCTTCGTTCTATGCTTGAAGAGCTCGGTGTACCCCTACCTCACGTGATACTGACGGATCGCGAATTGGCATGTTTGAATGCTCTCGCCATTTTTTTATCCTCAGTTCCGACCATGATTTGCCGTTGGCACTTCAACAGGAATGTGCTAGCAAAAACCCGAAGTGTTTTGGGGCAGATTGCCGTTCTCATTCCTCTCCCTGGCCGGGATAAATACGAAAACACGTGGCAGACTCAAGCCTTCATGGGTTATTTCTACAAGACTGTGGAATCGGAAACCGAACAAGAATTTGAGTTTCGTCGAGACCATTTGCACTTACTCTCACCGGTGATTGCTTCGTACCTGGATGAACATTGGTGGAAACATAAAGCCAAACTCGTTCATTGCTGGACAAACCGCTACCGTCACTACGGCTATCGTGAACCTTCGGTAGTGGAAGGAACGCATGCGCGTCTTTAGAAGACTATTACCGTGGTGGGTTTCGTGTGCCAGTGCTGTGAGCGAACGTGCGGCTCGTGATGCTACGATACTGCCGTATCTACTTCAGCATGACAGATACACACAGGTGTCGCGTGTGATTACTGTTTGGGCTCTTCGTGCTACTCACAGTCTCTGGAAAGAGGCCATGGACATCATAAATGGAGCTAAACCGTATCGAGCTTGCTCTGGAATTTTTCGCACTGTTTATGGTCGGCCGTGTGTTCATGAACTCATCGCTATGCTTAAATCCAATGGATCTTCTAGGCTTCTACCGAGTCATTTTGACGCTCACTGGTGGATTTATCGCAATCGTATCCAGACTTGGTGACCAAGGATTCGGGAACCAGCCAGCTTAGGAAAATGCCGCCGCGTCGCGCGATCTCACAAGGTTAATTACGGCGCCTCAGGTACTGCACGTCATGCGTACATCTGGAATCAGAGCTGAGTCATGTTGTATCGGTAGGAAACCCCAGGGAGATCAAGATCCAAATAGCAGTGAAGTCGGATGTTGACGCAGTCGTAGGAAACACCGCAGTGAGCGAGATCACCTCTGCAAATGACCAAGTCTCCTTTGTTTAGCGATACAATCTTCTCAGTTTCCTTTCGTGGTCGGCGGTTATTCCATCCGTAAGTCGCGAGTCTGGTTCCATTCTGCAAAGCGATTAGAACAAACGCGGGCAGTTCTTCATCGTCAGCATCAACGGTTTCGCTGTTTAGAAAACCCCTATGGACTTGCTGCTGAGGGCCACCCGGGAAAGACTTCAGAAACACCCACGAGCCAGGACGAATGACCCAGTGTTCGTTGTATGCGGAGGCACAGCCATTCACAGCGGTCTCGAATGGCACCAACGGATTATCGGATTCTTCCCACTGCGGGACGTACGCCTGCAACCTGAACTCGTCTTGTTCGGCCCCCACGCTGAAAACAGTCGCCCACTGCTCGATGTCATTGGCCTTTAGTCGAATCGCTGCGGCCTGTGCTTCCGTAAACGCCTTCTTGATAACCTGGAACCCGTCTTCATAGCGATTTATGTTGTGCGTGTGGCGAGGTTGCTTGTTTTTATTAAATGAAGCACTCTATGAAATAGCGAGTCATGTGACCGGGTACGTCCTAACTCGCCAAAGATACTACCTCGCAATCTTATGCGAATTCCTAATATCTTAACACGCAATGGAACCTTATACCAATGATAGAAAGGCAGAATAAAACAGAATATGTGCGCGTTGGGGGTGCTCAGAACGGATATGAGCAGATAAGTCTTGCCTACGAGGATCACAAACGCTATTTCAAGGGCCCATTCCTCAGCAGTAGCTCCTGTGCGTAGTCGAAAGGGTCGTTGCCACGGCAGGACTCTACCCCACGGCTCGCGGCATGATAGTGTAGAGCCGGTCCACACCTCCGTTTCCGCTGTGTCCTCTACGGTCTTCTTCGAGGCCTGCTCCGCCGTCTCTTCCGCTGTCTACTCCGTGGTCTTCTCCGTGGTCTCCTCCGGGGTCTCCTCCATGGCCGCCTTCGCTGTCTTCTCCGCCGTTTACTACATGGTCTTCTCCGTAGTCTTCTCCGTGGCCGCCTCCGCTGTCTACTCCACGGTGTCCTCCAAGGTCCCCTCCGAAGCCCCCCCCCCCCCGAAGGCTCCTCCGAGGTCTCCTCTGTGGCTGCAACGAGTGCCATGGCAAATGTTCCCTGTGATAACTTGAGTTGCTGCTTTGGGCTTAATGAGCAGTGTCTGCAGCGTCTTCAGCTCTAGCGTGCCGTCGCCTGTGACCCTCTCGAGCTAATGCGGGTCACTGGTTTTGGGTTTTCTAGTTGCCCATTTCAAAGCGTTACCTACTGTCATCTATTTACCCAAATGCCCTGGTTGTAACGAGGGCCCTCCCGATGAGGGCCCTCCTTAGCGATCCCCCTTCTGTACTGGTGTATATCTTCCCGATGATTCCCATAAATCAGTGATTTTCACTGAGATTTGACAAAATGATTGTGACAGTTTGCCTGAATTCACTGACGCAGGTATAGTAGTATAGTACTGGCACGTCCATACCATTTTCAAGTCAAATTTGGAACTATAGTAATACTACAAATAGTACACGTAGGTAGCGTGTTACCTACAAAAATACTATATAAAATAGTAGTGCTTGGTGGTTATACTTGTTGCACTATACAACTTATCTGTAATTCTGCACTAATATTGAAGCAACTTTATTCGTTGGTCGTCTTGAGGATTCAACAAAATACAAGGGACTAAGCTTCTCCACTAGTGCGAGTGGAGACATTGGGGCTGGCTTACTTCAAACTGGGTGGTTCGAGTACAGAAAAATCCCGTTTTTCCTACTTGCAGACTCGGAGTATGCTAACTACAAGCACATTGTGACAACGTATGAGATAGCGGAGACCCAGAGAAGTGTGGTAATTAGCAAACTAAACCGGAAGCTCGCTGGAATGCGCTACTGTGTCGAGTGTGCATTTGGTGTTGCAAAGATGCGATGGCGGCTTCTATCGAAGCCTATCAAGATAGCGAGGACAAACCTGAAAGACGTACCCACGCTAGTAAGTTCAGTGTGCATTTTGCATAACTTCGTGATCGATGAGAAAGATGAGGTCTGAAACCCCGAGCTCGAGCAAAGGCACCGAGAGTTTTACTTCGAAAACTATCTAAGATTAACCAACGAGCAACGGTGCACAGAGAATCAAGTTGAAACAAGCGAAACTAGAGATGCAATTCAACACTGGTTGCAGTACAGAGATTCAGTGAGGTCGTCCTAGGTCCATGTTAAAACGAAGTGTTAATGCGAAGCTATTACTGACTAGAAAATAGTTCGCGGAGCAATGAGCGGGTCTTTTCGTTTTCTTCTTTCTGATGTTGCAGGTATATTTCATGATCCCGTTGCGCAATATCCTCCATGGACTTGATGGTCTTCTTCATCACATCGTGCATCCTCTCTGCAATATCTTCGGTCCGCGTCCGCTTCGTGCCACATGAACTTGGCTCGGATAGGGAACTTTCGGCGAGATGTTCACTCGCACCAATCGCTAAACCACCATCGATGGGCCTGATACTTGGATCGCCCTCGAAAATCTCCCCCAGTGCTTGATAACAATCCGCCGTGAGCGCGACACGGCCCCACTTTTTTAAAACCTCGGCTCGCTCAGCGGGCGGCATTTCAAACCACGCAGGCCGCCCTGCGCTCCCTACCAAAGTCCCGTTGTTGTGGTCAGAAATCAACGAGTAGCTCGACCTCAGTGAGGCCATTTTGTCGTCCACCGCCCGCGGTTGCCGCGGCCAGAAATCCGGATCCGTAACCGCGATACCGCCTTCAGGCTTAGGAGGCGCTTTTGCCATACTCGCTAAAAACGAGCTTGCATCTTCTACATGCTCTCCGAGCAGCTCTGCCTTTGTCAAAAGCAAGCGGGAGATGTATGCGTTGAATACAGTCGTAGCAACATGCTTGGCAGTGGACCCTTCTGGTAAATCATCAACAGAGGCGGCCTTCCACGCACCGATGAGCAGTAGAATCTCTTCTCTTCCCCACACCTTTCCCCGCGTATGACGCTTTGTGGCCGCGTTCTTTTTCTGTTTGGCACCTTCGATCCGGCCATCAGCTTGTATCCCGCTGCCGGAACTTGAGCAGCAGAGCCCGAGTCTTTGGCCGCGCTACAGACACCACCACTCTCTGTGCTGCAATCTCCTTCTTCGCTCTCCATGGACACCTGACAAACCTGCGAATGGTAACCAACGAGTTTCTTGCTAGCCTTTTTAGAAATTCGGAATATTTTTATATTAATGTGAAAATCGGAATAGTGTCAGTGTGAACGCTGATCCGGCTTAGAGCCGGAAAACTCTCCGGAATAGTGTCAGTGTGAACCCCCCCCCAAAGGGGGGGGAGTCACACTGATGGACTCCGGTTGGAGTCCAAGTCAAGCAATCTTTGCTTGGGGAAGCAAGCAATGCCGGAACCCGCGAAGGCGAATGGTGAAGACTGGAGTGTTTAACGTATCGACTGCATCGTGTTTTCATAGGTTTCGTTTTCATAGGATTATTCTGCGTTTGACATACACGGTATTAGAGTCAGCTCGTATGAAAGTCCTGCCACAAGACTTGGGAGGAGTCCTTCGTAACACCTCAAACCCCGAATGCCGTGAAAATGGGCGACATTCGGGCTTTCGGCTGTTTGTAGGACCTGCGCAAGTGCTCTCATCGGACTAGCAATTCTTGGTCCTAATTCACTACGAGGTATCTGCTCCGATAACCTAGCCCCATCTTAGTAGGTAGCTGTTTTACACGTCCGATTTGCCAAAACAACTGAAAAGCACAATACACGGGTAGATTATTTACCGGGTTGGATACAGGTCGGGCCTGAATTTCCGGTCAGGTTTTTCAATACAACTATAAAGACGTTTCCTGGCCACTTCCAGCTGCGACATCACGGGCGAGGGCGAGCAGCGCGAGACTCACCAAGTGCATTCACGCATTGCCAAGACCCGCCGATCAGGCGGGGGCGTGTCTGCGCGAGCGAGCGAACGCGAGCGCTGCAACCCGATATTTTTTTTCTAGACACAGCGCCTGACCGAGTCGAGGACTTCGACTATGGGGGTGGGGCAGGCCGCGCAGCGGCCCCCCCCCCCCGTGTCGAAGTCCGCAGACGAGAGCCAACGCGCTAGTGTCCTACCCAAGGTACGTTATCCCTCCTGAAATGCCCGACCAAAAGGCCAGGTCTGACCCGTATCCGTACCGATAAATAGATAACCTGTACGCGTACATGCTTCACAGTTTGTAAATTCTCGAGCCGAAACCTAGCTACCACTAACGTGAGCTGAAGAGCACTCCAGCCATGTTTCTTCGCTTCTTCATAGTGCTCGCTGCCGATGCCATCATTTCAAGCGTCAATACCGCTCTGGGGTCTCCGAACGCTACAGTACTCTCCACCCTCTCCCCAGCAGCAGCACCTCGTTTGACTTCTGGTAGTCGGCAGAACGACGACACCTCGTCGCAGTTCATGACAGCCAACGATACAACGGACGTACACACCGAAGAGAGATTGGGGCCATCAGCTTCTCTTGTTCAGAAGGCAAAGAGCTTGCTCGTCGACGACGTTTTCCAGAAACTGAGTGTTTTTCCTGCGAAGGACAGACTCTTCGAAAGCCCGCAGCTTGTTTGGTGGGTCCGTTACGCAGATGAGTTCAGCAAAAAGAACCCGGACCACCCCAGTCAACTGATGCCGACCTTGTGAGGCACTACACTGACGAAGGGCTGCTGGACATGATCGAAACGGCGATGAAGAATCCAAGTACTGCGACAATCGCCAAGAAACTGCAGACGGAGTGCGTGAAATGGGCGCTCCCAAGTCGGCTTCCCCCAGGGAGCACGTTCTAAAGCCTGGTGATGAACAGGGCTGCGATGAAGGACAAGTATCGAACGGTGTGGACTTCGAACAATGCTTTTGCTGAGCAGAAAATAAGCAAGGCGACGGACAACCTTCTCACCAGCGGTCATTTCCAACTCTGGAGAAAGTACCTCGACCGATTTAACCAGATGCACCCCAAACAGAAAACCACTGTCATCGACATCCTGCTGGGCTACTACACGGACGAAGCGCTGGCTCAAATGCTGAGCTTGGCGAAGAAGAACCCGAGTACGGAGAAGGTGGCGGCGAACTTGCAGCTCGCACTGCTCAACATGTGAATGCGTGAGCTGAAAGACCCGACAGAAGTCTCCAAGCTGCTGAACGCGGGTACGTCTGATGCGCTCTTGCAAACGTACGTCAGCAAGTACAACTGGGCGGTGAACAGCGCGGGGATAAACTCTTTCGACAAGCCGCAGCTAGAAACGTGGCTCGAGTACGTCGACTTCTTCAAGACGAAGCACCCTGGAACGCAAGAGTCGACGAACACGATCTTGACAGCACGCTATGGAGACGAAGCTCTGGCGAAGATGATTATTGAGTTAAAGGCGAAACCCGACACAGCGAAACTCGCAAAAGAAATGGAAACGGAGCTGATGAAAGGGTGGATGAGCAGTCAGACGTCACCCCATCTCCTGTTCGAGTTGCTGGATTTGAAAGGGGCAGGCGACGATCTCTTAGCGGATCCACTTTTTAGCATTTGGGTCTCCTACCAGACGCGTTTCGGCGGAAAGAACCCGCAGCAGAAGACATCTTTGTTTGAGGCATTGATGGAGGAATTCGACGATGATGCTCTCACCAAGATTATCATCGTCGGCAAGAGTTACTCGAAAACATCGCAAAGAGCCAAGGCACTAAAGAAGACCCAACTTTCGAAGTGGCTGGAAGAAAAACAAGCTCCGAACACTGTATACAAGTGGCTGAAGGTAAAGGGAACAGCGGCAAACAGTGTGGAAAGACTGAGTTACCTTAAGTACTGGAAGGACTACAAAGCGAAGCATGGATAGAGGAGACTAGGCTTATGAGTTCTGTAGTGTTTAACACAATGAAATACAGAAATTCGGAAAGCTTTTTATGCGTTGATGTAAATCTCCCAAAAGCCTGCTGTTCGACGCTCGGTGCTCTTAATATTCAACGCAGCCGAGTGATTTTTGTTGTTGTTTTTTTGCTGCAGAGGTGTATTCACTTAGTTAAAATAAACTTACGAATCCTAAATTACCTTGAAGTTGGGGTACTTGGGAAATGACCATTAACGCCGTGTGTACACTTCGGAGCTTTTTTTCAGCCACTTATTTTCTGCTAAAGGCTGACTCTTGGGAAAGCATGCAATTACATCGGCTGAAGTAAATGAGCGTAGGGAGGAGGGGTGTGTGAAACAAACAAAAATCGATAGGTATGCTACAAGTTAAACGCTTCCCTCTGCAGTGTCCGGAGCGCGTACGCAACTTTTAATGCTGGCGGCCGATCTCGTGGTTCTTGAGCCATACACTGCTTCGCCAGCTCCAGCACAATCGGTGGACAAGTATCGCTAAATGTTGGCCGAAGACTGCCGCTAGCCACCTTCTGCAAGATAGCCAAGTCGTCGAGTTGGTTACCATCGTTATCCGATGCATCATCGTACGGATGATCGTGCGTGTCGAATTCCGAGAGGAGTACACCAAACGCGAAAATATCCGCAGGCTGGCTGTAATCGCTTCTGCCCGATATCACTTCAGGTGCGAGCCACCGATGCATCCCAACCCCAGATCTGCAGTTTGGCAGGATCCGTGTGACCCCAATGTCGGTGAGCTTAGCTTGCATTTCCGCGGATATCAACACATTGCGTGACTTTAAATTTCGGAGCACCACCGGTGGGGTGAAGGTATGAAGGTACACGATCGCTTCGATCACGTCCACTGCAAGCTGCACCTTGGTCCGAGTCCAATAACGCGACAGCGAGGGTGCTGATAGATACGATCGCAGGTCGCCATTCTCGACGAATTCAAACAACGCTTGCATGTCGAACCCTGAGCTGGCTGCACCAATGAACTCGACGATGTTCGGGTGATCGAGCTTGGAAGCCAGCTTAATCTCCTCCAAGAATGTCTGCGTGTGCTCCGTGATATCGGCATCTTCACGGATGCGTTTCGAGGCGAGCAGCACTGATTCGCGGTACCTGACGAGCCAAACAACGCTGAAAGCTCCAGTTCCGATAAGTCGGAGATCCTGGATATCGTCGCAATTTACTTGAAGCGCTAGGAGCTCGCCGTCCTCCCCGAACGAGCGCTGTTTAGTCGATTTTCTTTGCAGCAATCCTCTCGAGCTCTTGGTCTTGTGTTGCCTCCAGTGGTAAGTGATGGTAGCAATGAGAGTACCGAGGACAATGAAGCCCACAGCGATTATGACCATGACCAGTGGTTTGGATTCGTCTGCGCTGCTGCTGGACCGGTCACTCTCCAGGCTTGTTGATCCTGATGAGTACGAAATTCTGGAAGTTGGGAGACTGCCGGATGATGCCAATGAAGCGACGAAGACGGATCCATGTCTGCGGTGGAGACGCAAAGGACGATTTTGTTGTCGCCAACAACCCTATGCTCTGATGAGCTGCAGTTCACAGGATCCTGGAAGTCGCTATCCTGCAAGTCCAAACTTGCGAGTGCTTGAAGGAAAGTAATCTGTGATTCTGTGAACGTTCGGCTCGACAGCGGGTTGTTCTGGATCGCGAGCTTAGTCAGATGCTGGAAAGTGAAGATAACTGCTGGGATCTCTGTCAGGTTGTTGCTGTTCAGATAGTCAACAAACAAGCCTCATCAGCGACGTACACACATAAAGAATATTCTCAAACTTACAGTTCCGTCAAACTGGGGAAATTGCCTTCGAATGTAGACACGTTGTTCTGGTACAGATCCCTACAAACAAACAGGTAAGACGTCAATTCTCCACTCAGGTACGAAAAAGCATCCACAGCGATCGTACAGCAGAGTGAGTTTCTCCCATGTAATAGAAGCGTTCACAGTGGAGATGTAGTTGTCGGCTAGGTGCAGAGTGGCCAAGTTCCCGAGGGACTCCAGTAGAGAAGGAAACTCCGACAGAAGTGTGTTCGAGAGCGACAGTGCATTGATCGAGCTCGGAACCATAGTGGGGATGTCGTAAATTCTGCTCGAAAGGTCCATGGACACCAGACCCACCGACGTCACTTGTGACTGATTGGTGAGCAAGTTGTCCGCGAGATATAGCTCGACGACTTTCCCTTTGGTGGTCTGCTGGTAGTTGTTGCCGCCCTGAACCCACACGGTAGTTGTCTGAGCTGATAGCGCGAGCTGGTCGACCGCGGTAACCACGTCGTTGTTTGCACTGGCGTAAATGGTGTCATTACCCCCATCTTGCGCATCGTACGGCACGAGGAAGATAAATTCTGTCGGGTTGGAGTTGTAGGCACCAAAAGCTTGAAAGCACGTGTACCCACACGCGTCGTCGAAGTCGCCAGTGCAAATGACATCTGAAGTAGAACTCGAGTTTGCGCACTCCGTCGCGTTGTAAACCAGACAAGGCTCGTACGCCCCGCAAGTATCGTTGCATGCTGTGGTCAAGGTGTTGGCTGCAGCGAAGCATTCTTGAGCGTCGATACTGCACAGAGTGGACGAAACAAGGGAAACGACCAGGAATTGAGTCGACATTGAGCAGCAAATTCGTATTGCAACTGCCCCAAGGGAGAAGGAAAATGAGTGACTAGTTGTGCACACACACTAGGCAATAAATATCCTGGTCACTTCGGAGGTCTTGGTACTGGTGGATCGATCAACGCATTCCGATGCAACTTCCTGGCCTGATAGTAGAATGGCTGTCTAGGTTCATGTACAACGCGGAACCCCCTCATTGCTTCGATGCTGTATAAGGAACATCCAACTCGTTCCGCCGACTTCCACTCGCACTGCAGTTTTATCTAAAGCTTTGCCAAACCAGCGTCAAAGTTGAGATTCGAGGAACATCAAGTTGTGTACATCCTCCGCTATTGTATTCCCATGGGGTGTCCTTCGCCTCTATCAATGAGACTGTGCTCTACTCCTTCCCGGTCTCAATCAGCGCTGGGGTCTGTGTCTGTGTCTTGGATCCAGCCGCCGAGATCTTCGTCACGGCGTAGTCGATGGCGAGGCCTACAGCGCCCCACTTGACGGGGCGGAACCAAGTGCGCACGCGACGCCAGCGACCCACCAGCGGGTACACCGAGTTGAGCGTCGTGCCGTACACTGCGAACGCCATCGGCGCGAGCTTGGCGTCACGCGCGACCTGGCTCGAGTTGTCATCCTTGCCGTCGTTCAGGTACGACGCGCCCCAGATCAGGAGCTCGGCGCCCGTGACACCGAGCACCAACGGGTAGACCATCGTCTTGGGGAGCTTCTCGGCCGTCTTCTTGGTCAGGTACGCGATGCCTTTGGCGCGCTTGTGCGAGCTCACGGCCTTGGCGAACTGCAGACCGCCGGCCATGACGGAGAAGCCCGCGTAGTTCTTCGAGTCGTGGTTCAGGAAGCGCCGCCAGCGGTGCTGGGCGTGCGCGGCGTGGTCGAAGGCCTTGGCTGCCGACATGATGGCGATCTTCTGCAATGCGCTCGAGCGAGTCAGCGGAATAGGTTGTTGAGCCCCGCTGTTTTCGCTGATATCCCCGATCTGACGAGTTTTGTGGGGCCCGCACGCACGATGGCACGCTGTGAATGATTTGCTCCTTTGCATCACAAATTAGGAATGGAAGCGCAAGTGGAGCCGCAAGCACATGAGGCGCTGGCGTTCTAAACGTCATGAGCTTTCGCTATATTTTTCACATAATGTACCGGTCAATTCAGCTATCTACACGTGGAGGATGGCGAGCTAGACGCTGCTCTTTGTTTGCTCCGTCTCGTCGAATCGAAATACCCGGATGATAATGGGTAAGCAAGCGGCCAGATCACGACGCGATTCAATACTCGCGCGCGCTGACGGCGAGCGGCTCGAGTTCCAAGTGAGTCGCGGCCTGGTAGTGGCGTAGCAGCGCCATCTCCTCCTCGTGCTCGCGCCGAGCCTCCTCGAACTTCATGCGGTGGTAGATGCCGAACACGTAGTCTGCGCTGTAGCCCAGCGCAGCGAGGGCCACCGCGCCCTTGGCCATTGCGCGCGGGCCTCGGTGCACGTTGAGCAGCGCGCCGCACACGGGGAAGGCCATGAGCACGTTGTCGCGCGAGAAGTCCTGGCGGTAGTGCGACACGGCGGCGATCGAGAGCTTCATGCCGGCCATGCCGACAGCGGCGGAGCACACGAGCAGCGGCACCTTGGGGCCTGTGCGGCGCGCAGCGAGCGCCAGTCGCTGAGCTGCAGGCAGCAGCTTGTCCTGCACGCCGCGGAACTCCTTGCCCACTTGGAACGCCGTGAACAGCGCCGAGCACGTCACGAAGGTGCTGAGGTCCTCCTCGGCGAAGCGCGCCCACCGCTGCTGCAGAGTTGGCTCCATGGCTTCAAGTCTGACGTACGCTGTAACGCAGAGGGAGCTTGTCTTTGCCGCGCCGCTGTTAAACGGGAAATGAATTGCACTCTGCGGCCATGGTCAAGCTCGGAGCCTGTGGTGGATGAAGCGCATCCCCCCCTATTTTTAACATTCATGTGTGCCACATCGATCTCTCATTTGGTACAATGTACCACTACCCGAACTTTAGTGTCTTTAGCCAAGCAAACGTACCCACATCCACATCCGCACCACCGATTTAACAGATACCATCATTCCTGGCGCAAGTCGCGCAGTGCCCTTCCTGCTCGCCATGGAGCCGCGTCCTCCCGCTTCTCCCGGCATCGCAGCGCTGCGCAATGCTCTCGAAGACAAGAGCCGTATGCCAGTAGGAGCCGACGCCGCCATCGACGCGTTCCTGGCCAAGACGCAGAAGCTGCAGCGCCGCGACGGCCGCTCGGGCGCATCGGGCTTCGAGCGCGAGTACATGGAGCTGTGCTGGAGCATCGACAAGGCGCCGGGCTACGAGGCGTCGCTCACGCTGCAGACCAAGGCCACCAAGCCCAAGAACCGGTACCGGGACGTGCTGCCTTACGAGGCCACGAGGGTCAAGCTGCAGAACGCTGCGAAGCCCGCGGACGACTACATCAACGCCAACTACATCGACGGAGGCTACATCGCCTGCTGCGCGCCGGTGCCCGCCGCCATCCGGGACTTCTGGCACATGGTGTGGCAGTGCGACGTGCACGTGGTGCTCATGCTCACCAACTTTGTGGAGCGGGAGAGACTCAAAGCCGACCTGTACTGGGACCCTCACGCCCAAGCGGTGGACTTTGACGGCGTCAAGGTGAAGCTGGTGGACGAGCAGCAGCCGGAGAATCTCGGCTTTAGTGTGAGGAAACTGCAGGTGTGGAAGGAAGGCACGGAGACCCGAGTGATTCAGCACATCCAGCTCACGACGTGGCCCGACCATGGAGTGCTGCGCGACTTCCGGGTCATTGCTCCGATGCTGGACGCTGTCAACAGCTATCGTAGTGAGGCGTCGAGGACGCACGGGGTGGACGCGAGGGTTGTCGTGCACTGCAGCGCCGGCATTGGACGCTCCGGCACGTTCATCGCCATCGATATCTTGTTGAAGCAGCTGTACCAGGTGCTGACCAGTAGAAGTGGTGACGCCAAGGAGAACGCCCGAGCGATGGAGCACGCGGTCGACATTTCTCGTGTGGTACACCGCCTGAGGTCGCAGCGGCCTGGTATGGTGCAAACCCCGGTGCGTTCTTGTCAATATGTGCTGCATATGAAAGGTTGAACTGACGAAGTGGTGTATATTGTGGCTATGCAGGAGCAATACGAAATGATTTACCAATATTTAGCAGCCGTGGTTAGCGACAACCAGCCATGGTGACGGAGACGGTCAGAATCGTTATAAACCGGTGCGAAGGTTATCCCGTTCGTATTCGAAGGCAATGTACAGTGTGCTGCGGCATCGCCTTAACCACGAATACCAAACCCATCCGTTTTTATTAGTACACGGGGCCATGATTCACAATTCGGTTCACGCTGTGGCAACAATTGCAGTCCGAGTTGCTGAACCGAAGCGACGTTTCGTGCACACACAGCAAGCTCTTTTTTTTTAATGATGTGTCTCTTGTCGACGACTCCAGGGGAGTTGTGCTGCCGTCGCAATGAAGCGAGGCGCCCGGATGTCACGATTATGGCGCACAGCTCGCAGGAGACGTTGGTGTCTCCGCAGGGGGAGTATCTTCCGTGCGTCTTGGAAGCGGCCGTGCCAGTCCCGGCCGCTGAGGGTTATATGGACGCTCTTCAACGGTGCTCGGCTCTTCTCCAATTAAACGTGGTGCAACGCATCCTGTCGGCAATTATCCTGGCTCCGCTCGTGACGGCCTTCCTGTGCATTTCGCCAGCCTTCGCAACGTCGACCGTCTGCAGCTTCGTGGCGAGCGCGTGCTCCTACGAGTATGCGTGTCTCTCAAATCGTATCCGGCTGAGAATTCTCACGCGACTTGAAGCTCTCGAGGGCATTCTGGATGAAGATGACGCTGATTCGCGCTGGAGCAACGAGATTCGCAATCGCAGCAGCTTCGTATCCAGTCATACGGCTGAGGAAGATGCCATGAGTGAAGGGAACTTCCTGTCATCATCACTCGTGAGTGAATGCAGCAACAGCATTGTTTCGTACGCAGGGTTGCGGCCGTCACAGACGGATCTTCGCTCGCGCCAAGAAGAGCAAGAGGAAGAAGATATCGCGCGTGTGGATGCTGAGTTGCGGGCTCAAGAACCTCGGCTACGATGCCATGCAGTGAGTCACCTGGCAGGCTGCTACTTTTACGGGAACGACAAGCTGGCTGCGGCGTGTCTCTCTGTGGTGGTTTGTGCTTTGTCATCGACCTTGTTTCTGCTGTCCGTCGAGCATGCTCAGACGCTTCAGACGACGGAATTCTACGAGTCTCGGTGGTACTATTCCATCGCCACAAGCTATGTTGCGGGCTTCTGTGCGTGCATGGCTCCGGACTGGTCGTATGCGCTCACGGTTCTTGTGCAATATGGCGTCTTCACTGTTCTCGCGATGTACTCGACGGGGTGTCCGCTCAACGATTTCAGCTGTGGAATCGGACTTGATCCCGAGGTGGCCCTCCTCGTTGGTATGTTGGTACTACTGTTATGCCGCTCCGCTGCCTGTCGAACCCGAGTCGAGGCGTTCCTCTCGTTCATGCTAGACGTGCTGGGTCTGTTCTACATCGCTGGCACCCTGTCCATCCTCGTGGCTTTTGTAGATGACGAGCGCCGCTTGCTGTATCGCGAGCTGCTTATTGCGTTGCTATACATCGTATGGGCCTCGGACACTGGCGCTTATGTTACCGGCAAAGCGCTGGAACTCGCAAACTATCCCTACTACAACCCGCTTGCAGCTCATTTGTCAAAGAACAAGGACTACGAGGGAACTGTTGGTGCCATAGTCTTCGGCGCCGGCGCCATGGTTGTGGTTTCTCAAGTGCTGGATCTACCTGGGTCATTCGCCTTAAAAACTGCGTTCACCGTGCTGGCTGTAGTTATTGGACGTCTTGGAGATCTGTTCGAAAGTCTATTAAAACGCGCGGCGGGGGTGAAGGACTCTGGAAAGCTGATTCCTGGTCATGGCGGCATGCTGGACCGCATCGATGCACTTATGTTTGCGACTCTAGTTTTCTCACGCTACTACGCCATGGAAACCTAGTTTTTTTCAACGCTTCATTAAAATAAATGCATGTCGAGCTAGTACATGTACAACTAAATCCTAGTTTGAATCATCAATTGTGCGCACGATTTCAGGCTCGTTGCGGATTATACTGATCGCCACTATACCACTTGCAGTTGGAGTAAGACAAAAGGTGAAAGAGAAGAATCTAGGCCTCGGTTGAGAATACACACACGACCAACAAGGTGGCTTTTGCCGCCCAGCTGAGTGTTGTCGTTGCTTCCATCTCTGCGTGAGCAGCACCAAGAGGACACTCCACTTCAGGTTATGAGCCCAAGGCTCACGCGTGGGGAGCACAGCAACTAGGACGTCATGGCGGATCAGAAGAAGACGCCCAAGGAGTCACACGAGGAGAAGAGGACGATTCCGCCGTTTGACGGCAAGGACTACGAGGTCTGGCACGAGCGAGTCAAGCTCAAGCTGGAGAGGAAGAAGCTGTGGAAGTACTGCATGGAGGACTTGCTCGAGCCGGACGAGAGCAAGGAGGCAGAGGGGCACGCGACGTGGACGAGCGAGATGGCCCACGCCAAGGAGATCATCTACGACGCAATGACGAATCACATAATGAAGACTGTGAAGTACAGACAACGACTTACAAAGCCGGCATGCTTAATGCCATCCTCCTATATAAAAACAACGATAAATTCCCTCCCGTCAAATCTGTAAAACTGTCATAAAACACACGGTGTGTTGCATAAAGTACACAATAAAGCATATAAAGTACACAAAACAGATGGTATACAAAGATGAAGTCATTTGATTGAATCTGATTGGCTGGTTTGCTCATGTTAAGCTTTGCTTGACTTCGTCTGCCGGCTTTTTGTGTCTTCCGGCTTTGTAAGTCGTTGTCTGTATGAATCCACCCCGTTTCGTGTCATGGAGCGCCTGAAAAAGAGATTTATGGGCAAGACGTACCTGAAGTACGCTGAGGAGAGGGCCAAGCTCAGTCGGCTACGGCTCGCTCCCAACGGCAATGTGCCAGATCACGTGAGCGAGATGCGTCGGCTGATGGAGACCATTGCTGGAGTCGGGCGTCCTGTGGACGAGTAGGTAAAGCCAGCACTATTGATTGGATCCCTGCCGCGCGAATATGATCATGTTGTACAGACGTTTCTCGCCAGTCACAAGCCCCAAAATGCTGATGATCCTTCTAATTATGAACAACTTGAACTCGCATTGGAGATGGCTTACGACCATCGCCAAGGTCGGAAAGCAGAGGGCGCCAAGGACAATGATGATGAAGAAAAGGCGTTCTTTGCTGGTGGAGGAAGAGGTTGAGGACGTGGTCGCGGCCGTGGACGTGGTGGTCGATCTGGAGGACACGGGCGCGGATCCGGTGGTGGACGTGGTTCTGGCGGTCGCGGGAGCCAAGGTGGTGGACGTGGAACTGGACGTGGCCAAGCCGGCAGTGGACAAAAGCCAGGTGGTGCTTGTTATCACTGCCATGAAGCAGGGCATCATGTGTTTGATTGCCCGTTTCTTGGCAAGCGACCTCCAGCCGAGGATCGCAGCAGCACCCGAGCTCAGAAGCGCGTGAAGATGAGTGGAGGGAAGAGTGCTAAGGCTGCTGAAACGAGTAGCTACGCTAATGAAAGTGATGACAGCGCGTATGTTATTCTTCAAGTGATGAAAATGAAAAAGCCGGTCGCAGACAAAGCCCATGATAACTGGTACCTGGACTCTGGTGCATCGAGTCATATTTCGAACCAGCTCACTGATTTCATGGAGTTCACGCCTCTTAGCGCCCGGATTCGAGTTGGAGGAAAGAACTCGCTGGGTGTTGACGGTATTGGTACTGTGGTTAAAGAGCTGGAGACTACTGGTGGGAGGTGCTCACTGACGCTGCGAGGAGTTCGTTATGCTCCAGAGCTGCAGTGCAGTCTCTATTCTGTGCGACGGCAACTGAACCAATATCTGCCTGAACGTGATCGTGTGAAGGTACACTTTGATGAGGCAGATCGCGCGTATGTTATCTTACAGGCTGGTGTGACTACCGCTCAAGTTGATTATACCAATCTCTATCGCTTGAAGTTGGAGAGACCCCAAGAGGTAGCCATGGTGGCGCTACCAGCTCGAGTGAGTAGTTTGGAGCTGTGGCATTCGAGATTGGGGCACCCTGGCAAGAACGCGTTTAATGCGCTGTTCAGCCATGATCAGTGGCCGTTGCCACATGTGAACTTGCGTATCCTGGTGGGTTTCAATTGCGAGACCTGTGTGACGGGGAAACTTACGAGGAAGAGCATGAAGAAGTCTCGGACACAGACCCGCGAGTGGTTAGTTGGCGAAAAGGTCCATATGGACGCTTGGGGTCCGTATGCAGAGCACTCCTACGGTGGTAAACGGTACTTTGCCGTGTTCGTTGATGATGCGAGTCGGTTTGTCACCGTGAATCTTCTGGAGCATCGTTCGGAAGTGTACCAGAAGTTTGAGGAGCACTATCAACGCGTCAAGACGCAGCATCATGTCAGAATGAAAGCGCTAAGGTCAGACAATGCAAAGGAGTTCAAGAAGCTGCAAAGTACGTGTGACACGAAGTATGGTATGGAGTTTGACAGCAGCATCAAGCATACTCCGGAGCAAAATGGTGTCGCGGAGAGAATGGTCCGCACCATTACGGAGAGAATGCGATGCATGCTCGTGCACTTCGACCTGCCTGAAGCGATGTGGGGTGAGGCAGCGATGACAGCTGCATACTCCGTGAACATTATGCCAAGCTCGGTTCGAGGCATGGAGGTACCGTATGCAGTATGGCACCGTCAGACTCCTGCTTATGAGAAGTTGCGGACGTTTGGCTGCGCCGTCCTGTCGTACATCGACAAGGTGGAGAGACGGAAGATGCAGGCGAAAGTACGGGAGGCGGTCTTCGTTGGATATTCGCGAGAGAAGCGAGGCTATCGCTTGCTCGATAGCAAGACCAACAAGGCCTTCTACAGCCATACTGTCGTGTTCTATGAGAATAAAGCTGGTCGATTGCTCATGGACTCGGCATCAACGCCAAGTGCAGCCTCCGGTAAGGAATATTTAGGCGTTGATCGATCACATTGAGCCAATGCTGGATGAAATGCATGATGACTCAAATGATGGAGGTAGTTATCGTGATGATGGAGATTGCTGGACTGGTGGGGCCAGCGACTCTAGAGACGGAGGTGATTATCGGACTGGTGGGGCTGATGACACCCGATGTGATGACCGACCAGGTGGGGCAGTTGAGCAAGATGTCCGGTCAGATGGGGCATGTGGGTCCAAGAAGAGAGGCCCCGGTGGTGATGCCGCAGCGCCTCGACCAAAGAGAGTGCGGTTTGCGGTGTTTGAAAGTGGACGTTCTAGCAAGGTGGCAGAACGAGATGAAGGACGTGGAGTGAGCTCTACAGCATCTGGATGTGATCGTTCTAGCAAGGTGGCAGAACGTGATGAGGAACGTGTCAATGGACATGAGGCAGACCACCTGCGAGGTGAGTGCGTGCCAGGCAATTCCAAAAGAAGGAGAAAGAGGAAATGCAGCAGTGGGCGGCACAAGGGACCGGCTGCTGACAAGACGAGGGCTCTACCAGGGAGTCAAGAGGTGGAAGAGGTGGACGGCAGGTCATCGGCTGCTGAGCAGGCCGACTCGGCAGCCAAGTGTCGAGTGATGCTGCGAGTGTGGGGCGTATATCAACGCCTCCTTGCACAGCACTTCGTGAGTACACAGGCCCGAGAGGCACTAGCCATAAAGACCCTCCAGTGACACGGAGCGGTCGGGTAAGTAAACCGCCCACGTGGTTCGGTGACTACGTCTACATTGCCTACGAAAATACAAATCCAGATGATGATGTGAACTCGTTGGCTGCTGGATGGAGGAAAGCACGAGCTAAGTTGCAACGTGCTATGGCGAACGAGTTGATCCTTGCATGGTGGGATGACTATTGCTGCATGAGTACTGGCGAGTTTGAAGAGCCAGATACTTACGGTGACGCTATGGAGAGTGAGCACTCATTGCAATGGAAAAATGCAGGTGATGATGAGTTTGATTCGTTGATGAAGAACGATACCTGGGAGTTGGTGCCGCGTGAGAAGCACATGAAAGTGCTGCAGAATCGCTGGATCTTTCGCGTCAAGTATCTAGCGAACGGAGAGATCGAAAGATTCAAAGCGAGGCTCGTGATCAAGGGCTTCATGCAGATTTATGGTATCGACTACCTAGAGGTGTACTCACCTGTTGTGAGGCTGGAGACACTGCGTGTTCTCTTGACACTGGCGGCTGTCTGGGATTATGAAGTGCATCAGATGGATGTCACTACTGCTTTCTTGAATGGGGCGATTGACGTGGAGGTCTATATGGAGCAGCCTGAAGGCTACAAAGTGAAAGGCAAAGAGGACTGGGTGTGCAGATTGAAGAAGAGCCTGTACGGCTTGAAGCAGGCGCCCAGAGTGTGGTTTCAGCTGCTCAAGTCGTTCTTGGATGAGCAGGGCTTCACGATGCTGCAGTCGGAGGCCTGCGTGGCTGTTAAAGTAATTGATGGGCAGTTGGCCTTCATCCCTCTCTATGTTGATGATCTGATTTTGTTTGCTCCGTCGATGGAGCACATCAACAAGATGAAGAAGATGTTCGAGGACCGGTTTGCGATGAAAGATCTCGGGGAGTTACACTACATTCTAGGCTGGGAGATCACGCGGAACCAGGCCGAGAGAACGATGTTCATTGGTCAGCAGAAGTATGCCGAGACCGTGCTCAAGCGGTTCAACATGCAGGACTGCAATGGCTACAAGACGCCGAGCACGGCGGATCTGAAGCTGAGCAAGGCCATGTGTCCGACCGAAAACGATGAAAGGCAACTGATGAGATCGAAGCCATATCGTGCTGTGGTTGGCAGCCTGATGTACCTGATGCTCGGTACCCGGCCCGATCTGGCCTACCTAGTTAGAGAGTGCAGTCGGTTCTTGGAAAACCCAGGTCTGTTGCATTGGAGAGCTGCGAAACGTGGATTGCGCTACCTGAAAGACACAGCGGACTGGGGGGTCCAGCTTGGTGGCGTAGCGTGGTCAGATCAAAAGCTGGATGATCATCTGAGAGCATACGCAGATGCGGATTTTGCAAATCAAGTTGATGATCGAAAGTCTGTTGCAGGCTACGTGACTCAATTTTGTGGGAGCATCATTTCGTGGAGCAGCCAGACGGAGAAGACCGTCGCGCTGCACACGACCGAGGCCGAATATATGGCTATTAGTCTACTGGTGCAGGAGGTGGTGCACTTGCGCCAAATGCTGAAGGAGCTGCAGGTGCAGCAAATTCAGCCATCCCAAGTCTTTGTTGACAACGAAAGTGCAAAGAAGCTTGCCAGCAACCCTGTGTTTCATTCTCGGACCAAGCACATCGATGTGCGACACCACTTCGTGCGTGAGCGCATCGATTTAGAGGAAATTGACGTGCTTCGGGTGCCAGGAGTTGATAACGTGGCCGATGCTTTTACAAAGCCATTGGCACGTCCGGCATTTGAAAAACACAGAGCTGCAATGGGATTATTGCCAAGGGCAAGATTTAGAGATGCAAGTTGATGGGAATCCGTAGGTGGGGCTGTTGCGGATTATACTGATCCCCACTATACCACTTGCAGTTGGAGTAAGACAAAAGGTGAAAGAGAAGAATCTAGGCCTCGGTTGAGAATATACACACGACCAACAAGGTGGCTTTTGCCGCCCAGCTGAGTGTTGTCGTTGCTTCCATCTCTGCGTGAGCAGCACCAAGAGGACACTCCACTTCAAGATTCATCCGTGCCAAAGTTCCCTGTCTCCCATGGAGCGTGTTATCGGTCTGCTGGTGGTAGACCGTATCGCCGGTCGTTTCGCCTCGCTGTGTGCCAGCCCCAGATCTCCTTCACTTACAGCTCTCGCCCCACTTCGCTTCCGGCCGACAACTCGTGGCCGCGAAGCTGGCAGCTTTTCTACTGGTGCAGGCTCCATTTTCGCTACTCGTTCCTCCAATGTTGCCATACTCGAGTCTGCATCTCTGGGCGGAGACCCCACCTCAAGCAAAACAAGTTGGCGGAGTCCTGCCTTCGATGCACTCACTGCAGACGGATCGAGGGCTTCACGCAGCAGCCCAATATCCCCGACCCACGACAGAGTCTGCTTTACTCGACTCAGCAACCTCTCAGGGGCAACGGCAGCAAGGAGAAACTCTTTCTGAGCAACGTCGCTCTCCAACTTTTGAACTTGGTCCACAACACCCTGGCGCGATCGATACTTGCGCTCCATAGCCAGCCACGCTTCCAATACACTGCCATTTGTTGCTCCCGACTGATCTATCGTACCCGTCAGAGGAGTTACTGCTTGTTCGTGTTCTGCTCTCTCCTGGAGCGTCATGAACCTGCCCGTGCTCGCCTCACCCATGCCGTGCTCCCTGGGCGACTCAGACGCGCCGGATAGCTCGGGTCCACTGCTCAAAGCCTCCAGTAGCAACGAAACATCACCGGAACAACTCAGCTCTTGCAGCACTCTGTCGTAATAGGATCGAGGAGTCGACGCCTCCAGTTGCGCGTCCAGTTGAGCCCACTTATTCTCCAAAGCCCCCACTTGCGCCGCCAGCCATTCATAGGTAGAGTCCAGCCGCTCAATGTCGTCACGCAGCCTCACCACCATCCGACTTAAACTCCCGCACTCCATTCTTCTCCACCATTCGACTTAAATAGCGGAATAGGATATGTGTGCATTTCAAGTCCCGCTCCTGCGAGCGGTAGCAAGACGACTTACGTGGGGGATGCAGCGCGGGTCTGCCTCCTCCCTAGCAATAACGGACTCATCCTCTTGGCCAGCGGCCTCAGACCCACCGTGAGGACGGTTATGTGCACCGCTCCCTCGAAGGGAGGGCTTCTTCCCGTCCGCGTTGTTTCTTCTTCCTTCGTCATTGCCGTACGAACTCTGCGGGGCGCGGTAAACCTTGCAGTCGCGCCATAAGCAGGGTTTGCATGTTGACGGCGGCGTTGACGTCTCTGTTCAGAAAGTTTTTCTTGCAGTTCTTGTTGGCACAACGCAATACGGAACGATCGTAGTAGAGAGGTCTTTCGTCGGCGTCTAGCTCGTCGGGGCCGGGATCGTTTGGATCGAGGAAGACGGCCATCTTCATAGGTTGGTAGCAGGCGGAGCACAGTTTGCTCGTCCTGAACTCGTGCACCTTGACCACTGTCGCTCTCTTCCTCATAGCCTTCTCGAGAGGTCTCAACGGGGGGTTTTGGCCCTCCTTTGATGTTGTCGCTCTGGCTCCAGTTGCCAAGTCCGACGCACACATGTGCCCCGGCCTCTGGTATCAGCCATTTGGCGACGTCGTCTACAGCGATCCGGTGCTTCACATGCGAGAAAAATCTCCATTTCCTGAAATTGTGGGCGATGCCGAAATCCAGGAAATAGTCCAGGCTGAGCCATACCTGCTCCATCCGAACGAGGAAAACTCTCGCGTCGGCCGTTTTGAGGCAGGGAAGGCTACTGATTGCGATCTGGTATTCAGGAAATCGGAGGCGCAGCTTCTCGTGCCACTTGTTGAATTTCTTACTGCCACTCATGTGCTGGTATTCGCCTGCCTTGATCTGGAGAATTCGCTGTTCATGCTGGACCTTTGGTAGTTTCGGTTCGCGACGTCTTCGAACTGGAGTTCGTGGAGGTCCCGTTGAGCTCACGCGGTCTTCCACTGGGCACCTCTTGTTGCGGTGCCATCGTGGAGGTTTGGGTGATGGGGGTGGAGGGGGTGGGGGCTTCTTCTTCTTTGAGCAAAGCTTGCCGATGATCGCAGCCGTGCAGGGGGCCTTCTTGCCTGGATCGACACCCACAAACCCGCGAGCGCGGATTCCCCGGAGGGCTGGCTCGGGGGCGGGGTAGGGAGCCGAGTCGCTGACTTCACTCGCTATACTGGGATCCTGCTCGTGTGTAGTGTCTTCCTCGGGTTCCAATTCAGGCTCGTCCTCCGTTATTTCCTCGCCGTTCGTCTCCGTCACGAGCGATTCCGAATCCGGGTCGTCATCAAACTCGTCCGCGTCCCCAAGTTCTTCATCTTCCTCGTTTTCCTCTCTTCTCCCAACGGAGCGTGCCAAACGCGTGAGCTGCACCATTAACACGGAAGCTGCGTACCCATCTGACCGGATCGAGTCACCGAAGAACCTAGCGGCGTGTCTTGCCTTCTCGTCCACCGAAAGACCATTGAAGCGGGCCTTGCCGATCTTGGTGCGCCGCGTCTCGAACTGTGTGATGTTGAATGCGCGCCTCATCAACTCGGAGCCCCGCTGAGTAAAGTAAGGGCGTGTCGGGATGCGGTTGTTGGGCGTGAGTTCAACACCAAGAACATTCTCGCCCGTGCGCTTGTAAATGCGCGAGCAGAGGTGTGCCAAAGTAGACGGATCGATCTTGATGTTGTAGAGTGCGAACGATTGCGATAGCGGTAGAAGGCTGAACATCTTGATTGTCTTAGAGCGCTTCTCCTTGGGTTTCTTAGCGCCCTTGCCCTTCTTCGTCCTCTTTTCCTCTTCCATTTCCTGAATCGTTTCTTCTGAGCCGTCGCTGTATCTCCACTTTGCGCACGCTGCCGCCGCTGCTCGATCTGGTTTTGCTCAACAAAGACCATGATCTCGTACAGCTTCCGCACGAAATAGCCCACATGCTTCTTGATAACGGTTTTCCTGGGGAAAACCTGCTCCAGCTCACCGTCTTCACCCCACGCCGCAGATCCCAGCCACGCCTTCATCTCCAGTACTTCCCGGCGCTCCGACGCATCCGAGCTGTAGCAGGCGCGCACGACCTTTCTGGTTTCCTTGGCAGAGATCCCATACCAAAGCCGCACAAAGAGGGTGAAGTGCTTGCGGAACTGGGTCACGACCATGTTGGTAGCGTTGACGCTCATGAGCCCGCCAGCCTCACCGTGTAGAACGTCAATCTTGGTGACGTCGTCTGGCTCGTAGGTGTATGTGCTTGGTCTTGCCCCGAGGAACGCTACTGCGGAGTCGTAAAGGTCCCCTAGACGAACGTCGTCTCCTCGGCGAAGGCCCCGGCTGACGATTCTACAGCACCGGGTGAAAATGTGGAAGACGTCAAGTCGGGGATGTCACCGCGCTCCTCGCACTGGCGGAGTACGTGGAAGTTCGCGAGGGCCCAAGCTTCGGTGGTGGACTTCAGTATGAGTCGAGCGCAAATCTGGATCTCATTGATGAGCTCCGGGTGGGGACATACCCGACCGAGCTTACACCGGACCGTGGAGCAGGCATACCGCCGCTTCCAGTCTCGGAGCCTGCCGGGAGGGCGGCAGGCAGCACGCTCCATGGCGCTCGGGGCCAATTCAGATGTGCGGGGCGGAGACGATTGAAGGGAAATCTGGAAATGCCAGCCAGCTTCCATGGAAGCATAAGTGCTTCAATGGCGTAGTGGGTTGAGGGGGGTAGCCATTATTCAGCTGAGCTCGTATGGGAGGATGTCGCTGAGCTGCTCCTCGATGAACTCGCGGACGTGCGATGCTGCCCATATAGGTGAGGAGCCATTCGGGGCAGTTCGGGCCGAGTACATTGGCAGCTTTGTGGACTACGTGAACGACAGCGCGCGCGAACTGGTGGCTGATGTCCATGGAAGCACAAGTGCTTCAAGCGGTTAGTTGTCAGTATACGCGGGGTGGCTGCCGTTCGCTGGCCTTCGTTCTCCTCACCATGCACTCCGCCGCGTGCTTCAAGACGGGAATGAGCTGCAGTGTGGCGGTGTCCAAGCGACAAATCTTCTTCGGTGCAGTTATCGTTATCATCGTATTCTGCTGCTCTTTTTCCCACAATCGCGCTGAAACATATGAAACAATTGGCGGGAACCCGGGTTCCCGCAAATGATACCGACCAAATCGCGAATTATTTATTTAACCTTTGGCCTCTATATTGGTACCCTCGGGGCAAGTTAAACCCTCATATCTAAGTGCTGTCGATGAAGGACTACCCTCAAAATATGCAACAGGTACTGAATAGACCCAAATAACATACCTTATCATGTCCAAGTTTATCTTTCATGAGCAGGAGGATAGCGATGAGACCGGGAAGCACTGTACCGCTGCACCAGGCAAGCGACTGGATTTTCGTGGAGAGACACAGGACGAGGGCGAAGGTAAATTAACCTTCCGTTCCCCTACTGAGCTTCAGCTGCGTTCTATGTAGGTCATAGACCAACACTTCAATGCATTTGCTCATACATGTGTACCGGTAGTTTTGGTGGAACCGGGGTCCCGATGGGTACCCGGGTTCCCGCCAATTGTTTCATATGTGTGACTAAAAAGTTGCCAGTTGAAGTTGTCTATTCTCACAAAACATCATACGTATCTGTACAAACCGTGCCATCTACGCCACCGACATCCGATGATGCCCACGGCTACGCACGGTCCAGATTTTAGTCGCCACTCATACAGAGATTATCACCGGAGCTGCTCGCTGGGGGGCGCATGACCGCCGACTTCCAGACCGTCAACAGCACTCGTTCTCCTCCACCATGGCGCCCACTGAGTCGATATTCGTGACCTGCACGCCCGTGCAGTCGCCGTACGCCGACTTCCCGTACACCGAGGAGCTGTCCCCGAGTCCGCGGTCCACGAATTCGTCGCGACGACCGCGCAATGGAGACGCGCCCTCCCGCTGCAGTCGCTGCGCCGAGTTCCTGCGCTGCAATGCGGTGCAGCGCGTGATATCAGCCGCCGTGTTGGCGCCGGCCGTGACGGTGTTCCTCTGGTCGTCGCCGGCTTTCGCTACTACGACGGTCTGCAGCTTCTTGACCAGCACCTGCTCGTACGAGTACGCGTGCCTGGCCAACCGCATCCGGCTGAGGATTCTGACGCGGCTGGAGGCGATGGAGGGCCCCAGTGAAGGGGTGACCAGGTGCTCGAGGTTCAGCAGTGACACACTATATCATCACACAAGGAGCAACGCCAGCAGCAGCCTGAGTATTGAGGACGAGGACGCCGAAGATGCGTCGCAGTGTCGACTGTCGACGCCGAGGACTGGTATTGAGGCCTCGACGAGGGTACGCAACTCAGTGGGGAGGACTAGGCGCACATTGCAGGAGGAGAGAGAGAACCAGGAGATTGCCGTTGTGGACTGCGAGTTGAGAGACCAGGAAGATCGACTGAGCCGGTGCGCGGTGACGAAGCTGGCGGAGAGGTATTTTGAAGGACACGAGTGGGTGGCTGCAGTCTGGGTTGCGTTGCTCATCTGTGTGGTTACGACCGCGACGCTTTTGTTTTTGATTCAAAAGATCCCCGAGCTCCACTCGACGGAGTTCTACGAGTACCGCTGGACGTTTGCTATTGCTACGGGGTTCGTGGTCGGACTTTCGGCGTGCTTTACGCCGGACTGGCAGTACGGAGTCATCATGCTCATCAAGTATGTGGTATTCATCTTCCTCACCCTGCATTCGACTGCCTGCCCGATGAACCAAGGGGACTGCAACGTCGCCATCGCAACATCGCATGTGTTCCTCATTGGCTTCATGGTTGTTTTGGTATTCCGCTTCGCGTCGTCACGCAGCAACGCTGAAGCATTTGTGACGTTCATGTTGGACGTGGTGGGGCTGGTGTACATCACCGGCAGTCTTTCAATTCTCGTGTCGTTCGTGGACGACGATATTCGAATTCTCTACCGGAAACTGCTAATCGCGCTGCTGTATATTGTGTGGGCGTCCGACACTGGCGCGTACTTGGTGGGCAAGGCACTCGCGTTTTTCAATTACCCGTACTACAATCCACTGGCCCCTCATTTGTCGAAGAACAAGGACTACGAAGGTACTCTGGGGGCGATTGTCTTCGGCATCGTGGCGATGGCGGTGGCGTCGGATATTCTGAATCTCCCCGGTTCATTTGGTACAAAAGTGGCGTACACCATCATTGCAGTGGTCGCTGGCAGACTGGGAGATCTATTCGAGAGCCTGCTGAAGCGAGCAGCGGGGGTGAAAGATTCAGGCAAATTGATTCCAGGACATGGTGGTGCGCTGGACCGCATCGACGCACTGATGTTTGCCACAGTTGTGTTTTCTCGATACTACGCCTTGCACACGTGAAGGAAGCTCGACAGATGAATTGCTGAATTTATTTTTTTTACGAAGGAGCGACTCGATGAAACTACGGGTGCACCAAGATTTTTGTCTAAAGTATGAATATGAACGAGTATTGTGCTGCTAGGGTTCCTTGGTGACGTCGGGTCTCAGAACTTCTAAATGAGATAGTCCAACCTCACAGATCTGCCGCTCTGAATCTCAACTCCCTTCCAAGCGAATCCTCCGCTGCGCTCGCCACAAGAAAGTTTCCCGTACATCAACGGCGCGTCTTCGGCAACAGAACTGCAAGGTGATAATAATGCAATGAGCTGCAGTGTGGCGGTGTCCAAGCGACAAATCTTCTTCGGTGCAGTTATCGTTATCATCGTATTCCGCTGCTCTTTTTCCCACAATCGCGTTGAATCGTTCGTGGCCCTCATGCTGGACGTGTTGGGGGTGGTCTACATCATCGGCCCTCTCTCCGTGCTCGTAGCGTTCGTGGATGACAACCATCGCTCAATCTACCGGAAGCTGCTGATAGTCTTACTCTACGTCGTATGGGCTTCCGACACCGGCGCATACCTCGTGGGCAAGACACTCGCGTATTTCAACTACCAGCACTGCTATCCACTAGACCCTCACTTGTCCAAGAACAAAGACTACGAAGGCACTTTAGGCGCCATCGTCTTCGGAGTCGTTGCCATGGCCGCAGCATCCGAGATCCTGGACCTGCCGGGATCAATCGGCACCAAAGTGGGCTGCACTGTCTTGGCAGTGATCTTCGGTCGACTGGGAGACCTCTTCGAGAGTCTGCTGAAGCGAGCAGCCCGCGTCAAGGACTCCGGGTCACTCATCCCGGGCCACGGCGGCGTGCTCGACCGCATCGACGCCCTCATGTTTGCCAACATCGTCTTCTCCCGCTACTACGGACTGCGCTTCTGAATGGCATACATGTGTATACAGCAAGGTTTACTGTTAAAATACACGAAGCTTATGATGATAATCGCAGCATGGTTATCTCGTGGCATCCGTTGGCGCAACGGCAACTCCAGTCAGGATCATGCGACAGAGTGGCCGTTCTCAGCGGTGTGTTCTAAACAGTGCAGAATCGCGTCATTTGGCTCATTTGCCAAGTGGTCAGGTCAAGTGCGCGTCAAAGCGTCATGGCCGTCGAGCGAGGCAGCGCGGCCGCGTACTGCAGCACCGTAGCAGACGGCGGGTCCGTCATAATGCTGCGATCCCCTCCGGACATGCAGAGTTCGCCACAGGAGGACTGGCCCTACGTCGGCCAGGGCCAGGAGGAGGCAGCTGTATCATTTTCATCCTCACCCTCGATAATGCCAATGCCGAACAACAACTCGAAGCGATGGAGCGACTTCTTCCAGCGCAACGCGGTGCAGCGCGTCATCTCCGCCGCCATCTTGGCGCCGGCCGTGACGGTGTTCCTGTGGCTGTCCCCGGCGTTCGCCACCACGACCGTCTGCAGCTTCATGATCAGCACCTGCGCCTACGAGTACGCGTGTCTGGCCAACCGCATCCGACTGCGGATACTGACGCAAATGGAGGCGCTGGAGGGGCCTCTCAATGGACGAAGCTCGAGTCGGCGCTGCGGCAACAATACGTCGCTGAATGACACGCAAAGCAACCGCAGCTTCTCGTCCGAGACGGACGAGGTGCTTCAACTGGACCCGACGCCATCAATCGAGAGTGCGGCGCTGTTTAGCTCTGCGGTCCGCACGCGAGTCACGAGGTTACCGCAGCCTGACGCGCGCGCAGTGGAGGAGGAGCGGGAGAACCGAGAGATCGCCATTGTGGACGACGAGCTGAGAGATCAGGAGGACCGGATGCATCGCTGTGCAGTGACCAGTCTAGCTCTGCGCTACTTTGACGGTCACGTGCGGTGGGCAGCGGCATTTGTGTCGGTCCCGGTGTGCGCGTTAACGTCTGCGGGTTTTCTACTATCGATTCAATGGGTGTCGGATTTCGAGTCGACCGAGTTTTATACGTATCGATGGTTTTTCGCGATTCCGACGGGCTACGTGGTTGCGCTGTGTGCGTGTTTGACGCCGGACTGGCAGTACGCGGTGATCACATTGGTCAAGTACGGCGTCTTTACTATCCTCACATTGCACTCTGCGGCGTGTCCGATGAACGAACTCAACTGCAACTTGGCGATCGGTACATCGGAGGTTTTTCTCGGTGGCACGGCGATCATCCTCGTGTTCCGCTTCGCGTCAACTCGTGGCCGGGCGGAGGCGTTCATCAGCTTCATGCTGGACATTGTGGAGCTGCTTTACGTGACCGGAACGCTGTCAATTCTCGTGGCTTTTGTCGATGATAACCACCGCACTTTGTACCGGAAGCTGCTCATTGCGTTGCTGTACAACGTTTGGGCGTCGGACACTGGCGCCTACATCATCGGGAAGGCTCTCGCGTACTTCCACTATCCGTACTACAACCCGTTTGCAGCACATCTGTCCAAGAACAAGGACTATGAAGGCACGCTAGGAGCGATTATCTTTGGAGTTGTCACGATGGTCGTGGCGTCCGAGCTGCTGGATCTGCCCGGCTCGTACGGCATGAAGGTTGGCTTCACGGTGCTGGCGGTGGTCGTTGGAATGATGGGCGACTTGTTCGAGAGTCTGCTGAAACGCGCTGCAGGAGTTAAAGACTCTGGGACATTGATCCCCGGCCACGAAGGCGTGCTGGACCGCATTGATACACTCATGTTCGCGACAATTGTGTTCTCTCGCTACTACGCCTTGCAGTCCTGAGCAATTATTGAACGAGAGCTGCGATCACCAAATTATATAACATGAACCAAATAAAGCGTACTGCAACACGGCAACGCCAGTGATGCAAACCCAGCAAGAGTAAGATACATGGTTGCAGCGAGCGATTCGTTTGCCGATTAGAAATTAATTCTAATCTAATTTAGTCCTGTCTAGTTCTAGATTCTAAAACAGTTGAGCCCGGCTCACGTAATTAATCCCATCCCGTGCTAAATTCTAAATTTCTATCCCACAGTACCCACTTGCCCCTGTCCTCGACGAGGACTCCTCGATGACGCCGATGGTATCTCACCCGCCGCATCGCCACAGCCCACACGAGCCCTCGGGCATCCCGATCATGGCTCGACCATCGGCAGACGCGCAAAATCCCCCCCTGGAGGGCAGCTACAGCCTGCACCGCGGCGCTCCTCTACCCCATGCGAGTCGCTGCCCCGCCTTCCTGCGCCACAACGCGGTGCAGCGCACCCTGTCTGCCGCCGTGTTGGCTCCTGCCGTGACGGTATTTCTATGGCTATCTCCAGCGATTGCAACGTCTTCGGTCTGCAGCTTCATGACCAGCACGTGCTCGTACGAGTACGCGTGTCTGGCCAACCGCATTCGACTGCGAGTATTGACGAAGCTGGAGGCGCTGGAGGGCTCATTGGGCAACGCAACGAGACCCGAAACTGTTGGAAGTGAAGACTCCAATCCAGATACAAGGAGCGATGGCAGCAGTGACAGTGGCAGCTTTATTCACAGCAGGAGCGACGTGACGGCCAGCGCGACCTTCGTGTTCGACGACACCACCAACTGTCAACAGAGGAGATTGACCACCACAAGGGATTTACAGGAAGAGCAAGAAACAAGGGAGCTACAGCAGGTGGATTGTGAGCTGAGAGACCAGGGCCAGAGGCTACGACGAACTGCGGTGACCGGGATGGCCAAGTATGTTTTCGGCGGACGCGAGTGGCTTGCAGCAGTGTGCATTTCGACGCTGGTGTGCTTCATTTCGTCCGCGGTCTTCCTGTTGGGGATGGAGAAGATGCCCTTGCTGGGGGTGACCGAGTTCTACGAGTCGCGGTGGTTTTACACTGTCTCAACGGGCTTCGTTGCCGCAATGTGTGCGTGTCTCTCTCCGGACTGGCAGTATGCGGTCGTGATATTGATGCAGAACGCGATCTTTACGCTGCTGACACTGTACTCGGCGGCCTGCCCGATCAACGACATGTCGTGCAATATGGCCTTCCAACCAGCCCAAGTAGTCATGAGTGGCATGATCTTCTTCCTGGTGTTTCGCTTTGCTGTCTGTCGGAGCAGTGCTGAAGCATTTTTGACGTTTACGCTGGATGCGCTGGGTCTGATCTACATCATCGGCACGCTATCTGTACTTGTGTCCTTTGTAGACGACGAACGGAAGACACTGTACCGGAAATTGCTCATCGCGTTGCTCTACGTCGTGTGGGCGTCAGACACAGGAGCCTACATCACCGGCAAGGCACTTGTAATGGCGAAATACCCGTACTATAACCCTCTGGCCGCGCACCTCTCCAAGAACAAAGACTATGAAGGAACACTTGGGGCTATTGGATTCGGGATCGTTGCCATGGTTGTGTCATCCGACATGCTCGACCTTCCTGGCTCATTTGGGACGAAGGTGTCCTTCACTGTAGTGGCGGTGGTTATCGGCCGTCTGGGCGATCTCTTTGAGAGTTTGCTGAAGCGTGCAGCTGGCGTGAAAGACTCCGGCTCGCTTATCCCAGGCCATGGCGGCGTATTAGACCGCATCGACGCACTGATGTTCGCGACGCTGGTGTTTTCCCGATACTACACGATGGTGTATTGAATGAAAGTTCTCAAGTGTGGACCGTCGACAACAGCTCGATCTATTTGGGCGGATGATGCGACGAATTTGGGTAGACCTCAGGTTGGAGGTCTGAGGATGAGCGTCCGCAACATTTATTTATCATTTCACGTAAGCATGGCTACAATTACATTCGTTTCGTTTCATGTCCACGTATAAGCTTTCTCACAGACATTTTGATCTATCCCTGGCGAAGGGTGGGAAACGAGGTCTGGCGGATCGCTGCATCCAGCGTCGTCCGACAAATGTACTAAGCTTACATGTAGTGTGTGCACCACTTGTTAGCGGCAATGCTAAACTTCATAACGCGATCTGCTTATTTTGCTGCACAAGCCGCAGCATAGCTCAAGTGTATCAGCTAAACTCGAAAGCGACACGACCCACCAGGGCATGAACTGGAGGTCAAACTCTTCAGTGTACATCAGCAACTATGAATCATAGTTGCTGTTCATAGTCTATGAAGCCCGCTCGCAGTGAATGTGCCTGTTGTTCATTGCCCTACCGGTAGCGTGGCAACTGATCCAGATTAACTCGAGGATTAATTCTAATCCAGAATTAAGCAATTTAAGTTCTAAAAGCAGCCCGGCTCACGGGCCCATCCCCTCCTAAATTCTAAAATTAAATAAAGCCGGTGCAGCGCAACTTGCACCCTTCCTGCACTGCTACGGTTGACTCGCGGGCGGTCGTTCGGTCGCGAGGATGACCCCGCAGCCACAGAGCCCCGACGCCAGCAGCCTGCTGGCAGCAGGACGATACGCTGGGCATTCCGATCATGCCGCAGCCGTCGAGTGCCGTGCAAAACTCTCCTCTGGAGAGCTCCTACCACAGCTTCAGCCAGTCGCCAACGCGCCGCTGCTCGGCCTTGGCCTTCCTGCGCCACAACGCGGTGCAGCGCACGCTGTCCGCCGCCGTGTTGGCGCCCGCCGTGATCGTGTTCCTATGGCAGTCCCCAGCCATTGCCACGTCCACCGTCTGCAGCTTCATGACCAGCACGTGCTCGTACGAGTACGCGTGTCTGGCCAACCGCATCCGACTGAGACTATTGACACGCCTGGAGGCGCTGGAGAGCTCTGTGGGCAGCTTAACAGGCCCTGTACCAGGCATCAGCGACATCTCCCAGCAAGACACACGGAGTGACAGCAGTAGCGACAGCTTTACCAGCAGTAGGACGTTCGACTTTGACGTGACCACCAGTCGGACGTTCGTGTTTGACAGCACGACCAACTCGCAGCTGCATCGGAGACTTTCACTGGATGGCGACAGGTATACAGCAAGAACAACGACGACCAGAGCGTTCCACGAAGAACAGGAGGCGCGGGAGCTGGCGCAAGTCAATAGTGAACTGACGGAGCAGGCGCCGAGGTTACGACGCTGTGCGGTCACGGATGCGGCGACGTACATCTTCGGAGGACACGAGTGGCTTGCGGCGTTGTGCATCTCATCTCTGCTTTGCGTTATTTCATCGTGTGCATTCCTGCTGACAATTCAAGGAGTGAGTGCGTTGGAGTCGACGGAGTTTTATGAGTCACGGTGGTTTTACACTGTCGCGACAGGGTTCGTTGCTGCCATGTGCGCGTGCCTCTCTCCAGACTGGCAGTACGCGGTTATCGTCTTCCTGCAGAACGCCATCTTCACGATCCTCACGTTGCACTCGACAGCGTGTCCGATGAACCAGCTCACCTGCAATATGTCGTGGAAGCCGTCACAGATCGTCCTCGCAGGCATGGTGGTCTTCCTGTTGTTTCGGTTTGCTACGTGTCGGAGCAATGCTGAGGCGTTCTTGACCTTCACGCTGGATGCGGTGGGACTTGTCTACATTATCGGCACGCTGTCAGTGCTCGTAGCATTTGTGGATGACGAGCGACGGACACTCTACCGGAAACTGCTCATCGCGTTGCTCTACGTCGTGTGGGCGTCCGACACAGGCGCCTACATCACTGGCAAGGCTCTAGCTCTCGCGAAATACCCCTACTACAACCCGTTGGCTGCCCACCTATCCAAGAACAAGGACTATGAAGGAACACTTGGCGCTATCGGCTTTGGTATCGTCGCCATGGTTGTGTCGTCCGACATGCTCGACCTGCCCGGTTCATTCGGCATGAAAGTGGCTTTCACAGTGGTGGCGGTGGTTATTGGCCGCCTAGGAGACCTGTTCGAAAGCTTGTTGAAGCGTGCAGCGGGCGTGAAAGACTCTGGCTCGCTGATTCCAGGTCATGGCGGTGTGTTAGACCGCATCGACGCGCTGATGTTCGCGACGCTGGTGTTCTCTCGGTACTACGCCATGGTGTACTGAACGGTGTCCGTCATACGTCAAGGGCAGGAAAAGTCTAACCGTGCCATCTTTACGGACTCTTCAACGTGGGGCTGCTGTCTCCTCCAGCAGATTTTGCTCGCCTGCGTCACCTCCAAAGCGGAGACTACCATATCATTGAACGTGTGTGCCGTTTGTGCGCGTGAGTAAGTTGTTTCATCGGTTTTGCTATATAGATATCAATCAACTCCCTCAAATGTGTTCTCTGGGTCTAGATCCGCACCCTCTTGCCCCCTCTGCTAACTGCAGCTACGAGCTCAGTACTTGGGGTCCACTGCACGCGCCCAGTTCTGCCACAGCATCGGAGTAATTATCAGAAAAGAACCAAAACCCTCACAAGAGCTTCAATTCCACGTGCGCACCTTGTAGTCCGGGTCGTACTTGAAGTCGCCCTCGTTCAGGAACAACAGGTCCGTCAACAGCAGCATCGTCAAGAAGATCACCAGCGTCGCCTGCAAAATAATAATAAAAAATAATGATAAGTAACCAAAACGATTTTTGTGACGTGTATTCTACTCAGACAGCGCTCCGTACCCAGGGCATCCAGGCCGCGTCCGACGCCGCGAAGGCCACGAAGATGAAGAAGACGATGATCAGCAGCTGCAGCTTCTGTCGCAGGGCCGAGAACCACATGATGCCGCCGTCCGAGTACCGGGTACTAGAGCGCTCCAAGATCCGCCACTTGCGGGGTCGTTATGAACTCTGACACAAAAGCTTACACAAAATAAAGAACAGCCTATTCATTGGTCAAAACCCGCAAACCCATTACCCCATCCCATTGGCAGAATTAACTCCTATTTCAACCAATAAACGCTAGTTGAGCCCTTGCCGCCATAATTCAAACGCCACCGCCGCCGTCATGCACCCGCCCGCGTCCCCGGCGCCGTCCACGGCCGCGCCGCGCGAATCTGTGCGCATGAAGCGCATGAAGCTGATCCTGCAGAAGGCTCTGGACGTGTCGGTGCACGCCGCGTCGCTCGTGGACCTGCGCGCGTGTCTGGAGAGCGAGTGTCGCGGGGACGAGGAGCTGCTGGCCGCCTTCTTCCCGCCGCCGACGCCTGAGGGACCTGACCACGATACCACGGAGGAGGTGGCGGCTCAGGCGGTGCTCAGTCTCCGACAGAAGGTGGAGGAGATCTTTGCGTGGCTCTGTGAGCAGCACGACGTGGACGTGGAGCTGCTGGAGCTGGAGGACGTGATCCAGCAGGCGGAGGAGCGGCGACTGCGGCAGGTGACGGCGGCGGAGGAAGAGAAGAAGAAGAAAGAAGAGAAGGAGCAGGAGGAGAACAAGGAGGAAGGTGGAGAAGATGACGAGCAGCAAGAGCAGGAGAAGACGACGCCTGAAGCGAGAATTCGTGCAGAGAGACTGCGGGCCAAGCAGGAGGAGCAGAAGGAGCTGGAGGCGCTGGTGGAAGCTTTGGAGACCAAGAACAAGGAGCTGCAGCGATCTGTGGAGGAGAAGCGACGGTTGGCTACTGCAGACGTACAGCGGATGCAACGCGCCGCTGCTCAACTGGACCAGGTGAGCCACCTCGCTAAGGACTACGCCACGGCTCCGTAGATGTGAGGTGGAGAGCTTGGGAAATATCTAGTTTATTGTATTTGATCCTGCGTCGAATACTCTGTTGTTGCTTGTGGAACTAGTGGGATTGGAAGAAGGTTTGGGCGGCTTCTTGGAGGACTTGGCGTGACATTGCCATGCTTTGCTGAGAGGCAGCGAGCTCTCGACGAAGCTCTTCCAATGTCGTGCCATTCTGGAAATTACTGACGAGAGCTTGCAAGGTTTGAGGGTCCATGTGGCCTTTTGGCTTCGACTTGGGCTTGGAGGAATCAGTGCTTGCACTTGGCGGACTGCCTTCAGTAGTGCTACGCTTCTTCTTTAGAACCCCCTTCGACTTCACTGCTGAGCCGTACGCCGATGAAGATGTTGGCTTGCCCTTCTTCTTTCGGGCATCCGTGCTTACGCTGGAAGACCCTTTTCCTCCGCCTGCCCGGCTTCCTCGGAGGCCACCAGAGGCAGCATTACTCGACAGTGACGATGAAGATGATGAAGAGTTCGCTCTGCCAAGCGCCGCGCGCTGCATCAGCATCTTGGTCTTGCTGTTTCTCCACGACTGCTGTTGCTCGTCTGCGTCTCCGTCGTCGTCATCAAAGTTCATCTGCTGCAGTTGATTGGCATACGCAAACGCTTCTTGCAGAAGCTTCGGGTCGATGGTCTTTGATGCTGAAGCAGCCGCAACAGCGCGACCAGGCCGACTGGGATAGGTCGTCTGATTATCCGGCGACGCCCTCCTTGCGTTCAAGGTAGGAAGAGTGCTCTTCGGTGGCTTGTTGACTGGAGCCTTCGACGTCTTCCCAGATAGATTCGACAGGCTAGGCGACGGCTTGTTCAGGAAATGCTCCACTTCATCCCAGAGCCCTCCTCCGCTAGACTCTTGGGGCTCTTCCTCCTCTTGCTGCGCCTCCTCAGCTGACTGAAAGCTTTCATTGTCGTCTTCATCTTCGTCTTCGTCTTCTTGCTGGCACTGACTGCGCTGACTCCGCACACTTCGAGCGCTTTTCTCCGAGTTGATCGAGCCTGCCGAGTGTAGATGACTGCGGCTGGAAGATGCGGACGAGCTGGATGAACGCGCGCTGGGCACCAACGGCAACTCCACAGCACTCATCTCGTAATGCAGGACTGGATGTTGAACACGGATGCGCTTGCTATTGACAGATTACACCTTGAGTCTTGGCTGATGCAGCTACACACCACTACAGACACGTTTTGCCACCGAGCTCCTGGATGACCACGGTTCCTCCGTTTCTCGTCGACTGAAATAGTCTCTCACTGACAAATTTATCGTCCGCTACGACACTATACCAGCACGTGGAATAACACCGAGTTGCCCAGCGCGTACAGCGTGAGCTGAGCAGCTCCTCTCGCTACCAATCCAAAGACCACAACCGCCACAACATGCAATGACCTGCCCCGCACCGAATTTCCCTCTTCCAGCATCAATTGTAGCGCCAGCACGTTCGACACTACTACAAGCGCGCCGATAACGTGAATGAAGCTCCAGTCGAACTCCCAGATGACCGTCAGCAGTGCGAACAGCTTGCCGAAGCTTGAGATGCACATGGCGCTGCCGTACCTCGTCCATGGCGCCACGACCCCAGTCTCCTCCTTCTTCTCCCCAATAGGCAGCAGCTTTGCTCGCCATCCACGTCGAAATGGGTCCAGCCAAATTGCAGCGAAGACTGCCACAAAGTACACGACGTTCTCCAGTAGTGCAAGGCACACCAAGTGCAGCGAGAACTGGCCGATCCGCAGTCCGGACGTCGCGGCCTGAAGAGCTTCCGGGGTGCGGTACATGGACTCGGATCGGAAGGTCACGCCGGCGCCCCGGTCCACCAGATAGGCCTTGACGTTCATGTCCAGCATCACGAGCACCACGAACAGCTTGAGCGTCGTGCGCGCGGCCATGGGGGCCGGCAGGTTGCACAGCACGTGGCGGTACACTTGCGGCTTGAGCAGCAAGACCTCCAGGAAGAGCAGGATCGTCTCGTACTCGACGTATTTGTCCGCGACCGAGTTGCACGCGCTGCAGATGGCCAGGCGCAGGTTGCCCTTGCCGTAGTCGCGCACCAGCTCGGGCACGGGCGCCCCGCACTCGACGCACACGAGGCCGCGACGCTGCGTCATGTTGGACTGCGTTTTGGTCCGCCAGGACACATACCACAGTCACAAAAATGTCAATATTTGGTCAGAAAAAAGTATTTGCAGTCCGTTTGTGATGTACTGTAGTATATATGGGACATACGAGAGAGGACTATTTTAATATACGGGACGATTTGGTCGCCCCTTTTTGGTCGCGACCCTCGAGATCAGAGACCGACATCAAGCAGCGCACGGCACCAAGTTGCCTTTTTTACTTGCGGCTACATTAGAACTGTAGACAGACAGACAGACAGACAGACAGACATGGCGAAGGACGTGCACCGCGTTACCAATGCGAGCGACGCGCGCGTGCTGAAGGCCGCGGACGAGTCCAAGTTCGCGTCCTTTTCCAAGGAGAGCGCGGCGCGCGCGGCTGCTCCGGTGCGAATGGATTGATACGGGCTGCGAAGCCTTCAATCAGTCCAATAGTTCTCACGTACTGTTGCGGTGATGGTCTGTATACATGTAGGACCTGGACTTCCGTCGCAAGACGTTTCCGATCCGCACGGGGCTCGCGGCCGCGAGTCTCTTCGCGCTGGGCTCCATCCTCATCTACGTGAGCACGCTCATCGGCCTGGACGAGGAACGCCGCGGACTATCGTTCCTTATCCTCGGGCTTATCGGTAAGACTGAGAGTGGACGCAGTACTGGTGTCTATTGGATAGAGATACTTATCCTGCGTTGTGTCTTGTCTTGTGGGGATTTCTCAGCATTCATCCCGGGCAGCTACGCGACGTACCAGCTCTACGGCGCGTGGAAGGGATGGAAGGGCTACAACTACGACCAGATCCCGTCCTACGACGACTGAGCGCCGCAAAAACTCTACCCCCCCCCCCCCGTATCAAAGACTTCTGCTATCTGGCATCGACCACCTTCATCTCCTACGTCAACCAACGCAACCAACCCGTAGTTCCTTTCCACCAATGAACAATGAACGAATCTTCACGTCTAGATCGCATTGCCATCGCACTCGCCTTGTTGAATCTCTCCGGTCGCTCCATCATGCCGAAAAAGTATCCGTTACCCCCTGCCCTCCTCGCGCGCCCGTCCTGTCGGGCGCAGCAGTGCGCCCTGTCTTGTGTGCGTTTCTCGACGTCATCGTCGCCGAATCGAGCAGCTTTGCTCTTGAGCCACTCTGAACCGCTGCAGCACTTCCCTTCGGCGGCGTCGCATCATCACTTCGCCTTCCTTCGTGCAGCACGACAGAACTCCGTCCATCCATCAACCAGGCCAACCTCTTCTCCGTCCGTCATGTGGTTCGTCGGCTGGCCGCTGGGGCTGCTGCTCTCGGCCATCTCGAGCATCTTCGGCATCACGGGCAAGCTGCTGCTCAAGCTGGCGCACAACGAGCGCGAGAAGGAGGAGCTCGCTGCCGCCCAGCGCGAGCAGCTCAAGCGCCAGAGCCACGGCGCCGTGGCCAGCCCCTCGCTCTCCGTCAAGAGCAACCTGGGCTGCACCTACTTCTACTGCGGCCTCTTCTCCATGCTCGTCATGAACCCGGCGCTGGGGGCGCTGGCCTACTGCTTCGCCACGCAGTCGCTGCTGGCGCCCATGGCGGGGCTCACCATCGGCTGGAACACGCTGTTCGGACCCATCTTGCTGCCGCACGAGCGGCTCACGACCAACGACTTCGTGGGGGCTGTGCTCATCTTCACGGGCTGCGTGTTGGTCGGCGTCTCGGGCACGCACGAGAGTCCGCCGCTGCCTGTGGAGCTGCTGGGCGCCCGGTTCAAGTCCTTCTCCTTCATCTTGTACTGCGTCGTGCTGCTGGCGCTGCTGAGCTTCCTGATCCACCACGCCAAGCACGCGCTGCACTTCACGACCACAAGTCGTCGGGCAGGGGTCAAGTCCTCCCCGGTGTCGAGTCCCGAGCAACTGCCGGTCATCGCGCGCGTGTCGCTGAGTGTCTTTGCTGGGGTTATGAGCGGCCAGCTCTTCTTCCTGGCTGCGGTGATGAGGATCGTTCACGATGACGGAGCTAGTCGCATCTGGTCGTTCCCGTTGACGTACATCTGCATCATCGGCGCGGTGGGGACGGCGCTGCTTGGACTGTACCTGCTGAATGAGGCGCTCGCGGTGGAGGACGCCGTGGTGGTGATCTACCTGTACGAGGCGAGCTACATCATGTCCGGGGCTGTGTCGGGGCTGTGCTTCTTCCGGGACATGAAGCACCTGCCAGTGTGGCATTACGTGCTGTATTCGCTCAGCCTCGTGCTGATCCTATTCGGTATCTACGTGGTGGCTAAGCGTTCGTTGCCCAAGGTGCCGGAAGACGAGGAGTATTTGCTGCCGCTATTGGCTCCGCCTACAGCGGAGGACGCGTCGGTCGAGAGGATATTCAAGCAGGCCTCGTACTACGCGCGCCGGGCATCGTACTCCGGACCGTCGATGCTGCACGCCATCAGACTCGACCGAAACGATACCGAGACGCCAGAGCGCCGCAGGTCGATGCCATTCAAGTAAGTAAAGTAGCCAGCGACAGCCACACCAATTTTTTCTCTTATGGCGTAGACAAAATGCAAGGCTGGCGTGGATGCCTACTAGAAGCATGGTAGCCATTCTGGCGCAACGTAAGTGCCCCCTTTGGGGGGTTAAGTAACTACAGTAAAGCTCAATTCGATCTGCTACACGAATCTACTGGGATCTTGTAACGCAACCTACACTTCAAGTTGAAGTTGTCGTTAGTAACTTCAGAAATGATGCTCGAAGAGCGCCATGGCGGTTCCTACCGAAACCTCCATCCTGCTTCAGACTAACGTTCACATAGCAACAGTTATGGACGACAAGGACGTGTAGGTCAGCATCAATACCACCAAAAGAGCTACGTTCGCTTCGCTTCCATTCCACTTAAATACCTCAGTAACATTTCCACAGCTACGGTGCTTTTAAGCCTCTTCTTCAGCTCCTAACATCCGTGCTGAACGTGACGGTAGCCCACAGATCCGAGTCGCCGCTGCCACTGCTGTCATCCATTTCAACGGTCTCGCGCGCCCTGACATAGAGATAGTACTTGATGAAGACAATAGACGTGAAGAGCAGCGCGTGGGATCCGTCCAACACTCCACCAAAGCCTGGCATCAACCTTCCACTCCACCGAACGCCCGATGCCTTCTTTAGTAGTGACAGAACTATCCGTCCAAATCGCGCCATGAGCACGCTGGCAGTAGTGAAGAGTACTTTAGGCAACACGCCACCGGGGACATCAAGAACAGCGCCACCAAACACCAGCACAACGCTGCCAGCCGCGATGGCACAGAGTGAAGCCTCCACATCCAAAGTCACGACAATGCGCGGAGGCAGCAACTTCATGTGAGGGAGCTGGAACCGGAACATGATGGCTTCGCACACGTAGCCGGCGAACTGCGCCACCCACATGGCACTCAGCATTCCGAGCCAGATCGCAGCCCACGTCGCATTGCCGTCGGTCGGATCCACCATCGAGATGAGCAGTCCCAGCGCTCCAGCAATGTAGACGTATCCCAGTAAGTCGAGGGTCAGCGCCACGACGAGGTTAGCGGGCCCACGAGCGGAGAACGAGTGAACAAACACGACCGCCATTGCACCCAGTACGAAAGTCTGCAGGGATGTTATCGGCGCTGCAGTGCACTCGAATTTAGCCGCTAGCGGACAGTTGAACGCGTTCAGTAGCAGCACCTCAAATGCAGTCTTTTGCACCACCAACGAGAAGGAACGAGGCCAGGTAGGGCAGCACACGGCGCAGAGCGATGCCACGAAGTTCACGACGTAGAAGTAGTACGGCGCCGCCGCGATATCTCGGGGCGTACTAGCCACCGGGAACGGGATCATCGGAGACACCATCGTCGCTGTAACAGACCAGCAAACCGTAAGCAGCGCAGCCACGACAATGCGAGTCAGCCATAAGTTCCCGCAGAACAGCATATTCGCCATCCCGAGCAGCACTCCACGTGAGGTTTCTAACTCCAACAAATGCACTGTAGAGCGCTCTTTCGGACGCGCAGTCTCCTCAGCCACCGGGTATGAGAAACTGTCCTTGTTTGTCCCCAAGAAGGTCATGTTACCATCTTCCGAACAAAGTACAGTCGAGTTCGTCATCGGCAGCGACATCGTCGACTGCGTGAAGCCCGCGGCCACGAACGAGTTCTGGAATCGCCTTCCGTCCTCTTGGTAGCCGCATACAACAGACGCATTGCTGCGTGTGCTAGCTCCGATGGCGTCTCCAGCGTCGACAGGTCCTTCGTTTCCTTCATACCACTGATAGGTGGCTAGCAGTTGAGTGTGGATGCGGAACGACAGCCACGCGTGCTCGTAGCAGCAGACGCACAGCAATATCGTCGTAAGCATTGCCGCTGCTAACACCGGCCAGAAGATCAAGCCACACACAACCAACGGCACAACCACCACCACGGTACACAGTCGTAAAAACGCATTGGGGTACGAATGGCCACAGCAGGACCAACTTCCGTAAATGCTCTGCTTCCGCGACCTTGAACGGTCCCGTGCTTGAGGCTGTACAGCTTCTTGCGGTTGAAATTGCTCACGACAATCCTGTTGTCGGTCTTCGTAGTCATCCAGGAACTCGTCCGTCTCCTCTTCCTCTCGGACGTCAACCGTCTGCTTGCGACTCATACGCGTAGGCGAAATCGGGTTGTACGGGTCATTCGACCTCGCGGAGCCTATCGGCAGAGCTCCTCGAGCGCGAACGCTGCGCTTGGCAGTGTCCACCGCCTTCCTGTACCTCGAATCGGTGAAGTTAACGTGTCCACGTCCATCCAGCGTCGGAACTCGCTCCGTCGGGGTGACGTCCTGCACGTTTTCTCCATCCAAGACCGGGTTTGTGCCTCGAAAGTCCGCCGTTGCAACTGCTTCGTTCCTGCTATTTTCTCCATTCCTGCGTCGCGAGTGCGTCCTGGATCGAGTGCTTGCAACGCGGGACCTGGAATTGGACGAGTGGGTCCTCCTAGAAGACCCCGTCCGTGTCGTGGCATTCATGGCCGGCACATTGTCCTCGTCGATGTTGAACAGTACCGTTCGGTTCGAAGCGGTACGCGACGTGGTCATCGCTACCGGTAGCGTCTTCACTAAACGCGAATGCTCGAGCGGCCAAAGTCTCCGATGCTCGAGCAGCCAAAGGCCTTCCACGGCCAGAGAGTGCTCGGTACTTTGTCAATTTTTCGAGTGAGCTTTTCCAAGAGTTGTGGGCTCCAGAAGCGGTGCAAAAGACGGCGAAAACGAGACGAGAGAGGAGAAGAAGACAGGGGAAGAGCGGCGAGATCGGGACCAGGACGTTGTGCGCAGGAAACACATGGACCAAAAGTGCCGCGTTGCGTGCTGGCTTTGGGTTTTAGGGGTGGGACGAAGTAGCCAATAGGAATCGGGAAATGAATGAAGCGAGATTATTTACCGGATGACCCGTGTTATCCGGACAACTTCATCACCAGTGGATTCGGGTCTGAAGTTCTGATAGATTTCCTACGGAATTAGGCACTCCAGTACAGGAAGCGCGAGCGGAGCGGGAGAGGACAATATTTTTCATGAATTTACTGGTGCCATGCAGACACAAGTTTACTATTGAGGTCGTGGTTGGAACATCGCCAAGAGGATCTTCCTTACTAGCATTAAGTTCTCCCCGGAATTACAATACGTACTGCTTACACGGAATGGAACGGAGTTAGTCTCCGTAGTAACGGTCAGATGAGTTGATGTGAACATATACCGTGTCATGAATTGGGCTGCATGTATTCTGTAACAGCAGGACCAGGAGGTCTTGATTGGGGTACTGTAACCAGGATCATTTTGAAGTGCGAGTCTCATCATCGACTAGTGGAATGCACTTCTGTCTGCACAGATGGCTTCACTGTGCCATTCACCCACAGCATGTAAGCGGCCCTGGGCTCGGATCCCGCCAACAGACATCAAGGTGCTCGCTTTCTGCGGCTACCATTGTTCAGAGCAGCGTAGTGCCCCCCCATTATCAATGTGTTTGAAAATGCTTCGCTTGACTCGTGCTGTGAAACTTCCACAGTGAAAGCTAGCGAAACAGCTGCGGACGGCGTGGGCACCCAACAGCCAATTCATGGGCCACCAATTTCGCATCCTTCATTGACACTGCAAGTTTTCGCGTTCAGGCACCGGCTATCATAGCTTGCCCACGCAGGTTGTTTTCGCGAAGGTGTCGTAGTCGCTGCGTTATCAAGCACCACACACCATGCGCACAGTTGCATCAACCAAGTGGCTCCGCTTGGTCGATTAGTCTTTGAAACCTGTTGGAGTCCGGATACCTCATCTGTCGTTGAAGCAGCAAAACTATTAGGCAGTCTCGTTCCCATGCTTACATACTTCGACGCGTGCGAGAAGCTTCACATGGATAGCAGGATGGAATGGTTGCAACGAGAATTTATTAACGCCGTACACAAGCGTAAGTAATTAAAACTCATGCCATGCCAACGATCGCAATGCGAGGTTTTAAGATTGGATCCACATTCTAATTCATATTCGAGGCTGCATTGCATGCAATTGCCCACGCACTCGTCTTCTGAGATGTGCACCCATCGTGGCATTTTACATGTGGCAAACTATGAGTGGCATTTTAATAGTTATACTGTATAATTGAATTATTTTCTTTAGGTTGTTCGTGGATTTGTACCGAGTTAGGCCAACGGAACGACACCTTGCAACCTGTGATTCTCTTCACTGGCGTGATACCATGTACAGGACCTTACCTGTGAGAAAGTGCCGTTTATTGGGTCAACGCGCCAGCGAAGTAGAAGCACATTGAAGGTGCGTATGATTTTCCGCGGAGCTATTCGCGCCAGCAGCAACAACATGACGGAGGAGGACCGGTAGACGTGTTCCCCGTAGTACAAGTTTCCAGTCAGCAGCAGTGCTTCAACGGAGGTACAGCGCTTTCCGTTGTACACGACGTACGCAATGTCGTCGCAGTCTTGGAAGAACTTTTTGACTGGCCCTCCGATACAATTTCTCTCAAACGATGTGAGTTTTTGGGTCAAGGCAGGTCCGTGTTTCGTTGTGCTCACTGATGAGATCACTTCGACTCTCGTGATATTCCGAGCAGATTCAAGACTCCGCGGCCAAACCAGTGAATGCCGGGATGACCAAGACCTACGGAGCGATGACATGGCCCTCGTCTTGAGAGCAAGCGTTCTGTCGGCATACGCGATGATAACCGCTTCGACAGCAAACCCAACAGACACAAGCGTCACAACGGTGGGGATGTTGACAGTAAACAAGATACACGCGTCATTCAGACCGCAGTATTTGGCCCCACGAAGGGAAGTCTTGCGCAAAATCTCCGCGTTATGTGAGAGAATCGACCCGATAGGCGTGTGTTGGATGGACTTCAACAGTAAACCGACACTAAGAGTGATGACACGTGAGTCGGAATCTCCGGTCCAGTCGCTGGTCTCCCGAGCGAGCTTTCACCAAGTTGATGAACGAGTACGAGAAGGCGAAGAAGGAGCACGTGAGGTTGGCGATGGATGCCGTCGTCAATGTTCCGGTTGCAAGTCCCAAGCATATACAAGTCGGAGTTGTAGACGAGGTGGTACATGACCTGCGCGAGGTAAATCACCTGCATGACGCCGTTCTGGCACCGATATGCCCAGATCTGCGTGAGTAAAACCGATCGCTTGTGCGACATCACCTGGTAGAGACTGATGACCCCCGAGGCAAGCATCTGTGCCACCACAAGACCTGGTAGCACGCTGATAGCAACAGTATCCGCGTATCGACTACGGAATGTGTTGAGGTTCATACCCACGCGGTTAGGTACATTCGGGTCGATGTAGTGCTCCCATTCCCACAAAGAAATAAAGAAGTTGTGGATGCAGACGTCTCCAGTGCTGCATAGAGGAATATCATCCGGAGAATGCACCATTAATCCATAACTCAGCCAGCGTTTAGAGACCTCGCACGTGTCTTCAATGTAAACGCCGGTAGTATTCACCGCACGGACACGACAGCCGCCATAGTAGGCTCGGAAGTAAGACTGCACCACCGTCGTCGCACCATTTTTCGTTTTGGATATATCCGCTGGCGTAGTGCGTGAGATTCGAGGCAAACTGCTGGTAAAACTATAAGGAAACAGCTTCAATTCATCCGGGACCACCTCCAACAGGTCTCGACCGTTTGTTTCCAGTGCCAACTTCGAACGCACAAGCTCATCGGTTATCTCCAATACAGGGCGACACTCTGCGTAATCTGGGAAAACGTGGGTATCCACGGCAGGAACCTGGCCGAAATCCGTGCTACCCGCCATTGTCGGGTACTGGAAAAGCCTAACGACTGACATCATAGTCCAACCGGTAACGCACTCGTCGGCTTGTTCAATGGCTAACTCCAACTCACGTATCATCTGTGGGGAGAGATTGAGCTTCGCTATCTTGATAATGTTGTAGAGTTCTTGAGCTGTTCCCGTGACGACGATCGGTGCGTCCCCCACTCGTTCTTGCTGCTCTGACATAGCGTACCATTCGCATCCAGAGCTTCCGAGAACGCGAGCTCCTCGTCACTAAGAGAGCTGAAGTCGTACAACGACACGTTTGGCGCCAAAGAGGTGAAAGTAAAGAATGGTGGGGCGGAAGTGATGGCTACATTCTCGATCAACTTGTACTTGAGCATGGCGATTTTACACGGGCCGAGGCACCCCGTGCATCCTCCAGCCATAGACGGATCTCGCTCCGTGAATGCAAAAATACTCTGGTCGGCCTGCATGAAGACTGAGGCATGAGATAAATAGTTGGTGGTGGTGAACAGCACGATCAACACTAGTGGGCCGACGATAACGTGCCCTGCAACATCGATGTATGCCACGATGACTGCCGGTCGAAAAAGAGCTCCCCATCCTTGAGACTTGCGATCCTGAGCCTGTTGGCGATAGTACGCCTCCGCCCAGTTTTCAGATACGCCTGCATGGGTAGGACCGTCCATCCAGGCTATACCAGCCAGAGTCAACTCACTGCGAAATTAAACTTGGAATGGCTCGCTCTGGTCCGACTGGGAGGTTTCAATGACTAAATATACTGGGTTTTTTTCTCGCGATGGCGCACATGAGGAATGAGGGCGACAACAGACCGACTTTAGAGAGTATGAAGACTCTTCTGCTCTGATGATACGGCTCCAGCATGAGTCTGCTTCTTTTAGCATGAGCCATGATCAACTTCAACCGGTTTTTGTAGACGTATACCGGTATCTTACCGGTATTTGTAGTTCAACTCAAAAGTAAACGTCAACGAAGCAGTCGCAAAGTCCCCGCACACAGATGACCCCCTCGCTCTCCATGGAGGCCGTTGCCGCGGTGGAGGACGCCTTCCTACGTGGTGAATGGACGCAGGCCCTCAACGACAGCCGCAGCATCCTCGCAGCGCGCATCGTGCAGGTACAACAGCATACTTTATTCGGTTCTCTAAATCGGTTCTCTAACCTTTTTAACACCTCATTCAGCACCGGCAGGAAGAAGAAACCCCAGTTGGCTCGGCAGTTATGGCCGTGGAAGAGTAAGTGTGATTACGTATTTTTCCCCAAGCTTTCGGAAAATGTTTAAAATGTTATATTGCTTTTTTCTTTTTCTTAGGGAGCGCGTGCTGTCCGTGTATCTCCAGGCGGTGTTCGAGCTGGACCTGGACGACGAAGTGGAGACGGCGGCGACAATTGCTCGAGCTTTTGCACCGCTGCCAAGTGGAATTGCCATTCAGTGGAGCAAATTCCTAGTGGCCATGAACCGACGATCAATGGCGACACAGGCTCTGCGAGACCTACTGGAGTGCTACGCTGTGGATGGAGGAGTGACTTTCACTACGGAGCAATATACCGCAGCTGCTGAAGTGCTGGCGTTGCAGTTGCTTCTGCCTGATGAGGGAATTGAGGCGGCGCGGCAATTCGTCACTGGGGACAGTGTGCTGGATGATGGAGCCAAACTGGTACGAAGCGGGGGAATGGAGGCTGGTGTTAAAAGTTGACGCTGACGGTGTTTTTTTTATTCTGTAGCAACTGCTTCGTCGGCTTCAAGCTGCACACTTGGCTACGCAGGAGTCTGGCAAGGTTGCTGAGCAGCCTTCGGTGGCGAACCAGACGACGAGGGGAGAACGGCAGTTAAATGATGCCTTTTATCAGTCTGCATCGAGTGGAGATAATGGACTGCAGCGACGTGGCAAGGAGCAGGGTGATGACGACAGTTCGAGCTACGTTATGCTCGGTGGCACTGCCATTGCATTGGCTGTCGCAGCTGCAGGTGCGCTGCGTTACCGCGAGAAGATTCACGAGTGCGTCTCCAACGCGATCCCGGCGATCTCCAAAGGGCTGGCGGATGCGAAGTATGCTCTGTTCGAAGCATAAACGGCACGCCTGTGCAGCTCAAAAGAACGACGAAAGGTTAAGTGGCGTTCCCCGCCGTTAAGTGCAACGTGATAGCATATTTACCCACCTCTTGCAACTACCAAATCATCGCCAAAAAATTATGAATCCGCTCCTCTTTTCCCAGCGTTATCCAGCTCTCGCAGCCAGACCTGGACGATTGCGTCCATACATTCTTCTGCTTGAGCGATGACAGTGCGATCAAACCCACCACGCTTGAGGGCTTCGATAGCTGACATGGTGTCGCGCACGGCCTGCGACGAGTAGATAACCCCGTCGTACTTGTTCACTTGTCGCCGTTCTGAGTTGGCATCAAGAACATGCAGCAGTCTCTCCTCCAACGTCCTGGGACTTTGACGCTGAGCTGGCACTTGCTGCTCTTCAGCAGGAGGTCCAACCTGATGGACTGGGAACGCGTCCGTTCGCGGCAAAATGTGCCTAGGTTCTTGGGATCGCCGCGCACTCAAAACCTGGCGTTGTCCAGATGCTTGAACTGCACTGGAGCTCACGATAAACCGGTTACCATGTTGAGAAGCTTCCAAAGTCGAAGTTTGACTTTGAGTAGCAACATTAACTTCATTTGGTGTCAAGAAGTTTCGTCGGTCCACTTGCGCTTGTTCCTGGGTAGAATCCCCACCAACCGACGAGTTTTCATTCGCCTGTTGAATAGTGTTCCCCGTCCTCGCTCGTTTCGAGGCTCTCGCCTGCTCTGGATCCACTGCAATCGGTCGGAGCTGCAGCCAGTCGTGGAGGTAGAGTCCGTCCAAGTAGTCTCCGCAAAAGTGGGCGAGCCCTACCGTGTCCGTGCCAAGCTGCTTCCAGCGAGCCAGACTCTCCTCATATCGAGTCGTCAGATCCTTCCACATGGCACAGAGCTTGGCGGACGAGTGGTGGGGAGCCAACCTCGGGTCGATCCCCTCATATCGAGCAATTTGCCCCACCACCACATCAAACTGCGGGTTTTCACTCGCGTAGGCCACCGCCACTTCTCTCCAGAACTTGGTTCTACCGTCGACTGGTTCTACCTCCACACCGGTAGAAGGTAGGGCGCCGGATTCTACCATTCGACGGAAAAAGGTTGGACTGAACAGCACATTGGCCAGTCTGAAGCCGCAGTGTTTCGTCCTACCTTCCACGTCAAATGTACCCATTTTCTTCTTCTGCTTGGCCTTGGTCCTGAAATTTCCGGAAAATACCTCCCCACGCAGACGAGCGCGTCGGTATTGAATCAGTAATTCGATGTAGCCATCTTTATGGTTGGTCGACGGGTCGGCCTGCGGGTGCAGGCCCAGCTGGGTACACGCAGCCCGCAGCTTCTTGGAGTGGTGTGTCCTAAGGAACCGGTCGAAGGCCTCGTCCGTCCCGTCCTGTGGGAAGTCGTTGATCAGCTGGCCGATGTCAGGCTCCGAGTCCAGCGACCTGGCGATCATAGGCTCCAGCGGAGCGAGCTCCTCGCTCTCGTTCTCGAGGCTGCTGGACATGGCTGCAGGGATCAAGAAGGCAGTTTTAGGCCTGGCCTACAGGCCCCCTACTTCTGACGGATGTGATTGGCTAATTAAAGTGGGTACATCGTACCATTTCATGCTATATGATAGGTTGCATCCTAAACTACGTACATGTTCGTCCGATACCATCGAAGGACGAAGTTGCGTATGCACGCCACACTCTTAGCGCAAGCTGAAATTAGCCGGTGGCCTGAAGACAAAACGATTGATCATCTCGAATGCTTCGAGATGTTCTGCAATACAACGTCCTTATCTCAAGGTTTATAATTATCATCGCGGAGGTTTTGCAAGTCGTCATCCTCACCCCCAACGCCACAATCGAAGTGGCGGCCTGGTGACTACCGACTCGATTGTGGCCATGGCTCATCCAGACGATGCGAACGGTTCGACCCCTCACTGGGCGACGGAGTACAGCATCCAGCAGAAACTCGCTCAGCAGACTCAAGACTGGAAGCGCCTCCTTCATCCGTCCGTCATGGTGGCGAGTCTGACAGTTTTAGGACGCGTCCTACTCGGTCCTGTGGCGCTTCTGCTGCTCTTCACCGCCACCAACTATTACTCCGGCGCGGGCTCTGTTCTCATCACGGCTTCGGATAGTTTCTTCGCGTTCACGGAACAGGACATGACCATGTCCGGCGGGTGCTCAGCTTGCATCGGTCCGTGCAAAATCACGCTGCTCAAGTACGCGCTGTTCAACGGGAGCGCGTTCGTGAGCTCCCCGGTCTTCAACGGTTTTGTCGCGCTCGGTGCAGACGAATCGCTGTACGACTTCAGCTCTCTGAGCCCCGAAGCTCTCGCTCTGGGGCAATCGCTGGATGATAATGGGGCCGTTTGTCAAAGCGGCACGAACGACTGGGGGGCGACTCACAACGTGGCCACGGGGTCCGCTCAGCAAATGCTCGACATCATCAACACGATCGGTCTTAGCGTCGCACCGCAGATGATACGCGAGCTCGAGCTTTCTGTTGGACGCACCGATGGGTGTGATACACGGTGGAGCATACTCACAGTCGCGCGACTCTTTCAGTTTCCGTCGATAGTGGGCGATGCCAATTTCGGTAAACTGTCTGCGGTGGATATCAACATCTTCCCGGACTATGCAGAATGCCGCCCGACAGTCGTGATTGATGATAGCCTCGTTGGAAAGAAGGCGGCTCTGCTCACGAATGGCGAAGACTTTTTACTTGCTGTGCCCGACAGTTTGACGGTGTTTCCGTACAGCTTTTCCAGTAGTCTGCCTCCTGTTTCACGTGAAGTTCCAGCGGGCGTCACGAAATTCCCAGCGACAACCGTCACTCAGCCTCTGCTTCGAGCCTACTTCGGTGGATGTCGCGTGCGTGAGGTAAACACAACGGGGATCTTTATCGAGGATACGTGCGAGCTGTCGACGCACTGGGAATTGTACGGATTGATGGTCCATTCGCCCGACGATATCCCGCTCTGTAGTGCGGGCGACGTGTGTATCCACAACTACTTCAACTCGCTGTGGGAGTGGCTAAACTATGTGTCGGAAGCTCAGCCCGACCGCGCCGGTATGATTGTCAACTCATTTCGCATCCGGTATGCTGACACCGTCGATATCAATATTCTACCTACTCTCGTGGTGGCGCAGATTCTGCTAATGGGGATCGTAAGCTTTTATCAAGTGATGTCTCACAAGCGATCCGTGCTGCTCACGCAAATCTGGGCGTATCGCTGTCAGAATGGACACATGCAGGTGGTGTATCTCGCTCAGATCATCTACCACCTCGTCTTCTACTCGGATCTGTACATGATCGGCATGGCGACGGGTACGCTGACCGGCGAGTCCATTGCCAACCTCACGTGCTGCACCTTCGCCTTCTCGTACTCGTTTATCAACCTACTCAAGGCAAGGTCAGGCGAGCAACGACTGGATCGAAACTTTCGCTTAACGTGGGAGACGATGCAACTAATTACGACAATTTGTGTGGGGTCACTCCTGCTATCGGTGCAGCGGACGCCGTTCGCGTCGATTATCACGAAGAACGCTGAGATCTTGCGCAAGACGTCAGCACGTGGAGCCAAGTACTGTGGCTTGAACGACTCGTGCATCCTGTTCAATATGGACATGGCGTCCGTCATTTCGATCCTGTCTCTCGGCTTGGGCGCTGTTGCTCTGGTCATTTCTGCAATCGTGACGATGTTCGCTCCAAAGTCGAAAAGTGTCGTGCGATCGGCCGACCTCGTCTTCGCAGAGCTGAGAAACCTGGCCTCGTTCAAGAAAACTAACAAAAAGGAAGTAGACGACGCCGAAGCCGAGATGAAACCGGGCGAGGAACTCACCACTTTCGAGAGGCACTGCCTTGGTGTGCCTCTCAATCGCCTTTTTCGGGACTGCGACGACATTGGCTATGAAATTTACAACGGCAAGCGATGCACGACGGTCGAGGCGCTGCTGCTCACGGGATATCTCTACTATGGGGAGCACGTCTACCAGGCGTCCTCCGTGATGTTGCTGCTGCTAGCGCGAATCGTGCCGAGAAAAGTGCTGCGAACCTTCAACGTGCTGGTACTGCGCTGGCACCTGAATCCGAAAGATGGCACGCTCTCGAAAGCCTATTCGTGCACTTGGTATCACGCCAGCGCAGAGGATCACAAGCTGGCGGGAACGACTCCAGTAGCGTAGCTAGTTTTAGAGATACAATTTATTAAGTAATAATACTAAGTTCTTACTAAGTATGAATTACTTTCGCTTTCGGTTGGACATTGCCGTTGACCGATAATTCTACAGCTCGAAACGTTCTCTTCGATTGAAGTTAACGAATCTTCTCGAGCGCAATTGAAACTATCTCAATCAAGTCAAACCGATTGCGGAGGGACACGAGTGATTGAATTCACTTGACAACCCGCTAAACTGAAAACTGTTCTGCAACCCCCCCCAACTGAATTTTCGGAGATCATGGAGGAGACGTTGTCTATCCGCACAGCCACGTTCGTCGTGTGCAAACATCGTCTCCCCACAACTGGAGGCTGGCTTCCGCATGTGATTCGAAGTATTGATGACTACTTGACTGGGACTTTGAGTCACAAGACTGGGCGCTGCGGAGAAGACTCTGGACTATATCTTTCGGAAGACCGCGCCGATTTGGAAGTAGGCAGTGCAAGCTGCCGTTCGAGGCGGACACATGCACGTACTTCGCTGGATGACTGGGCGTGACGACGGTCGTGGACCCTGGAAGGCTGATTTTAACAATGTGTTGGAAATTGCAGCAGCCCACGGGCACCTTGATGTGGTCCAGTGGCTATCTAAGCGGGGAATGGACAGAGATATACTACAGTCGACTAATATGTCTACGGCCGGTGACTTCGAGAAGGCTAGATATTGCATCGAGGATGCGTTGAGCCTGACAGCGGAGCACGGACATTTCGAGGTGCTCAAGTGGATTTACGGCACACAAACCTACAAATTCCATGGACATTGGAGCCCAATGGGCAAAGCTGTTGCAAACGGCCACCTCGCCATCGCCCAGTGGTTGCATGAGGTCAAAGGCGAGCGCTGCTCTGCTGAAGCCGTCAGCATCTCTGCGAAGATTGGGTACCTCGAAGTGCTGCAGTGGCTACATTCCAAGAATCTTTTTACAAGCACCAGGGCTTCGATGCGCTGGGCAGCCATTAAGGGTCGGCGAAATGGTGAAATGGCTGCACGCAACTCATCACGAAACGTGCTCGATTGACGCTATGCCCATGGCGGCAAGCAATGGCCATCTAAAGCTAGCCCAATGGCTGTACGATAACGTGCATCACACGTGTCATTCGTCTGAATCACGCGTAAGAGCTGAGAACGCTGCTGGACGCGGACATCTAAATGTGGTGAAATGGCTACACGAATACTTTCCCAACGCATTCCGTGTCGATGCGATGAATAGCGCTACCAGGAATGCTCATACGGATGTTATCACTTGGCTACATGAAAACCGAAGCGAAGGATGCTCCAAAGAGGGTCCAATCTGTGCAGCAGCAAACGGCCACTTGGAAGTTCTGAAATGGCTACACAAGCACTACCCAGAAACCTTTGAGCCAGGGCTATATGATCTCATGGACGAAGCTGTTGCGTATAGAACTAGCCGCCTTGAAGTCGTTCAGTGGCTGCACGAAAACATTCCAAAACTAAGAGCAACTACTGCAATGAAGCATGCCGCGACGAGCGGCCGCCTCGACATTTTCCTGTATCTATTACCGAACCGAGGGGTTTCCAAGCAACGAAGAAATACTTCATACGCAAAATTTCCAAGTATTGTGCCGCTTTGACCCGAATACCCGTGGAAAGCGATGCTCGAATCCAGCGACAAGCGATCAAGTGAAGATGTTGCAGACTGTTTTCAAGCACCGTCATCACTTCCTTAAATGTTGTTTATCGTGTCTAGCGGGGATATCGTGTAGCAGAGGCAACACCGAAATTCTGGATTGGGTGAATCAGTTTGGAATCGAGCTGCGGTCGACAGAGCCCGTTCGCGACGCTGTCCAACGCGACGACGTGAAGCTGTTGCAGTGGTTTTCCGACAATGGGTTTGAGATGAAAGACCTGAAGTTGCTCGCACTGGCAGTTGGTAGCTCCAATCTGGACACACTTCGTTGGTTGTCGAAGCACGGGCATGCTGTGGACTCACTTGACTTGGTTAGGAGGGCTGGCTGGAAGTACAACACGTACCAAAGTATTCCGGTCTTGCGGTGGTTGGTGGAACACGGACCCCCGCTCGACGCGCCAACCGCGACGTATTTGGTACTGGAGTCCCGTCACGTTGAGATTGTGCCATGGGTAGCTGAAAAGTACCGGAAAGACCTCGTGCTCATGGCGCTTCGGAATGACCAAAGAGTTCTATGGTGGATTCTTGCGCGTACAAAATTTCAGGACGAAGACATCCAACGGAAGATTCTCCGTCCTTTCTCCGTCCTCTAACCGAGAATCCTGTCTGTCGGTCATCGCGTCACGCTTTCCGCCCCTACAGCCTAGACCTGTCAATTAGACTACGCTACCGCGGCCTTATTGCATACATTATTCACTCATCAAGTCGACTCGCACTGGCTTTTAAACTACTTACGAAATTACAAAACTAGACACAATCACGCTAAAAATCGTACTTACGCGGAAATAATCGGACTTTAACGGGTGTGATTATCACATCCCCCATTTTGAAAGTTGGCGCGCGGTGGGCGGACGGACGGAGGCAACGAGCGGGAGGGCGCGTGGCGTACGGGAGTGAGCAGCGGAGTGCAGCGGCAGCGGACACTGCTACAGTGAGTACATGCATACATCTACATAAATAAACTACTTTACGGTTTCGGGAGTTCCGCCTGTTGGGATAACTGGTACCTTCAGGGCAGTCGATGGATTACAGTACGGAATTAGGGGTAGACTGGTGCTTATTAGGCGTTCATCTTCTAATACACCAAGAATGTGTGCGAACGACGACCTAACGCTGCACATAGATTAACTGATAAACAGCACGCGGCGTGGTATAGCTGGCAATCGTGCTGTATTCATTTGCAGGAATCAAGCATTATAATACACCAATATGAGTAGTCGCGTGCTCAACTTAAGTTACTACTGCGTAGTAGTTGGTCGAATTAAGTAAACCCAGGTGCATCACCAGCGCGCGCATCGAGGCGTCATACTTACGACTTTTTATGTTTTTTATTAAGCTGATTAATGGCAGGATCTTGCTGCAGTCCGACACTCGCTTCCATAGGAACGATAGTCGCATCAGCCAAGTGACAACAATGCACTCCAACTCAAATCAAAATCGATCATATCCCAGGTGCCCTAACTCTCGCGCTTCAACAAAACAATTTTAGAAAATGCTGCTCGAATTGCGCGCAGCGCACAACAGCATGGTCTTGCGCAATTTCGAATTACTGTTACTAAGTACTGTACGCCATGCACCAAGAGCAATAACGCGTTATAAATCCAGATGAAAGATGCAGAGTAGGCAAAGCGTAGAATAGTAGTGACACTGGCAACGCATGCAGCTTTCAAAATAAATGCGCGCTGCTACCCTAGATACGTGTACCGTAAACTACTACAGCATGCACATAATGCAGCTTAGTGTAGACATTGTCGTTAGAGCAATATATATATATATATGAAGCTATTGGCCGGACCTCGGGGTCCCGCATCATGTACCGATGGCGACCGGAATTATTTATTTTTATCGGCGGGGCAGTGATAATATATATGTTGTGACAATTTTGTGATAATTTTTCGAGTTTAGCTAGAGCTCATTTCACCTTCAAGCATCTAGCATCCAGTATGAAGTCTAGGCGAACTGGAGGTGCAGAGGTTCCTCGGCGCAAACGTGATACTTAAGTATTGAAATCGTCGTGACCACAAAGCTGCTGCATTCGTTCGTTCTGTTAAGCGTCTTGGTGAAGATACGACCAAGAAGATTCAAGCTGACTGCTAGAAGCTAGCGCCTACTACAGCAGCAGCGGCGTCGGGCACGCAAAGGTGCGAACTCTGCAGCTCTGTGCAACTCGATAGTCGATACTACCAGAGATACATAGCATCGATACAAACATGCAGCACTTGAATTTACCGAATATACCGGTTGCTTATGACAGCTGGCGGGGCAAGCGGCGACCCCGGGGTCCCGCCAAACGCTTCATATGCATATACACGATACACAACAACCTAACCATCGAAGACGCACAGTCGCTACCGATCCGTATTGAGTTGAGCTAAATTTGCTATGTCTATTTGAACTGTTATCGCGCAAACCAGCATTACTACATGTAGCGCGGTGCAGTGCGTAAATTCATGCTGGCAAAGTTGCAGTCTTCAGTGCTAACGCAGTAACAACACTAGAGTACGGTATCGACGACAGCTACCAGTTTGCAACGCAGTATAAACCACACCCAATCATAGTTTCAATACTTTAGTTATTACTTCAAAGTAAGTAAACACGCAGGTCACTACACTGTAGTAAGGCATGTCCGTGACAATGTAGCTCGCCTCGCAGAAACGGGTGATCAATAATACAACGGCAACGATATTCAGCTCACTCGATGTTTAGGTACTCAACTTTGCATCGTGAGCGACATTTGGTAATTAGCTTAACAGGAAAATGTATTCCTACTCATTTGCTACTAAAGCACGAAGTTATAGCAACGACTATGTGTCAACTGTATCCGCACATTATTGTTATGGAAATCAAAATGATGCATATACTTTTAAGCTATGCTATTCCAGCAACCCGTGGTCAAAGCGCCCGCGTAGCGGGTGCCCAGAGCGCTGGTCCGTGAGGCTATACAGAACCGCGGTCCGGGAGTTGCGAAGCAGTGGATTGAGGAGAGTTTGAGGGAAGTGGAGGCTTTCCGTTGGTACTTCTCGACAGCGATCAAGAGGGGGAACGGGGAAGGCGAGGAGACAGAGTTGCCGCCGAGTTCTAAGCGAAAACGTTGCAATTAAGTAATAAATCTTAATCGAACCTTCTCCCGGATGACATCGGGGTGACAGTGGCTATGATCCAAGCTAGCTTCCGCTGCAAGTCAAAGTGCAACATGTTTTGCGAAAGAACTGAAATGTATTGGCTACTTTTCGAGTCCCCCAGGCCCCCAAACTCCCCCTTATGTGGGGTGGAGGGTCTCGTTTGGGGAAGTGCTGTGCTTCAGCCGCTGTTGCTTACTCAGAATCCCAATCCTCACCACTGCGTCGTGGGCATAACTGGATTAAGATTTACACCAAGGCAACAAAAAGCTTTCCGAATTGTTTGTGTTTCATTGTATTAACCAAAAAGACACTACAGAACCGATAAGTCTAGAGCGCCTATTCATACTTCGCTTTGTAGTCCTCGCGGTACTTTAGGTAACTCAGTCTTTCCGCACTTTTCCCTTTACCTCCAGCCACATGTAAACAGTGTTTTGAGCTTGTTTTTCTTCCAGCCACTTCGCAAGTTGGGCCTTCTGCAAAGTTTCGGCTCTTGGCGGCGTTTTCAAATACTCTTAATGATCTTGGCGAGAGCTTCATCGTCGAATTACTTCATCAATGCCTCAAACAAAGACTTCTCTATCGGGTTCTTTCTGCCAAAAAGCGCCCGATAGGCGACTTAAGTGTTGATGCTAAGACATCGTCGCCTGCCATGTTCAAATTCAGCAACTCAAACACGACGTGGGGTGCCTCTGACTGCTCATCCACCCATTGAGCTGCGCCGTTTCCATTTCTTTTCCGAGTTTCGCCGTGTCGGACTTCGACGTACTTCAACCACGTTTCTAGCTGCGGCTTGTCAAAGAGTTTATCCCCCGCGCTGTTCACCACCCAGTTGTGTTTCCGGGTGTACATTTGCACGAGTATGTCAAAAGTACCCGCGTTCAGCAGCTTGGATACTTCTGTCGGGTCTTTCAGCTCACGCACACACGTGTTGAGCAGTGCGAGCTGCAAGTTCGCTGCCTCTTTCTCCGTTCTCGGGTTCTTCTTCGCCAAACTGAGCATTTGAGCCAGCGCTTCGTCCGTGTATTAGCCCAGTAGAGTCTCGATCACAGTGACTATCTGTTTGATGTCATCTCATTGAACCGATCGAGGTACGCTCTCCAGAGTTGGAAATGGTCGCTGGCGAGAAGGTTGTCGATCGCCTTGCTTATTTTCTTGTCAACAAAAGTATTGTCCGAAGTCCGCACCTCTCGATACGTGCCTTTCATTTCACCCCTGTCCAGTACCATTTTGTAGAATATACTCCAGGGTGGACACCGAGTCTGTAGCGACCATTTCACGCACTCTTTATGTAGCTTCTTGGCGATTGTCAAGGTACTTGGGTTCTTCATCGCCACCTCGATCATGGCCAGCAGCGCATCGTCACAGTTGTGCTGCATCAAGGTTGGCATCAGTAGATTTGGGTAGTCCGGATTCTTCTTTATGAACTCATCAGCGTAGCGAAACCACAAAACAAATTGCAGGCTGTCGACGAGTTTGTCCATCGCAAGAAAAACACCCAGTTTCTGGAAAACGCCATCGACAAGCAAGCCTTTTGCCTTCTCAACAACCTGGCGCCGCGTAAAAGATGCGAGGGGGAATACCCCGCTGCTGTACCCAACTAAAACCTCGTGCTCGGACCTTCGTAAAAATCCCTCACAGCACTTCTAAACTCCTCCCTTTAGCAAAATATGAGGCTGATGCTTTCTAACGCTGGCTGCATATCTTTTGTGTACCAGATTACACTGTGTAAAGTGTAATGTACACTGCTGATTCTGGGGGGTTCTGCGAAATATTGACGCTTCCGGACAGGAAGAGCTATTGTGAGGCTCGAGGGAATGATGGCCTCGAGTATCGCCAGAAGGAAAGAGAGCTGCAGCATCCAATGCTGGCATACTGCTTTACCTGCTGCAAAGAGGAGATAGCCTTGCCACTGGTGTTTTATGCCTTAGCACGCAATTCAATACATGTAGTGTACTCCGCAAAAAACAGGGATTTTCACAACACACTTAGTTACAGTTAGTGCTGTTTGCAAACGCGTTTGTAGGTTTGCTGCTCGGATGCCATGGTGCGCTCGCGGGCCGATATCACTAGCAGATCAAATTAATGGCTACTGTTACCCGTTGTCGAGGGGTCATCCTTACTTTTGAGTACATTTCGCGGACTTTCGAGTAATGAGTACTAGTAATGTGCTCGGACTTCCGAGTGCGTAAACTTCATTTAAACTCGTGCGGTGTGTCAACTTGAAACTATTGACAGAACTCTAAAGGCGTTGCTTGTTGAGATGCCGTTCACGAACACAAATAACGTGCTACAAAGCCTTTAGTGCAACTTATTGTTTTCTGCTAGATGACGCTTGAATTCTCTATTAGCTTATTCACGTCCACATAAGTGGATCAATGCGTTACTTTCCCAGATGTATTCACATTGTATCCTCCTCTGGTCTGGTCCAAGGTGGCGATGCCGGACGTGGCATCTTTCCTAAGTCACATTATGTGAAATTACTCAGAAGTCATGAAGTGTACTCACAATTAAGTAGCACCTGTTGTTCCATGTACGCACCAGGGCGTAGCAAAAGTAATCTAACGTTAGTGCTGCTTATTTTGAAGAGATCATGGTTGGTGTAAAGTAGAAGACCTTCGCGAGCTTCCGACATGTGAAAAGAGCTTCAACTCTTTTAATTCAAGATAAGTGTTAAAAATTGTCTAACTCCTCAAACATGTAAGCCAGATTCACAACACACTAACAAACAGTTTGCAAACACTAGTGTTAGCTATACAGTTAGTGTTTGTGCGAACACTAGCAATAACCCAAGAACGGTACGGTGCATGAACATCAGATAAGGAATGAAAAGGTGCTGCAATATTAGTCAAGGGGTGGCTTCGACACGGCGCATTTATATGATTTCCAAACGGGCAACTTACGTGCATTGATCAGTCTGTTATCTTGTTCTTTGCCATCGCTGGATGGGAAGGCGACCCGAGACTTGCGAGGGCCGAGTGCCTGCTTAAGGGTGAGGGCGGCAGCCAGGGCTGCTCGGGTCCTTACAGCCGGCGTAGTTCCGGGGGGTCCTTCGGGTCGTTCGGGTTCGGTTCTGGGTGCACGTATGCGCTGACAGTGGCTTGACCAACAAACAGCGCGACAGCAACGACCGCGAATTGGAGGAACTTCATGTTGCGTTACTGGTGCTTGTAGTGTTGAAGAGTTGCTTCAGGGCTCCAAGGCGAAAAGGTAAATGGCACTGATCTGGCCAGCACACGGAAGTCGGAGCAATTCTTACACCCCATAGCGTGGGCAATACAGACGTGTGGAGTCACAGGGAACATGCGGCAAGCAGACTTGTTTTGGTTGTACTATGAGACGGCACATGAACGCCTCTGTCTATTGCTTGGCAAGGAGCCTGCTTACTCCTACCTACTCTTTGAAGAATCAAGCACCACAATCCGGGTAATGCTTATGCTATTCTGAATAAACATCTTGAAGCCTTATATTTTTATGATTTGTTGCTCACAGCATCCGATGCTTGCGTTAACCGCGATCTCACGTCATCAGCGATTCTTGTCTAGAATCTATCTATCTATATCTATCTACATATATATCACTGAGGAGGGTCCCTGAAAAGATGCGCAGACACTACCGCATGGCGATGCAGATCATGAACAGCGACCCGGCCTCCAATGAAGAAATTTTCGCGCAAGTTTCATCCAGGATCCGTCCACATCGTCAAATTGTTAACAACCTTTATCTGTGTGTTGATAGCTTTGACTGCGTCCACCAACCATACTGAATCCGTCTACACCGGCAGATCACGATTGGTTCAGCAAAGCAAATGCTGTAAGTTACATGTAGTTGTAACGAAAGCCTCAGTCGCTTTGCTGAAAATCACTACATGTAATGTTTTACTTGAGACTCACTCATTCGACGCAAAACACCCATGAATAATAAGAATTTGCGCCAAGGTTTATCCGTTGATGATTCGTCTAATGTTGGCTTCGGCAGTGGTGGTGAAAGGCTTACCGTTCAGAAGCATTCCATGAATGCAGTGAGTGAAAGATTGACGAAACGGCAAGACTATTGGGGTCTCAGATCGGATCTCGGATTGGATGTCTGGCAAGCACCAGTGCATGCATTTGAAAGCTCTAACAAAGACAGCTCAATTTTTTTTCTTTGTGTTGTTGTAGTGCTCGATTTACTGGCTATGATACCCTTACTCCTACTGTGTACCTTCTGTTGCCAAGCACCGAGCGACGTTCTCGCAAGGCCGTACAGCTCGAGTCCGCAAGAACGCTACGCCCCAGAGCGCAACACGCTCGTTGCATTCGCCTGAGCCTGCAACTAACGTCAGCACGAGTACAATCCACAAAGGTGCCTCCTACAGAAACGACACTTTTCTAGGCACTTAAGAAAATTTGCAAAAATGATCGTATCGTGTAGAAATTCACGTTAGCGCTTGACATTTTGACATCATTTGGCATGACGTTAGTGTATAGGATTCAATAATTTGATCGGCGACTGCCAGCTCACTATTATTATAGTAGCTAGACCGCAAAGTTTGTTTTTAGGGCTCGTTCCTAAGGGCCGTTCTTAAGTTCCCGGTCCCAAGTCCCGGGACGAAATAGAGCGATTTGATTGGCTTTCAGAAAGCGGGCTAGGTTTATTTTGAGCTCGTTTTGTCCCGGTCCCGCATCATTTTCGCGTGGTCGGGACGTGGGACTTTCGCCCTAGCTACTTCATTTCTGCACTAATGCGCGCCAAGTGTGCACCACTTTGTTACGTTTCGAAAGGGCTATCTGACCATGTTCTTCTTTCACCGTAGTTCGCGGTAGTTCCCGAGAGTTAGGGGCTTAAAAAATGCTTACAATCATCAAGTTTGACGGACGAGGGGTATCGTCCCGTTCGTCCCGGTCCCAGCTCCCGGGAACTTAAGAACGCGCCTAAGTTCCCGGGATGAACGGGACGATACCCTCGTCCGTCAAAGTTGATAATTGTATGCATTTTTTAAGCTCTTGGTTCTCGGGAACTAACGCGAACCAGGATGACAGGAAATCTGCTCAGATAACTCTTTCAAAACGCAACGAAGCGATGCACGTTTGGCGCGCGTTTGTTAAGAAATGTAGTCGCTAGGGCAAAAATCTCACGCCCCGACCACGCGGAAATGACGGGACGAAACGAGCTCAAAATAAACCTACCCCGCCTTCGGAGAGCCAGTCAAATCGCTCTATTTCGTCCCGGGACACTGAGCTGTACTATCTTTTTTTTCTGATGATGAGGTATATTGAATTACTTAAAAGAATCCTAACAACCTAGCCGGTCAAAAGACCAGCGACCCGACATTATCTAGTTCTGCTTTCGGCTGCCACAATGGTTGTAGGCTTTGTACCCGCTTTCAGTTGCCCACGCGAGAGCATATAGATGTCTTCTCGTATAGCTTGCTCCAGTAAGGGTAAGCTGATTGTCAAGCAATCGACCCCGGGATTGTCGTCGAGTCTGCTGTTGGTCCGTCCGTAGCGAGTAGCACGAATCCTGCGACTTTACTATCGATAGGCTAGCTTTGGCGAGCTCGTTTTGCAGAGGGGCTGGACGTATCGTCTTGATCCCACAAGGCAATTTTCTTCCGAGAAAAGCACCATTGGCAGACTTCGTCGCTGTCGATGTTTTCCAAAAGCCATTCTCTCATACTCGAGCCTATATCATGAGCAATAGCACTAGAGATCGTCATCTGCGACGCCTTTTCCTCGAAGCTTGTTCGCGTCAACAGCCACCATAACAAGTTGTGATTCTCATTCTGCATGGCCTCGAGTACCAATTGAACGCGCACGGGCTCGGAAACCCACCACATGGCCTCCACGTACTCAGAAGTTCTAGCCAATGTTGCAGCTGTAGGTAGATCAAGCATGGGCCCGTTCTCAAGGAGCCACCGTACCAAAGTCACAATTTTGCTCTCTGCAGCCAGTAGGACCAAATCAGGTGCGTTCAGATCATACCCGTGCTCCGAAAGCCAGCAAGTTACCTCGATGTGCCCATTTCGAACCGCTACCTGTAACAAATCGCGCTCAAACATCTCGAAACAATTCTGGTGTAGCCATTTTACCACTCCAAGGTCGCCTCTAGCGACAGCTCGGTGAATGGGAACTGTCGACAGGAGTTTGATGTCAAACTGACCAATCCACTCCAAAATGGACACGTGGCCCCGATGAAAAGCAACTTCCGCCATGCAGCGGAGACATCCCTCAACAAACGCAGGATTCATGGAGCGAAATTCTCTCAGGTTACACTCGATTGCATCATTCCGAGTGGAGAATTCATTCTCAAGTGAGCACATAACCTCTACATTTTGAGGCGCTCCCATAGCTGAGGAAGAAAACCCCTCACTTCGGTGCATGAACAGCCAGCGCGCCACTTCGAGGTGTCCTTTATAGGTAGCCATTTCCATTGCATCTGCTGTACAGGTCGATTTTCATGCAACCATTGAACGACATCGAGGTGACCATTTGCTGCCGCTACATCCAACGCACGAGCTGTGAATTTGTCGGAATAATGCTCGTGCAGCCATTTAACCATCTCCAAGTGACCAATCTCTGCAGCATGCCACGGAGCCATGTGTGAACAGCCTTCCGTTCGGTTTTCATGTAGCCATATCAACACATCCAGGCGGCCCGTTTCAGCGGCGACATCCATGGCAATCTCGGAAAAGAGGTACGTGAAGTGCTGATGTAGCCACTTGAGAATCTCCACATGTCCGTATCTGGCTGCAAACGTCGCAGAGCTCCCCATTTCCCGAGTAACACAGGGCGGGACGTTGTTATCGAGCCATTTGGTAACTTCGAGGTGACCATTCTGGATCGGAAGGTACAGTTTAGCTGTTCTACAGCCCCCTTTAAGAGTCTTGTGTAACCACTTCAGCACACCCAGGTGGCCATTCTTAGCTGCTCCATCGACCCCGTGATCCGTACAACGAGAAATACCCTTGGAATGTAGCCATTGCAGAATTTCCAGGTGGCCTTCCTCGGCTGCAGCATTCGGAGCGTTCTTGGATTCTTTCACTCCATTTTTAAACAGCCATTGCGCCACCTTCAAATGACCACCTTCGACGGCATAGTACATAGGATCGCAAGCAAACCCTTTGCGTCGAGCCGCTGCACCACGGCTAAATGCCCGTTTGCAGCCGCACGCTGTAATCCTCTGGACAAGTTCAGTTTATATGCCCACGCCTTGGCATAGTAACCCGGAGTTGAACTTTTCAGTTTCCACAAAGTGTACAAGTTAGTACCTCGCTCGAATAACCACTAGACGACATTCAGATACCCGCGCGATGCAGCAACTTCCAGCACACTATCGAAATCCGCTTTCCATGGGCCACGACCATCCTGCCGGTTTGTCATCCAGAGCAGAACATGAAGGTGTCCACCTTGCGCGGCGGCGCGCACCGCCTTCTTCCAATTAGGTGTCGTTCGCGACAGGAAATATTCCAGAGTGGACTCCATTGCTCCTCCTTGACAAGCTGCATTCAGCGCCTTCTGGGGAAATTGTGGACCCAAGTAAGCATCGATAGAGTCTACCACATACAGAAGGCAACACCCTTTGGTTAAGAACCAGTGCTGATACACAGATCGAGCAGCGGCGTGAAGGCATAGCCTCGACTTCATGGTAACGCCAGATTCAAGGCATAGCTATAGACATCAATCATAGAAAGAGCTGTAAACATCAATCCTATTACTTCTTCAACTTGTAGAGCGCTGTGGATTGTCTGTCTCAGGTGAGTATGGTGTGCAACCGCGCGTGTTGTTGCTGCTGCTGATCAAGTGTTTCTCTTGAAATGGCGGATGCTTATCTTCGCAGAGTGCTCGTGGCACGAGACAATCCCGTAGTCTTGCTCGACGGGATAGAGTTCAATTCGGTAACGTTGGGGACACCTACGTCCAACATGACCCCTTCATCCTACCATGCCTAGTCAACAACGCCACTCGCGACACAGTGATGCGGATTTGGACGCTAAGTGAGCACGGGACAGCGGCAAGCGGATAACTTCCCCAAACGAGACCCTCCGCCCCGGATAAGGAAGCTTTACGTGTAGTTTCGGGGAGGTTGAGGGCCTGTGGTCGTGGAAACAAACTAGCATGTTTTCACGACCAACAAGACCCCTGTGAGCGTGCAGTTACCCCGGTATGCTTAGTCTTCTCGACTTTGGTGACTCATGCAGAATGTCAACCCAGGAAACCTCTTATGTAAAGTGAGTGCATCGATGCAAGGGATTCGTCCAGTATGCAACTACAACCAATAGAACGATGAAAATTATTTGGTACGCACCGCAAAAGGAATGATCACTATCTAGCTTATAGCTTTAGCCAAGTGCACTGATGCTTTCTGTGTGTAAGGATTTTCGGAGCCCCCTTTTCGAGCGTGGCACTACACATGATGCAGTAGTGATAGCAACACCGGCATCTGACTAAGCCAATATTCGATTGGGGAAGTCGCTCTTTCAGTTTCTCGATGAACCTACCGAAACTGAGCGCTCTTTCTTCATCGGCGACAGACAAGGTTCCATCATTTGTGCTGAGTAGGCTATTGGGGCCCTTGAGCGTGGTGCCGGTCCTTAGATGTTGCATTCCGTCTCCAGCATCATGGAATGAGCGAGTTGCAACGTCAACGGAAGTCGCACCATGGAGCTGGGTCTCCTTTGAGATTACAACTGCTGGAATAACACCTTCGATGAGGGTTAAGCAACCCAAACCAACGAGGAGGACACGTCGGAGACCCGGTTGACCTTGATACTTGCTGAGAGGATTGCTTGATAGGCAGACCGCTACTGATACGGGAAATGTCCATTTTCCCACTTTTTCGGAAAATATTACCATTTTTGATGAGCAAAATATGGGAAATATTGTATTGACTATTTAATAAGCTATTGTTTGGAGTATACGCAGCTAAAGAGAAGTCACATAGCTACTGCACGCCTTATAGATCGAATAGTCAACCACCAAATGGATTTACAAAGCATTCGCTCAGGTTTTCGAAGCTCAGTCTGATACCCCACTGTGAGAAATCGCACCCAACAATGCAGTATTAGTCGAAACTACGAGAACTGTGGTTACCCCGCAGGACATCGCTAATGAAGGTAACACAGTAGAAGCTTCACGAAGGCTCTGCAGTGCAGTGCGTGAGTTGTATAACTCTTTGGGACTGGCGTGGCAATGACAGAGGCTGGTGATAGGTATCAGCTTGCTATTTTACACAGGTAATTGGGCATGTGTGTCAATTTGTTCGTGTTTTCCTATCTACATTGTTTTTTTTTACGTTAAACAAACGTAATTTTGGTTTGTCGCTGAACCGGCAGGATCGTCGTGTACGGAAACTAATAAAAACATCGTCAGGTACGAGATTTCGCTAGAGAAGTGAGAGATTTCTGTCTAAAAAGTGCTGACAAGTTTACATGTTTTTGTTCAGCATTTGCTGGTGGTGTGGTCGACTTGTGTTACGAGAGATGGCCGCAAAATAACAAATAGCTGCCTCATGCAGTGGATAAAACCAGAGGTTTAGACTGCATTCTAGCATTTTAACGGATCTGCTCTTGTGTATGCAAAACACAAGTTGCTTTCATCGAAAATTCGTTTGCTTGTGGACTCTTCATTGCCTTCGTAGACAAAATAGTGGGTACTAAGTTGAGTGGGTTGCTTGCAGATACGCAAGAATAAACCATGTAACTAACTACGTAAAATAGGAGAAAATGGATGCAAGGAACTGACACAACTTGCTATAAAAACAGCTAGTTCCAGTCCACAGCAGCTACATATACAGCTAAATGATCAGACTATTAACCCAGGTGGATAGCTCCAACAAAGCACATCAATCGACTTTACTACTATGAGAACCCTCAAATTTCTCCCAAATCCAGTGATCGCCAGGATATGGGAAATACGTGAAAAAATCGAAAATTCCCGTATAGGTAGAGGTCTGTTGATAGGTGATAAATTACGAAGTGAGCTCTCCCAGAACAAGTGACAGTATTCCAGTTGCATGCTTCTGTTTGCTAAGGAACAAAACTGTTGGGCATCATGTATTTAATTCAGTATGACAGATAAAATATCCACAAGTGTTCATAAGTACAAACAAATAAATCCTTATAAAGTTCACGCCGAAAATCCTGCTATGAAATAACTATACATGTACAGTTGGGGAGGGTGCTGGAGCTCATAAGAGTACTTCGTAGTGTAAGTACCCAGGAGTTCCTAGTCACGTTGTACTTGTAAAATCTTGCATGTATGGTGCGATCCTAAAAATGTTTTCCCAGCTGGCCGTCATTACGGCTTGCGTTATCTGTGTCTCGTTTTGCGATAACGCAAGCTACAATGACGACCAGCTGGGCCCGCAAATATATGTAGCGAAATGGGTATAAGCTTACAATAAAAATATATACTAAACAAAATACAGGTGTTGTACTGTACAGCACAAGTACAGTACATGTACAACCTGTCCACGTGTGTTGAAGGAGCATGCAGATCATCATTATATCACGTCTGGTTATCACACGTCAGCATGAGACATCTATTTCGCGTGATCAATACCCGGATGGGACTAACGAATCGTGCGATTTGCAATTCAGGTGAAATACAGTACATGCATAATAAAACATAGTTAAGGAAACTTACAAAATACATAGCAAAATTGGGCTAACTCTGCGACGCCAACCAGCACGGTTGGCTGGGTAGGAGTTCAGCATACGCGAGTTGGTCGAGCAGGATAATTGTGCGCGTCATGTGTCCTGCACGTGCTCTCACACAGGCTGGTGATGTACAAAGTGATGTGCTGCTCGAACTGAAGCTCGCTCCTCGGGTTTCCTCCACGTATCTGTAGCCTCGTGTCCGAAGGCTATGGTGCTCGGTAAAAATCTCCGCCATGTAGAGCTCAGTCTAGATTTCGCTCCGCACCACGCAAGCTCAAGTTCGCCGGACTAACGATGCGTCTTTCCTTCGCCTCATTGCTAGCGATTGCTGCCACACTCCTCGTCAGCGGCAGTGCGCTTCCCACTCTGTCGAAGGTGGAATCGCCTGGTCTGCTGCAGTCCGCTGTCGCCAGCAACGAGAAAATAAGTCTGCGAGTGCACCACAGAGCAACGGAAGGCGATGAAGAGCGTTCGATCGGAAAATAAATGTTGAAGAGCACCTCTTTCAAGATGCGGAAGTTTAAGGAGTGGGACACCGCGAAGAGGTCATCCTTCAGCATTTGGGAACGATGAAGGAGAAATACCGAAAGTTCTATTAACCCTTTCGCGAGTATCCTCAATAAATTATAGTATACAACTCATCGATATTTCCTTCTAAAAGGCTCTAGGCGTCCATTTACAAAGTTACAGAGCCTTTTCGGTGTGTCTCATGGGACATGCCATCTACGGTGATTTTCAGGATACATAAAATGTATGCGTATGACTTAGAATCTCTATAGACAATGATTACATGATGGTTACTCTACGTACCCGATTATGATTTGTTTTAAAAGAAGGTTGATTACTAGCTTGAACTTGTGCAAAAGGGCACAGGATGCGCCCTTTAAGAGGGGGTACACTCTACCGTGTTTTGGAAAATCATCTAAAGGGCGCTTTCTGTATCCTTTTACCGCGAAAGGGTTAATACAACCAGTACGCTGAATATAGAAACGGCAACTATCCGTTATCGTCTTCTACTGGGAGAATGGACCCAAATCCAAGGCACCGTCGACACTAGATCACGTAAAAAAAACTGTAAGGAGCACATTTCAATCATTCAAGAGAGCTGTGAATATGTACTTGATATTGACGGGGGGTTCCTTTTGGTTTGTGAAGCGGGCCGCGTTTTCAGGAAAACCGATTTTGACAATATGCTACAAGTTGCAGCAATTAATGGGCCTCTTGAGGTGGTCAGCTGCTACTTGAGCGGAAACCTTAATATTGCGCAGTGCTTGTACAGCGTTAAAGGTGAATACTCCTCTGCTGAAGCCACCGAGGGAACAGTTATGGATGGACACCTTGAAGTGCTGCATGCGAACAACCTTGTTCTGCGTACAAGTCGTGTGCTCTGGTAAAATGGCTCCACAAGACCCATCACGAATGGTGTTGGGCCGAAGCTATGGGCCCAGAAACCAGCAAAGGCATCGAGAGCTGGCCGAGTTGCTTGACGGAAATATACACCGCAAGTTTTAGAATTACACGTTATCCACGGCTAGTATGAATGCGGCAGAAGCAGTTCAATCCAAGCAAGGGATGCTCGAAGTATGCAGCGTATGATGCTGCACTAAATGAGCACTTGGAAGTTCTTAAATGGACTCACATGCACTATTCGAACGAGGTGACTCCAGGGTTAAGTTAGATATTGGACCGGACTTACAAATGCGGGCATTAGCCAAATGAGAACGACGAACTCCGCGGACCATGGCACAAGGAACGCGCTTATTAATCTGTCTGGATTTTTTCAGCAAACCCCAAAGAGGCACCTCGATACGAGGGGAGCTACGTACAGCCACCGGGACCATACTCCGACGCTGATCACTAGTCTGAACCTCCTCCTCCTCTCGGTATTGGACCGGACAGCGGAAAATAGGCGTCTTAAAATCGCCCTGATCTGAGGGCTAACGAAGTAGTGTACAATGCCGCTGCTAGACGTATTTAATCTGCTCGAGCATCGAACGGAAGGTTTCCTGTGGGTGCGTGGTATAACACGCGAGATAAGCACGCATTGTGTCATTTCGGCCCCGATGTCCGTGAAAACCGATGCATCAATCCAGCCACTACTGAACAATTAAGACGTTGCGGTTGGTGTCTGACCAACGACCTGATTGTGTCTACGAATGTTTGCGGTGTAAGAGTCAACAGCGTAATTCTGGACTGAGTGTCGATAAGCCATGAATGCCGTGCGCCTTGCTCGCACGAGGCAGTCAGTCTATCGACTACAAAAGGGGAGGTTCGAATAACATTTTTAAACGTTATTCGAACTTCTCCATTTAAATATCGGAGAAGTTTTATCTGGCATAGGGCGCTTTCATTGCTTCGAGTCCACTGTAACACTACACTTTATACTGAGATAGCATGTGTACCGTAAGGTATGCTGCTACGCAGCCGGCACAGGATTAAATCGGTGTCGCATGAAGCCGTGCGTGTATCGCACCTGTTTAAGTATCCATCATATATTGAAATTTTATGAAAGTAAACTTAATAGGTTATCTAAATAATTATCTAGTCGGTCTCTATCGGTGAGGAAGCATCAATCGCATCATCAGGTTTCATTCGAACCATTTCCCATTCTCACGCCCGACCCGAAGACGCTACACCAGGACGAAGTTACAGCACGAAGGTAAGTGCTTGGCAGGGCGCTGTTGCAGCTAATAGCTTGCTTGTATTTGATTATTAACAGCGCGGAGGTAAGAAAGTAAATTGATATTAACTCTAGTGGGTTATTGCTGCTTATCTGGTAGTTGTGGATGTTCATAATATATTACGCACAGCGCACACGACTTAGGCGCGCCGCACTTGCGGCGCACCAGTCGTCCGCGCTGTGCGTATATCTATTCTGTTTTATTTTCGCTATCTCAGCCCCCGCGAAGCCCTAGTTTTCATTATGACCGGCATACTCTGGTAAAGGTGCCAGAGATGGCACGCTGTAGTTCACGAGTGTATCCTGATACTTGCAGGAAAATAACCAGAATCGATTCTTAAGTAACACTAAAGAAGAACCCTGAAGTAACGGAAGCTTGTTATCAGCTGTTTGACGCTTTCGTGTATCTTTCGAGATGGAGACCGAGTGGGCGTTCTTGCAGCCGTGGCGGGAGTCGCTCTGCTCCGTCCTGCAGCTACCGGCGTCTGCACATGACACAGGCGAGTTCCTCGCAGCCTTCGAGTGCTGGCCCGACGAGTGGGGAGACGAATCCGCCCTTCGTAACTGCGGACAAGTGCTTCCTGCGCGTCAGCTTCCCCACTGACCCAGGGCTTCGCAGGGGCAGAGAAACCCCGCAGCGGGTGCGAGAAGCCATTGAGCTCTTCGACTTCCTCGCGGCGGTGGACAACGTGGCCTTCGAGTCGCTCCTGTCTGAGTACTTTTATCCACTGGAACCCGCCCCAGCAGGGCACCAAGGGCCGACCCCACGTGTTCTGGCCCACGTGGGAGTGCCAACTCGACGGCAAGCTGTCAAGCGAAGACGCAGTCACCACCACGTCTGCAGTTACATGGGGGCAGCTCTTTGGCTGCCCTCTTGACCCGTGGAAGCACTCGAAGGAGTTCCGCGCAGCTATGAACAAGCTGGAGAAAATAAAGTTCAAGAAGGGCGGCAAGCAGCACAACAAGGCTGCGAGTATTTCCTGGCAGGTGTTTGGTGAATTCCTGTTCATTTTCCAAGAACCTGTCAACCAGGGGCGCGCAATTCGAGCTGCACCCTTGTCACGTGAGCTGAACAGGTTGCTTGAACTGGAGGTCCCTCCCGTTGTTTAGCTGAAAGCCGTAGTCGACGGTTCGAAGATTGTGGAGACGTGGCTGCGGCTACCCAAACGTGCAATTACCAAGCCGATACCATCCAAAGTAGAGTTTGCGGCGGGGTTATACTCGGACTCGACGATGCCTGACATAGCGGTGGCGCTAGCTCGAACTGACATGTCGACTTTCAAACTCGCGAATACCCCACTGGATCCCCGCTTCCAGATGCCAGAGTGAATGCTGGCTTTCTGCTGGGCACACTGGTGTGCGGTCGACCAATGTTTCTTCCCGCTGGAAACTCGCGGTCAGCGCTTGAGCGATCAGGAACGTGCACTCGTTGGGACCTTCAGCTCAGCGGTATTTCCGGGAAAGGGTTTGGAGCGATGCTATCAGCTTTTAGTGATCGATACGCTGGTACTTTCAACGGTTGCAGCTGATGACGGCATTCGTAATGATCCCGTATATTGGGCGTGGCTCACGTACGCGTTCTGGAGCAAGGCATCGCAATCTTCAGTTCAGACGCTGGAAATCTCGCAAATAAATCTGACGGAAGAGCACGTGAATACCATCAAGCACGTATTGACAATAATTTATCCAGGGCCAAAAGCGGCTACTGGTTCTGCTCGATCTAGATTCGGATATGTCGACATGAAGAAGGGAACCAGAGTAAGGCCCACTGGGGAACGCAACCGGGTTTTGGAGTTGTCTCAAGATCGCTGTTGTCGCGCTTTCTACGATGAATCAAGCTTGGACAATGTAGCAAATGCTGTCATTCCAGGCTTTGAGATTTGCAAGGTGAAGCTGCTCAATGGCATGACCAAGTTCGTGGGAGATACGTTGACGTCAAGAAAATTTGGTCCGACAATGAGTGCCAGCGGAATTCGATCCCAGTTTGACACTCACCGACGTTGACAATGACTCGGTGGTTTTAAAGCTGTTCGCCATGATTGGAGGGGGGCTTCACACGCTTTCTCTCAAGTTGGGGCGAAATCGTGATGTTGGATTGGATCTCAGTGCGCTTGCATCCTCTTGTCCTGCACTGAAGGAGCTCCGCTTACGTGATTGGAACGTTTCGTTGGGCCACAATGGTGATGCTTTACGGGCATGGGGAATCTAGAAACTAATACTTCGAGGATCTGCAATGGTAAAGAATCTAGACGTATGTCTAAGCAACTCGGCGTACCGAATGTCACGGGAATTGGTTCAGCTGGAAGTTCTTCCAACTCGTCGAGCAATGCAGCGCACTTCGGCAGGTTTGACGCTTCCGTACGTGGGATCGCTTATAGCGCATGACAATGAGTATCTACCGCTGGAGAAGGAGAGGCTCTCGGAGCGCTCACGATGCGCGATGATTAGTATATTGAGTGCCAGGACCAGCAGCGTGCGTGCGGCTCAATACCTGGACTCAAACATGTTGAGTCTGGTTTTCGCTTTTGTTGCTGCACCCGAGTCACGCTCGGTCAAAGCAGGTTTGTTCCCACCTAGAGGCGATTATTTTCGTTGAAGGCGCTTCTCGCGCTATTGGAACGGAGAGAGATGACGAACATTTTTAAAAAAAGAAGTTCCTGTTTTAGCAGCGACTTAGCTTTGGCGGATGAGCAGCATATAGGTGGAAACGTATTGTGGTTTAGTTTCTCTTGCGTTCATGCTGCCAAGCGTAGAAGTTAACTTCACTCACCAGCACTCGACGCTGAACTTTTACTATACTTGAAGTATGCGTTTAGGTGGTGAATCACATGACAAACACTGATAATATTGACTAAACGGGAAATTTATCGTTGGTGGCGAGGGGGAACTCGCCGTCGTGCTTTTTAACACTTACTTCATCCGCAGGTATTTGCGAGTCAATTAATAGTAGCTCGGTTTCCCAAGGACCCGACAACGTGTTTGAATGCTCTGGGAGAAGAATTGTCTTTTAAGACAATTCTAAAAAAATAGGTTCACCAAAATCGGGCTTAAGGCTCTAAAACTAATTATCAGCTTGCTCCGTCACAGTGGTGTTGTTCAGTTTGCTCGGAAATTCCGAATCGGAATACAACTGAAGTTGCACTTCCGGATAATCCACATTTTTCCGAATATTATCTGAGATTCTGAAGCATTGACTTTTGGATTGATGCTTGTAGCTCTCTTCTGCCGAATATGCTAATTTCAGATCTTTTCAATTGGATGGTGTTCCTTCATGCCGCCACTCAGTTCGTGCTCCAGAACTGGTTCCCCGCAAGTGAAGAATACCTTCTGCCAGGAGTGATAGCAGGTTGTATCAATGGGTTTTTAGGACCGCTTTTCTTCCAGAAAGGATTGAATGCCGCGTGCCAAGGGGGAGCGCTGGAATCTACTCTGGAATATTTTCTGTCCCGAGCGACACCTAATTGGAAGGAGGCGGTGCAAGCTGCCGCTCAAGGTGGACATCTTCACGTCCTGCGTTGGATGTCGAGTCGACAGGACGGCCGAGGGCCATGGAAGGCGGATTATGATAATTTGCTGAAAGTTGCTGCATCTCACGGACATTTGGAAGTAGTCAAGTGGCTATTCGAGCGGGGTACGACGCGGAGGTTGGAAAGGTCGGCTCGAAGGCGCTATGTGTCTCAGGCACTTCTGGCGGCGGCTTCAAAAGGACATTTAGACGTCGTGCAGTGGCTCTACGAGGTTCGAACAGACTCGTCCAACAGATACAACAGCCCCATGTTGCAAACGGACACCTTGCCGTCGCACAGTGGCTGCATGGCGTCAAAAGAGAAACGTATTTTGCTCCAGCCGTCGATGAAGCAGCTCAAGGCGGACACGTTGAAATGTTGCAATGGCTACATTCGAATCAGCTTCTTGTATGCACGACGACTGCAATGGATAAAGCGGCCGAGAATGGACACTTGGAGGTTGTAAAATGGCTGCACCGCGTTTATCACGGGTGCTGTTCTCCGATGGCCCTGTATATAGCGGTCAACAGTGGCCATCTTGAACTGATGGAGTGGCGTTTACACCACTTGCCACCGCTACGTACCATACATGGATGTCGTGTCTGCGGCTGAACATGGCCATTTGGGCGTGGTAAAATGGGTGCATGAACACTTCCCGGAGTCGTTCAGTACGCATGAAATGGACGTTGCGGCGGAAAATGGGCATATGGATGTGATCACGTGGCTCCACAAAAATCGAAGCGAGGGGTGCTCCGAGATGGCTCCTTGGAATGCTGCGCAAAATGGCCACTTGGAAGTTGTTAAATGGCTTCATGCACATTATCCGGATACATTTGTACCCGAGGTGATGGATGAAGCAGCTGAAAATGGGCATCTCGAGGTTGTCCGGTGGCTGCAGGAAAATCGCTCCGACGGATGCACAGTGCACGCAATGTACTGTACCGCCGTTAAAGGCCACCTCGACGTCTTCTTGTATTTACTCGAGCACAGGATGGAGGGGTTCTCAAGAGAAAAAATGGATGAGGCGAGAAGTTTCGTAAAATGCCACTTCAGCCCCGATGCACAAGGAAAGCGACGTTCAAATGCAGCGACTAGCGATCAATTGGCGATGCTGCAGAGGGTTTCGAGCAGCGTCCAGATTTTGTTCGAGGTTGTTTGGGATGTCTAGCGTGGATTGCAGGCAGTAGAGGCAACATCGCAATACTAGACTGGGTGATCCAGTCTGGAATCGAGGCGCGATCGACAGCCCCAATTCGATATGCAGTCAGCCGCGGCGACGTGAAGATGTTGCGATGGATTTCTGAGAAAGGATTTGAGATTTCAGATCCAGATCTACTTGAGCTGGCGGCTCGACATGGACACCTAGAAGTCGTTCGTTGGTTGTCGAATCACGGGTATGCTGTGGACTCTCTTAAGCTGTACAAACTTGCTGGAAAAAGAGCGAACGTGCTGGTGTTCCGATGGCTGATTGAGAATGGACCGCCGCTCGACTTGGCCACAGCGATATTGTTAATTTGGCAATATCGTCTTGTAGAAATCGCTTCGTGGGTAGCTGAAGACGTCCGGAAACTCTTCGTGTTTGAGGCGCTACGGAAAAATGACCGAAGAGTTCTGCGGTGGATTCTCGAGCGTACGGAATTTCACGATGAAAGCGTGCAACGGGACATCCGTGACGCAATCCAATGCTGTTCTACGGATACCCAGCGGTTGCTTTGGGAAGATATGAGTGAAGTGGAGACCTGTCGTTGGTGCTTTCCTTCCAAGAGGAGGATCGACGGATACGGGGAGACAGATATGCCAAATTCCAAGCAAAGACGGTTGCAGTGAAGTAGCGCACTGTTTCAGAATCTTGTAGTCGCACCACTGACTGATTGAATGAATGAATAGGACGATCCGATTCACTGAAAATGTTTCGAATTACCACAACTGAATTTTCTCGGTTGCCATGAAGCAGCAGTCGTGCGTCCGCACAGCCACCTTTGTCGTGTGCAAATACCGTCTCCACGCAACTGGATGTTGGCTTCCGCATGTACTGTGTTGCATCGACGAATACTTGAGTTGTAGTTTGAATCATGAGGCTTTTGCCGCTGCTTGCGGGGCGGACGCCTCGCAACACACCTTGGAGTACGTACTTCGCAATACTGACCCCCTTTGGTACGACGCAGTGGGGTCCGCCGTACAAGGAGGACATTTGCACGTGCTTCTATGGATGAGCGAGCGTGAAGACGTCCGCGGACCCCGGAAGTTTAACTTTGGCAATATGCTACAACTTGCCGCAACTCACGGTCATCTTGATGTGGTCAAGTAGCTATTCAAGCGTGGCACACGCCATTAGAACTCGAGAAATCTCCCGCTGGTTACACCGAGAAGAGCGGTCATTGCACAGGCGAGGCGTTGGATCTGGCAGCGGAGCACGGACATTTCGAGGTGGTCAAGTGGCTCTATGATACTCGTACGGATAAGTGCAGCGCGGGCTACGCCATCGCACAGTGGCTTCATAACGTCAAAGGAGTAGAGTACTCAGGCGAAGCCATCGACAAGGCAGCCCAGAATGGGCACTTAAAAGTGCTGAAATGGCTGCATCTGAACAACCTTTTCACGTGTTCGAAGGCTGCGATGGAAAAAGCTGCTGAGCGCGAACACTTGGAGGTGGTGAAATGACTACATCAAGTTCACCACGAATGTTGTTCTGCACAAGTTTTGCGGAAAGCGGTCAACAACGGCGATCTCGAGCTGGTTGAGTGGGTTTATGAACGCGTGTATAACGAGTGCCAGCTCGACATACGTGTGGATGCTGCTACGACTGCGGCTAAAGAGGGCCGCTTGGATGTGTTAAGGTGGATTCATGAACTTTTTCCCTGATCGATTACTATCGATGTGATGAATGCCGCTGCAATAGCTGGTCGCATGGAAGTGATCACGTGGCTGCACGAGCACCGGAGCGAGGGGTGCTCCACCTTGGCACCGCATGGTGCTGCAGTCAACGGACACTAGGAAGGTCTGAAATGGCTTCACTCGCACTATCCGAACAAGTTAAAGTCAGTTATATAGGACAATGGATCAAGCAGCAAGAAACGGTCACCTCGGGGTCATTCGGTGGCTGCGCGGAAAGTATTCTAAACTAACTGCACACTGGAATCCAATGTACAGCGCTGCTGCTAACGGCCATCTCGACACATTTCTGTATCTACTCGGACACGGAACGGAAGGGCATCCCGTCGTCATGATGATGTACGCGCGCCATTTCCGAGTAATGTGCCACTTTGGCTCCAATGTCCGTGTAAATCGACGCTCGAATCCAGCCACCAACGCTCAATTGAAGACGATGCAGACCATTTTCGATATCTCATCAACTTTGCTTAGAATACCTAGCGGGGATTGCATTTGGTAGAGGCCATATTGCAATTCTGGATTGGTTGAACCAGTTTGGTCTCCAACTGTTTTCAACAGCGCCTCTCCGGTGCGTTGTCAGTGACGGTAACGTGAAGATGTAGCAGTGAGTCTTCGAGCATGGATTTGAGGTTTCAGATCCGACGTTGCTTGTACAGGCCGTTGAAAACGGTCATCTCGAAGTAGTTCCTTGCTTGTCGGAGCACGGAGAACGTTGGCCTTGGAATACTGTCACGTTGACATTGTTTGGTGGGTAGCAGAAGAAATCGGAAAGATGGTCGAGGAGGTCTATGGTGGGTTCTCGCGCGTACGACATTTCAAAACGAAAGCGCTCGAAGGAGCATCCGTGACGCCATCAAGCGCTGTCCGATGAATACTCAGCAGTGGCTTGAGGAGAATATGAGCTTCGTGGAGGTTTGTCGTTGGTGCTACCCGATATCGATCAAGCGGCAGACTGAAAATACTAAGGAAAAAATGATTTCCTTTGTTGAAGCGAAGACTTTGTAACATTTAGAAGAAATATGTGAGGGGGGGGGCAGTTAAAATAGTTATTTTCTAAATATTTCGAGGATGTTGCTTGATACTTTAATTTTTGTTCTGCTATAAAGCCCAGTAATTTCAAAACGAGCTCTACCCCCCCCCTCCCCCCCCCCCCCCCCCCCCCCGATTTAATTCACAGGTCGAAGACCTGTGCTTGGCCCCGGCAAAAAACTTGTAACTTTCCAAAACCTGGTACCAAACCACCGGGTCTCTCTTTCTTAATTGTAATGCTTAAGCTAATATCTGCCGGAATCGGGTACCCGTCGATAAATGCTAAAATTTATGCACATTATTTACCAAAGGTTGATACTAATCGTTCATTCTTAACCTAAACCTGCGTTCAAACACTTACGGACGCTCCAGTACACTATGAGAGCGTCATGGCCTCGCTGAAGGCGTATCAATTTGCGCCATACTCGATCAAGCTTAGCTGAAGATGGCCAATATGACTTGTCTAGCTGCAGGCTGCATTTTTTACATGTCAATTTGCTCAATACTCAATCACTTAGCCGAAGATGCCCAACCTCGTGTCTCTCGCCAAACCAACCAGCTCAACTCGACAGTGACACGAGCATCGTTCGTTTGAATAAGACTTTTTTCCCCCTGTGAAGCAACCACTTCCAAGGAATTGGCCCATTAGCGTATTTCTCATCCCACAATTTACCCCCCAAGCCCTCAAGTTAAAAGTTTGTTTGTTTGTTTGTTTTTGAATTGAGGATCATTTCAGTGCTTCTCCCTTCGAGCATAGCGCGTCGTTGGCTTGGCCCACCCACGTGTTTGCCAGCGTCGACTCGTTAGAACTGGTGGGCCTCCAGTTTAGTGTTGAGACAGCCCTGGACTTGCACGTGACCGCGATCTTGAACAAATTCACATGGCTGCATATTTTTCTTGTGGCTTACCGGTATCTTACCAAACTCCACCAATCAGAGGCCGCTATTTCATACCGGTCTGCGCAATCGCGTCGAAGTTGCGCCTCTACCCCTTTCACACTGAAATCGCCCGCTGACAAGCATGCTGGTGCCGACCTTCTCGTCCCTGTCGACGGCCTCGACCGACGCGCAGTGCGCGCTGCTGCGCCGCCTGAGCACCTTGGGCCTCGTGTACGCCAAGCTGCCGGTGCGTCAGCTGCGCGAGCTGGCGCCGCCCGTGCCGGCCTTCAACACGGAGCCGCGCGAGCTGGCGCTCAAGGGGTCGCTGCTGGACGCGCGCACGCTGCTGGGCCCGTTCCCGGCCGACATGCTCGAGTCGCTGGCCACGTGGCTAGACCAGGGCATCGACAAGGTGCTGGTGGACGCCGCCTCCAGCGACGACGAAGAGCTGGAGCGCGTGGCCGTCGCAGTGTCGGAACTGCCGGCCAGTCGCGTGGTGCTGCGCATTCCCGTGCCGGCGCTGCACGCGCGCGAGGTGACGGAGCTCCGCGAGAAGCTGGCGAGACTGGACGGCACCGCGAGTGGCGTGGTGTTCGCCATCGACTCGGTGACGTTGACGCAGGAGAGCGGCTTCGAGGCGCTGTTCACGAGTCTCCAAGCACTGAGGAAGAGCGTGGACGAGGGCTTCTTCTTCGCGGTGGAGATGAACGCTGGACCTGCTGCGGGATTCAACTCGGTGCTGGCTCTGGCCAGGATCCAGGAGTTCCACCACAAGAACATCCACGTTGTGGCGCCCGGATACTGCAACGGGGAGGGCGAGGAGCAGGTGGACATGGTCACGAGTGACGGCGAAGCGACCGTGGATGCGGCGCTGTCGTTCGTGCAGTGTCTGCGCACGGACCGGCCCGATGGTCTGTTCACGACCGTCGTGGCGGATGAAGCGGGAGTGGCGCTCGGTCTGGTGTACTCGAGCGCGGAGAGCATCTTGGCCGCGGTGTCCAGTGGACGCGGTGTCTACTACTCGCGGTCGCGTGGCGGCCTCTGGAAGAAGGGCGAGAGCAGCGGCAACGCCCAGAAGCTCATCCAGATCGACATGGACTGCGACAGCGACGCGCTGCGCTTTACTGTGAACCAGACGGGTGCTGGCTTCTGCCACCTCAACACTCGCACGTGCTGGGGCCGTGACGGCGGTCTCCGCGCCCTGGAGAGCATGCTCTTTAGCCGCCACGCCCACGCGCCCGCCGGATCGTACACCAAGCGGTTGTTTGACGACGCAGAGCTGCTGCGTAACAAGCTGGTGGAGGAGGCGCAGGAGCTGGCAGAAGCTGAATCGATCCCTGATGTGGCGGGTGAGGCTGCCGACGTCATGTACTTCGCCATGGTTCGTTGTGTCGCTGCTGGCTGCAAGCTGAGCGACGTTGAGGTATGGCTACAGTTTAGTTTTTCTGCTTGGTTTCCGGTGGTGCTGCAAAGCTTTGATATCCTAACGCATTCTGTTGATCCTGTCGTTCCTTACAGAAAATGCTTGACAAGCGCGCGTTGAAGGTGAAGCGACGACCCGGCAACTCGAAGGCCTACCGCATATCAGCCGCCAACAAGATCCTGAACAGCAAGGGCATGCAGAGCGGCTCCAGCGTAGCTTCGGTGTCGGCCTCCGCAGTCAGTGAGCAGTAAGCCGAGAGGTAATCCGCTAGAAGATTATCCAGTCAGTCTACTGGATCACTCCCCCAGCATCCCCCTTCCATTCCTAGAGTCAGGAGAAAGTGTTGCGCGCTTAATGCGCAGCACTAAACACGCAGAAGCCTTCATCGTAGTATTTTTCCTTCGTGTTTCTGGCAGTTTTAACGTAAGAGGGCAGCCACAGCACAGCAGCCCCTAAATCACGGCACTTCAAAGAAGCTTCCTCCTTCACCTTTTCGATCTCTTCGTAGAGCAGCAGCTGAAGAACCGAACTCTCCTTTAAAAAAGTGCCGTGGATTGCGTAGCAATGGGCCAGGAAGACAGAAGACTCAAACCAACTTCGGAGACGCCTTCAGTCTACTCGTCGTCCTCGTCGTCCTCGTGGGCGTCCTCCTCCTCTTCTTCCTCCTCTTCCTCGTCCTCCTCCTCTTCTTCCTCCTCAGCGAACTTGGACCAGTCGATGTGGTGGTACAGACGCTGTAGCCAAACATCAAATCAAACACAAGCCAAAAAATAGGGGTCAGCACCACCAGAACGGACCGGCCATCGACTGTATCACAGCCTCCTGCTCGCAATTCCAATGCAAGTAATTTGCCACGTACGCCGCGGTTGTTGGCCTCCCAGATGTAGTTGGTGGCCGAGCCGTAGACGCCCTCCACCACCAGCGCGGCGATGAGCACCGTGGTCACGTACACGGGCGTGCTCTTCATGAACAGCTTGTAGGCGCCGTCCAGCGAGCCCTTGCCGCTCACGGACGAGCGCTTGGTGGAGGCCATGCGGGCGCCCTGGCGCTTGGCCTGCGAGGCCACCTGGCGGATCGTTCGGCTCAGCATCGTGTGTGACGTTCCGGCGGGGTCGACGACTTGGACTGTGTGTGCGCCTTCTTTAGCTCTACAGCAATGGCCGGGGAGGGAGGCGACGAGCCTGCGGTTCTGAGAGGCCCAGCCCCTGGCGCAACGTTCGCGCGACAATCGCGTAGTTTGGGCGAAGAGCCCAAATCGGGCTAGTTTGGGACGCGGCGGTTCGCTACGTTGGGCAACGCACATTCTGGAAAACCACAGCCCCCACACCAGTCGCACACCAGAAAGAGCCGTTTCTTTGGCTGAAACACAGAATCTTGTGTATTTTTCAAAAAAGTTGGAGCCTGCAAATATTACAAGTCATTAGATCTGCAAGGTACTATGGACTCAAAACGAAAGTGTTTCTGATGAAATTGGTATATATTATACGCGGATATAAGGTTACCGAACGCTGCAAAATGGCAACCGCTACTGTACGCCGGAAAAAGGGGGAGGATTTCGATTCAAAACGGCGGCGCGAATATCAAGAAGAAATTCGCCGCAAGTGCAAGCACCGTGCTGCCCAGAAACCCTAGAAGGCGGTGCCGACTACCGACTAGCGGAGCCCCGCGCACAACTCAACTGCCCTCGTCATGGAGCCCCTCGCGACCGGCAAGCGGCGGCGACCGGCGTCCGCGTCGCTGTCGCCCCCTCCGCCTCCGCGCCAGCCCACGCGCGACGACGAGCAGCTCGTGAGCTGGAAGAAGCGGCGGCTCGAGTCCCCCAAGAAGCGGCCGGAGCTGCGCAGTCCCGAGCCGGAGGAGAAGAAGCCCGCGCCCACGGGCAAGCGGCGACGCAGCGTCACGCCCGAGCCCAAGCAGGAGCAGGAGCAGGAGAAGCTGGAGGAGACCAGCAACAGCAGCGAGGACAAACAGGAGACCAAGAAGCGTCGCGTAGCGGAGGAGGGCAGCTCGACGTCGCCCCCTCCCGTTCTACCGGCCTCTCCGCCGGCCAATCTAAGCGAGAAGCACTCGCAGACGCCGTCTACTTCTTCAGAGCAGGAGGAGAAACAGAGCATTACAGAGGAGAAGGCGAGGTTCCCTCCGCCGCCGCTGATCATCCCCTCTGTACGAGAAGAGGAGCAGGAACAGGAGGAGGAGGATACCCCCAAGGAGAACAGAGCGGACGCCACGTTCACCAACTTGGACCAGTTCGTCGTGAGCTCGCAGGGCAGCGACGCCGACCTGGTCGCGGCCTGTGCCAACCTGCACAATGACATCGTGAGCTGCAGCCAGGACTCGCAGGGCAGCGACGTCGAGAGAGTACGGCTGCGCACGTCGCTGCGTACAGTTCAGGTGACGCCCCCGCCCTCGGCGCGGATGCTGGACAGAAAGAACCCTCCGCCGCCGCCCAAGAGACCCAAGAGACGACGCAACTACGGCGGCATCGTGTACGCGCGGACGTACCCGCGGCTGGCGCTGTCCCCTCTGGTCGACGACTCTCCGCCGAGCTCCCCGCGCGTCTTCCGGTCCCTGGAGAACGAGTTCGCCTTCGCCATGCAGGACACGCCCGAGATCCGCCCCCGCGTACGGCCGGCGCCCAGGATGGCCAGGGGCACGCGGCGGTCCACGCGCGCGGGCTCGGCAACGCGTCGGTCCCTGGACACGCCCACCTCGACGATGGTATTGAGGTCACGACAGCTGAACCCGAGCCTGAGCGCCGACGGCGGCAAGCCCGAGAACCAGCGCGAGCGGGAGCAGCGTGACGCTCAACGCCGACACTGAGGGGAGGCAGGTGCAGATATGAGTGGCAGGGCGACACTCAACCCGCCCCATGGCATGGACCATGCGTGCCTTCGTCCTGACGTCGACAAAGCCGAGGTCTGTTTTTATTGGTAGTTTTAGTTTTTATTTTCGGGGATTAGGCGTCGCGATAGCAGCCTAGACACTTGTAGTTTAACTTTGTGAAGGCGCCAATTCCGTTGTTTTATCAACGTTTTACGGCTATCTTGAAGTGGATTGTTAATCGCCGTGAGGCCACCAACCAAACCATTTCCTTACATACCCCGGACAGACGCATACGCACACTCAAGGGACCATGAAGGTGCTGGTGATCAACGAGGGCTCGCTGAGCGACTTCGAGGTGCTGTCGCTCATGCAGGAGCGCAAGGAGCAGCGCCTGCACAAGTCGGCCATGGTCGAGTACGCCGAGCGCAACTGGATGGACCACAAGGTGCTCAAGTTCCTCACGCAGAGCCACTCGCACTGCTCGACGCTGAGCTCGAGCTGCATCCAGGACTTCCTCAAGGAGCTGGCGCAGGCCGAGCTGCCGGCGCTCACGTCCGCCGAGAAGCTGCAGTTCATCAACCACATCCCCACGGAGCTCGTGGACATCCACCTCATCATCGAGGACTGCGCAGGCCGCTTCTCCGAGACGCAGGTGGACGAGCTCATCCGCATCGTGGAGCGCACACTGGCGGCGGAGCTGTTCGAGCAGCGGCGGAATGCAGAGGCCTCGCAGGCGACGGAAGGCGCAGGCGAGACCGAAGAGTAGGCTGGCAGCCATACGTAAAATATAGACGAAATGCACGGCGTTTTGAGTTGCATGAAGCTCGCCTTCCGCTCGTTGAGCCCCCACCGAGTCACTACGAACAGAATGCAAGCATCAGAAAGATATCTGCTCGGATAACAACCCCGTCAAGTGCCTACGAAACAAGCTCCTAACAAGAATGCTGTGCGATCGATCACCTGCGTCGACCGGCCTCACTGGCTATGGCATCATCTTCAATCCCTTCGTAGCTTGTCCGACAACCTGGAAGTGAGTCCCATTTCTCCTGAAGTTCGCGATCAGAGCCTGTGTGCACGTGAAGGTGAGTAGGAAGGTAGTGTTGGGGCGGCTCGAGGCTTACTGGGAACTGTTGGCGCGCGCGGTCTGGACGGCGGAGCGGGCTTGCGGGAACATGCCGACGTACTCCTGCGACGACAAGTACCTAACACTAATCTGGCGCTTGTTGAACCAGCGGCCGTGCAGCTTCTTGGCAGCAGAAACTGCAGCGCTCACGTTGGCGAACAGCACGTACACGAGGCCGCCTTGCTTCTCGTTCTCCACGTACGTGTGCAGCACAGGTCCGTACTGCCCGCACTCCTCTTCGACGTCCTGCTGGATCTCCACAGCCCACTCCGGATTGCCGCTCTTCTGCTCCTGGTACACATCGAACATATTCTTCACCACGAAGCAAAATGACTCACTCCCTTCAATCTCCGTCGAAGACATCAGCGCCGCTGCCTGCTCCGCTCGCTGCGCGGCTGTTGCGGCCATGGTGTTGGTGTAGTCGGTGGTGGATGCCGCTGCGGGATATCCTCCAATGCCACCAGCGCTGCCACCAATACTCGTAGGGAACAGGTTCACGTCGTTGCCAGCCAGCTTTGCCATTAGCGCTGAGCGTGACTGTGCGTTCATGCTGAGTCCGGTACCTTCGTCGTCCTCCAGCTTCCATCGTCCGCCTGAAGCACCGTTGTCTGCGCCGCTGCCACCTGCTCCAGCCATTCCTCTGTTACCGCCATTCATCGCATTTTCGTTCACCGGGCCTAAACGCAGGTAGTTGCCCGCCAGCTCCAGTCCGTTGCCCTTCGACAACGCGAAGTTCGCTTCCTGCGGGCTACTGAACTGGATGAAGCTGAAGCCCTTCGAGCGCCCCATTTCATCGCGGTTGATCGTCACCGACAGCACCTCCCCGAACGACTGGAACACAATCCGTAAATCGTCCTCCGTGATGTTCGTGTGGAGGTTACCGCAGTAGATACGGCTAGCTGCAGACAGCGCAGATGCCGACATGCCTCCACCAGCAATTGCACCAGCCAGTCCCGCACCAGGGGCGTCGGCAGTCAGAGGAGCCGTAGACGCAGCAGCATTCATAACCGAGTCCTTCTTGGCAGCAAAGTTCTTCTCGGCTTCCGACGCCTTGATCATGATCGGGAACACCTGGAAGTCCGGCACCTGTCCGTTCAGCAGCAGCACCTTGGGCACATCTTCCAAATTCGACAGCTCCACGTACGCAAAGCCCTTGGAGCGGTTGGTGAACTTGTCACGGATCAGCAGCACGTTCTCCACCTTGCCCGTCTTGCTCAAGAACCGCTCCAGGTCCTTCTCGCGCACCTTCTGGGTCAGTTGGCCCACGAACACTGTGCGGTGGTCTCTAGTAAGCTCCATCAGCTCGCGCTGCTTGGCGCGCTCAGCGCGCTCCGCCGACGTGCTGCGTTCTCTCTCCTCCTTTTTAGGGGCAGAGCGCGAGCGGCTCCTGCTCTTGTGCCTCCTCCTGGACGGGCGCTCCCTGCTGCGACTGCGGCTGCGTCCTCTGTCTCGTCGGCTGCCGCGGCTGCGGCGTGGAGACCGCGAGCGGGAGCGGGGGCGACGAGAGCGTCGCCGAGACTTGGATTGGGACCGCGAGCGGTCGCGATGACGGCGGCGCGAGTGGCTGCGGCTCCTGCTGCGACTGCGCGTCCTGCTACGACGGCGAGAGCGACGCGACAATTCTTCCTCCGGTCTGCTGTCCTTCTTGGCATTCTCCGCTTCCTGATAAATAAAAAGATATAATAAAAATAATAAAACGTTAGAAAAAACAATAATGATACATTGCTTCATGACACGATATCACGCGCAATACTGCGGCTATGCGAGCCGCCGTTGCATGGTTAGAAAGTGCATCATCTGCTGTGTCTGCTGCAGTACCTTGGCCGCGGCCTGGATGCCTTCCTGCAGCAACGAGTCGATGGCCTCGTCCGCCATAGCTGCGCAATGTATCCAATCGCTGGTTTCCTGAGGGGCGCGCGAGCAAACAAACTGCAATTCATTCATTTGGCGCCATGCGATTCAAATCCCACCATCCCGCATGCTCCCACCCTCTATCATACTTCATTCTTCATGTGTCCACACACAAACTTATACCAAAAAGTGTATCCATCTCACACTCACACTCACCCCCTCATCCACGATGGCTACCGAGATGGAGGTGCTGCGCGCCGAGGGCAACGCGTTCTTCAGCGCCAAGGACTTCCGCGCGGCGGTGGACAAGTACACACAGGGCCTGGACGCTGCGCCGCCCTCCTCTGACCTCTCTGGAGACGACCTGAAGGCCGTGGAGGCCCAGCGCGTTCTGCTGTGGAGCAACCGCGCCGCCTGCCTCCTGCAGCTCGAGGACTTCGCCGCCGCCGAGAAGGACTGCACGCTGGCGCTGGCCGTCGAGCCGGACAACACCAAGGCGCGCTACCGCCGCGCGCAGGCGCACATGGGGCTGGGCAACATGACGCAGGCCTTCAAGGACGTGCACCTGGTGCTGCAGCACGCGCCGAGCAACAAGGCGGCGGCCGCGCTGGCCCGCAAGATCCAGGAGCGAGTGCGCGAGGACGTCCACGGCGTGCAGAAGGCGCTGGACGCCATTGTGGCTGGAGTTCATGGAGAGTCCGGACAGGCGGGCGTGAAGGAGGTGCTCAGTGAGCAAGAGAAGACGGTGGAGGCGCTGCAGTACCTCGAGATGAAGAGCGTGACCGAACTGACGAGCTTGCCAGAGGAGATCGCCAAGAGAGAGGGACTGGTGGTGCTCTGGAGAGCTGTGAGTAAGCTTGTGGAGCTGAGTGGGGCCGAGGAGGAGCACAAGACGGAGCTGCTGGACATCTTGTCGCACGTGGCGTCGCTGCTGGCGATTCTGTCCTCGGCGTCGATGGAGCTAGCGGGCAGGACGTTTGAGACGAACAATTCCGCGTTGGATGGGCTGCTGGAGCTGCTGCACAAGCAGGTGGCGTTGGAGTATGAGGCGAACGCGGCGGTGCAGATGCCGATTCGCGGACGGAAAGTCATTATTCGGTTGGCAGCTTTTATCTTCAAGTATCTGCTGATCGCGGCCAAGTCGGACGACGATGCGTGTGTTCGTCGCGTCCTCGGAGGAATGCTGGATGGACTGCGTAGTCGGGAGCGCGTGCTGCAGATTGCAGCGCTTGATGGTCTGCTCCACTTCATCTCGGTACTGGGTGGCCAGGCGTCTCCGGTGGCGAACAAGGACGACAGCGCTGCTCAGCACCTGAAGGCGCGATTCGCAGCGTTGGCGCAGGAGCTAGGTCTGTTTTCGCTGCTGCACACCACTGCATCCAGTGCTCTGCCTGGGTTTGGTGCTACAGGCCCGGCGCCTGCTGAACCTCCTAGCTCTGAGTTGACTGCTGTACTGCTGAGCCGCCTTCCGCTGGTTTTCACCCAATGTCTCGCGCATTTCGAGGGCGACGATACAATGCTAAAGAAGATGGTGCGGGATTGGTGCGTGTCGCCTGTGCTGGCGGCGCGGCCTACGAACCGCACGCAGCTGGCTCAGGGTTCTGCTTCGTGTCTGCTGCTGTCGGCTTTGTTCCTCTCAAACGCAAAGCTTGCGTTGTGGGCTGTCCAGCAGACTGGAAATGACGGCACGGCGTTCCTCACGCGACTTCACGAGTTTTTGAGTGCGTCGCGGACGTTTGAAGATGCCAAGGCGCACACCCGTCAACTGCAGGAGATCTGGGTCGACTGCGTGGCCAGCATTTGCGGAGTGGAGCATGGGCCTGCTTGCGTTCCGCCTACATTGAGAGTTGAGATCTACCGCATGCTGCAGGCGTCTCTGGATGATGAAGATGACTTGATGCTCCGTGCCAGCGCCTTGAGTATTCAGGTGAAGCTCGGTATTGTCGAGAAGACGCTGGAGATGCCGTCTGCAGATGGACAGTTCCTCATGGACAGCGTATTCGAAGTGCTTGCAAGTGCGGAGACGGTGGAGAACAAACACAAGGAGGCGGAGAAAGCGAAGCAGAGTAAGGACAAAACCAAGTCGGTGCCCAGATCGCAGTTGTTCTGGAGCGGTGTTTCCCCTAAGGAGCGCGGTATCGAAGCATTGTCGTATCTGATTACGTACACTCCCGTGAAGGACGCTTTCGTGAAGCACCCGGGAGCTGTGGCTAGTGTGTTTCGGGTGGAATTCCCCAACATCAAAGACTCCAGCTCTGGAGCGCAGTCGAGTGCAGGCTTCCGATCGAATGTATACTACGGTATCGGGTACATTTTGCATCACGTGCTAACGTCGGAGGCTGCTATCAAGCGGAAGCAAATGGAGGGAATGGAGATGACGGCAGATCAGTACGAGGAGCTGCAGAAAGCGCTGAAACAGAAGTCTGTGCTGGATGACGGTGACACTCCGGAACATGTGCAGGCTCGTGTGACTCGACTAGCGGCGTCGCGTGACGTGTTGACTACGCTGGTGCAGCTCTTGAAGCTGTCCGCCACGAAGTCGGAAAACATTATGGAGATGGCAACACTTAGCGCGTTGCACGCTGCAGAAGCACCCACGGTGCGAGGTAACCTTGTTCAGTGTGGTGTGTTCCAGGCACTGATCCCGTTGGCCCTGCATCACATCGCCGTAGCCAATAGCAAGGGCACGAAGGCGGGTGGGAAGCAGATTCACGGCACGAAGATCTCGAATGCTGCCGGGCAGGCCATGGCCAAGATCCTGATCAGTACCAACCCCAACTTGATCCCGTCATCCTCGCTTTTCTCGTCCATTCGGCCGCTGCTGGACATGTGCAAGGGCGACCAGCAGCTACTGCAGTTCGAGGCGCTCATGGCTCTCACGAACATCGCTAGTGTGTCGGAAGAAACAAAGGCGCGTATCGTGGGCGAGCCACAGGGGCTGTCGACGCTGCAGTACTTGCAGTTCTCCGAGCACGAGCTTGTGCGTCGTGCGGCCACCGAGGCGATCTGTAACCTGCTTCCGAACGACAAGGTGATCGAGCAGGTTTTCATGAACGAAGAGAAGGTGCGCTTGTGGATCGCGTTCGCATCGCTTGAGGATGAGGCCGAGGACTTTGAGACGGCGCGGGCTGCAGGAGGTGCGCTGGCCATGGTGTCCCAGGTCCCGCAGGTCAGCTGGGTGATGATGCGTCAGGGTGGACTCAAGGCCTTCACCGCAATCATCGAGCAAGGCTCCAACGTTGAAACACTGCACCGCGCGCTGTTCGCAATGCAGAACATGCTCGAGGCAATTGCTGGTGCTGCGAAAGACGAGGAGAAGGCCGAGGAGCGGACCAAGTTCATCGACGAGGTCAAGCACCACAGCTCATTGCTGAAGCAGAAACTGTCCACCCACAGCAGCAACGCTCAGATCAAGGACACCGCTCAGGCATGTATCGGAGCCTTAGAACAGGTGATCCGCTAGCTAGCTAGCTGGAGAACAACACAACACTGTAGAAAGAAAAGAGGGTTTGTCTGAATGAATACTTGTACTTCGGGGAGCGCTCAATGGTCGACTTTGATGGCTGAAGGGGAGATCGCCGCGCCGTAGACCGTCACGATGCAGTAGATGGTGCTGTTCTCCCAGAGCACCGTGCAGTAGCCGTCCATGGTCGGGTCCCAGAAGCACGCAGCCGCCGTGGTCATCCCCGCGCCGGTCTTCTGCATGATGAGGCACGTGACCGCGTACTTGAAAGGTTTGTTGAGGTTCTGCAGCCCCGTGAGCACGCTCGCGACCAGCGTGTTGGACCAATCCATCACCTTCTTCCGGTTGTACACCGTGTCCTTCAACGCAGACTCGATGGCCTGTACGCAGCAAGAAGTGTATACGATGACACATCCGAAGCAATATCAATCGTAGAATCCCTGAACATACCGTCTTGGCGATGGGCAGCACGTCCTCCTGCGAGAACTCGCTCTACGCAGCACCATTACCATCAGCAGACGCTCTAAACCCTTCCATCCACAGCCAACGCCTCTCATTGTACCTCGTTAGTGTCCATGGTTAACGACGACGTCTACCTGACTGATGGATACGCCGTCCTTTCACAGCGCCCCGTAATTAGTCATCATCCCGTGCCACACCACGTACACAGCATGAAACTGTCCAAACAAGTGTCTCGTCCCTTCCACACGTTACGTTTCAACACGCGACGGTTTCCACCGGACACGCCGTCCAAGTCGGTCAGCGAACCTGCACATTTCTATTGACGACGCAACAGGGCGGGAGGCTATACAGTATTATAGTGCAGCAGCATGAGTGACGACTCGATCGCGGTGCAGCGGCTGCGGCAAGAGCGCAAGAACTGGCGGCGAGACCACCCGGCGGGCTTCTGGGCGCGCCCCATCGCCAACGACGACGGCTCGCTCAACCTCATGATGTGGCACGCGGGCATCCCGGGCAAGGCCGGCACGGACTGGGAGGGCGGCGTGTTCAAGATGTCGCTGGCCTTCTCCGAGGACTACCCGAGCAAGCCGCCGCTCGTCAAGTTCACGCCGCCGCTCTACCACCCGAACGTGTACCCGTCGGGCACGGTCTGCCTGAGCATCCTGAACGAGGACAAGGACTGGAAGCCCAGCGTGACCATCAAGCAGATCCTCAAGGGCGTGCAGGACCTGCTGGACCAGCCCAACATGGCCGACCCGGCGCAGCGCGAGCCGTACATGGACCTCAAGAACGACCCGGAGCTCTACAAGCGCAAGGTGCGTCAGCTGGCGCTCAAGAACCGCGAGAGTTAGAACGTTGGGAGGGTGTGGTAAAGGAGATGGAGACGGTAGGAACGACGGAGAGTAATACAGTTGGAGGAGGAAGGGGGTGTCATTGACGGTAGTGGTAGTTATTGTGGCGCCTACTTACTCAAAGACGGGAAGAGCTGAGAAACTCGAGTGACCTCAGCTCGGGCCTCCTCCCCACTTTAGCACGGAAGAAGGAAGACGACTGCGCAGCTCTAGTCCTTCTTGAGCGCGAACACCTCCCTGGCAATGCCCGAAGCCTTAATGGTCAAGATCTCCACGCTGTCGCCCGTGTAAATATCTCTCTGCAACCAGAAACACACGTAGGCAGTTAGTAGATCCGCTTCAAACCAGCAACTCCAGCAGTTGGTTGCAGCACCGCACCTCTCCAGCCGTAATGAAGGCGTCCTTGATGATGTCCTTGGTCTCCTGCAGCGACAGCGTCTTCTTGGGGTCCGTGCGCGTGTCGTGCTCCACGAGGTTGTCCAGCAGCGGGATCATCAGGTGGCCGCCGCTGCCCTGCGCCGCGCGCGTGACGCGGTCGTACGAGCCGATGGCGTCGTACGTGTACACGGCGCCCTTGCCGTTCTCGTCGATGCCGCAGAGGATGCAGAAGGCGTAGTACGGGAAGAAGCGGCGCGAGTACAGCGTGTTCATCAGCAGCTGCGCCATGGCGCTCGAGCTCATGGCCGTCTCGTTGTCGTGCTGGTACATCTGCGCGCGGATGCTCAGCACGCCGCGCAGCTGGATGATGTCGTTGTGCGACCCGGGGCAGCCCAGCACCGAGGTGGGCGTCAGCTGGTGCAGCTTGCTCTCCTCGCGGGACAGCACCGAGTAGCCCGTGCTCAGGCGCGTGTCGCCCGCCACCACCACGAAGTCCTCGCCCGCGATGGCCAGCACGGTGCCGCCGTTGAAGTCGTAGGGCTCCCAGTTGGCGCGCGCCTGCTCGTGCACACCCGCCGCCTGCACGTCGCGCAGCCCCAGCTTGGCGTCTCCGCTCGTCGTCCACGCCACGGCCTCCGGCATACTGCGAGACATCTCTGCTTGGTAGGGGTAAGCTCTAACTAGAAGAAGACGTTGGCTCGATCTTTATGACCCGAAGAAATCTTCCCCTGCGGCCGCATTTTTCGAGGGGGGTCGTCACTTTATCGGGGATTATACCTCGATCGAGTGACGTTAAACCGGTACATACGTTTGCAGTCACCGATATACCGGTAAGATGTTGTCTGGCTGGCGCGCGTAGCGAGGGCTCTCTCACACATTCCTGCGGCCGAGAGCTGTCAACACCCGAGCGAGGACCTCCTGCACCTGCCTGCACCTGTAGCCGACCAAGATGGAGCGCGAGCCGTGTCCCTTCCGCATCGTGGAGGACGCGGGCGGAGGTTTCGTGCTGGGCGCCGTGTTCGGCAGCGGCTGGTACACGTTCAAGGGCGCGCGCAACTCGCCGTCGGGCCAGCGGCTGCGCGGCGCCATCTACAACGCCAAGATGCGCACGCCCGTGCTGGCGGGCGGCTTCGCCGTGTGGGGCCTGCTGTTCTCGAGCTTCGACTGCTCCTTCGAGGCGCTGCGACGGAAGGAGGACCCGTGGAACTCCATCCTGGCCGGCGCGGCCACGGGCGGCGCCCTCGCAGCCCGCGCCGGCCCGCGCGCCGCCGCTGGACAGGCGCTCATCGGAGGCGTGCTGCTGGCCGCCATCGAGGGCGTCAGCATCATGGTCAACGAGTGGTTCGCGCCGCAGCCCGACCAGGGCATGGCCGGCGACATGATGGGCAACCCGGAGCTGGACGAGCAGAAGCTGGCGCCGCCGTCGTTCTAAGCCCACAGCGAAAGGAGCGAGCGACGCGGCCCTTTGCTGGCCGGCTTTTGTTTGTTAAATAGCGAATGGGGTGGCCCCACTACATGTTGCTGCCCTCCTTAATTATAGGAAGGACCTGCGCTCCCGGATCGATCGGATCTGGGCCGAGGATACATAGAGACGGGAAGGATGGAGGGTGGATGGAGGGCCTGCGAGCGCGCGCGCCGGCTTGAAGCGGAGCTGGCGCGAGGCTTGCGGGCGGACGAAGTGCAAGGCGAGAAGACGCGAGCGGAAGATGTCGACGGGGATTCGAAGAGGAGAGAGGCAGACAGACAGCGATAACCGACGCGGAGACGGAATGACAATGTAACCTTAGACGCTTCAGCGAGCTTAGTCTCCTGCGCCGGCGTGGCGATGCTGCTAACAGGGAGATGGAGTGCGTGTGCTTTGATTGAGTTCTGTTGTTGCAGGTGAATGTTGTGGAGTGGAAAAGTAGAGCTCGTTATTTCTGTCGGAGACATTGAAAGCGCTCGACAAGAAAAACCGGTGGAAACGCACGATAGCATGGCGCGCTGAAACGGACTTGGAGGCCAGGACAGCAGGACAAGCAACCTCGGTCAGCAAGTTCCGATCGACAAGCGGCTCGATACTGCAACAACACTCGTAGCTCGGCTCGAAAGAAGCCCAAAGGAGCAGAAGCGTACTTTCCGACCGACTGCGGGTCTCAAGTCCGTCAAGAAGGCAGCGATGGCCGAGATTAGTTACTACGATGCGGACCTCAGCGACGCGATCATGAAGCTCAATGAGCTCATGGGCAAAGTGGCCAAGGCGCCGCCTGGTGTTCGCCCCGAGGTACGGCACAGAGTGGCGGCCGTGACAAGCTTCGCGAAGAAGGTTAACGCTTTGGTACTGTGCAGATTCTCGCGATGGCTGAAGTGAAGCTCAAGGAAATGATGGAGCTCAAGAAAGGATTCCAGCTGGCGCTACGACAAGCTCCGCGTGACCAAGTTGCTGCCTTTCGCGAGGTTGGTGCCCGCTGAGAGCCATTTTCATCGCCGTGTTATTGACTTCGTCCTTTATCTTTGTGCAACAGAAATTCGAGGAGCATTGTGCTCGTGTTGAAGAGCTCTCGAGTGAATTCCGTTGGGCCAAGGCTGAGCAGGAGCGCAATGGGCTGTTCGGCGATCGAGCCGCAGCAAACGCCGCAGCTCGCGGGACAAACGGGCTGGGAAACAAGGAGTTGCTCGATAAAACTATGGACATCCAATCCAAGACAGAGCAGAGTCTCATGAGCACGGCGAAGATGGTGGAGCAGTCGAAAGAGGTCGCAGCGGCGACCGCGGAGGTTCTGCGCGGCCAACGTGAGCACATCGTTGAGATCACGGACGCCGTCATGGGCATCGAAGACAGTTTACAGCGCGCTGACAAGCTCATCCGTTCTTTCGCGCGACGAATGGCCACAGACCGAGTCATTTTGCTCTTCACTTTTCTCGTGATCGTCGGAATTGCTGGCATTGTCGGCTACAAGTCTGTCCACCCCGACGACACCACCTTCTACGTGCCGGATGAGGTCACTCCGCCGGATCCGACGGCACTCTACAACACCACAGTGAACGCCATCAACAGCACGCTTTCAGGGTCCTGAACGTTCGGCCAGTTGCGTAGCTATAGCGATAGCACCATTCAGCTGTTCTAACCCCCCGTGAACCAATTTGTTTAACTTCGAGCCTGATTTTTCGTATCACTTGCACTAGGAGCTACGGTCATCTGATCCAGAGTCATCGTTGCTAGAGTCGGATTCGGATTCTACTTGATCAGAGTCATCTCCACTCGAGCCGCTGCCCTCCTCTGATTCCTCAAATCCCTCCTCACCTTCCGATTCGACATGTAAGAAATCCTTCAGCTGGTACAAGCTCTGCAGCTTGGCTCGATGGCCTGCTTTCTTGATATTCATGGCGTCGAGCGTCTTGACATCAAGCCCACCAGTGCCAAGCAAGAAATTCGCATCGTCAAAGCCCTCATCGAAGAATGTTGGCGCATATTCCACGAGCCCGATGCTGGCCAGCCAGCTCGCAAGTTGAGCCCGACCAGAAGCTCGAGTAGCATGGTCGACTAGAAGCGATTTCAGGTCGTCACGCTCCAGCTCCGTAGCCAAGTCAACCGGTGTCGTACCATTCTTCATGCCAAAACACATACGATCAGCAAACTGTAGCAGGATTTTCAGCGCTGTATCCATACCTTGGACTCGAGCTGTTGGATGTCGGCATCTTCCAGCAAGAGCTTCACGATGGCTCTGTTACCCTGCAGAACTGCCAAGTGCAGTGGTGTGCAGCCAATCTGCAAAATTCAGACCCAAACCGTTTAAACATGGTAAGGCCAGACCTCTTATAATGCCGTACGTACCTGTAGATCGACTGCATTCACTTTCATAGCCGGAGTTGCTGCTAGCAGTAGCTTGACGATTGCTTCGTGCTCAAAGCGCACAGCAATATGCAGCGGCGAGTACGCGTACTTCGTCTAGACACAAGCTCCGGAAGTTAATGGTCATTGGAACTACTGCGGAGCCACCGACCTAAGAAACGACTTACATTGCCCAGAGCATTCGCAGACTCAGGGTTCGCAGCTATCAGCTCCGACACAAGCTCCGCATCTCCCAGCGCACATGCGTACTGCAGTGGCGTCCACGCTACCGTATCGCGCGGCGATCCCGCCTCCAAGCGGCCGCAGCCCAGCTCTTCCACCGACACCCCCAAATCCTCCAGCCGCGTCGTCATCTTTGTAAATTCTGCTCAAGCGTCGCAGCAAGAAGATCTAATGGGCTAACACCAGCAATACTTACACACTCGAGCACCATCCAACCAAAATGCATAATCTATTCTTCTCCTATTGCTAAAGTGAGGCTGCGATCGATCTACTACTGTACGACCACGTGCTCTAGTAGAACGGCCAGGACTTGGTCACGATCAGCGTCACCGCTGTGGCCACCACGACTACTAGCATCACTGCGATGGGCTCCGGTGGCTTGTACAGCTCGCGGAAGCGCAGGTTCTCGTTGCGCCCGAGCATGCGGCGCTTCCGACGCATCGCGGCGATGAACTTGTCGCCGAGCGTCTTGCGCGTCTCGTCCTTGAAGGTGAAGCGCGCGCGCATCTCCGCCTGCTCCTGCAGGAACGCCGCGTAGGCTGCAGCCTCGTCCAGATCGTCCACGAGGTCGTCGCCTTCGTCGTCTCCGGGGTCGGCGCGCTCGTCGTCATTGCTCAGCAACGCGACGCCGCTGGAAGATCGCGCCTTGACGGGGCTGCCTCGTCGATACGCGTGCGTCTGCGTCGGGTCATCATCGTCTTCCGGACTCGGAATTGTCTCCTCTTTGCCGCGAGGCGTAGAGGGAGCGTAGGGCGCTGCTCGCTGCTTGATGGTCGCCATGGTTGCTCTGCGTCTCTTGAAGGCGAATGGGGCGCACTTCAACGTCGACACGGTAACGGCTCCGCTTGGCGCAACATTCGAGCGACCACTTCTCTTCATAAAACCTGCAACCGTAATACCGACGTTTACCGAGTATACAGTCGAGCTCAGTGTATCGGTCGTAACGCTTTAAACGTATAGCCTCTGTAAAGAGTACAGATTTTAAGCCGATATGCTCACGAATTACTGTAAAATATAATCAACCTGTAGAAAATAATAAACTACTGATAATCCTATCAAGCAAGTGCATACTGTACGTGTAAGCGAGGTCGACCGAGAACCCCACAACCGGAACGAGACCTGCAGACGGAGGAGACCAGCAGTAGCGAGCGAGAATGCCGAGTGCCAAGTGGGAGATCGCGCGCATCGGCGTGTACATCACCAGTGCGTTGTCCGCCGTTTGTAGCGAACGATGTTGATGATGGATACAACGTGCTAATGAGTGCACTCCTGTGTCGCCTGCAGTCCCCGTCGTCGCCACCTGCATCTACGCGCAGCCCGACTGCATCAACTTCATCATCGACAGGGTGAGCCAGGCCTGCTGCTTCCGTGTACTGTATGATAGCATGCTAATGTCTGTTTTATTGTAGTGGCGGTACATCCAGTACCCGCCGCAGGCCGTGACTCGCGAGGATTACTACAAGAAAATGCGCGAGCTTGCCAAGGAGGACAAGTAAGCTGCGCTGCCTGCAGCACAGACTGGATGACAGAACTTCTTCATCTAGTGCTGCTTGCTTGAAGTTGCACTGCCGTGACACTACGAAGCAGAAAAGGAAACACCTCTTTAATATAAAAGGCCAAAAGTACGTTGTATTTGCTAGAGTGGCGGCACAGAATGGATCGTGGCGCATAACAAGAGCCTCTCCTCCTCTTCACGTCCAGCCGCGCGCTGTCTATACGAGTATTCGTGCTTCACACGGAGTCGTCAATTGGTGTGTGTCTCTTCACATACTTCGCCACGCTGGGGCAGTTCCGCTGCGTGTGCTGGCTGCTAGCCCGTCGCATGGAAGACGACACGCCGAGCTGAGCTCCCCACAACCTGTTTACTGTTTCCGGAGCAGGCAGTAGATCCGTGTGTCGTTGTGAATCATGTGCAGGTGGCGCTGCTCGCCGCGCAGGCACATGAGCAGGCCGCCGAAGCTGGCGTAGATGGCCACCATGTTGCCGCCCTCGTGGTCGTACTGGAACACCTTGCCGTACATGCCGTAGTCGTAACGGTCCAGCAGCGTGGGCTACAGCAACACCATAGCTACATCAGCACAATTCCCTCACCAACTGCAGCAGCAATGCACAGTACACACCTTGCCCGACTGGTTGAACATGCCGTCGTCCGGCTTGCCCTCCAGGTCCAGCGTGCTGACGAGCGCCAGCGTGAACTTCTCGTTCTGGCGCAGACGGTAGACCTCTGAGTTGATGTCCAGCGTCAGCTCCAGCTCGTACGACACACCCTTGCACACCACGCGGGTCACTGTGCCAATGAGCAATAGTCCAGTTAGTTCATTCAGTCTCCTCTCCCACTTAACGTAGCAGCACACAGCGCCAGCGCATGGAGCAGCGTCTTGCACGCACCTTTGTCGAACTTCTTGCCATCCGGGTTCAGCTGCCGCACCTCGAAGATATCCTCAAACAGCTCGGTCGCCATGGTCTTCGCTTCTCCTCGCTACCGGTATCACAATCAGAAAGTGGGGCGTCCACCATTGCTTTGCTCTTGTGCGTTTTGTGTCCGCCACACAAAATTATATACTGTTTGTGTGCACCACACGAATGTGTTAGATACATCACAAACCCACGACCAGATGGCTTAACCGACGCTCGCCTCCGCTCCGTAACGACAAAGGCCAGAGCCAGAAGACGAGAAGAGATAACAGGGAGGAAGAACTCCTTCGAGCGCAGCAGCACACACACACGTATCCACAGCACTGTAGACAGGCATGGCGTCGCCCCGCGAGGACGAGTACGACTACCTGTTCAAGATCGTGCTCATCGGCGACTCGGGCGTGGGCAAGTCGAACCTGCTGAGCCGCTTCACGCGCAACGAGTTCAACCTCGAGTCCAAGAGCACCATCGGCGTCGAGTTCGCCACCAAGTCCATAGTGGCCGAGGGCAAGACCATCAAGGCGCAGATCTGGGACACGGCGGGCCAGGAGCGATATAGAGCAATCACCAGCGCGTACGTTCACCCCTACTCAGGCTACATTGGAGTGGGCAATGGATCAAGGCTAATTATTGCGTTGTTTATTATTGTGCATGATAGATACTACCGCGGTGCAGTAGGCGCGCTGCTGGTGTATGACATTACCAAGCACGGTACGTTCGAGAACGTGGAGCGCTGGCTGAAGGAGCTGCGGGACCATGCGGACGCCAACACGGTGATCATGCTGGTGGGCAACAAGAGCGACCTGCGCCATCTGCGCGCAGTGTCGACCGAGGAGGCCATGGCGTTCGCGGAGAAGAACAACCTGGCGTTCATCGAGACGTCGGCTCTGGAAGCCACGGGCGTGGACACGGCCTTCCAGCGCATCCTGACCGAGATCTACAAGCTCATGAGTCGCAAGACGATCCAGGCGGAGGAGAACGCGACCGCGAGTCTCCCCACGGGCAACAGCATCGCCATCACGGCTGAGAACACGACCGAGAGCCAGAAAAAGAAGAAGAAGAGCGGTTGCTGCTAGGCTTGCGCTGGGGACACCCGGCGCTAATTGAAGTAGGTGAGCTGATTAATGGAGAGACTGCTGATAGTCAACGCGAGCGAAAGGAAAGCTCATGAATGACCTTCAATGCAATCGGCTTTCAACTTGACACGCACGACGCACGAACGTCGGAAGGACGACTTCGGTAGTCAAATTGCGATTTGGTCCGATCTCCCTACTGTATTTTTAGGCTTTAGTCTTTAGTCCTGCTATCTGTGATTTGGTCTAACCTCATTTTATAGTCTTTAGTCCTGCTATTTACGAGTTAGTCCAGCTCTATAGTTTTGGTCGTCACAGAAAAAAGCAGCGGAGCACTTTCCTAACCAAACACCGATGGCCAACAAGAAGAAGCGAAGTCGCGCTCAAGCCGCCAGCGCTGTACGTGTGCGCGCGAACGCCCGCCACTACAATGATACAATCTGTATACTCACATTTATCTGTGTATTTGCAATGCATTGCGGCCCAATAGGCCGATGTGAAGCCTGCGCCCGAGCAGTCCGAGCCCAAGGCCAAGAAGAAGCCCAAGTTCTCCTTTGCCAAGACGCTGTCGACTGACGCGGCGGCTGCCAGCAACACCAAGAAGACCGAGCAACCAACGGTGAAAAATACAGTGGAGTCAGCTGCTGCTGCCGACGCTTCGAGCGCTGTGAAGAAGAAGAAAAAGAAGAAAAACAAGAACAAAAGCACTGCAACTGCGACCTCTGCAGCCAATGACGCGGACAAGAAGGAGGCCAACAAGGCCAAAGCCAGCGAGATCGACGACCTGTTTGCGTCCTTGAAGACGGAGAAGCAGAAGAAGAGCATCGCAGAGGAGCAGCAGAAGCTCGCCGAGGAGGAGGAGGAGCGCCGCGAGAAGAAGGAGAAGGAGCGACTGCACGAGCAGATCAAGAAGCTCGAGGCGCAGAGTACGTCGCGTTATCACTTTTGGGAGATAAAACATTGGGAGCTCTGACTGATTTGGATTGTTTGCTGGAGCACAGATACCAACTCGACCGCTGTCGGCCTCAATCCGGACCCGCGACCTGGTAAGTCCATGGCTTCAACGTGGTTGATGGCTATGGAGCTTCGTCCGGCTAACCTTTGTTTTTATTGATGCGTCTTTAGTTCGTTACGATGAGGACGGACTGCCCATTTACACGGAGGCCTCGCTGCAGATCGGCAATGGTGGCAACACCAAGGACTGCCCGTTCGATTGCTGGTGCTGCTTCTGAAGCCCCTTTAACACTTTAACCTAGACAGCTTTTCGCAGCTCAAACGCCTCCGCCTGGAACTGGAGAAACCTGTCTCCCCCGTTCCCTCACTGCGCCTCTTGGTTGATGTCGAGAAACACCAACGACAATCCTCCAATTCCCTCATATGCTCGTCAATCCACTGCTTAGTATCCTTCGGACAGCGCTCGATGGCGTCATTGATGCACCTTCTCGCGCGTTCGTCTTGGAACTTTGTATCCACCATAGAACTCCAGGACCATCTTTCTGCAGCGCTTCAAGCACAAGGTGCCTCCGATTCTCTTCAGATACCCACCGAGCGATCTCAATGTAGCGGTATTCCAAGACCAACGTTCTTGCTGCTGACATGTCGAGCGGCGGTCCACGTTGAACCAACCACCGCAATAGTCGAATACTCTCGGGGGTGATGTATTTCCCTCCGGCGATCTTCACCAACTCCAGTGAGTTCTCCTCATAGCCGTGCACCGATAACCAACGAACTACTTCGAGATGACCTTTTTCAACGGCCTGTACAAGCAACGTCGGGTCTGAAACCGCAAATCTATGCTCGACGAACCACTGCAACATCTTCACATTACCGTCACTGACAGCGCATTGGAGAGGCGACCATCTTTAGCCGCCGTTGTAGCATCCACACGTATGCCATGCTGTCACTTATTGTGCACGCTTTCTTAAACCCACTCGACAAGCTCGAGACCTCCACTGTTGACCACTTTCCGCAAAACTTGTGTAGAAACAACATGAACTTGATGTAGCCATTTCACCACCTTCAAGTGTGGCTTCCGCATGTACTGCGTTGCATGGGACTGGGGGGTTTGAGTCATGAAACTTTCACCGCTGCTTGCGGGGCGGGCGCGTCGCAACACACCTTGGAGTACGTTCTTAGGAAGACTGGCCCCCTTTGGGCTGGTTACACCGAGAAGAGTGGTCATTGCACGGGTGAGGCGTTGGATCTGGCAGCGGAGCACGGACATTTCGAGGTTGTCAAGTGGCTCGATAATACTCGAGTGCAGCGCGGGCTGTAGTGCGATGAGCAAAGCTGTGAAGAAGTGTCTATCGCGCAGTGGCTTCATACCGTCAAAGGAGTAGTGTGCTCAGCTGAAGCCATTGACAAGGCAGCCCAGAATGGGCACTTAAATGGCTGCAACTGAACAACCTTTTCATGTGTTCGTGCGATGGAGCGGGGAGACGGTATTTGTACACGACAAATGTGGCTGTGCGGACGCAGGACGCCAGCGGCTACTTCATGGCTACCGAGAAAATTCAGATGTGGCAACTCAGAAGTTTTTCAGTGAATCGGATCGTCATGTTCATTCAATCCGTCAGTGGTGCAACCACAGCAGTGTGAATTATACTACTTCACTGCAACCGTCTTTGCTTGGAATTTGGCAGAGCCGTCTCCTCGTATCCGCCAATACTCATCTTGGTAGGAAAGCACCAACGACAGGCCCCCACTTCACTCATATCTTCCTCAAGCCACCGCTGCATATCCGTCGAACAGCTTTGGATAGCAGCACGGATATCCCACTGCGCGCTTTCATCTTGAAATGTGGTACGCGCAAGAATCCACCGTAAAACTCTTCTGTCATTTTTCTGTAGTGCCTCAAACACGACGTGTTTCCGGACGTCCTCAGATACCCACCAAGCGATTTCTACCTGGCGATATTGCCAGATTAACAATGTCGCTGTTGCCAAGTCGAGCGGCGGTCCATGCTCCACTAACCACCGCAATATCGGCACGTTCCTTATTTTCCCAGCAATATTGGCCAAAGCAAGCGAGTTCACACCGTATCCGTGCTCCGAAAGCCAGCGAACAGCTTCCAGTTGGCCGCTTTTGACTGCTAACTCGAGCAGGTCTGGATCTGAAATCTCAAACCCATTCTCGGAAAACCAGCGCAACACCTTCACGCCGCCGCGGCTGACAGCATCGCGAATTGGGACTGTCGATCGCAACTCGATTCCAAACTGATTCACCCAGTCCAGTACTGCAATGTTGCCTCTACTGAACGCGGTCCACGCTAAACATCCCAAACAACCTCGAACAAAATCCGGACGCTGCTCGAAAACCGTCTGCAGCATCGTCAATTGATCGCTAGTCGTTGGGTTTGAACGTCGCTTTCCTAGGACATCGGGGCTGAAGTGGCACATTACTTGGATACTTCTCGCTTCATCCATTTTACCTTTTGAGAAGCCTTCCCTCCTATGCTCGAGTAGATACAGAAAGACGTCGAGGTGGCCTCGATCAGCAGCGAAGTCCATTGCATCCGTTGTACATCCTTCGGGGCGATTCTTCTGCAGCCACCACACAACATCGAGATGACCATTTTGTGCAGCTCGATCCATCACCTCTTGGACAAATGTATCCGGGTGATGCATGTGGAACCATTTTAGGACTTTGAAGTGTCCATACCGTGCTGCGTAAAACGGAGCCATCTCGGAGCACCCCTCCCTTCGATTCTCGTGCAGCCACGTGATCACATCCATGTGTCCATTTTCCGCCGCAGCGTCCATTTCATGCTGACTGAACGACCCCGGGAAGTGTTCGTGCACCCATTTTACCACGTCCAAGTGCCCAAGTTCAGCCGCAGTAACTGCATCCATGTATGGTACGTAGCGATGACATTTGATGTAAACATGTTCATAAAGCCACTGGACCAGTTCAAGGTGGCCATTGTTGACCGCTACATACAGGGCCATGGGAGAACAACACCCGTGGCAAACGCGATGTAGCCATTTGACAACCTCGAAATGCCCATTCTCGGCCGCTTTGTTCATAGCAGCCGTTGTGCACATTAACAGGTTATTCGAGTGGAGCCATTGCAGCACTTCAAGGTATCCACTCTGAGCTGCAATGTCAACGGCAGGAGCAAGACACGTCTCTCTTTTCACGCCATGCAACCACTGCGCGATCAGCTTGGTTTGCTGGACTACCGTCGCTGCAAGTATCCGTTCTATTGACATAAATCCACTTGACCACCTCGAAGTGTCCTTGTTCCGCTGACTTATTCAATGCACCTGCCGTACAGTGTTCAAACAGCCAATTCTTCTCAATGTACCCAGCTGACGACTTGTCGATCTTCCAGAGCGAGTGCCAGTCCATTCCCCGCTCAAATAACCATTGGACAACATCGAGATTCCCGTGAGTTGCTGCCAGCTCCAACATGTTGTCGAAATCTGCTTTCCAAGGTCCGCGGACGTCCTCGCTTCCAGTCATCCAGCGAAGTACGTGCGTGTATCCGCCTCGTACGGCGGCCTGTACTGCTTCCTTCCAAATAGGTGCTGTTTTCGCTAGGATATAGTCCAAAGTGGGCTCGGAGGCGCCGCCCTCGCATGCTGCGTAGAGGAACTGTGAGCTCAAACTCCCACTCAAATAGTCATCAATGCGTTCGATCACATGCGGAAGCGAATGTCGTGTAGGAACACGCACTAAATTATATAACATCACACTTTCCCCACCAACAACACCCACCAAGTCCCGATGACTCAATGGGCTTGTTAGGGTTAGAACCGGAAGGCCCAGGAGCTTTCCCTTGCACCGGGTTGATGTTTCCTCTGTGCACCGTGTTTCCGCTTAGTCAACTGACGGAAACCCCAGCGTCACCAGCCACGAGCAAAGGCTGGCACGCTCTCACACACAATATAAACCTCGCAGGCCCTCAGGAAGGAAGGGTCCCAGCCAGTCACGGCTTGATACGAGGGTGCCGGAGCTATACTCCGGCGGGAAGGATAAATGGAGTGCGCTCTTGCTCCTCCACTACACGGCGATGACTCGCCCTTCGTATACACGGCCACCTCTTCTCTTCTCTTGGCCTGACCACGGGTAAACGCACGCTACGATACTAGCAGGCGCGTCCACCGACAGCCATAATCCTACCAACAGGTTTATCCAATTGCTACGGGAACTCACCGATAGCCCGGACGTCTTCCTTGAGTGGTTGGGAGGAAAAGCTGTTCTGTTCTTGTTGCCCAAAGGGCTTATCTGTTCTATCTTCTCTTTCCTATGGTTCAATACAAATATCTAGTATAAACGCGTCCGTTTTGGATCTTCCCAAGTAACCACCGACCCTTCAGAGCCCCCTCGACGCCCCAAGAGGCCTCTCGATGGCTCTATTGGACGATGAAGGGGTTCCCTGACTTGGAGCAGTCGCCAGGGATCGAACGGTCGTCTTAAGTGCAGATCTCGGGTCAAAGTTCGCTGTAGGTTCGGATCGTACTTGAAGTCCTGGATCTCGAACTTGGGTGTCGACGAGTCTTCGGCACCGGTCCAGAATGGCCAATCAGCATCCGCCGAACATTGCTGAACATGTCCCGACGACTCGGGTCGCCACTGAAGCTTGGTCGTCAGCTCGATTCTCGTTTACCGCCAAATCACTACACCACACGAACCTCCCACTGCTGGGAGACGGTTCGTACACACGAATCGCGTGGCTTGGCGGATGCACAGGCTCTTCTTCATAGCAGCTGGAACTGAGGCTTAGTGAATGGCGACACAGTACAAGTCGGCTTTGTTCAATCGTCTCCAGCTCTTTCATGACCCTACAATATGACTTCTAAAATCAACATTCTCGATGTAAGTACATATCTTCATGATTGATTGAGTTGAATGACATAGTTTTTTCGGGTAAATATGGTATCGCCGCTCTAATCACTCTTTTTGTATGTATGTGTGGATGGGTGGAGGGGTGTGGGGGGCTATTGAACTGAGTCTCTGGGACTTGAAAAATTGCAATAATCACAAATACCGTAGCGCTGTAGAGAAAGTTAGCCCGCGCAAGAATCCTACCATAGAACCTCTCGATCACTTCTGCTCAGCGATTCAAACAAGAGTCGTCTTTAGCTACCCATTTAGCGTTCTTGATTTGATATTCCAGAATCAACCTTGATGCCGTGGTATCATCCGTTCTGTGCTCGAGTAGATACAGGAAGACGTCAAGGTGGCCTCCAACGTGCATTGCATCCGTTGTTCATCATTCGGGCGATTATCATCCAGCCACCACACAACGGTGAGATGACCATTTTGAGCTGCTCGGTTCATTGTGGATAATGGGTGTGGACCCATTTCAGAACTTCCAAGTGTCCACATCGTGCAACAGTTCGAAACAAAACGTCGTGTAGCCGCTGCTGCCATTTCAGTAGGAGCACTTAGCCACTCATTGTTGGTTTTCTTCATCAAGAAGACAACACGTCCGTGGAACTGCATGTTACACAACATTATTGTCTTGATCCTTTCCCTTGAACCGCCCTTGGCTCAAGCGTGCTGCTAACATACTCAAGAGACCAACAAGGATAGTATTGCTAAAGAGTAATGGGCAGACACGACCATCTTGGCGAAACAATGGAGAAATATCCAAGTAAGGTGCCACTTTGGCATCTGACAATATTGCAGAGCAGCGTCCAGATTTTAGTTGAGATAGCTTGCCCTGTAGTAGCAATGACCGCAGGCTCCGACTCGCTTGAGATGGAGAACGTGGACAGAAGTATGTAGTATTGCAATACTGGACTGGGTGAACCAGTTTGGAATTGAGTTGCAGTTGACACCCAACTCGTGACGTGGCAGCGTGAAGGTGTTACGCTGGTTTTTCTTGAGATTACAAATCCCGGCGCTCAACTGGAAGCAGTTTTGGAACACGGGTATGATGTGAGCTTGATATAGTCAAACTTGCGGGGGAAATAGGGAACGCGCCGGTATAGCGGTGGCTGGTTGGGCATAGACCGACTTTTGGCTTCTTAGAGGGATGTCCAGATAAAAAAAGTGATAGCTTATTGGCTGGCTGACTTCTTCAGTCACAGTGAAAAAGAAAGCAAAACAAGTCGGCGTTATGTCCAAGCCTGGTAAAAGTCATCCAACCGACTTTTTCGCTGTAACCTACGGAATATCATACTGCAACATTCTTTTAGAGAGGTTGTTTCCTCGGAGTGCGGGTGTTGCCTGTTGCCTACCGACTGCGGTGGCGGCCACTTCAGCTCGCAGTAGAAGCCGAAGGCGACGCGCACAGCCTCATTATGCCAACCCGGAAGGCTCAAGCAACTAGATCCGGCCTAGTCGGGACGACAAAGCCACCAGCGTCAGCAGGACTACCGGCCTACAACACCGAGTACCAAGAAGAGGGAAACTCGCAAAACGGAGTCTTCTGATAATTCACCGTCAAGCACTGGAACGCCTGGGCTTCGTGAGCCCCCCTTGAAGAGAACGAGAGTCTCACGTCACACACCATCTCCGCAGGAAGAAACCGTACTTGGTGCGATTGCCGTCCCAGCTACCGGCCACGTTGCAGCATCACGGCCAAAGCAACTGGGCGCAGAGCCGCCAAGAAGAAGGCCAACAGTCGGCGTAACCAGTCCGACCCGAAGAACTCCACTCGCAAGACCACCAAGGTGAAGACGAAGCCGACGTCGGGTGACACAGTGGACGCAGATGGCGCCGCCACCACATAGCCCAATGCAAGTAAGCAAAGCTCAAAGAAGTCTACGGCGTCAAAGGCGAAGGTGAAGGAAGTGCAGAGCATGCAGTGGACAATCCAGCTGACGGCTTTGGCAATTGAAGCGCGTTTCAAGAACAAGCTGATTCTGTCAAATTTCGCTGAGCAGCTACAACATCTTGTCGGGGAGCACCGTGCCGGCTCTCACCGTCAAGCTCGTGGGCTGCAGCAACGTCCCGCTCGTGTGCGGCATGCCCACGGTCGACGCCTGTAGCAGCAGGAACGTTCCCCTGCAAAGCTTCAGGCAACCGCGCAAACCCAACTCCACTAGCACTGACCTGTTGGGAGGCAACATACCGCTATTGTGGGCTGAAAGCAACACCGTCTTTAGCCAGAAGTGCGTCTTCTACCTCCACTGCGGCAGCCGTGGCCGCCAGCGTGACGTCTGTCACTCCTGAGCTGATGCTGCCGACGTCCATGACGTCAGGTTCATCGTCGTCTGAGCGCGCTCTGCTACGCGCCATTGTGGTGCTGCTCGATACTGCTTTTTCAAAGAAAAAAGTCAGATCTCCCGGCAAAAACAGGTCCCAGACCTACTTCTTTTCAAATGACTTTTAAGTTGGCAAATCAGGCACCTGCTTTTTTATCTATCGTTTTTTAAAATAAGTCGGCCACCAAAAGTAAGTGTTTTTTTATTTGGACATCCCTCTTAACCGGAACAGCGTTGATTTTCGAGTGCCGCAGTATCGAAATCGCCTGGTGGGTAGCTGAAGATCGACCGAAGTCACCTTGTACACGAGAAAAGTTTAATGGTGGATTCTTGCACGCACGATGTTTCAAAACGAAAGCGTTCACGGAACATCTGATATGCCATACAGCGCTATTTGATGAATATTAAGCAATGGGGATTGAGGAAAATATGGGTGGAGGGTGGAGGCTTGATGTTGGTGCTTCTCAGCAGCAATTAAGAGACAGAGCGAGAAGAAAGTTACGTAAAAAATATCCTACATGTACTACGAAATACTTTGAAGTAATAACCACAACAAAGGAAATGTTTTGGTGACCCTTTCACCTCACGCCTCGCAACGCTTGATGGATGGATGTCAAGAAATACCAACTGCAGCCCACGACTTCTCTCATATTTTTCTCAAACCATTGTTTCGTATATCCTTGGCAGCACTGAATGGCCTCACGGATGCTCTGTTGCGTGCCTTCGTCTTGAAAATGCGTGCGTGCAAGATTCCACCATACAACTCTTCGATCATCTGTCTCCAGTGCCTTAAGCACGAGGTGCTTTCGAATATCTTCAGAAGCCCACCACGCGATCTCGATGTGGCGGTATTCCAAAACCAACGCTGTTGCTGTTGGCAAGTCCAGCGGTGGTCCATTTTCGACCACCCACCGCAATACCGGTGTGTCCGTGTATCGGCTGTACATTTCTTCCCCAGCAATCCTGGTCAATGCAAGCGAGTTTACCGTATACCCATGCGTTGACAACCAACGTACTACCTCCAGCTGGCTGCCTTGAACCGCCAGTTCGAGCAACTTTGGATTTGTAACCTCAAACTCATTCTCGAAAAACCACTGCAGCAACTTCACGTCGCCGCGACTCACAGCCTCACGGATGGGCTGTGTCGAGCGCAGCTCGATTCCGAACTGACTCACCCAGTCCAGGATTGCGGTGTTGCCCACACTACATGCAATCTTCGCTAGGCACCGTAAACAATCGTGGAGGAAATACGGACGCAGTTCGAAGACAGTCTGCAGCATGCAGAACTCTTCATCTGTTGCTCGATTGGAGCGTCGATTTCGGGAAGGATTCTCAATGGATAAAGCTAGAAGTATCCAAATACTGTGCACTTCAGCCCCGATGTCCTAGGAAAGCGACGTTCAAACCCAGCGACTAGCGATCAATTGACGATGTTGCAGACGGTTTTCGAGCAGCGTCCGGATTTTGTTCGAGGTTGTTTGGGATGTTTAGCGTGGACCGCGTTCAGTAGAGGCAACATTGCAGTACTGGACTGGGTGAATCAGTTTGGAATCGAGTTGCGATCGACAGTCCCAATTCGCGATGCTGTCAGCCGCGGCGGCGTGAAGGTGTTGCGCTGGTTTTCCGAGAATGGGTTTGAGATTTCAGATCCAGACCTGCTCGAGTTAGCAGTCAAAAGCGGCCAACTGGAAGCTGTTCGCTGGCTTTCGGAGCACGGGTACGGTGTGAACTCGCTTGCTTTGGCCAATATTGCTGGGAAAATAAGGAACATGCCGATATTGCGGTGGTTGGTGGAGCATGGTCCTCCGCTTGACTTGCCAACAGCAACAACACTGATTTTTGGGCGCCGCAATATCGAAATCGCCTGGTGGGTAGCTGAAGCCGTCCGAAGACAGCTTGTGCTTGAGGCACTGGACAAAAATGATCGAGAAGTTCTATGGTGGATTCTCACGCATACGAACTTTCAAAACAGGGATCGGACAATATATATTGGATATTGATTGTCGGCGAGGCAGTCATCACAATCAATATTGTACCAATATCAATATTTGCCCCAATATATTGCTATACTTGCCTTTAGTATGGCGATATATTGTACTGTACCAGAGTATATGAGTACGTTGAGTAATGTTAGCATGAATCGTCATGGCACTTATCCCCAATGGTTCGTGAGTCTTTACCCCTAACTGTACGTGTCCGAACATGATTGACGGTCTTCCTAGTGTCTAAAGCGAAAGTGACCAGTCAGAAGCATCGACGAGCAATGTTGGAGACTCGGTTGGGGTACCTCTCCCTCTTTCATGACGTCTGTTGCCAAGGACACAAGCCAAGTTATTATCACCGACGTAGGTACCGCAGTAACGCTGCAGCTCTGAGGTCTAAGTGTCTCCCCTCTTACGCATACGAAGTCTTTTCGCACGTAGTCGCAGTATCTGCTCAAATTACGTATACACGTTGGTGCCATTACGTGGCTGTAAAGAAAACAGAAGTGCAGCCCTGCGGACCTCAAGGATACTCTCATGGAGAAAACCATAGCTCGATAAGAGAGCAAGTCTACGTATACTTAATTCTGTTGTTCAGCGCCATCGACCCCTCGACGCGAAACGTGAAAAAAAACTGAGACTCGATTAAGTACTGACGATGGATTGGGGTCTGATGACCAGCGAAGTGCTATTAAGGCTGTCAGAAGTGCCGTATTCAATAGGCAACAGCCACAGAAAAAGGAGAGGAAAACTAGCTTATGGTGCTCTTTAATATTGTAAGAGGCAGTTTTTCTTCCTGAACAATATTGACAATAAATAGTGGATATTGATGACATCGCTACAATACAATTCTCTGGATTTTATCCAGAGTCCATGGGTGAAGGCCACTGAGGTGCCATTATTCTCACATCAAATACCTGCTAAATATGGGTTTGAGCGCTGCTAATGTTTATAGCTAACATACCTTTTATACTGGATAGCCTGCGATCTAATCAAATTATGCTGCTATGTTGACCCATCCGGTTGAGATTAAGTCAAATTATCTATTATTTTACATACCCTTTAATCAAGTATATATACCTGTGATAGATAGTTTATCTGCCACTCAAGCGACATCCATCGGATTTTTTCCAACAACATGCCGACGGGATCCCGCCTTCAACGGTGACGACTTATTAGTTAGGCATTACGACGAAAGCATCGGCCACTGGCAGCTACATGATTAGCTATGGCTGTGGCAAGAGCCATTATGTCCGGCATCATTAGTGAAGACCCAGAGGTCATACGACTCAGGCCTCGTGCGCATGCAGCTTCAGCACCGGAGCCGTGAGGTGATGCCGTGTCTCGAGAACGCGTTCCAGTAAGTTGATGGGGCTCGGTACCCGTTCAACTCGACAGGAATCGTCAAAATCGCGGCTACATCTACGTAGACGACATCGACATCGTTAAGATCGTCGGGGTCGGCTAGCTTGCTACAATCCCCAACTTCCCGTGTGTTATGTTGTAATTCAGTTTCTTCTTACTAATAGCGGTGCAAATTCTGGGCAGATGCTGCGGCTGCGAAGCAGGCTCAGGAGATGCCCTTGGGTCGTACGGGTCACACTACCGAAGTATAACCAAATGATTTTTTGTACCTTCCTATTCAGTATCAAACGGTCTTAATTCGTGCACTTGATCGGCCGGCTGGAAGTACAGATCCCATCTTACTCAGTTAGCGATCTCCTTACTGCATGATCACCATTAACGTTGCCCAGCTGATTGAATTCATGTTTAGCAGGTTGTGTTTTATTATGGACGATGATATGGTGGAGAATCAGTAAGCGTTGGTTTGAGTGATGTTTTAGTTTTTTTTCGGCTACTGTCAGGTAGTATGTATGTGCAACGGCTTTCTGAAAAACAAAATACTGTCATTTACCTATCCTAGCCTACGTGAAGCCCTAGTACCGCAGCAGTACGTCCGGTAATCAACACCTCTAGCTCTGTGAATACTTAGTCGTTTCGCTTGTGGCTAAAGGGAGAGACTATGTTGTTCCTTCGTCCTATTATTTCAAATTGCACTTAAAGATGTCAGAACTGAAGTACTTGAAAAATGCACTACCAGCCCAAACCTCTAGTGAATTGAAGAACGGCCACTATTCGTATAAATCCGTTAATTCAACTAATAGTGGTTACCCTCAGCCAATGCCATATCTCTACTCCTTTCTGCCATTGGCACGTAGAAACAAGATGCCGCAGAACACTAACTTATATGCCCAAGAGCGACGTAAAATCCAGAGCTGTTCCGGGCAGAGCACGGCCTTGTATTGATGCCCAACAATATTACAATTTTACAATATCAATTTTTATTTTCCGATCCCTGCTTTCAAAATGAGAGCATTCAAGGAAGCGCTATCCAGCGCTGCGGGGAGGATATCCAGCAGTGGATTAAGGAGAACATCGGAGAAATGGAGGTCTCTCGTTGGTGGTTCTTCACTTCGACCAAGAAGCGAGATAAGGGGACCGACGAGACAAGGCGCAGGAGACTGCGGGTGCTTATTGCAAGACCCACATCGATATTCTTGACAAACCCAATAAGCTGAGGTTAAAACCTAATACACTAATGATTCTGTCGAGCGCTGGTTGAAACACCGTTCTCCAATGGTACCATTGCAATGAAATAACTAAGGATGAACTAAAATGTGTACTGTGTAAGTTTACCGCTGTACTCAACTACGTAATGGTGGTTAGTTTAGCTGGAGCTGTGCCTTGCATGCTCACGGGCGGGTGTCCTCCAAGATAGCTGGTCAAGTCTACGCGCTCGATAATAATACCTCGAACCAGAGAAAACGACCTGGTGATCCTCACGCCTCGCAACGGCTTCGCTAAGTGATTAGTAAATCTTTTTCGTCTTCATTTCGCGATGTGAAATGGCACCAACAGCAAGATTCCACATGTCACGGCGGAACAGCATCGCATGGCGTCACGAACGTCCTTTTGAGCCCTTTTGTCGAGAAACTTTGTCCGCGCAAGAACCCACCTTTCGATCATTTCTGCTCGGTGCTTCAAGCAAGGGTAAGTGCTCGCTCGTCCTCGGCTACCTAACAGGCGATCTCGATTTGAGGATATCCAGAACCAACGCCGCTCTGTGGTAAATCAAGAGTCGGCCTGCGCCAGCTCGTTCCTTAGTTCCCCAGCAATTTTGATCAACTCCAGCAAACTCACAGCGTGCCCGTGGCTCGACTCCGTCGCTACGAGCTCGCTTCGAAGCAGTGGAGAAGCTTGTATTCTTCCTCTCCTCCTTCGGTCGCTTGGTCAATGCCGAAAAAAACACCAACTACAAGCATCCACGTCGCGTAAATTCTCATCTATCCAAAGCTGAATTTCCTTCGGACTGTACGTGATAAAATTACGAATCTTCCGTTGTACGCTGTCGCCTTGAAACGTCGTACGCACCAGAATCCACCACAGCACTTCTCGATCATCTTTATACAGCGCCTCAAGCACGAGGCGTCCCCGGTCTTCCTCCGCTACCCACCCAGCAATCTCAATGTGGCGGTTCCTAAAAACGATCTCGTGTGCTGCTTCGAGGTCCAGCGGTGATCCGTGCTCAACCATCCACCGCAGTGTCGGTACGTTCCAACAATTGTCGATCAACTTGACAGAGCTCAAATCATATCCGTGCTCTAACAAACAATCAGCTGCTTCCAGACATCGGCTTTGAAGTGCAAATTCGAGCAACTCTGGGTCCGTGACTCCAAGCCCATTCTTAAGAAACCACTGCAGCACCTCGGCATGATGGTTCCGGATAGCGACGCAGATGGACTCCGTCGAACGCAGCTCGAGTCCAAACCGGCCCACCCAGTCCAGAATTGCAAGGTTGCCTTCCTCGCATGCGATCCTCGCTAGACACCGTAAACAATCCCGGACGAAATCTGGACGCTGCTCGTAAACAGTCTGAAGCACCTTCAATTGGTCACTCGTTGCTCGATTCGAGCAGCGATTTTCTAGGACATCGGGACCAAAGTGGCACTTCACCACGATATCTTGTGCCTTGCGCAGCTCATAGTCTGAAAATCCGTCGGTTCTGTGCTCGAGTAGAAACAGGAAGATGTCGAGGTGGCCTGCAGTGGCGGCAAAGTTCATCGAATCATTTGTATATCCCTCGGGATAAACTCCGTGCAACCAGCGGACAATCTCCAGATACCCTTTGGAGGCTGCCCAATCCATCACGAAAGGCCTGTTAACAATTCCTCGCGAAGATTTGGCGTGAAGCCATTTGAGAAGTGGCAAGTCCCCATTTCGAGCAGCAGAACACGGTGCCGACTCAGAATACCCTGTTTGACCTTGCTTATGCAGCCACTCGATAACATCCATGTGACCATTTGCGGCAGCGGCGTCTAAAAGATCGTCACATCCACTGATCGAGTCGGGGAAGTGTTCATGCAGCCACTTTAACAAGTCTAAATGCCCGCGCCGAGCCACAGTCGTAGTATCCAAGTACGGGTGATCATTACGGTGACATTTGAGATGCACGTTCTCATAAACCCACTCGACCAGCTCTAGGTTGCCGCTATTCACCGCTCCACGCAAAATTTGTGCAGAACCGCGTTCGTGTTGAACTTGATGTAGCCATTTCACCACTTCCAAGTGTCCACTCTCGGCAGCTCCTTCTATCGCGGCCTTTGTACACTTGAACAGATTGTTCAGGTGCAACCATTCCAGTACTTCGAGATGCCCATTCTTCGCCGCCTTGATAATGGCATCAGCTGAACACACTTCCCTTTTGACGCTATGAAACCACTGAGCGATGGAGAGATGGCCGTTTTCCACAGCTTTGCTCATTGCACTACAGCCCCCGCTGCACGTATCGGTTCGAATATCATAGAGCCACTTGACCACCTCGAAGTGCCCGTGTTCCGCTGCCAGATTCAACGCCTCACCCGTGCAGTGTCCATACCGCCAACTCTTCTCAATGTATCCTTTCGTGTCTATCCCAGTCTTCGCTAGCGTGTGCCAGTCCATGCCCCGCTCAAAAAGCCACTTGACCGCATCTAGATGACCGTGTGTTGCTGCAACTTGTAGTATGCCGACAAAAGCGAACTTCCAGGGTCCGCGGCCATCGTCGCGCTCAGTCATCCATCGAAGCACATGTGTATGCCCACCTCGAGCGGCAGCTTTCACGGCCTCGTCCCAATCAGGTATGGTCTTCCCCAAGAGATACTCCAGAGTAAGTTCCGAGGCGCTGGCCTCACAGGCAGCAGAGAGAACTTTATAACTCAACCTTCCAACCAAGTAATCGTCAACACTTTGCAGTGCATGCGGAACCCAAAGGCGATTCTTGCACACGATTCGCACGGCCGCGCGGACACGAAACGTCTGCTCCATGGCAACTTGAAATGTGACACTATAAACCTCTGCAGCTCGTGAAACTGGACAAGTATCAGTCCAAGGCATCCATCCATCAATCAAACTATCGATCCATCAGTCAATCAATCGAATCCATGTTGAAGTGACAAGCCTCTACGTTTGCTTATTGGTCTCTTTTTAAGCCAATCACATTTCCCTTTATCGCATTTCCCGCCAAATTTCCAGCCAGTCGCGAAGCGGCGTCGCCCCATGCTAATGGAGCTCTCAACGCGGCCACCCAAGCGCCTTGCCAGCGAGCTGGATGATGACCCCACGCAGACAAAGAGGGCGGAAGTCTATCGCAACGACGCATCTACTACTCCATCCACGAATCCATTGGCTGCAACACCCAGCGCGATGGAAATCCGAGCCTTCGGCCTCGAAGACCGCGCCGAGGCCGTCATCTCACGGGGTAAAGAGAGCTGGGCGCTCGCGAACCTGTCCAAGTGGCGTCACGAGTCTCTCGACCAGGCCTGTAACATTACACACCGTCAAGGAGAAGCTAATAGTAAACTCAGCAGTAAGGAATACTTGCGGCAACGCCAGCGCGCGTACCGTCAGCAGTGTCTCGCAGCGTCCAGTCGCCACGCAGAGACACATGCCACTACTACGACACATCATCGGGACAGCTAACGCTAAGGCAATGCAGCAATACAGAGTGACTATTTCATATCTTGTCCTTTCTGGGCAGTATTTGTAAGCAGTGGAATTGTGAGCGTTGCTAGTCGTCGTCCTCCTCCAGGTCGCTGTCGTAGAAGATGCTCTGTCGAATACTATTGATCCGTTCCTGGTCCAGCTGTTGCTTGGCTGCTACGGGGTCGTTGCCCGATGCGTAGGCCCCACCGCAGTCGTCCAACGCATTCTCAGGCTCGGGTCCTTCGTACGTCAAGACCTTGTGCAGACTCAAGTAGTAGGCCAAGAAGGCCGTCGAGAACTTGTCCGAGCCTCCGAGCTCGTCCAGGCCCTGCACCATCTTCTCCACCTTCTGCTTGTTCACGAGGGCGATGCACGGGATCATCCAGACGCCGAGCTTGTCCACGAGGTACTCAGCCTTCTCGGCGTTGATGCGCGCGAACTTGGTCTCGAGGTGGTGCGGCGCCAGGCGCGCCAGGTGGCCGTCCACGAGCTGGCAGAAGGCGTTGGCCGGCGTGAAGAAGTGCACCACGACCTTGTCGCTCTTCTTCATGGTCTCGAAGAACTCGTGCGTGTCGGCGATGGTCGAGTACTCGCCGTGGCCCTGCGCGCGCAGCTCCTGCGCTTTGCGCGCCTTGTGCTGCATGGCCTGCAGCCGCTTCTCGCGCAGACGCTCGAGCTCGTCGTCGTCGGCCTCCTCCAGCTTCTTGATGGTCTCGTCCAGCTTCTGCTCCTTCTGGTCCAGCGTCTCCAACACCTTCTCGCCGATCAGGCTGGCCACCATCTCGGCCTGCGCGGCGGACGTCGACGCCATGGCTACTGTACTGTAATTGAGCTCTTCGTATGTATGGGCGCCGCTTGGCGAGCCAAAGACGGATCGGAGCGACGTGATTGGCGGAACAGGGATGGATTATCGACCTATGAGGGGATAGCATGTGATGAGGCGGGGAAGAAATGGCTACAGTTTGGATAACGATGTTGACAACGGTGGACGCTTTGGGATTGAATCACAGTGGACGTTTTTGAATTGAATCAAAATGAGCGTCCTCTGCGTGGACAGTGCAGGAAAAAAGCCCTCTATAACGCGCGCTCGTTCTCGTAGTCGATGAGGCGCTGGATCAGATCCTTCTTCTGGCCCTGCGTCGACAGCTTGCGCTCCTTGAGCTTCTCCTTGAGCAGCGCCGGCTTCAGCGCCTTGATCGCACGCGCGTCCAGGGGCTCGTCTAAAATACGCAACCGCAACACCGACCACCGTCAATAACAAAGCCACTTACTCAACGCAACAGCATACAAAATAGCTTTATGCACGACACTTACCGTCGTCCTTGACCTCCACCTTCTTCTTGGCCTTCTCGCGCTCGGCAGCAGCTAAAGTCAATCAAACAAACACGCAAAAACGTCAGATAGAACTCTACCACCAGAATTGCAACACGCTAGCCATCACTGCAGGCCAGCAAATAAAAGCCTCGAGGCCTCTCCCGCACACACACAACGTACCAGCCTCCTCCTCCTTCTTGCGCTGCTCGGCCTCCTCACGACGACGCTTGACCTCGGCCAGGCGCGCGAGGTCCTTCTTGGCCTCGTCCGTCTCGCCCGCGAGGTGCTTCTTCAGGTAGTAGGCGGCGGCGCGCTCCTTCTCGATGGCCTCGCGCTCTCGCCGGCTGAGCTGCTGCGGCGCGGCGTTGCCGTCCATGTCCTTGGCCTTCATGACCTTGTTGGCCTTCTTCTTGGCGTTCGGGTTCTGCGTCTTGGCGATGGCGGCGAAGCCCACCTTCTTCTTCTCCTGCTGCAGCACGGGGCCGTCCGCCTTGTTGGAGAAGCCGAAGAGCGAGTTGGTCTGCACGCGCTCGAAGGCCACTAGCTCCTCGCCCTCCTCGTCCGAGCTGCTCTCGTCCTCCGAGTCGTCGCTGCCCTCCTCGCCGTCGTCGCGGCGGGCCTTGCGCGCGCTCTGCCTCTGCTCCTCCTGCTCGTCGCGCAGCGTCATCTCCTCGAGCGACGTCACGAACTTGCGGGCCGTGCCCTTCTCGCGCTTCTTGCGGCCCTTGCCGCCGGCCGCGCCGGGCTTGCCTCCAGACTTGCCAGTGTCGCGCATAGTAGATAGATATGGAAGGAAGGTGGAGCCCTAGTGAAGACTTTGGTTGGCCTTGGCTTCCTCTCTTATGCACCCTTCGCGACGGCGACGTGGTCTGCACTACCAGAACGAGGTTTTACTCGACATCCCTGTAGAAGAACGGGTACATGTAAGAGAACAAATAAGCTCGATACCGTGGAGGGTGAACGAACTTAGCGCTCGCGATTTAACACCTTTGTTAGGTTCGGGTCCGTCGCCGGAAGGTATCATTCGAGAAGACAGACACCAGGGTTCACCAAGGAAACTTTACTATGGCGGCGACGGTGAGGCTGCTCGCGCCTGCAGCTCCACCTGCGCAGTGTAGTAAGTGTGTTCACCTTTGATGCGTGTATTATCGCCAACAGATTTGTATTGGAGGCTTCTGCATCCCCGTGTACGCGCTGCTGCCGTTCGCGCTCATGATGCTGCAGGGCTGCTGGAACTGGTTCCGCAAGAACGTGCTGGGCCAGGACGACAGCAAGATCCCGGAGAATGTGAGCCCCATAGTAGCACTCGCCATGCTTAAATTTATACTAACACTCGTGCAATGCTGCTGCATGTAATAGAGCCGCGTGATCCACGTGACGTCGGAGCAGCAGTTCAAGGAGCTCATTGGCAAGGGCAAGACGACCACGCGCTCCGTGGTGGTGGACTTCACTGCGACGTGGTGCGGCCCGTGCCGCTACATCAGCCCCGTGTACCACGAGCTGAGCGCCAAGTACCCGTGCACGATCTTCCTCAAGGTGGACGTGGACGAGCTCAAGTCGGTGTCGCGCGGCTGCGGCGTGACGGCCATGCCGACGTTCCAGTTCTTCCGCAGCGGCGTCAAGTGCGATGAGATGCGCGGTGCAGACAAAAACGGCCTGGAGGCGCGGATCCAGAAGCACTACGTGGAGGTGGAGCTGCCTGAGGACGAGAAGCCCGTGGTGCCCGAGGCCGCTGCTGGCAAGACGGAGGATAGCAACGCCTCTGGTGAAGGCCTTCGCCAGCGTAAGCCGCAGGTGACCACTGTGGACACGGAGGAGCAGTGGGAGAAGCTCATCCAGCAGAACCAGGAGTCAAACACGGCGGTGCGTGATCTTTCGCGAAACTTGAAATGGTGTTGTAGTATTTTTCAGTAGCGTTCATACTGACGTTGTGCGCTTCTTGTGTTGTATTTGTTTCTTGGGTTTCGCTCATTCAAAGCTGGTGGTGGATTTCTGGGCTACTTGGTGCAAGCCGTGCTTGGAGATCGCTCCGTTCTTTGAGGAGCTGAGCGGCCGATTCCCCGCTGCCGTGTTCGCGCGCGTGGATGTCGACGAACTTGAAGTACGAGATGCACTGGCAAGGATGCAACTTGTGTCGGAGCTGATGTTTGCGCACTGTTTTTCTGTATGCACAGACCGTGACGGAGGAGTACAACGTGTCGTCGTTGCCGAGTTTCAAGGTGTTCAAGGGCGGCAAGGTGGTTGACGAGCTTAGCGGGGCCATCAAGACTGCTCTGGAGAGCATGGTTGCCAAGCATGCCTCGAGCTGATGGATAGCGTAGCGATCATAACGGACGTCGTAACATGATTCAGGGCTACTACCGGTAGGCCTGGTTTCATTGCACCCCAACACGCGAGTCGATCTTGAAAGACGGACTACCTCTACGGAGCTACAAACTTATTGGAAGGTGTTCATATGCGATAGCTGGCGTCTCGTTCGCCACAGCCCGACGAAGTTTTGATCGTTCCAAATGCTAAGCGTACTGTGCATTGGTGGGCTACATGGATGCGGACGACAACTTCAACCTGACCGCGCAAATGTGCTGACTAAGTTATGCTGAAAGGATTCGTATGCTTATGGTCGTTGCTCCACAGCTGAATGGTCCGCAGTTGTTTACTGTGCAGTAAAACACCGGCACAACTCAATTGAAAGCAAGACATAGTGCATCCAAAGGAGCGAGGTGTCATCGGTTCACAGTCAAGCGAAGACTGCCACGCTCAGAGGCTGCAACAGCCCGCGATCTTTCTTGGAGCTGTCGACTAGGTGGCTTCAAGCTACATACTGCTTAGCACACCACAACAATTGTTACCCGCGCCTGCTTGCTTACCAGTCGTTGGTGCATGTGTCGGTGTTCGAGCGCCGACGATGCAAGCGTAGCGGCCTGCCGCCTCACGTTCCGGTGCTTGTAGGATACCCTCTCCAGCTTTGCAATGCGATCGCCCCTCAGTACCTCCTAAACTTATAGCAAAGGCATGCATTGCTATCCGGATACGTTCCATGCTCGGATCCTCATGAGCGCCGCTAAAGGCTCCGTTATTTTCGCGCAGCCGTCACGCGCGCGAGTCGCGGGCGTCGCCGTTGGCCCATCGTTGGTGTGGTGCGGCACACAAAATCTGATTTCCCTGCGGAAGAGCGAGCGAGCACCTCCGCCCACGATGTCTCAAGGCTGCTGGGGCTGGTTCCTGCGCAACGTGCTGCGCCAAGACGACGAGCGGATCCCCGACAACGTGCGTGCCATGGCAAGCAGCACCGCGGCGCGCTGCGTGCAGACGCCTCTCAGCCAGTCATCTCCTTGTCTCCTATTCTGACTACTGTAGCTTTGTGTTGCGCGCTGCGTGCAATGTACTGTAGAGTCGCGTGATCCACGTGCGATCCGAGCAGCAGTTCAAGGAGATCATCACGACGGCCAAGCGCTCCATTGTGGTGAACTTCTCGGCCACGTGGTCCGCCCCGAGCCGCTACATCAGCGCTGCATTCTACGAGCTGAGCGCCAAGTACCCGGCCACGGCCTTCCTCAAGGTGGATGCGGACGAGCTCAACGCCGTGGCGCGGAGCTATGGCGTGACGACCATGCCGACGTTCCAGTTCTTCCGCGGCGGCGACAAGTGCGACGAGGTGCGCGGCGCAGACAGCCACCGACTGGAGGCGCGGATCCAGAAGCACGACGACGGCGATCTCAACGGCAACGGTCAGGACGCCGATGGTCTGCGCCAGCGCAAGCCGCGCGTGGTGACGGTCACCTCGCAGGAGCAGTGGGAGCAGCTTCTGCAGCAGAACCAGGAGTCGAGCAAAGCGGTACGTGGTGGATATTGCTCCAGTGTATATCGGCGACGGTCAGTGTCTGACGCGGGTGTCTGTCGGACACTGGCCGGTACCCGATACATGTACACGAAGCACACTTGATATCATCTGGGGGGCCTCGCACTACGTTCAATGTGGTACTGCTCGCTGCCTTGGCGCTCGTACTGACGGTGTCTCATGCCATGTTGTCCCTGGTGCTTGTCTTGGTGTCTTTCTTGGTGTCGCTCGCCTGGCACCGATAGTTGGTGGTGGACTTCTGGGCTACTTGGTGCAAGCCCTGCGCGGAGATCGCGCCCTTCTTCGAGGAGCTGAGCGGCCGGTTCCCCGCAGCTGTGTTTGCGCGCGTGGACGTCGACGAGCTCGAGGTAAGACGCTCGCTGGCAGCAGCATGTTGCAAGTTGCTGTTGTGGCCGCAGCCTGCAGCCGTGTCTCTTTGACACATGGCTCATTCTCGGAATGATGGTGCGGCGGCTAAGTGAATGTGATGTGATGTGATACACGTTGCGCGTTGGCTACACCACTGCAGAACGTGAAGGAGGCCGAGGTGTCCTCGCTGCCCAATTTCAAGGTGTTCAAGGGCGGCAAGGCCGTGGACGAGCTGGACGGGGCCATCCGCGGCCCGCTGGAGGGCATGGTGGCGCGGCACTACGGCTCGGCGGCGGCCGCGAGCTGCTGATCCCGGCCGTCACGCACAGACGACGACGAGGAGGACCACATGACCGATGTCTCATATATTTCCCATTTCGGGTCAGGCCGCGCTGTTCCCCTTCACTTTTTTCATGCACCGCCCGGGGGCGCGGACAGGCAAAGAACCCGGAGCCAGCCAGCCATTTGCACCTCCCCCGACTTGAGGAGGTTGAGCTTGATGTTTTCAGCTTAGAATTGAAGTCTGAAGAAGGCTGCTCCGAGCAGCCTTCTCCAGCAGTGCTCCGGCATCGCGCGATTTGCGAGTGCCCCTGCAAGTTGCGTTGCAGTGCAACCGAGCAGACATTCTGGTGAAAGACCGGTTTCTACACGTGGTTTATGACACATCACTGCGCGTCTCGCAGTGGGGTAATCAACGCTTAGGGCACGCGGCCCATCCCCGCGCATCAAAGTCGGCGACTTTGAGGTCGAAAACTGGGTCCTCGACGCAAAAATGGAAACCCTCTCCTTCTCATTTTCTCCTCGACAACATCGAGTTCCTGTTCGCAGTCCACTTCATTGTACGGAGAAGGTCCACGTGCTTTACACGTATGGAGCTGAGGTCAATAAGAACGCTGCCCTTATACCTGAATCCCTGGAGCCCAGCCTGAGTGAGTATTATAGAGCATCATATGAAGACGCCCTCTTACGAACTTCGCGACAGCCGAGTATCATTTCAGGCTAAGATACTCACACTGCATACGCCCACAACAAACGCAATTGCTGTTTCGATAAGCCGCCGATCTCGCGCACTGCCGCACCGCTCGCCGCCGTGGTGCCGCAGCGGCCTTAGTCGAGATTAGTAAACTTCGAAAATGGGCCCCAAGCGAGCCCATTTAGGCCGCCCCGCGTGCCTGTTTCTTGCCGTCCCACGAGCAGCAAATTGCCCGCACCCGCCTTGATCGCGCCCGTCACCACCACGTGCATTCATGTCCGCGCTGCGATGCAGTCGCTGGCTGACAGGCTCGGAGCGAGCGAGCGAGTCCCCATTGGCGACCATGGCAGAGTCTCCATTGCAGCCGCTGGCTGGAGTTCATCGCTCGTTGCGGTGCGGCGGCGCTGGATACTATCGAGTCGGATCGCAGTCAACTCGCTTTTCAATCAACTCGCGCGATCCATCGCGACAAAGAATCCGGGCTTGAAGATCGAGCAGTTCAAGCGTGTCACCTTGGCGTCCCGCGCTTCTCGTTTGATGGGTACAACACGCCGCGCTGCTAGCAAAAAAGATATCGCAGAGATGGCTTCGCTCGCGCCGCGGACGCGCAGCTGGGCCCCCATCGCGAGCAAGCCGCCGCCGGGCGCCATCCACTGGCCGGGGCCGGTCCCGGCGCGCCCGGAGCCCCTGCTTGGTCCGCATGGGCCGCGTTACTTCTCCATGCGGTGGCGTGCGGTGGCGCATTGTGCGGGCGCCGAGCGCGGTTTTCGGCCAATCGCGGCGCGCGCTCGGCGGGTGATTATGGCTTCAGGGCCCCCGCAATCGGTGGATTCGATGACGGCTATGAAGGGACCTGCGCAAGCCGATACGGGCGCCGCCGGGTCAGATTAGCATGTTCGGCGGGGTATAGTACTGCGCAGGGCTTCGAATTCTATTCTGGGCCCGGCGCAGGTCGGCGCGCGGTGTAGCCACTCGCTGCGCGCCGCATGTATTTATAGAGGCCGTTTTAATGCCCCCCACCAAACCGATTGGTGGGTTGCGACTGTCTGCGGCGCTGCCTTCTCTCGCCCACGCCGCTCTCACTTCTGTTTTTAGCACCAGCTCGTAAATAGCGCAGCGCAGGCGGCACCGCCAAGGACAAGAGGAAGGAAGCCGCAGCTTCGCCCTCCGCACACTCCACAGAGACTCAGACATTCCACACAGACAGTCCCGCGCCATGCAGCTCCTCCGTCAGCTCGTGCTCCTCGCGGCCACCGCGCTGGTCGCCGCCGTCCCAAGCTCCGCTGCGGAGCAGCCGGCGCAGCAGCGCACGCGTCTGCGCGGCCTGCTGGAGCAGCTCGTGAGCGACGAGGCCACGCCCGCGCCCGCGCGCGAGCTCCTGGCCACCTGGGAGGACGGCAAGGCGGGCGAGTCCCGCAAGCTGCAGCCCATCGCCGACAAGATCGTGGGCGGCGAGGCCGTCGTGGTGTTCAACGACCGCCGCGTGAGCCCCGAGGCCCAGATGGAGTCGGCCGTCGTGCAATTCAACGTGCGGACGCGGCCCAACTGCGTCGTGAGCGTGTGCGGCGAGCTCACCAAGTGGTACCTCGGCTCCAAGGAGCAGTGCTTCGACCTGCGCGTGGCGCCCAAGTCGGCGGACGACCGCGAGAACGGCCTGATCCACGGCGTCTCGGCCGCGTACTCGGGCCTGCGCCCCGTGGCCCACAAGCTGTACCTCAAGTTCGACCAGACCAACCTCATCGACGGCGACAAGTGCGAGTACGAGATCATCTCCGGCAGCAAGACCGTGCGGCAGGAGGAGCTGGCCACCGGCTCGCAGCAAGCCGCGGCATAGGCCACAGGGCCGGATCGCTCCCCCCTCCCTCATGTGCGCTTCGGCTGCATACAGCCTTCTCGTAGTGTAAAGAGCTGTACAATAGGATAGAACCCACTAATATTAACTCGCGCTTGCCAGCATTTTGCAACCCCGGGCGTGCTCTCTCGATCGACGCTACGTTCTTCGGCATTGGTGGGTACAACAGCCGAGTCTAGGCGTGGCGTCGGCGGCGGCGGATATCACAACGCCTCGTCCGGCATGGCTCTGGACTGTTGACAGCTCGCGCGATGGCCGCGAAGACAAGGTTGCTGGCGGAAGCAAGGTGCCGATGGTTTCGCTGGGCAGTATTGTTGGCGCCTTGCTCAGCGCGCTCCCAGCTTGGCGAGCCGAGCCGAGCGGGCCGGCCAGCCATTCCGAACTCTCCCGCCCGCTCCCGCGCGCATATCTTCGCCGGCACATCACGAGAGCAACTTGAATTTGCACGCCTATCCAAGCGGCACAGCATGTCGCCGAGTTCGACTCCAGATTTAGGGCAGAGTTTCATGTTGAAAGAGAACGCCGATATGCTGTCTGTTACTTTCAAAGTAACTTTGGTGGTTTCCCCAGCAACGACAATGAGCGTCGAGCAATCGGAATCTGCACTCCAGCGGCCGCTATGTCGCTGCACAATTATTCAATCAACCGAAACGCTGCGCTCTAAAGCGGCTTCAGTAGCAGCGAGCGAGCCTTGGCCAGCATAGCATTTTACCGCAGTGCTGAACTCACATGCTCCTCTTCCACTGCCGACGTGTTCGATGGGTTAGAATAGCTACGCGCTGATAGCGCGTGGTGGCGGAGGGTGCAGTCAGTTCACCGCCAAGACTTGCAACTCGTGTGTTGGCCTAGGTGTAAGGCGAGAGGAAAGGCTGATGATATATACTATATTGGTGGTGAAACCTGAGCGTTATTGGTGGTGAAACCTGCAGCGTTTCGACACTGGGGTTTCCAAACCCGCGACACGTTGTTACCAGCGACCGCAAGCAGCAACTCCAGCGTCCGCAGCGTGTCTGCCCACCACCAGCGCGTCGTGTTGATCCGACGCGCTCGACAAGCCCTAATTGCTCCAGCGGTTGGGCCACCCGTTAGCAAACCGCTACAGCGCTTCCTCGGCAGCGGATGTCCTCGCAGCCAACCCTTGGTGTGACGACGAGATCGCTGCACCAGCGTCTAGAGCACGGCG